AGAGCTTACGCCGAAGGGTAGAGTCCACCGAAGTTAAAGTGACATCAGACCCAAATGAATGGGTGAACCGACTGAAGAAACTGGATGACCTTCGCGAAACGATTCAAGATCGACTGGACCAAGCCCACAACCAGATAGCCGACCGCTATAATAAAGGTCGGAAACCAACAAGATACAAAATAGGAGACCTGGTATGGAGAAAAGCTCATCACCTATCCAATGCGGCCAACCAATTCTCGGCGAAATTAGCCGGGAAATATGAGGGACCATTCCAGATAAAAGAACAGCTATCAGACAACGTGTACATTATCGAGAATACGTCCGGCAAAGAGATAGGGAAAGTCCACGTTACCCAATTAAAACCTTATAAAGGAGAAAATCCGGTAAATGTTAAGTTAGTTACCGAAAGACCACCGCGTAGCTAAGACCACAGAACTAGACCAGTAAAATCACGCCCCGAAAGCCATGTTGAGTCGAGAACTAGAAAGGGCAAGCCTTTCTAGTTTTACAAAAGGGGGGGGGGGGGAGATGTAGGTCGCGTAACAAACTAATTAACTAACCAGACTAACATCGCACGACTGGTGATGGCTGATGACCTTCACTAACAGACCTCCCCCATTGACCGAAAATTAAAACCTTTTCGATTTACAGAACTCAACGATGCCTCCCAAGTTTGGGACACGCGCTCAACGGTCCCCACACCACCGACCGGACCTGGGATTCAGACCCACTGAGGACAGACCACCACACCGACCTGAACTCGTTACCATCTCCTCGGATGAAGAAAGCGACCTGGAATCCAAGACCACTAACGACCAGAGGGCAACGGCACCATCACCCTCCTTCTCGATCTCCTCCTACATCATGGAGATCGAGGAGGAAATCTTGAAGGAAAAGGCTCGGCTTGAAGGAAACCAACCACCCTCAGAGCTACAAGAACGGCTAACAGTGGCCGCTAAGAGGGTGGCTATTCTGGTTCCCCCGGAGGAACAAACAACAAACGACCAGAAGATAATACACCTGGCCGGGCTAATAGAACAGGGTGGGAAGCCCACAGAAAATACTCAAGCAAACCCTAGAAGAGCAAGCAGGTCGTCCAGTTCGGGTGGATCTGGGTTGATTATCACGACCGATGAGACCCTGGACGAGATGGTAACGGCGGAGGAAGATACATTGGAACCAACACCACAGAATCGACCACATCCAGGATGGCTCCCTGTACGAGCCCCCCAGACCCCACCGACGGAAGTAACGCTAGACCAGATAATGGTCCGAGGGGAGAACGATCGCCGTAGGAGATACAACCCCAGGCGACACCTACAGTACGAGGACCTGGAGAGCACAGTGAATCCGGAGCCAATATCCGACGACGAACCAGGACCTCCCGTCCGCCCCCAGCCTCCCCGCACCTGGATCAATAAAGAAAACCGACCGAGGGACACAGGAGCCGGATTCGGTAACCTTCGACCTATTCCAACCGACCCTACAGTAGACCCACCTGGCCGCAGCTGTTTCAATTGCTGGATGCCCGGACACACCTTCCGAACGTGCCCGAAACCGGCGGAATCATCGGAGTACTGCGGCAACTGCAGCAGGAGGGGTACCAACATCCAAATTTGCCCCCGGTGCTCAGCCGAATATTGGGACCGGTTGGAGAGGACGAGGACCCCTGAACCATCAAACGAAACGAGACCGACCAACACGAACCAAAACTACGACACGCCCCAAACGAGTTGGAGCTACCACCCTCCACACGAGGCGCAGGCACCTCCTCCGACCTACCAGGAGGTCATGAGGCTAACAAAGGACCTACCTGGACCAGAAACGGGCGCCATCCCCCGGACACCCAGAGAAGGACGCCCCTACCACCGTCGTGACCACAGTAGGTCCAGGAGCTACCAAGAACCAGAAGAGGAAATAAATGACCGCCTTCAGGAGCTGGAGCGACTGAGGGAAACCATCGAGTCCCTGGCAGCGGCGGAACGACGCCGACTCGAAAGAGCCAAGCACCGCTACCGACAGTCGGACAACAACGACTCGAACAGCCATTAAGATCAATAAATGACGAAACTTGACCATGCAATAAGTCTCAATCATTTAACCCTAATCCGATCCCTTAAACACCCCTTTTCAGGTCACTGAACCAGTAGCTGAGGACCAGGTATGAGCAGATCACCAGTAGACCCGCGATGACCGACGAATCACGGTGCATGTGTATGCACCGGATTAGTGGGGGGCTATGTGATGATGCGTCATCACACAAATATTTCCGGCACTGCGGCAGAACAGCCACGACCGCATACACCGCCCACGCACTCCCGGATCTCGCGAACTATGACCTCTAGAAACCTCCCTGACCGATTCGCACGACCCTTACGCTCGCGTACAACCCCTCGCGCACTCACGACCCGATCCGACCCTCCCCCGGGGAGCTAGAAGCCCCTAAAGTTTTCAGCCGCGATCAGCTGATCGCAAGCCCCCGTTAGTTAAGGCAGACCTAGCTAGACTAGAAGTAGGAGCGACCGAGCGCGTGAGAGCGAGCGAGACCGCCGATGCTAGACCGATCGGAAGCGAGCGAGGGGAATCGGTAAGACCAACGAGCGGTAGATAGAAGAGGATAGACAAGCGACGCTATCTGACCGGCCAATCGTTATCGGCTTAGGGGTGGTTAGACTTATGAGAGAAAACCGACGCTATCTTCGCGACCAGTAGGCAAATTAGGCGCGAAGGACCGACCAATAAATAAATTGCGCGGGTAAAAAAATATCAAAATAGACGGCGCTGAGACCTGGCTTAGCAACAAGCTAGCCAATCAACAACAACGAAGGGGAAGTAAACTAGGAGAAGCGGCGCGTCGCCGAAAAACGGCGCGCGAGTAGTAACCGTTAAGCCTCGACGGAAGGACGTCCGCCGAGCCTCGCTGTTGCGCGGTACGAAGAAGTGAGTGAGAATAAGGGAAATAGTAGAAGAAGCTAGTGATAGAAATAGAGAAAGAGATAGTGAAAGTGGAAACAGTAGAAGAAGCTAGTGATAGAAATAGAGAAAGAGATAGTGAAAGTGGAAACAGTAGAAGAAGCTAGTGATAGAAGTAGGCATAAAGAGACAGTGAAAGTGGAAATAGTAGAAGAAACTAGTGATAGAAGTAGGCATAACAGAAATAACGAATAGCAATAAAATAAAAGGATAACGATAACGAAAAAATAACAGAAATAATAGAATAAAGAAATAGCGATAACAGAAATAATAGAATAAAGAAATAGCGATAACAGAAATAATAGAATAACGAAATAACGATAACAGGACTAACGGAATAACGATAACGGAAATAACAGAAAAATAATAGAGTAAAATTAATAGAATAAATCTAACGGAATAACGATAACACAAGAGTAAGTACCCTTCCCTTACTATCGATTTTCTATGCATGATCAATAATCGCGAGTTTGCCGCGCATTGTCGACCGCCGCGTTTTCGGGAGTGCCGTACGACCTTCGCGCGTCCGACAGTAGTATTCGACCGCTTATTGCTAACCACCGAAAATCCTTTGTCGAACCGGCGTATAATCATCGCCCGCAATTTGAAGTTGTCGAACGCTCGCGTTTCCGGGAGTGCCGCATGACCTTCGCGCGCATTATACCTTGACCGAAAACGTTGCCGTTATCCCCAAGTTTCTTATTACGTTGTTTCTTTGTTCCGCGCCTGAAATAATCGCATGACCGCCGAATGTTCGCGCACGGAATCCCGCACGACCTTCGCGCGCCCGTTGCCATTGCTGTATATGTTTTCGCCACCGACCTTTCGGGATAGTTTTGAGTCACCGTGTTGCTATCATCCGTGGAGCGAGTTTCCTTAGCGCGCGTCTTTGAATTCCTTCTGAGTCGATCTAAACATCGCACCAGTCGCGTTAGACCTTCATTCGACCGGTAGGATTCGGACACAGTCGCTTTTATATTATTCGCGATCGTCGCTATAGGTATCGTCAACACCACGAACAGCAGTCAACCTTCGCGCGACCGACCGAATTCCTGAGCGTAATTGTTTTGAACGAGCTGGAATTTTCCGCGAATAGATAAACCGACGTTACGTGTCCGAACACTATCTGAAGCCCGAAGCGTTCGACCAAGCCATTGTCCGTCTAAGCCGACTTCGTGCCGTAGTACGCCACTCGCGTCCCCGATAACCCAAATTAGGCTGACCATAGCAACGGGTAGACCACTGGGGTTGACCTGGGGTTTTTCTTTTGCGTAATAAATCCGAATTATCTTTACATCCGACTTATTATTGACTATACCCACTTGATCGCCCCATCCCCCGTAGCTTTCGTGATCGGTTTGAGGTTAATAAGCGCGTACGCGACTGCCCTGATCACCGCCTAACCGGTAGCCACCGTCGCCGCCACTACGCCACCAGTCCAGGGAAGGAGCTAACATCCCCCGAACCACTAGCCGCCAACCGGGGCGCCCCTGCGACGCCCCCCCTCGATGTACCCGCTTCTGGGATTGAGAGCCGCCATGCCCCGAAACATCTAGCTAGCCGAACGAGCCGCAGCCGTGGGTGGCCTTGGAAACCACCCGTTGCCCCCCTTCTTTCCCCTTCGCTCGATACGATTTAGATTCGACCGAATCGTCGCCTAGGACTTCGCGCCCCCGCTTCACTCTTCACAGGTGATAGCCGGCCACGCGCGCAAAGAACCCCGACGGCGACGAGGAGAGAGGCAACGGGGAACCACCCGACCTCACAGCGACCAGCAGGACCACCGAGCCGAGAACCAGCCAACGTTGCAGCGCTACCACGCTCTCCTAACGCGAGAGCACGGTAGCTGGCGCCCAACTTAAACAAAACAAAGCTGCACACGTTGTCTCGGCTGACTGCGCGCCGCTGGCGACAGTGCGAGACCGGAGAAATACCGTCTGTTATTTTTCCCCTCCCTCTCCCCCGTCGCATGTTGGTTAAAAAGAAAATTTAAAAAAAAATTTCTACATTTACTGAAATGCTATTACCAAATCCTGATGCACGCCTTCGGTCAAAGGTTCAACTTTAACTATAAGTGACTTTGTTTGATTGATTGTTTTCTTATCTTCCTGACGAGTGTATTCAACAGTTGCTCGGAACATGTCACTGGTATAATTATCACCTTTGTTCGTCGCCGGCTTAATAAAAACACTGAGCACTTTCAAATTGGCATCTCGTTCCGATTCTCGAAGTATTTTTTCGGTGAACGGTATGTCCACAATTTTATTAATTTTTTTGAACATGTCCTCGCCCATTTCTAAAAGTCGACCGTACAATCGTACGTCATTGCATAATAAACATCAGACATATAAATGTTAAAGTGTGATTGTATACCTTGAGGTCCTTTGGCCATTGTGAATTTTCAAGTGACACGCGTGAACGATACTGAAATGCAATCTGCCACGATTGCGAAACATTTTGCTGGCTTTTATCAAGCGATGCAACAAGCAAGTATATCATCAGAGAGTAAATGAAAAATTACAGCGTTCATACAGTTGCTATCAACGAATTTGCTACGTCACCACTCATTCCGTCTTTGTAATATTGTGCTTTTTATTTTTTTAACAATCCACTCGTTTCGCTCCGTGTCGATTCCGTGAAAATCTTAATTAACAAGTAACGAACGCATCGACCGCCTGTCTTTCAGGCATGCAATTTTATTTCATCGACGTTCTTTCATTATAACGTACACAATATATTATCTGAAAAATCATTTCGACGTCACAAATTAAAAACAAAACTCGCTCATTCAACGCTCAGTTTATTTTATCCTGATTGTCATCGTGACAATTGTGAAGAAATGCTTGGCTGCATCATTATACTTATAAATGGCATCATTTAAGTACCTAGTTATTTCTCACGATTTATTTCCGAAGAAAAATAACAAGTAGAAAAAATGTTAAATCATCATCATCTTCCGTTCGCTCGTGTACTGGCCACATACGTAATGTAAAAGACTAAAGCAAATAGTTACTAGAACAGTAACAATTAATATATCAGATCTAACCATTTTATTTATTGATTTCTATATTATTGCGAAAATAAAATTGGAAATGAATGAAAAATAGTAAAATAATCTGAAATGAAAATTACGTAGCTGCAACTATAATTATTGTTCGACTTAATTTACTATTTGTTGTAAGTGAACTATTGACCCGTTACTTATTCTTTGGTTGAAATCATCATTATAAATATTTAAATACGATGCACCTTAAAATCCGTCATAATTTTATTATAAAATTCCTAGCAGCTCGTGCAAAACTTCATTGCAATTTGAAATGATTGCCAATCATTAGGTTTCATGAAGCGCGGTAAATGTAGTGTCAATGAACAAATGAGCTACTGTAGGTATATTGTGCACACTGCACAGGGCATAATATAAGCCCGTATTAAATTAAAAATAATTTTGATGTTAAAAAAAAAGAAAAATTGTTACAAAAATTGCTTTATAATGACAATTATTTTTTACAAATCGTTTGATTTACGTATCGATGTGCATTTGGAAGTATCATTTTACGTTCGACAAATATTTCCAATTGTGTAAAAATTAAAAATAAATAAATATATTTTTTTGCAACAATATCATAATCGTATATTTTTGAAATAAAGTCAAAAGAAAAATCAATAGCAGCAGTATTCAAAATAAAGATAATATCTTTCCTCATTCAGCATATATTTACTAAATAAACAAGTATAATGAACGTTTACAGCTGTGGATTTGTTCTTATGAATTATGAATTAATCTGCCGTACTTCTGAATAAAATTATCATTGTCATTACAGCAGGTGTATTCGTCATCAGTGTACACAAGACTAATGCTTGACTCAATTGTCATTTCTCCAAAATAAAGGCTTCCTCGCACCGACAAGTATTTTGTTTTGTTACCTTCTATGAGTATCAATTATATATTATAATATTCTAAGTAACGGAAAAACGCACGAAGAAGCTAGTCTCAATATACTTTAAAGAATCTTTAAAAAATCAAGCATTATTGGCTATGAGACATTTGAATAAGTAGCTGTCCGATAGCATATTCCAAATAAATTTGTTAGTGTATTATTAAACTCTATAACATGAAAATGATCTTATTTAGCTATTTAAAATTAGATTCAACTGACTTGTATTTGACGTAATTTTTTTCATTAATATAAGCAAAATAAAATAAAGCAATATGTTAGAAATATTATTAAACAATTTTATTTGTTAAATTATAATATTATTTATCTAACATATAATTAATGAAGTAATTACACATCATCTACATAGAAAATAAATTGTTAAATATTTATACAGCTTTGACAGAAATATAAAGAAAATCAGTAACATTTTTTACACAGTATTTATGTAGTTTGTAAATATCTATATTCATTCCCTATGTAACAGTGATACCTATTATAATAGCAACCAACACTAATATATATTTAAACATTGAATGACGAAACAGCATATAAATTTGAATTTCGAAAATGTTCTGCAGCTCTTGTTAATAATTGCAATGCTATATATAGTACATAACAAATTTAATTATATCAGTCGTTATATACACTTATACCATACTTAATTATCTCGACTCGACAACAGACGTAGTCGGCGAATGATACGATAGAAATTGTAATTATTAACGAGAGTTGCACAACGATTTTCAAAATGCAAATTTATATTCCATTTATATAAAGTCTATACCATGATGCGAAGCTGGAAAAGTGTGTCCCTTATATGTGCAGTGCGTTACAAGTAGTTTCAATACAAAATTAATATTAAAAATTATATAATTAATATTCAAACAATGACTACAGTAGATAAAATAGGTAATTACGTAAAACTAACTCTGCTATATATGTTATGATAAAAAGCACAGAACCTATAACGTTTATATAAAATATGATTTCCGATACGATTTCGTAAGAATAATTTCACACATATCAAATACGAATTTTTTCATTACTGTAATTTTATTATCGATTTGTTTACAACACGTACTCAATGGTCAGTAAATTAATCAGAAGAAACGTATTTATATCTTTGAATTTGAACGCCATATATAATTCGACAGCAAAACAGTATAATGCTTACGACTATCAGAAGAACATGTCAATGCAGTAGGTTGATGCAGTTCTACACGATAAAAAACGTAGCGTCGTCCGTACTACTTTATCTACAAACAAATATTAGGAGATAATAGTGTAGTGAATCATCATTATTGATAAAAATTACTATAGTAAAGACGTTTCAAGAGAAAGGTTTGTAAATGTAAGGAAAAAATTTACCAATTAAACACTAGATTAACAGACTTTTTGTGTGACACTAAAGGCCCTGAAAGTTATTATTTTACTTACAGAACATGTTTACCTGCATACGTTTCTTTGTCAAAGAGAAATATAAATCTAAATTGCTGCTTTTAGCATTTAACAAGCATAGATGTCCGCAATTCATTTTCAAGTACAAGAATTACACTCCTTGTCACATCCTTTTGCCAACCTTAGGAAAAAGTCTCGAAAGAACAAAAGTTTTATATCTTGGTGAAAAATTATCGTAGCTCTAAAATTCCAACGCGATTGCCTTCTGTGAGCTCATAGCTTTCGAAAAAAAAACTATTGCGGACAAAAAAAACTAGAAAATATGTTTTATTAACAATAAAATAATAATAAAAAAATCAAAATGCTTAACCCTCATGTAATTCTGTATAATTCTTGAATTTCAAAAATGTCAACAACATTCAAAAACTTATGCTTTGAACTTGAAAATACGTGGTTAAACAAGTTTACGTTAAGTTTTACCCGATTTACAAATATATTAGTAAAAAATTGATTTTTTTTTTCAAGTTTTCATGTTAAATATCTGAAAAATTAATAAAGATACAAAAAAGTTGTAAATAGAAAAAAAATGTTTTTTTACATGAAAAATATAAATTTTAAGTAAAATAAAGAATTCGAAAACAATTTTTTCTTTTCTTTTATAAATTCAAAAAATAGAAATATTCGCGTTTACATTAATAAATGTACGTATAGGTGTGTACATCAATACTTCTTATAAACACTCGTTTATATGCATTTTAAGTTTCATGCGAACATACTGTTACATGTACATTACGTAATATGTATCTGTCTGTATATAATAAAACAGATAAAGTGCTTAACCTTTACGTAATTTTCAAAATTTTATACACATATGTATTGAAATTGGATTGTTTCATCCAGTAAGCTGTCTATTTGAAGAATGCGTTTCTGATCGAGGCAATGTTAGGGTCCGGCTGTTCAGTTGATGCGTGGTGCCACCCATTGGTGCAGCAGCACAAGACGCTTCACCAAGCGGCCATGTTTATGGATTTACAGAATGTTAGAGTGCTGGTCCAATCTGGATCAAGTGGAATAGTTACAGAACGTTAGAGTGCTGGTTCAATCTGAATCAAGCGGAATACTTAGAGTCAAGAGACTACTGTCTTTTATTAGATATCTCCACGCCGACCAATGTCCAGATGGACTAGTCAACCACCTCATCGACAAAACTTTAATAACGGTCTAATGATCACACTAAGGATGTCGTCGTATCTACGACACGAATAATTGATTAGATCTACGTGCTGAACTACAATTGTGGATTCATTAACAATATATACTACGGTCCTCGTATCGATTAAACTATCGTTGCGCAATTACGGTTTTCGAGAACCGAATTGATGCTTCAACGCGAAAGATGCAGAGGGGTCGACGGAAAATACACGAAGCATGAAAAACCAACTGTAAATATTTTACTAAATAGTGGAGCATTAGTTTTTTTACTCACTATCAGATAGATACAATAAAACTGAAGGACAGCGACAAGATGAACTGTAATCACTTTGCATCATGTTATCAGGATATTTTACGTGATCGGTTGGTCACTGTTCTACGGAAAGAGAAAATGGTTAGCCTTTTCAGAACGGAGTTTTTTATGTTGAAATTAGCGTTAGCTATACAACGGAAGTAATTTATAAAATTAAAAAATCTGAAGTTAACGCTACATATACGTTATAGAATTAATTTATAAAATTGAAAAATCTGAAATTAACGTTATCTATATCAATGGAAATTATTTATAAAATTGATAAATCTGTCACGTAAAGTGCCTGACAAATTTAGTGTTTAAAATTTCAGCAGGACCATCTGGGACGGAAAGTTTCATGTTAAAAATTTTTTTTGTGCAATAAACAGTACATTCCTAAGTAATTGGATGCGCTAAATATGAAAAAATAAATAAAAAATTTTCAGAAAAGATTTCTGATGCTAAAACTCTTGGAAAAGAAATTATCTTGTAATAAGAAATATTGTCGATTGAATTACTTTTAGTAATATGCCTGCTTCCATTAATGCTAAAGTAAATTGAAAATAATGTTATTTTTAAGATTATAAATGTTTTACTTAATATACTAATGAATTGAGTAAAATTCAAATACCTTAAGATTTAGGTATTTGACTTCATTAGGGCATAGAAATAATTTATAGTCTAGGCAGTCGTATTCGAGTTGATACGTATTAGAGGGCGCTCATTGGTTGAAGAAGTCGTAAACCTACGAGGAGCTCCTGGACTGTATTGAAACTAATAGTTGGGAAACTAGCGGGAGGGATGGCACTGAGCTGTATGCAGCCGTATGGCAGCTGTGCTGCTCTCGGTATATCGGCTTAGCGCATGGGTCACATGCCAGCAGAAAGGATAGTATGCAGTTGCGTCATTACACCACGTATTTATTCATTCAGTGCCTCCTGCGCGTAACTTGAATACGGCTTCATCAAAGTTATAAAATATTTTTAAATTCTGGCAAGGTTATATGAGGGTTGAGTTTTTATATACATAGAACAATCGGTTGGTTAAAAAGTTTAGTTAGAAAGTTTAGTTTTGTATAAATAAGTGTGTATATACATTTTTTAATAAAGAATCCAAAAACAAAAATATTATTTATTATCCTCAATATATTAGTATTTGTAAATAGTTGCATTGTATGCGATCCATTTACCGACCGATTGTTCTCTGTATCTAAAAACCCTGGTACGGCCTTGCCTTTTCACTTTGCTAGCTCATACTATTCGTTGTACTATCCCGCGGTACAATCATCTTCCCTATACCGTATTAGCGATTGGCTCCTCAAAGACACATAAATAACTATTTTTGCCCAGCGAGGCCGAAATTAGTTTGTTACGGACCGAGCCGTGGTCGAAAAATGCTACTTTCGAGCTGTTAGACGAAAAAAGAGATTTCCGTTTTTCATATTGTTTGTATCAGGTAGGATGTCGACGTTGTGCAACAATATTTGAAACAAGGTGTTGTCGTAAATCAACCGATCAAATTTTTCAACGATTTAAGTTTCCAATCATGTAAGGCACGAGCTCTTTTATAATATTGTTAAGTATATGGTAGCGAATATTTTTTTTAAACATATCTCTGCGTCCTGAATTCAATAGTAAAAATTAATTCAGTGCAAACATTTTTTTCTCCACTTACCAATGCTTTTAGTTAAAAAATCAATATTTTGTTAATACGGCTACTATTATTTAAATTATTCATTTTTACTGTTAAATTAAACTTTTTCAGACGCATTGTTATAAAAAACATCTCCAAGCGTGGATTTGAAAAAATAATGAAGAAAGAAATTTTCAATTTTAAGTATATTTGAATTTTTTTGGAAAAAAGAAAAATCAAATAGTTCGAACTGCAATTAATATTATGCTGAGATTTCCATTTGCAGAGCTTTGCTTGGAAATTAGTGAATAATGACTAGTGTGCTCTGATTTAGAAAGCTCGATAAAAGTCTCGAGTTTCAAATAACACTCGATAGTCATCAAATTTACGTACAAATTATGAAATATTTGAAAACTTATAATTTCTACATGATGATATATTTGGGTGGTATTGCTGTATGTAAAAATGTAAACTTTGTTGTTTCTGTCTTTAGGGATTTCCAAGTGATATTCTTTATTAAACATACTAGCGTTATTTAGTACACTTCGCCTGCTCTTTTTTTTTGTTTTTCTATAATTTATTATATTGTTTGAAACGTACAGTAATAAGTTTACTCAACAGCAGTGATTTTCTACGGCCCTACTCTACGGCGGTTTTCTGTGGTATTCTATGTTCTTTATTTGTTTTGTTGAAAACACGTGAATATTCTTCAAATTTAATATTCTGATAAATAGTTTTCGTTTCCCACATATCTTTCACTTCACGATGTAAAATAATAAACTTTAATTTTCTCTATTCTATTGTATTAATTTTTTCTCTTATCCAATTATATTCGATTACGACACTTCATTTCACAGATGGTAATCCAATTATCGATTCATACTAATTATTCCAGTATAATTTGAAAACAATCTCTTATTTTCTGATAACGTTTTTTAAAGGCATATTTCCATTTTTGCACATTATAGTTTATATAAATTATTCGTAAATTGAATTTACTGCCAATATAAACCTTGCACTTCTATATAATAAAAATATTTCAAAGTATACGAAAATTCATAATTTCGCGCAATCTCTTAGCATTATAATCAATCACAACACCGGATGTTGATGACTCATCGTTTTTTAATATAGATGGAAGGATAAGAAATATTTATTTCCAATACTTATATTGATAATTTTATTAAAACACGTTTATAGACATATTAAATATTAAAAACACTCTTGAACCTGATAAAATTTTACTTTACATTAATTATATATATGTATATGAAATACAAATAAAATTATGTAAACAATGAAGTAAAACCCACTATAAATCAAAGTCCTTAGTTTACCACTGGTAGAACATTCAAGAATGTTAATATGAAAATAAGTTTAATCCAAAGTATATAAGTATAAAGACAAATTTCGAAAAAATCAATAAAAAAATATAAGGCAGTAATAGAATACATGTAACAATCACATTAAATCACAGTTAACGCGTATACATAAAATACAAGGAATGAACACATTACATAGAATAAATTCAATATAAAATAACAGTTCTTCAAGTTTTCTCGTAAATTTCATCTAAGACGATAATTCTTTTTTTTTGTTTCTCGTTAAGATTCTTCTAACCATTCCGACTGAATTAACACAGAGTTATAAACAATTCTATCTTCAGAGCTGCTAATCATCATTCTGAGGCAACAACTGTTGAGATATGAGATAATATTCTCAACACAATAGTAAGGCAAATTGACATTTGTCAGTTCATACCAAGCCGAAATAGCTGATTTGATTAATGTCTTCCTTTCAATCTCGTAAATTTTTATTCTAATAATGCGGTAGTAAATTGGAAACGAAGATTTTAAAATACGTAGCAATTTTGTCAAATGAGTATGATTACAATACTTCGTTTCCATGTGCAGTAAATCGTACAGGGACATGTTGTCGCCTACCGTGTACAATTTTAATTCCTTTACTTCTTCGAGGCATATTCGCTTGTATTTTTTCCAATCATTACTATTTAGATAGGGCTCATAAGCCTTATTGATTTTGAATCCAGCTGCTTTTAATTTAGTGAAATGTTTAAGGGCAAATTTTTCCAGTGGCCCTCGATTTATTATCTGATCAATTGAAAGTTGCTGAAAAGAATCCGTGTTGATTACATCAACACCGAATTCCATGAGACACTTTAATCCTTCGATATTCGCACATTTTAAGGCGTAATCCAAAGGTAGTTGACCAATATTATCTTTTGCGTAGATATGCGCACCTGACTTCAAAAGTATTTCCATCGCATCGTACTGATGTAAAACTCGCAACGACGCTAAATGCAAAGGTTTCATACCAGACGGATCTTTGACATTCACATCAGCACCATGTTGGATTAGAAATCGAATGACCGATGGATCGCACGTAGCTGCAGCTGTTAACAGATGCTTTGACAAGGCTTTCTTACTCCATTGGCGAATCTTAAAACCAAATTGAACAAGTTTCTTTACGGTCTCGACTTGACGAGTTTGCAATGCGTAATGCACTGCTGAATAGCCCTCAGCATCGACGTCATCTACATTACAATTTTGATTTATCAAATAACTCATTACTTTTATCTCCATAGGTGTATCCTTATACGGGGATTTTGCGTTTTTGCAGATGAGATGCAACAAATTTTCACCATCCTGCGTACGCACGCACAAATGTCTTTTACTAATCTTGAATATTTTTAACACGTCGATGTAACCATACTTAGCTGCTAATTGTGCTGCCGTTACACCTTGTTTGTTCTTTAAATTTATGTCTGCACCTTTAGAAAGTAGACTGCGAATTATTCGATGTTTTGTGTCAAAAAATCTACTTTTAAACGGGAAAGTACGAATAACATTAGTGGATTCATTGACGGAATCCATCTCATTTTTCATGCAACTGTCGATAAAAATGTGCAATACTGTATCTCCCTGATTATTGACTATATTGGCATGTGCAAAGTAAGGTAACATCGAGCGAATCAATGAAATTTGATTATTTTTTGCCGCAATGTGAAGAGGAGTGTCACCTCTCTCGTCGACGCTGTTTACCCACATTTTATTCTTTTTAAAATTCTTGGCGATTTCATCCATGGTAAATAAACCGATCGATCTGTTTAGCTCGAATAGTTCGTTACGATGCATTGTGGAAATACAGCGTTGTAAAATTATTTGAATGTCAACTCCATGGAGACTTAAGTAGCATTATCGTTTTTAACGTTAAGTTTTGTGATCCACTATAGTATTGTTCGCTGGTACGTACATTTAAAGTTTTCGAAACTCGACGATCTTATTTGATTTGTATTTGAATCTGTAGATCTGCGACTGAAATAAAAAGATTTTATTATTTGAAGTAGAAGAAACAAGTATCAAGAAAAAAATACTTTTTATCAGTAGAAATTTAAAAAATGAGTTTTTTCAAATGAAATAAATTTAATTTTCAAATTTTAAACTTGCACGAATAACTAAAATAAACAAATATTACTAGAAATATTTTTTAGTATCTGTTTTTTACAATAACACTTGCAATGTCTTCATTTACCAAATAAAATCATGTTCAATTAAAATGAAAATTAGTAACTCAGTAGCGTTTCATGGTAATCAAATATCTTACTTATTGACTTTGCAATTGATAATTTAATAAATCTTGCGTCGAAACTTTTTCAAAAAGTTTGGTTTTTTAATTAATGGCAGATACAATTGACATCAAAGCATATTTGAGCCCAGCTGCACGGTCAATTGGCATGTGCGTCGATGATGCTGCACAGAAGTATACAGCTAGACGTGTTGGAAGAATTCTGCAACACACACACGTGCAGAGCGGGCGGGTATGCTAATCGCCAACCGAAAGTAAGACGATTCTGCCGTTCCTTTCGCGTAACTCTCTTTCTCTTATCCACCCGATTTAATTGATCGATGCCTACACGAGTGTTTTATCTCTCTCTCTCTCTCTCTCTCTCTCTCTCTCTCTCTCTCTCTCTCTCTTTTTCTCGTGTCTTCCCTCGCCGTCACAAACATTCGTTCTGGATCGATTTATATTCACTTCAATTGAATTCATACAATACATTTACCGAAAGTAATAGCATAATTAAAAAAATAGCACTGACTTTTTCCTTTTCATTTTTTCAAATGCTAAATCATGGCGTCATCGTTTTTTTTACTAAGCGTGAACAATCAACGCTTTTCAAATGCCATTTATAATGAAAATGATAGTATTTATTTCTAAGCTTGCCAGATTCTACGAATAACATTGAACACTAAATGCTTACCTCGTTGCTCGTGCACTGATAAATCTACACCTCTTAAATGTAGCACGGCTTGCGTTTTTATCATGTTTGCGTCTGCAAGGATTTAAGTATACTCATAACTGAAACACTGTTCCAAAATCAATAGAAACATGGGGTGTGCCTGGAATGGGATGCGTCGGCAACTTGTCAATACGCTCTTCGCTCATGCTCCATCGTAAGTGCGCAACGCGCAGAATCGGATTGGAAGGGAGCCCGAACTGATGGGTATCGATCGATACTCTCAGCTTCCCTGGAAAAATCTTTTTACAAATGATAGCGACATGTTAAACTTTGTATAAGCCTGAATATCGATAAGCAATTAAATCGTTGTAGTTGAAAAAGGCATAAAATTAATTTAGTAAGCGTTTAGTTATCACACTTTTACATCATACAATAAACCAATTAATAAATGACGATTATACTGAAAGTCGAGTCCTTCGATTCACAGTCTCACCCTTTACAAATTTTTCATCATTGCTAGAAATGTTTGTAAGTCCGCAAGGCTTCTCGAATGACAGGTTCACCTGCTCTTACTTATGCAAAGAGTAAAAAGTAATAGTAAAGAGTCTGACTGATCCGTTATCAGTGAGTATTTTCACCTGTAACAAAAAACTATTTTTAAACAATTGCTGACTTAAATTTTTGTTTCAATAGGTTTTCTCTAAGGTCAACGTATTGAAAATCAGTATACTTACTACATTTCGATTTTCTAGAGCTTATTGAAATTATTCTATTTATTTTTTTACTAAAGTTTTATTTAATAATCTAATAAGAAAAGAAATACATTTAAATTTTACATCGTATTGTTATTATTTTAAGCATAATTAAGAAAAACCATAAGCATATTCTTCGTATACAATTAACAATGAATTCTATTGCTTTTGTTACATTTTTAAATGTCACAGTTATAACTAATAAGTCTCACAAATCTTGGCTGTTGAAGGCACATCATAATATATATGAAGGAAGAACAAGATGATAACAGCCACTTTATTTTATGTGTTACTTATCGTGTCAAATGTAATAATTTGTTGTTAAATTTGGAAGTATTACATACTTCGGTAAAATTAATATACCAAGTCTAAAATTTCTTCCACTCATCGGATTTTCCTGAAAACTCATGAGCACACCAAAGGAAGATATAAACTTAGTACATGACCTAACTAGTGCGGGAAAGTAGTTCCCTAGTACGGTATTTTTCAAAACAACGCGCGGAAAGCATAAATCTGAGCGAACGTTTGTTACCGAGGGTGCGGCAAAGTTATTCATTTAAAAAATTACATACAATTTTTATAATTTTCTTGTAATTCAATTGTAAAAAAGTAGCTTATTAATGTTTAGAAAGATTTATAGTTAACTTATAGTTATATAATACAGCAATGGATTTAGTAAACAATATAAAATTATACAATGATAATTTAAAATATATGGCATGAAAATTGATATATGCACATACAAAGTTTTAATATTTTTAAAGCAAACTTTGATCAATAAATTGCACAATAAATGGAAGAGGAATTTACTTCAACTACTGCTTCTCATTATCACATCGGAAGCTGCTGGAAAGAAATAAAAATAAAAGACTGCGGAGATTACCTACAGACCGCGGTGGTGATAATTTAACTTTATATAGGTATCTAAGAAGTGGAAGAAATATATGAGATAGTATCTAATGAATAAGCAAAATGAGGTTACTGGATATTTTACTTTTTAATATCATTAATTCAAGTGAAAATTTATTTTATTATTTATTTCTTTATTTAAAACCTATATATTCGTATACAGCTTAAACTATACACAAACTCATAGAGGAGAAATATTACTTATTTGTACGTACGAAGGATTAGTATGTACAATAATAACTTGTAATAATTGGAGAATTATTACAGAAATTTAACAATTGTTATAAAATTATTTACTTATGTTTAACACTCCAATTGTTTAATTTTCTTAAATTTTCATTATAGAAATATAAGTATATCTATTATAATTTTCTAATTCAATTTATGAGGTATAATAAATTTTAATTTGATTCTTATAATACAATGTCCACTATTTTTATATCAAATCTTTTCAAATCTTGGTAAATGAATACGTCTTATTCTTGTTTTACTATTCGAGTTAACATATATTTATTTTTCAACTATCATTTTCGTCTCAGGCATTTTAAAAATTTTTTTATTATTAAGAAATTATTCGTAAATATAAAAACATAATATGTCGCCAATTATTATCTTTTGACCTTCAGGAATTTTGAGCTATCGATTACTCAACGCGTGAACTAAATTACTATTGATTCCAAATAAATTACTACTAGGTTACTACTATTGATTTGGAAGTAAATTGTTGTGTTCTTTTACATAATTTCTGACTTTTTAAGGACGCTCGACTATGGCTTGTGCAGATAATAAAAATGAAATATCGAAAATTTTGGTGTTCATGTAACATATAATTACCATATAATTGGCACTTAATTATTATTCGTTCATAACTGAACAAATAATGTTAGAAATATGATAAGGATTTGTGAGATATTATTAATGTTATTGTTGTTATGTCGTCATGGGGGTCTTAAAAAAGTAACAGTATAAATTATATGAAAAAAATAATTTATTTAGGATTAATAGCAATTTATTCATACATGCGACACTATGATCGGTGACGCATAATTACCAGGTAGTAATATGCCACATATTTTTACTAGCTGTTTTGGCCAACGGTATTTTTTCGCAGTTATCGTTGAAGTACGTTGAGTGTTTTTAATAAATAAAATAAAGATGTTGTTACTTACACATAATGTATATTTCTGAGCAGAGTCAAAAGACAAGTAATATATAACCAGTTGTTATTATAATGTCATCACTAAGCCATGAAGTCAAAAACAAGATTTATGTATTGACTCATAGAGGCGTAAACTCTGTAGAATATATTATCAATAACTTTCTTTTTAGTTACAGCACGTGTTTGCTGCATTCTAATGTGAAATTTTCTATATTTGACTGGTTTTTTTTTGGACGGTTCCTTACTACAATCGGTAAAAATTGAATATAATATGTCCATTAGAATACGACGATTCTGTTATTGTGATTTTTCACGCTATTTTTACATTTTAATAATTGCTCTAATTGATAGTTAGTGTAGTTCTGCAACTTGAACATTACTTAATGAATTTTCTATTATATCTGAATTCTATGCCTATATTAAAATGTGGCAAAAAAAGAAAAAAATTATCATCTCAGTTGAATAAAAGTGCAGTGAATAAGAATTTTTGGGGAAAATTAAATTCCAACAACACATGAAACAAAGTAATTCGCGAAAAAAACTGCTAAATACGCTCTTTGCTTTATCATTTAAATGTTATTTTAATGCTCAAAGTTTCTACAATACTAGTTAATGTCATTGTGATTAATGAAAAAAATTTAGCCATTACGAGTTACTTTAGTTTCGTATATATAATTTATTATTTACTTCTATATCATATTTCATTACTAGTATATTTTATACATCCAGTGAAAGCAAATTAAGAATAAATCAAGTATCCAAAAATGATCAATCTTCCAGCCAATACTTTATTTAATTTTTATAAACTTGTGTTCCCAGTGAAGGTAATTATCAAATCACTAACAATAATTACATACTCTCATTTTTTTTATTTTTACAAACTTGTTTTCCCGGAAAAGGTAATTATGACATGACTAACATAGTATTTACGTACTCTCGGTGATGGATCGATAAAATTATGCTTTTTTTTATGTGGTAAGTTTTTTTTAATGAACAACAAACAATTATCTTGCTAGTAAAAATTAAAAAAAAAATAATCAGAGCGTAGTGTTCATTCTAAGATGGGTGTTCGGTAAAACTTTTTGAGAAAATTGTTAATTTTTGTGATTTTTCGTTAATTACACGATCGAAATTATATTTGAAAAAATGTGATTTGGTATCTATTTTCGTGAAAATCCGTACAAAAAAAATGTTACTCAAACATTTACAAAATCCCCTCAGTCTTGGTTGCAATAAATAATGTTAATTATTATCAAAAAGCTACAAAGGGATGGAAACTAGTGACTTGTTTATGCAGTTATTATGTACAAGAAAAATTTATGCATTATACGTACATAAGAAGAATGCTGTGTGACACAGTTTTCAAAAAATGCTTTCAAGATCAAACGTTCCATTATCTATCGATTGATTTTTTGGACTTCTTGAGTATACGCTCGCAGCATCAGACCAATATTATTTTACAGAACTGAAGTATTTGCTAAACGAGTTTGCTAGCGTTGGTTTTTTTAAATAAGCTATTATTTATCGGTTTGGCATCGGCGCAAACAAGTTAAATTTTATTCGTCGTTTTTTCAAACGTTAATCCTTTATATAATGCCTGTAAAAACGTTTTTCGATGACGTTACCTTGAAATTGCAATATTTATTGAATATATCGTCAAGATTAAATAACGCTGAAGCGATATTGTTCAAGGTTTTACTATATTATTTCAAAATGTGCGGAATGATGCCGATTTCTATTACCAATAGGTTTGTAAATTCTCACGGAGATCTGAAGCAATGCCTATTTTCAAAAAGCTATTTTGGTATGACATACAATTTATTACTCGCGTGTGTGATCATAGGTTACAGTTATTTTGGCTTTTCTGTGGGTCAAAATTTTATGCAAAATGACAATACGTCGTACTTCTATTTATTTTTGGTGTTTTACAGGTGTATAATAACGTGCATTTGTTTGATTTTATTGTCATTCTGCCTACTGCAAAGAAAAATGCTATTTATATGTGAAAAGATTTATAAAATCTACAATATTATTACTCTTAAAAATACGAATAACGTAGTATACTTCCCGACAAAAAACTTTCTAATTATCTTTTTTGTAAATGTATTTATTATTTTGGGATCAATAATATCTACAAACTTCTTACAGTCAGATCTTTTGTTGATATTAAACGCAATGTTGATATGTCGCTTAATACAGAATACAGTCCTGCTTCAGTACGGTATAATTGTACAAGTAATTACAAGTTTATTTAGAGTTTTGAATAAGAATTTAAAAGCTTTATCCAGCACGAACCTGAGCAATATTTTTAGCTTAACATTTGAATCTTCCTCAAGAATAAAAATGGATACTCTGGCTTATATACAGCATTCATATTTATCGCTAAGTAACTTATGTCAAAATTTATCCGACTTCTACTCCATTCCCATGATGTTCTGTTCACTATCGGTGTTCATCTCACTGATAGCGACAATGTACGACTTAACAAAACCTTTATTCATGGACGAACCGTACAGAAATTATATCGATGTTGTTATAAATTTATTTTACTTTATGCAGTCTAATCTTCCTTTACTTATATTAGTAACTTCAATTTCTGAGTTTACTAACGAGGTAAATTTCCGGTCGACGTATTCAATGAATTTTGATAAGAATTTAATATTGCTCATGTATTTTTCGTAGACGAAGAAAACGGTTAAAATTATATGCGATCTCTTGGAAACTATTGAAAATCAAGATATTAAAAGAAAGGTACGCAAAAAAAAAAAGTAAAAAATACTACCTTTAATCATAATTGATGAATGTAAAATCTTGTTTTTCAGCTGAATAACTTTTCTACATGTCTGCTGCATTCGAATAATAAATTCATGATTTTCGATTGGATATCTCTTGATGGCTCTTTGTTTATTTTGGTAAACAGTTCTTAGTCATAAAATTTAAGAAACGATTGGTTTACGATTCATATTTTGTTCTGTAAACGTCAAAATTTTTATTTCCATTACGTATATATAATTGAAACGAAACAATGACATATACTGTTCTAATAGTAGCTAATTTTATTAAATATTTACAATTTTCTCATTAGCATGCTATTCAATTTATGCCTAACTAATTTTATTATACTCGTTGCAAATTTATGTAACAATCAATCGGTTAGAATATTGGAGATCAACAACAATTTGCGTTTTTATATAACACGTTAAAACTGATGGCAATTATTGACAATTGATATATTTATATTTTTTCTTCAAAATATTTATTATCTCTGGTTAAAATAGACTTACATTAAGATAAAAATAAATGTTTTACCATTTTTTAATCAAGATTTCAGGATCAATAACGACTTATTTAGTTATCATATTCCAATTTCAAATGCAGCACCGCTCATGTTGAAATGGTTCAACGTAATATTTAGTCTATTAATGAAAATCCAATTGGCAAGGATAGTCCTAACTGATTAATAATAAAGGATATTTTTAAAGTTGTCTTAACTACGTTCAAGATATAAATGTAATACATTTTATTATAAAAAAAAATAATGAAATAAATTCAATGTGTCAATATTTTATACTATACTAAATATTAATCTGCATTCTGTCTATTTCTTCCGAAGGTCTCTTTTCTACTCAAAGAAGTATAAAAAATTTCGATATTCATAAAAAGTAATTTTGAAGCTGACAGTGTATTTATTAGTGGCTAAGAAAACCGAGGACAAAATAGCAAAACGAATAAATAGTTTACACGTTTGTTACATGTTTAATAATGATTAAAGAAAATTTTGACGAAAATATGAACAATAGCCTAATCTTACGTCGATCAAAGAAGAAATCGAGGATAAATTTTAAGAAGTAAATTCAAGAGACAATATAGCTATAATATAAATATATATAAGCTTATATGATCTACAGTATGACGAAGAAGTTAATTGGGTTATTGAATGAAGTAAAAAAAGAATTTTTGTTGTTTGAAAACTCTGAACTTATGGAAAAATAGAATACTCTGGAAGGCAACACTCATGTTGATCCAAAAGAAGAAAAAAAAATTAAGCGTTTTAAGCAAACAGATTTGCGACGCTTGATCTTAATTTAGATAGAGATCATATCAATAGAGTCGAACAAGATCACAATACTACTTTTTGCAAAATGGACTATACGGGACATTCACCGTGAGATCAGCTACGGAAAAATTAATGAAAATTCATTATTAGTTAAAATTACTGTATTTACATATGCAAAGCATGTATACAGTATTTTTGTTGCTGTATCTCTTTTTGACTTTTGAGATGTATGTATTTTTAAAATATTTGTATTATTTCTTTGTATTATGAATATGTACGAAATAAACAATCATTATACATCAGTTTCACTTAGTTTCTTCCCCTTTTTACTTAGTTTTGTGATGAATGCGAAGAATTCCAACCAAGCTTAAGACCGCAAGTTGTTTAAATAAAGTTTAAAATTACAAAATAAAGTGTTCTTTTAAGCTATGATGTTTTAAAGTTATGATTTCTTAAAATCCATCAATATTTCAAAATCAACTACCTACCGAATTTGCATATCTGTACGGATTATGCATTTTTTAAACTCAAATAAAGTATGTTAGATCGGTAAATCGATTTTAGAATTGATTTCGGGAAAAAGTTACCAATTATTAGAATTTATCCAACTAATCCTTTAAAAGTAACTTATGATCTTACATATTTTTTATTTATTCACTTTTTTATGAAAGCGGACTTAAAAAAGTCAGATTCAATAGTTTTCCTACTGCGCACAAGTCAGTAACGTTCATTGAAATTACTTCTACGTGTAAGTTTGTATATTATTTATTGTTGATTTTCAAAAATATATTATTTGTATAACCAATGCAATAAAAGAGCCTTTTTTTGAAAAACTTCTGAAATTCGATAAATCGAACAATAAAATGAATCATAAAAGTGACACAATGCATCGATAATATATTTTTGAAATAATATTTCTCTATTCATATTTTTGTAGCGCGCGGTAGGCAATTTTCACATACGTCAATAATTCATCAATTCGCGCTTGGCGGCAATTTCACTTCAATATTAATCAATAAAAAGAGTATGTACTTCGACATTCTTCAGTGCGCAGCAAACAGTCGAAGTAGTTAACTCGATTATCTAGTCCCACATTTTTAAAATGAAATCGCACACAAATCGTCGAGACATTCTGCATGACATTTCAAAAAATCGAAACTTTAATATTTGATGATCTTTACTCGCAATTGCTTTCAATAACAAGTATGTATTTGAAGCACCAAACCATAGAAACTTTATTCTTGAGATTTATAATTTATTACTTTAAAGCTCTTGGAATTGTACCATTATCATTTACACCAAGAGTTAATAGTAAGAACGTAAAATTGAAGCTACGATTGATCGATAAAAGCTACGTTGGAGTAATCTATAACGTTGTGCTGATGCTGGCAATGATCGCAGTTAATTATTTCGGCTTCTCAACGTGCGATCTATCAGCCTTCAAAACAGAAGACCGTCTTCAGTTTTATTTTAGCTTTGTGCTGTATAAGATCACGATAGCGTGCATATCGTCAATGTTATTGACATATAGCTTGCAACATAAAAATCTGATTGCTCTGTGTCACAAAATTCATAATACCTATGCGACGATCAACCAACAAGATAAAAATAAGAAATTGAAGTTTCCGTTTGCGAAGGTTCTGATTAAATCCGTAATCTACTTATCGATTCTGTTGGGATCAGGTATCCTGTCGAACGCGTCATCTTTCGAATGCCCGATGGTGTTCAACGGCGTATTAATTGGCTGTCTTATACAAAACGCAGTAATATTGCAGTACAGTACGGCTCTGATAGTGATCGATCATTTATTCAAAGTTTTGAATGAAAATTTATCAAAAATGTTCAGTTTGAGTGCAATCAACATCAGCGTGATCTTTGAATCGAAAGTCAAGAAAAGCACCTTGTCACGCTTGAAAGCGTCATACGTTTTGCTGAGTAATTTATGTCACGAGCTGTCGGATTTCTTCTCATTCCCCATGATTTTCTGCTTGTTGTCCGTATTTGGATCGCTGCTAGCTACAACGTACAACTTGACTGTGCCTCTTTTCATGAATATCTTACACGTGAATCATTGGACCTTTTACCTCAGTATTTTTTACTTTTTACAATGTGTCTTTCCTTTACTAGTACTGATGGCTTATATATTCATGCTGACGAAAGAGGTAAATTAAAGATATTTTACATAGCGATGCATTTCAATTTTATTCTTGAATATAAAAAACAAATCTATTCATTGATATTTTACAGAGTAAGAGAACTAGTAAAATAATTGATCGACATCTGGCAGTTATCCGCAATCCAGTAATCAAAAGAATGGTAACTTCCTTGCGGTGCTATTAAAAGTGAATATAAAATTGAATATCGAATATAAAATTAAAATCGACAATCATTATTTCTTTCAGCTGAATCAATTTTCTGTATGCATACTGCACACCGATGTCAAATTCACAATTTTCGACTGGTTTTCTCTGAATGGTTCTCTCTTGATTTCGGTAAATGTAACTGACAAATGAAATCTCCATGTCCTTAATTAATACTTGGTTTAACGGAAATCTTTCTGTTTCTTGGTTTAAAGATTGCAGGATCAATAACAACGTATTTGGTCGTCGCTGTTCGATATCAAGCACAACCAACGCCGTCTTGTATCCAAACATCCAAGCTTGAAGCAAAATGACTTGGAATTAAGCAAATGCACATTTTTTATGACGCGTACACATCCGTTGATTTTGAAGCATAAATGTTAATGTGATGATTACGTATTATTGTTCTTTCAAATAAACAATAACTATAAAGGTACTAGCTGATTAGTCGTGTAATTTTATAATTTCCTCGCGTATCGTCTATATGATAAATCCTTCTCACTTATTTATTTATCGTTCAAAATTATTATTTTTACTTCAAGGACCAGTGAGTGTACGTAAGGTTCGAGAAATACTTTGCTCCACTAATTTCGACTGGTATTTCGCTCAACAGTTACGGAAACGACGACTATTGAGGACGTAATAATTTGAATACATATCCACTTATAGAGGAGTCAATAATTTTCTATAATATACGAATATTTTACACTCTCAAAGGCTTTTTACACGACTGGACGACAAAATAAATATATAAGTAAATGTATAAGTAAATGGTAGCTTGTCAGCTCGCATTGCTACAGTTATATCTTTCTTTTATTGACGGGAATTCAGGAGCCAAGATCGTTAGTCTTTCAATTTGAGATGCAGTCAAGTTTTGCGCGTTATTTTAAGGAAACCACGAAGTAGCGGATGGAACAGTGCTCGATCATTTGGAAATTGTCCAAAATGTGTGTATGTGTGAGTAATCAACTTTAACTTCAATATTTAACAGAAAATTCCTTGCAGCACACGATTGTTTTGATAACCAACGATGTGCTTGCGCGCGTGTATTTTGCATCGGTAAGGTCTGTTTCAGCCGAATAAAAGTAGAATTGCAAAAATAAAGTAATGCTTGACTCAAAAATGTGTCTATTGATTATTGCAAATCGATCGGTTCTAATAGAACAGTAAATTCCCAGCAACTCTGACTATTCCATGCACGTAAGTGCGCGCAAGCCAGTGACGGTCGAACACTTTGCTCGCAGGGAAACTGAAGCCATTTCATTGGAAATATCAGCGTAACCGTAAAGCATGGAAAATAGGTTAATCAAGTTTCTGCTGTATTACGAGAAAGTGTTTGGATTGGCGCCGATTTCGCTGCTGAGCAATGGGAAATCCAAGCGGTACGCGTTCGTCGAAAGTCGATCCGGGACGCTGTACAACTTGGCATTCGTTTGCGGGATAATTTGTTTCAGCTACTTAGGCTTTCACATCGCCGACAGCCACGTCGAGAAGAAGGAGGAAATGAGATTTGACCTTTTCTTCGTGATTTACAAATGCATAATAGCGTGCGTTTGCTTGATCGTGCTGTCGTACACGGCGATGCACAAGAGGATCGCGCGCATATGCAACGGGATCAGCGAAATCGACGCGTCGGTGAGGAGCGCGCGATTCCCAGCAAGGAAGGTCTGGACGATCGTTTTGACCCAAGTGGGCTTACTGCTGGGAAATTGCGCGATGACGAATTCGATCGTGCGCCAAGATATGCTGCCGCTGTTCAACACGATGACGATATGTCGCTCGCTGCAGAACGTCCTCGTCCTGCAGTACAGCGCCATGCTACAGCTGATCGAGCATTTGTTCAGAGCGTTGAATCAAAAGTTGAGCGCAGCCGGCGCGACCGCCGCGTCCGCATCAGAAGTGAAGCGGATACGAAAATCGTACCTGTCGCTCATCGATCTCTGCGAAGAGCTGTCCGGTTTCTACGCCTTTCCTATGAGTTTCTGCATACCCTCCGCGTTCTTGATGCTCATCACGGCAATGTACGACATCACTAAGCCCATATTCATGATGGATCTAAATGACATTGATTACATCGACCTATCCGTCAGCGTCTTCTACTTTCTGCAGTGTATCTTGCCCCTGCTGATATTGACAACTACAGTCGCGTCGCTGACCAAAGAGGTGAACCACGCAATTGTTAGATCATTAATCCGATATCACTTGAAATCTATTCCAATTCTTCGTATTCTTTTGAGCAGAGTAGAAAAATGGCTAGAACAGTAGATGACTGTTTGGAGATCATTCAGGATGAAAAAATCAAGGAAACGGTACGTGTAACGAAATTACTGTATACTTCAATATTTTACATGATCATCCAAGGGAAAACTCAGCACGATATTTTCTTTCAGCTCAGTCAATTCTTCAATTGCTTATTGCATACAAATGTCAAATTTACCGTATTTGATTGGTTCGCTTTGGATGGTACATTGTTGATGTCGGTAATAATCGCATTTACTTTTAAATATATTCGATCAGTAATACAGTCATCGTTACTTTTTGATTCTTATTTTTATTCCGTAAACATAATACGTAGTAATTCCATTTTATTATAAACATTATCTTTTGAAGATAAGCATTTTGTTACAAAATGTTATTACTACGGCTTTTTTAGCCCGGAAATAGTATTAATTACGTACCGATAATTTATAAAACTTTAGGTACAAATACATTCTGTTACTTTTCGTTACAGATGACTGGTTCTATTACTACTTATTTGGTGATAATATTTGAATTCCAAATGCAAGGCTATTCATCTTGCAACTGATATATCGCACTAATTGTTCTTATATAAACAAATTTGAAAAGTTGTTGACATTAAATATTTGTAATCGTAATTTTGATTGCAGTGAAGCTTACTTGAAATCCAGATATCAAGGAGAAAAGTAATTTTGATCCATCACAGGATAAATAAAAATCTAATTCAATTAATTATTCTTTTCAGTTATATCAATTTTTTGAAGATTTAATATGCATGAATTTTAAATTCAGGAGTTTCGGTTAGATTTCTCTGGATGATTGCCTGATGTAAATTACGCCGGCAAATACATTTAACATAGTACATATTTTATTTCTTGTTAATATTCTTTAATTTCATTTGTTGAAGATAATTGCAGTTTCAATCACAACCATTATTTTTAATTTAAATACAACATAGTGAATTCGGCTCGTTACTGAACTAAAACATACTTTTGCGTGTGATATTGCAATTGTAAATGTTTATTCATCATAAATATAACTACTGTATAAGAATTCTGAAAATTGTATATTTGAGGATTGATATAAACACTCGTGCAAATAAGTATACCAATACTGTTAACCAATGTGCTTTTCAAGTAAATATAAATATACATTTCGAAGCACTGACCGATCAACTGTGTCACTTGATAATATACATTCTTGTATCCCCTACGTTCAAAACATGGTATATAAATGGATTTTTATAAGACTGCCATTGAATTATAAAATTAATCTCAGATAGGTCATTGTGTTGCTTCACTTATTGCTTGATATTCCGCTCTATGCAGTTACAAAAGTTTGTGTCATTTCCTTTTTACTTTTTTGCTACAATTTTCTTATCATGCAAATGGCAAGGTATAACGACAGAATAAAAATTTTTTTCATAAAATGCAAATTAAAAAAAAAATCGATTATAATATGGCAACAGTAAGGTTCAAGGTTTGCGTATATATAGTCATACGTGATTACAGCGATGAAATATATATATATATATATATGAGCGAACCTATCAAATAAGAATTATTATACTTCACTTATTATACTTCGATTATTATTATTATATTTCATCACTTTTCTGAATGCATTTGACACTTGACATATCGTTCTTACCGCCATCTAACTTTTTATTTTTAAAAACTATCGCTCGATCGGAGTTTTTCCACAACTAACAAAAAATGTTCAATGGTACATTTCGTTCAAGAATAGGTGAATATTCAAAATGTGTAGAATCGCTAATTTATTATTTTACAGTTTTACTTGTAATCGCATCAATAACTTTAACATGATAGTTAAGAATAACGTAAAACCAAAGCAAAGAACTCATAGAACTATTGCGTTGAATCGTTGAGTATAATTATTCTGGTACGAGGGTGGGTCAATAAGTCCTTAGAATTCCAAGAGATGACGCTCAAAGCATCACAACTTATGTTGCACGGGTCTTATTGTGGTGTTGGTCATGTGTACTTGGACGTTGTTCATTATATTGTGTGTCGATCGTGTCTGTCACAAAACTAATTAACATTGATTAGTTACTTCATGGACAATACTGATATTCTCCTTGTAAAGGACAGATCTGTGCATAATATACTACGCATCTTCTAAGTGCGTATGACCAACACCACAATAAGGCCCCAAGTATCACTATTAAATAGAGTGCTATCGAAGTTTCAGTCAGATCCATCGAGTAGTACCATTTTTATCTTCGATCAAAGTGAACTTTTGTTTCTTGTTAACAATGGAAAAAAGTAAGTTCCGAGGGGTGATAAAACATTTCTATTTCAAAGGCCTTACACGAAAGAAATGAAAACTGAGTTAGATGCAGTTTATGGTGTATCTGCTCCTGTGTTTGTAACCGTTTACAATGGGGTAAATGAATTGATAGGTGGCCGTATATCGACTGCAGATGAACATCGTTCAGGCCGTCCTGTAGACGTGAGCACTCCGGAAATGATCAATAAAATCCACGACACGGCGTTGAGTGACCAAAGAATAAAATTATGTGAAATAGTTGAAGCCACAGGGGTTGGGTTTCCAAAGGAACAGTCATTTCAATTTTGCATGAGAACTTGGACATGAGAAAAATTTCGGCAAAATGGGTGCCGTGTTTGCTCCCAGTCGAGTGGTTAATATGTCAGAAACTAAAAGAAGACAAACTTAATTATTATTTTCTCTCTGCTATTTTACCTGTTAACCGAGCGGGACGTATAAATACGTCAAAAGTAAATAATATCGGGTACGGGTAGGGCATATGAATACGTCCTCGATATTTATATTGCGCCCTGGAACGGGCGGGACATATATTTTACTACTACTATGGTAATACGTCATTCATACACGTCTTAGTGGAAAAGGACGCGCCCGTTATATGTTGCGTAATTAGAAAGGGATTTCCCCGGTTAACAGGTTAATACTACTTACTGGCTTACTGTTTACAATATCGAAAGGTGGTCGTTCTATTTAAAGAAATTTATAAAGTTTACGTGATCATTATAAAATTTGTAAATAAGTTCGTATTAACATATATTTATCTTTTTAGGATGTCGTATCTTCGCATAACTTTTATTATGTAATTTAGTAATTTTTGTTATGTTATAAAAGTAACTGTATATTATAAATGGGAGCATATTTTTAATTATACAAAATGTTTTTATTATTTTTTAATAAATTGTTCATAAACATTTAGTGTTATTTATGGAGATTTATAAAGATATATTATTATCATTTGATTTGATAATAGAATATCATAAATATATATTATATCTTATGCATTTTTTGTAGATAAGATTTGTACATTATTATAATGTATAGAGTTTTAATTTATTATATTTTATATAACATTAATCTTTAGAGAATATAAAATAAAACATTAATAGAAATTCAATTTTTTTCTATTCAATAAAAACTTAAGAATAAAATATGTAATATATTATTGATGCTACTGCAATGAAACTTGCTTCTATACTTTTACACTACGTTTACGATGATATTCGCGATGAATACTTCCATAAAATAGCATCAAATAAGAAATTAAAAGTAACTGCAAAGAATATCTAAACTGTCACAATAGGATTTCAGTAGTGTTTACATCGTATGCTTTGAATATCCCTCATGCATACAATATTTAACTTAGTAAATAAATATAATAATTGTAAATATAGAACGAATTTTCAAGGATATTTCAAGTACAGAACTTCCTTAATTGTAAATGTTTTAACAAATTATACTTGATACATTAAATTGTAAATTATAATTTCCACCGAATAATCGAAAATTGAAACGAAAAAACCCTTTGAAATCATGCTTAACACGATTTTACAAATCTATGATAAACACGGCCTCTCATTGTATTGATTCGATTTACCGATCGCTTAGAATTCCAATTTTGCAATCTCTTAACAGCCTTATCATATTTGTATCTCAAAAAATGAGCAAAAACCGGATACTCTTTTTTCAATCCTTTTTTTGCCATAATCTTCTTAACAACTGAGTCATGAGCGAAAATTGTAATATTTTTCCCATCTGCCACTAGGAGATCATATAATGTGAACTTATAATGATAAAGCCTGACATTTCGTAATTTGTGAATTTCGTCTAGTCTTTGTTCTTCTTTTTTTGCAATCTTCTTGTTTTTAAAATCTTTGTGTTCCGGATCCCAAATATCTTTCTCTCTAAGCACCACATCACAAAAGGCTTCATTCTTAGGATTGACTTTATATCCTAAAACTTTGAGTTTTTGGACGTGGTGATACAGCGTCATGTAATCTTCTGCATTACCGCAGTAACTCTCAAAGTATGTCATTTCAAGTGGAGTTTGTCCATCCATGTTCACAAAATTAATATTAGCTCCAACTTCCAAAAGTTTTTTTACACATTGAGAACCATCAACAAGCTTCCAACATGCTATGTGTAATGCTGTATAGTCGAATTGATCTCTGGCATTTACATTTACTCCAAGTTTTACAAGTTTTTTCACAAAAGCTAACAAATTCATTCTACTTTCATTCGAAAGTCCATTCTGACGATCCATATAACTCTCCACCAGCAGATGCAAAGTAGTTTTGTGACCTTTGGTTCGAATCAAATGTGCTTTCGCTCCATTCTTCAGAAGTGAATCGATTATATCAGCATGACCTACTTCGCATGCCAAGTGTAGGGGTGATCCAGATTCATCATAATCAATGGAGTTTACATTGGCACCACGTTTGATTAGCAATTGGACGGTCTCATAACATTGATAATATACAGCAAAGTGAAGAGGTGTATAATTAGAAAACTTGTGAGGGTTTCTCTGTATGGTTTCGTTTACATTCTGGCCACTGTCCAAGAGTTTTTTTACCAGTCTGAAAATTGTTTAAACAAGTAAAAATTTTACTTCTTGTGAAATCTAATTCTTAGATCTCTATGAAAATTGGTTTCTGTTTGGTTAAAATGTTATTTAAAAAACATAATTATTACTTACTCAACATCATTTCTAGTACAAGCTATATGCAGATAAGACAATCCATAATCATCCTCAATGTTTTTCTCCTTATTCTCAAGTGCAGCATACAAATAATCAACAATTGTGTACCTCTCTTTGTTGTAAATATCGTAATACATTGCTAAATGCAGGGGAGTCATATCTTTGTTATTTTGATTCTCAACTATAGCTCCATGTTCCAGTAGGAGTTTCACATTTTCTATACAGTTACTTTCAACTGCAAAGTGCAAAGGAGAATATAGTCCACAGAACTCTGCATTTCTACTAATTGGTGTGTTAACATCAGCTCCATTTTCAATAAACTTTAACACAGTTTTAGGATCATTTCTCATACAGGCAAAATGAAAATAAGATGGATAAGTAAAATAACCAAAGTTCAAGAAATGATTTTCTGCAGACAGAATATGAACTATTATGGATAAGTTCTTGACCTTTTGATAAGCCGATTGAAATGCTGCTTCATGATTGCCATTTACTTTGGATTCTCTCATAGCTTTTTGAAGTATTCGTGCTGATTGTAGAGATCCAAACTCCATTGCAAAGTGTAAAGCTGTGAAACCTCCCCACTGTGGTGAATCTGCACTGATAGAATCTTGAATATTACATCCAGCTTGTAGGAAATTTTTAATTAGATTAGCATTTTGTCTTGTGCTTGCAATATGTAGATGTGTCAGGCCTTGACTGTTTTTGGGATTGATATAATTTGAGTTTTTTTCAATAAAAGATAAAATCAAATCAACTATTTTATCTTGTTGTTTCATAAAAGCCAGATGTAGAGGAGTATCACCTTCATAATTTACAGCAACAATAGAAGCTTCTCTGCTCAGAAGACAGGTAACCAATTCAATATCACCAAATAATACAGCGTTGTGCATTGGTGTATTACTTGGTATAGCTAGAGTACTAGTTAAATTTACTCTACAATTATTTTTTAAGAGAAGCATGGCTACACTTTTTCGTTTGCACTCTAGAGCTTTGTTCAAAGCTATGTAATCCAACCATTCAATTTCCATAATCCTTCTACTTGTACCACTTATAGCAGTTTCATTGACAAATGAATTATATTTATTTCTTACAATAATTGGAAAATTCATTCGTTTGTCATTGATCTGAAACAGTATGTAATTAGTTTCTTGAGAATATTGGATAAACTATAATATCTATTTCAAGATATGTTTGCTAACTCTTCTATTATACTTAAAGAAATTTTGTGATACTTAATAATTGAAATGATATCGATTTCAAGTAAAGTAATAATTTACTCAATTTCCATCTTTATTGAACTAATAATTTCATCCTCATAAAAATAATGTCTGGATTCTTTTGTTCTCGTTTAGAATCTTCTGTATTCTTTCTTCTTGCCCCACTACTTTCCGCTAGGTGAACAGAACCAGCTGATTTATTTTCGATATCCGCGCGCTCATATTTTACGAGCGCTGATATTTGAAAATTATTGCTTACATTTAAAGACATTTTGACAAAACAAAATTATAATAAAAAATATTTAAAAAATTATCTATTACTACTGGCTTTTCAAAGCTGGAAAGCACCGAATTATTATTTTTAAATTTATATAATATCGCCAACCTCACAGACTTGCATTTATAATAATAAAAACTCTATAATTATAAATATAGAAGAGCAAAAAAACGTCGCTATTGAATGAAAAGACGTACTTTATAATTCTATAAAATAGGAATATTCAAAACGAAGGAAACAATTAAAACATCCACATTTAATATTTCTTCAATCTTATTTTTCTGTCAGAGTCCTCCCTTATTGCTCTGTATTATTATGTATCAGAAAACTTCGCCAAACTTTTTTCACTTGAGCTTAACTAGATATCCATAAATTTCATTCTCAACTCTCTGTATTCTACAATTTTGTCAACTCAGACTCAACATATATTAACAATTTTCACATATCTCCGTTATGATTGTCATAAAGAATTCTAACAGTCATATGTCTATTGAGATGTATAGTTTTGAGTTTTTCAATCTCTCAAAGTCTTTGCTGATGCATTCTGTAAAACAAATTTCCTATGTCAATATTTAAAATTTATTATATAGAGCAAAACGTCTTTGTTTTATCAATGTTTTCGTGAAGTTCTAGTAACGTTTCCAAAAATCTTGCCAAAACGTTGTAGAAACGTTTCCACAATATTTTCGTTGGCTGAAATAAATTCTTAATTATGTTTCAGAAACGTTATCTAAATGTTGCTAAGTTTTCGATTGTGAGTTCAGACAACGTAGTGGCAACGCGCAGACAACTATAGTTGTGGTGACAACGTTTCAGCAACTTTTTGATCAGAGACAGACCACTTTGTATCTTGCTGCAACATTTCTACAATATTTTTATTAGTTGCCGAATAACAGTTACGATGTTTCGAAAATAACGTTGCAGCAACATTTTCGAAACAAAGCTATTGCTCGTTGGGCAGTTACTTCGACAACTTATTACAAAACAGCGTTGTAGATATGTTACTTGTACATCATAAATTCAATGACAGAGTTACTTCATCTATTTGCCCTACTTATCAAGAGATAATAAGCTAACAAAATGACCGTTTATTATTATTTTTTTAATAATCAGTTATTTAAAAAATTAATGATTCAGTCGATATTATGCGAAAAATATTTTTTCATGAGCGGCGCATCAATTATTATTAAAATAAAAATGAAATATTAAAGTGCTCGAACGAGCCCCCAATTTCATTTCATTCATCAAATTTAACTGGAAATAATGAATTATTAATAAGTTTTCTGCTTATAACACTAATCGTATTTTGAAAGCTTACGGAATGATAATTTTTAACAAGTTGGTAGCGTATAAGATTTGAAGTTGAACATTTTATATTTTAAAACTAATTAAAGCCCAAATTTTAATTTTATCTGCAATATGACCACACATTCGGGGAAATGTTATATATGATATATGATATATGATATATATCATATATCATGTATAACAGGGACTGGATGCCGATCGCTACGTCAATGTCAGCCAATCGGCTGACGAATAAAATGTCTCAATATGGCTGCCATATTAAATGTTTGGATTCGGAATTGATGTTTGGAATGCTTGAAAGTTTTGCGTAAGTAGTTTTGTCTATTGAGAAATCATGAATATATACAAATACATTGAATCTTGCACAAAAATTAATACAGATCGAGAAGTAGATAACATAGAATGGCTTTCTGTACCTAAAATTGAAAATATAAATCTTTTAAATAAGAGAAATTTACCATATTGTTTGGTGAGTATGCTATTTTTTCATTTTCATTTTAGATTTTAAATAATTAATTTACTAAATTTTTGATACACAATAATTTTATGTCAGGAGTCAGAAAAAGGCTTCTATGTCGAGTCACACATGGATAATCTCGATGAAATAGAGGTAATTTTAATACATTAATTCATATGGTATACTTTGATATTACTATATATGTTTGAATAGCACCAAAGTGACGGAGACATAAGTGAACAGAGATATCAATTTGCAGATATTAGAGCTAGCGTTCGAGAGGTTAATAATTGAAAAATAGCATTTGTAAAATTCCCATTAATCAATTATAACATTGGTTTTAGGTTGGACTAGGATGGAACATATTCAATATCATTGAAAAACGTTACAGAGAATCTCAAGAAAGATATACAGAAAAAAGTTTAGATAAAAGTAGCAGTGAATCCGATTGTTCATATACCACTGCATACTCTGTTTTATCGAATGATTCATATTCAACTGCAATAGATGAAATTGAGTATCCCAGAAGAGCTAGCTCTAGTGCCGATATTAAAAGTGAAATTTTAATTGACAGTAGCATAGATAAAAGACGATACAGAAAAAATGCTTTAATGACAAGATTATTGCAGAGTGCTGAAAATAATTTATCATATTGTGATCAAATACTTATTGATTATTCAACTGATAAATGTGATACATCTAATTTAATCCATGATGTTTGCAACAAAAAAACGGAGAACAAAAATATTAGTTATGAGAAATTAGAAAGTAATAACAGTGATAAAAACACGTATGAAGATAATGTACTCAGATTATTTCAGAGCAAAGAAGATGAAGATGTGTATGTTCATCCTTTGAGAGAACAAATTCAAAACGATCATGTATGGCAAGAGTTTCGTTTATCCAGAAAAGGGATTGTAACTACTGAGACTGCTAGACAATATTATATGAATCTTTCTGAAGATCAATTTGCAGTTTTCGAGCAAATAGATAGTAAAAAGAAATCTAGCAATAGAAGGAAAGTTAAAAATTATATAACCACAGGTAGAGAGTAATTATGTAATTTAAGTTTCTTAAAAGTAACCTGTTGTGTTTTCAAATTAGATTGCAAAGTTATGTATTCTTGTATCTTATTAGAATATTTTTTTTATTGGGTCATTAATATTTTTATTAAATAAATTATTTTTACTGCAACTGCACTTGTAATTAAGAGAAATATTGCTGATACATATTTTTTAAACGGTTTTAGAAACAGGAAGATATGTTCTGCATTTTTATTTTATTAACCATACATCTATACTGAATTTATCAAATTTGAAAAACATATTCCATTAGCTTTCTCAATTGATAAAAAGTAGTTATTAATCAAATTAAAAATAATAATATAAATGCACAACTATAACTTTGAGGTAATTACAAATTAATGACATTAATTTATAATATTGCATTATAAATGTTAGTTAATCATACTTCATTAATAATCAGAAAAAGTAATCAAAAAAAGCTTTTATGACCAGTCAATTAAGAAGACAAGTTAAGATTCAACTTTGCCAGCTTCAAAACAAAAATTACTTCTATATAATTTCATAAATTCTATATAATTTCGTCAATTCTATTACCATTACTAATTATTTTTATTTTTAGTTTTTATTTTACTAATGATTTTCCAAAATGTGAATGGTTTTCATCACTATCGTCAGAGATTGTATTGTAATTAACAGACAAAAAATGTTATGATAAGGTAGTAGTGAATATTATCTACAATCTGTTAAAAAAAATGTATTATTTTTGTTGAAAAAATTTATTATTTCGATAGTCAAATTATCGTATCTCTTTGTATATCAATTTGTATTTGAATAAATTATTCTTATTTAAAAAAATTCTAAGTCGTCACTTTTATCACTGAAATATTTGTTTATATTTATTTAAATCTTATAAAACGTGCGACAGTACTGTAAAAATGTTACTCAGTATATTCTATGAATAGAATAATTTATCAAAGTCCATTTAAATTTCAATACTGTTTAGGAGAAACGACAGAAGCTAATCTTAGCTATATCTGTAGGACCTTAAGCGGATGTAGTATAGATTTATTTTCTCTTGTGCCTGCTATATAACGTGAACTATGTACACTATGCTATATATACACTCAAAAGGCGACTATACATAATTGAATACCAATGGATTTGTCCGATATTCTTTTCCTCAGTTCGTAATCGCCTCATAATTGGTTTAGATGTGAGGCTTAAGGTAGATGATTGACGTCTATTTAAAATAACTTCAGTTGAAAATGCACTGAAATTATGTTCTCTGTACTTGCTATTCCACAGTGAGTTGTTACTCTGTTATTTGTTACCTTAATTCAATACGCAATTATGGACTATTGGCTAAGGTAGATTGAATGTTTAAGGATTTAATTATTCTCCACTGCACAAAGGTAAATTTTCAAATAATATTTTATAAATTATCGAAATTAATTTATAAATCTAAAGTCAAATTTGAGTTCTCAGATAAATTCTCTTTTCCTTTGCAGAAAATGGATTTTCTATTAGAAGCCGTCAAGTCAGGTTTACTCAATGTTGTCAGAAAAGTGGTATCAGAAACAGGAATACCTTTCGATTCCAATTGGATAGATTATGCAGCCTTGAAACAAGCAATCGCCGACGAGCACGAAGAAATCGCGATGTATCTTCTTGACAAAAATTGCAGAGTAATAATGAAGGATGATGAACCGCACGAGACGCCACTTCATTGCGCCGTAAAACGAAGAAACACAAACATGGTAAAAGAACTGCTGGAGAAAGGGGCATCTATCGAAATTTTAAATGGTCAAGGTTATAGTCCATTGCATCTAGCATTGATTTTCAATGACGAAGTAGTAATCGACATTATCTTGAACTTCATCGTTCAAACTAGTAACTACTCGAATGTAAGGAGCAAGAACGGGTTAACTCACTTTCACGTAGCTTGTACGAGGAAAAACATAGAAGTTATCGAAGGATTTATCAAAAACGGATCAGACATTAATGAAGCTATCGACGAGAATTCGGATTATCGGCCAGGTTACACAGCCAAGCATTTTGCCGCTGAGTTTCAGTCTTTGGAAGCCTTGAAATTACTAGTGAATGCTACAAGTCGAAAATGTAGTTCAGTAAAAGATAAAAATGGGCAATCACCTGCAGATTTAGCTAGAAAAAGTTTAGAAAAGCTGTCGATTATGGTTTACCTACTGTCGGGTGAAAGTCAACCAAACGAGAACGATGATAACTCAAAAATCTCGCAATTTCACATAGCTTGTTGTCAAGATAATCCGAGATTAGTGCAGAAATTCATCGAAAATGGTGTTGCTGTAAATAATTCTGTCGCAAAAGAAACTAAGTTCTGTCCGGGCTATTCCCCATTACACTTTGCCGTTAAAAGTAATTGCAAGGAGAACGTCCAATTGCTATTGAAAGAAAATGCTAACACTCAACAGAAAGATGCAACCTCTGCAACAGCACTTCACTTAGCAATGTACGACGAAGATCCTAATGAGAAGAATACTATTGTTGATCTTATTTACAATACTATGAGTACCGAAAATAAGTTGTCGAATGTTATGGATGCTTACGGTTTGAACTACTTACATATAGCGGTCAGTAGGAACCAGTTAGATATAGTTAAAACTTTTCTAGACAGAAGAGAGAATATTGAACAGAGAATTTTCTACAATCATCAGCAGTTTGCTTATTACACACCTCTGCATTTTGCGGTACGTTACAAACATTTGGAAATGACTAAATTTCTGATTGAACGTGGTGCCGTCGTCAAAGAGATGTGCAAGGATGGATTACCACTTCAAATGGCAATTGATGCTGGCCATATGGAACTGATTGATCTTTTGTGGAATTATGAAGTGGATAGGGATTTGATTAGAAGTGTAGATGGTAAAACGATACTTCAATCGCTTGTAGAAGCGTATAAGAAGAATTACGAAAAACAAATTGAGGATGACATAAAGGATTCAATTGTCAGTGTGAGCTATCGGTTGCTAGTGTACATCAAACGACTTCTCATTCTTGGTTGCGACGTAAATCATCATGACGACGATGGCAATACGGCTTTACACATCGCCTGTAAAAATATTGAGACTGGGTCTTTTTGCATACAATTACTTTTGATTTACGGAGCAGACATCGATGCTGAAAACGACAAAGGAGATACGCCGTTCGATTGCGCTTTTCACAATCCATATTTAGAGAATGGAGAGTCGTATATGATATTGTATCACCACGTGCAAAAATTAAAGGTTATTGGGTACCCGGTGAACGCAAAGAATGATATTTGTTGTCAGAGATTACTTGACGAATGTGTCAAGTACTATCCCAATGCTAAATGCTTTAAATTACCTGAACTTGATACCAAGAAACAACAAAGACGCGATGAAGTAACGAAAATGAAAAATTTTAAGCTTACGAAATATGTTTCGCTTCATGACTTTGTGCGACTTGGTATAATTGATGCGGTTACATATATTACAAATGATGATTTGTTAGATCTTATTAAAAATAATAATGAATTGGACGAGAAGTTTCCGCAATATGGTTACTTGATTCGATTACATTATTCAAAATGTATTAAGTATTGGGACATGTTTTTAAATCATGATCGATACGCAAAACGAAAACGATATGAATGAAATTGTTTGATCAACAATTTATTGATGTTTTGTTTTGATTCAATTTAATGTATTATTGTTTTTACTGTGACTGTAGAACAATTGCATTTAATGTGTAATTTAAATTGTGAGAAATAGCAATAATATTGATTGAATTTTGATTATAAGTATACTTATAATCTATATTCAAAAACATTTGTTTAAAATATATAATATTAATAGGTCTGCTAATTGTAATTAAAAATTGTAAAGGTCTTATTGACAAATTTTAGTTTTATGCTTAACCAATTCTTAGCATTTGTGTGACGGTATATTATAGTATTGTATATATATATTATATATGAAAAAATATAAAATATGTAAAGATGATATATAAAAAAATGTTAAGCGAGGAATTCGTTTTTCACCATTATAAGAATGTATTGCCAAATTTCCAAATCACAGGCTAACTTTCAACTAAGTATGCTTGAATTAGTATGCTTACAGTCAAAGCTACATTTTGTAAAGTTATTAGCTCAAAGTTGGACGCACGAATGGCTAGTACACTTACTGGAATTAGATAGTAATGTACTAGAATCTGTAATTTTACAAGTATCAGATAAGTACTGTCACACTATATAATTTTATTAAATATTAAGTAATAATGAATTCTCGATAATTCTGTATCAAACGATAAAATTATAGTAGAAGCGTCCGTTGTTTCGTAGAATTTGCGTTGTTCTTTAAAATTATCCTAAGAAATTAATCTAAAAATAAAGTCCATAGGAGTTGAAAAGAATAGACATTACGTGTTGTGTTATAAGTTCAAATATTTAAGTTTCTCGACAAGTGGAATTGGTTAACAAAGTTCGAAGTCTGCAACGTTTCCAGTCACGTATATATAGGAATTTGCAATAAGCAAGTGAGAATAGAAAGAAAAAAGGGAGACAAGCGCTTGGAAATACAGTAAGTGGTAGTACTGATAAGTTATTGCATGGCATACTGGAGGGGGTACAGAGAACCTGTCACCTGTATGGTTTCTTCACGCAGTCTTCATCTTCCACAGCGATCGGATACGCAGATTGAGGGAGCTGCGTCGCATCGGCTTACATTCGATTGTCGCGATTTTATGAAAGCATTTTATCGTCGATAGAGAACGCGCGACTCACGGACGGGGTGGACATTCGTAAAGTACGGCTATCGTTAACTCTTAAGTAGGTATAGTTGTCAGGCGTTGCAGCGCGACTCGCAATAAGTAAGTACACGCTGACGTTTTCATATTGATATAACAAACAGAAGAGTCTTTACCCATTATCATGGCATTCTCGCCAGTAGTAGTCGAAAAACAGCGAAAATCAAGCAACTCCACAGGGAATATTCTGAAATAATAGATCTGATTTCTGACTTGTGAAACGACGCGGCTTTTTCAAAATCGCGACCGTTTGATTTTTGTTATTGTCGCGTGTACCTTGCCGACACTAATCCCCTTGTTGGGATTAATGGTCACGTGATTCGACCGTCGTTTCAAATTCTGAAACGTTATGAAACTTCCAGGCAGAGAAATTGGCACTTAACGATTCTTGTCGCGTAAGATTTATCTCATTGGAATTACGCAGGCCTAATATATTGTATACGTGTATGTGACTGCCGAGTAAATAAAGATTTTCATCTAGCTGTGAATGAAACCGTTTATAAATACTCGCCTTGTCATTTCCATTCAATCCCAATTATGCGATTACATTTTTTTTCAGGAATGAAAACTGCAACTAGTTAGAGTACGTCGAAACAGTGAAATTGAAAAATGAGAAACCGTGAATCTACGGACAGTGACGGTTCTCCAGCCCCTAAAAGACCAAAATGCATGATTACCTATTCGCTAATAGAATTATTCGTCAACTACATATTATCACCAGAGCCAATTTCACCGGAAGAAATTCAGGAATGCATAATGTATTTAACACTCGAATCGACCGATTATGTGATTGCGACTGAGATTCAGTCGAAGGTGCGGAAAAAATTAAAATATATATTGCCTGTTATACTAGAGTGCAACGGAAATATCAATTATGCAGACATTTATGGGCAAACGATTCTTCATGTTTTCGTTATGCATTACTCTGATAAAAGCATTTTTACAAAGATTGAGCGATCCAAAGATCAAGAAATCGTGGAGACCCTGATAAAAAAAGGAGCCTCGGTGAACGTCCTCGATCTGACCGAGAACACTCCAATTCATTACGCAGCGATAAATCATAGAGCCGATTTGATTCTGTTGATGCTCGGAAGGTTCACCAACGTCAATGCTGTGAACGGCTCCGGATACTTGGTTCTGCACGAGCTCGTAGACGATTACATTGAGGATCCCGATGATCGCATCGTCGAGGCTGTTCGTATTTTGGTGTCCAAAGGTGCCGATTATCGAACGGTCAAAAACAAAATGGACATCGCGCCTTTGGATATGGCCATTAAGAACGGCCTGATCAATATCATCGAGGCTTTTCAAATGAGAGATGCCGATCCCAGGTTGCTGCTCGAAATCTGCAAGAACGCGGACAGCTGGTCGCATTATCCGGACGAGATGCAGCACCTCGACCGCGTGCTGGATCTGGAACGGGGCGTGAACGAGTACAGCGACAAGTTCATGACGCCGCTGCACTACGCTGCGCAATACGGTCGCAAGAACGAAGTCGTGCTGTTCGTGAACGCGGGCGCGAACATCGAGGCCGCGACCTGCGACGGCGTGACGGCGCTGCACCTGGCGGTGATGAGAGGCCAGGTAGAGATAGCGCGATACCTGATCGAGCGCGGCGCCAACCTACGGGCGAGGGACCACGTCTTCGACTTCGGACTGCTGCACCTGGCCGCGCTGCAGAGCAACCGAGACGTCGTCGGCCTGCTGATGGACAACGGCCTGAGCGTGCACGACGGCGGCCGCGACGGCTTCACCCCACTGCACGTCGCCGCGGCGATCGGCAACGAGTGGGCGATGAGGTGCTTCATCGGCCACGGCGCGGACACCAGGTGTCGCACGAACGTGAGGCGGTCGACGGTGCTGCACCTGGTTGCGGCGGGCTGCTTCGAAAATCTGGAGCAGCTGTTCTCCGGCGAGTACAGCGTCGTTTACGAGACCTACCTCCTCGGCAAAGCCACCTTCCAGTCGAGGCGCGACGAGTCCATCAATCTGATACTCCAGATCGGCGCCAATCCCAACGCCAGGGACTCCCTGATGAAGACACCGCTGCACTACGCGGCGGACAATCACGAGCGCCATCCCGACGCCCCGAGGATCCTGCTGACCCTGCTAAGGTACGGTGCTCGCGTCGACGTACGAGGCATCGACGAGAGATCGCCCATCGTCAGCTGCCAGCGGGTGCCCGACTCCTGCGGCATGAAGGAGCTGATCAGGTACGGGGCGGACATCGACGACATCGACTTTTTCACTAGAAACGATTATCTGGAGAAGCAGCGCTACAACCTGCTGCACCACCTCAAGCTTATGCACGCGGCGGATTTGCCGATGAAGCCCGACCACAGCAGGCATTACAACCACTGCCTTCGTGAAATGGACCGCATGCTGGCGGTGCGCCGCGCGAACCCCATCTACGAGCAGCTGTTTCGCAATCGAAACGACTTCTATAACAGCATTACCCTCGAAGTGGCGGCGCTCAAGGCTCATCGACTGATGAACGAAGACACGACGCTCTATGACTTTCTCCACATGAACATTAAACATCGTAGCTATTATGTCAACTACGTTCTGTCTCTTGATCTGGAGATTCGGTATCCGATTTACCAAGCGCTCATCGAAAATTTCTGTCGTCGGGCTATCAATCGACAGACCATCGTGTCTTTAGGGATAGCCACTCTCAATCGACTTCTTACTTTCAATCTTCCGGTTATTTGTTCGGAGAAAATATTTCACTTTATGACCTTGCCGCAAATAACAGCTTTTATTGATCGTATGGAAGACTTCTGAAAAGCCTCTGATCGTCAATGTCGAACATCATCGTCAACATTGATTCCAACTCGGCTCATTGGATATTCACTCAGTCAGTTTTACAGTATTCCGAAAAAAAAAATGCGTTTTATCTTTTTTAATTGATACGTTGTTGTGTTAGTTCATTAAAAACAAAAATTTTACATTGTCTCATCCTCGTACGACGAAAAATTATTTAGCCTTGCATCCTTGCATCGCAGAAGGAAATGAATATATATATAATGATGGATCAAAAACTTTTGCGAGGTCTGGATTAACGCGAGGCGGAAAGAAGTTTTGATTTTCGGTAACCGTTAGTATTAAACGTTTATTTAAACTTTAACGATAGAAACAATGACATAAGAACTTTTTGCTACTTTTAATCTTAGCAAAAACACCGGTCGAATAATCGAAAGTGATTAATTTCAGCAGAGCTTTTTACTGTAGAAAATGCGCTTTAATGATACTCGTAAAGTCGTCGCATACAAAGTATACGCGGTATTGTATTGTTAATCGTTTCAGAAAATTTCAATTGTAAATAAAAATTTATTTTCATAAATTACTTTCATAAGGCTTTCAAACCCGGTGAAATCCGCTTCCAATACGTTACTGCTCCAGTTCTGCGAGTGCGCTTGTCTCTCAATTATTGAATTATCCAGCAGAACTGTGAGTAGTGGATCCGTGCAAAAGTGTGCACGACTGGCAGCCTATCGCTGTATGGGCGCTTCTGAATCACATTTCACAATCTTGTTGAAAAGACACAGCCGAGCGATTCCCGAACGCAGTTGTATGCCGTCGATAATGAAACTTATAATGATTTTACGCCACTGCTTCTGTCAGCGATAGAAGGCAAGCTGATGTTAGCGAAGCTGTTTGGCGATTTTCAGGCGAGAGATGTGGTCAGCGGTTACGAACACGCGGCCACATTCGACCGGGTCCAAGAACACGATTAGTTCGCTTTGTGGTGAATGGGACGAATTTGGAGGATCGAGGGAGCAAAAGGGTTGAGGCCAGCGGCGATCAAAGGGAAGGAGAGCGTACGGTCGTATTTTCAATTGGCTTGGAAGCCGACGTCTGTTATCGCACGCTTGGAATGCACCCAACATCGCCACATCCTAATGGATTGCCCACTCAGTGCGCATCTTGTTGCAACGTATAAGAGCTGCCAAGTCACACATCGAGGTCGTAGATATGACAATCGAAACGCAGCGTGCAATAGACGAAAGCGACATAAGGGCAACCAAGTACAGCTCTATACAGACAATTCCGAGTGTTATACTCACACGCTATTCCTTCAATGAGTGTTACACGCGCAAGTCACCTGAGCGAGCACTAAGACGAGAATGCTTCGTATTATCAAAATGCTCCAGTCTCGTCTTGGACGAACTCGGTGCTAATGAACTTGCATAATTGAGGGTTGTTCACACTTCGGAATTTCCTCACTGAAATTTATTTATTTGCTTACGTAGTGACCAATGATATTAACGTAATAATATTTTGTAAATAAAATTGATTTTAAGCATATAGTTGACTTTGACATGCTACCCCAGTCGGCAAGCCTATTCAGAAAATACTTATGATTAATTCAGAAATCAGAATAAAATGAGAATACGGACAAAGAATTTTTATATTATAACCATTAAATTCAAAAATAATTATATTTAATCACTACGAACTCTTACTGAATGCAGTCAAATATTCTTATTTAAATCATAATGAACTTTAAAAGTATTCTGAAAGTAAACACGTTATGACCGCTTCAAAATTATTTATAAAGTATTCGAGAGAATAACTAATGAATTTAAAATGAATTATATGTATTATATAATTTTTCTCCCAAGTCAATGAAAATAAAATTAATGCCAATTTAATTAAGTATTCCGATCATTTACTTGACATAAACAAGAATACTATTATCATTATATCTCGACCTTGACAAATAAAACATAAATTTTAAATGAATTTAAAATGAATTCTTTGAGAGTATACTGGAAACTGAAAATACATATTTTTCATATAAATATTCAATACACTCGGTAGGTTTGGTCAACTTCTCTAACGTCAGTCACGAATTCTATTTCAGTTCATTCGAAATCTTTTTTAAATTATTTTGAAGCAGTTATAAAATGATTGAAATTTGACTTCTCAAATAATGTCAAAAGAATTACTCAAGAAACTTTTAATGAATTCATATTCATAAACATGAATTCTTTTTTAATAAATATTTAACTATTTTTACCGACTGGGTACACTATACATCTATCGAAATAGGGGGCGCAGCGGCCGCGTAAAAATATTTTATCCCGACCCGACATATTTAGAATAGAGTAAATAAACTGGAAACTGTACAGTAGCCATTATTGTCAATAGATTCTTGTCTCTGTTTTCAGTGTCTATTCATTATTTTGTGGGTGACGAGTGGAATCTGCGAGTTGTACTGTTTACCGCTTTCGTTCATAAAACGAAGTAAATAATTTTATGAAACTTAATTGTCTTTGGAGAAATAAGGCGCAGCCATATTTCACGAATGACTCAACAATCCCATTGAAATTATACGTTGAACGCTGAACTCTGATTCGTCGTCGTAATTGTACGTAAGTACATTAAAAATTTCGAATTCTATATGGTTCAAATTGTTGTTCTTGAGGATCATTTTTTGTTGGTAAAAAAGCCCACCGTTACTTACTATATAAATTGATTTTTCAGAAATTTTTATTGTCGCTCAAATAAATAAATGAACTGCTTCCGTTTCCTTAAATTGTACTACATGTTTAAAGATGTATATCAATGAGTGAATGCGAAAAAAAGAGAAAAAGAAAGAATAACAAATATCAGTAAGTACAGTAACTAAACGTGGTAGTGTATAGCTATGTAGAGGTGAGAGGATTGTACAGTTTTCCTGCAATGAAAATTTAGTAGGCTCGAAGAACATAAGGATGTCGTAAGGTTTGCGCATCACATGCATCGTTTAAGATTATCAAGTAAGAATTAATTGTTAGTTCGATTGTGACATTTTCACTTACAGGTAGTTTGGCAATAAGTTCTACGTAATTCGTAGCAAGTGAATTTTTTTAGACGTATTCACATAACTAAAACATCAATTCTCCGTTACTGATTTGTGCAAATTAATAGCAGTTTACCACATTTATTTCAATTTTTTGACTGTATTCACAGAATGCTTTGCCATTTTTACTATTATCAAAATATCGTTACCAACCTTTGTACATTCGTCATGAAAAAAGTGAATAATATAACCTTATGCTATTTTTCGTCACGTATGTTAACATCTGGCCTTCTTCTAATTTTCTAGCTATATTATTGAAACTTGGCGCGTGTAATTAGTCTGGCATTATAAATGAGGCTTTTTCAACTTCTTTCATTGATTGATTGCGAAGAAGTCGCGAAATTTTTATAATAAGGGAAAAATCATCTTTTTTGCTAATTTTTCGAATTTTAACATCTGACATTTTCTAATGTTTAAATTTCAGTTTCCATGATAATTGGCATTTGAAGGGGATACTGTAGCTCCGTTTTGCCGACTTTTTTTTAGAACATATTTTCTCTTAAAATACGTATCATAGGACGTTCATACTACGGCTAATAATTGATTATTAGGTAATAGGAGAGAGTACACGGAAAAAAAAGTAAGCATAGAGCAAGTGCGTAATTTCGCATCCAACGGCAAGCACAGAAGCCTAGACCTCAGATAGGTAAAGGTTCGACTAATTGCTAGTCGGCACCCACTGTACTGTCGTTTGCTGCAGAACTATAGTATGGGCAGGTCACTATGCGGACGCAGGCCAACTCGAGCGCGCTAGACTTAAATTTGCTCCAGTACGGACTTGGCAAGACCCATGGCTGATACGCTTAGTATGGTCTAAAGTAGCCCGATTTTTACGATTCGAAAACGGAAATGTTTATTTTTTAAAAGTTCAAATGTTATATTGCTACAAAGTTTGATATATAAGTAAAAATAGAATTGCGTTATTTTTAATAGATTAAGAGTAGTACAGAATTGAAGAAAAATTGTAATAGAATTCAATAAACACGTTTATGTAAATTTTAGTAATTTATTAAAAGCCCCAGGAATAAAACAATAACATAGTGGAAAAATATGTTTTAAAAAAATTATTTAATGTTGTTGAGTTCAGTAATAATAAAGCAAAACTATTATTCGTGCAAAAATTAAACGCCACAGCAACAAAGATAGACGTTTGTAGAACAGGAGGCCATACTTCTATTTATTTAATAAATGAAAAGTTAATGTTGTTGGATTTTGATGATTCAAAAACAAGAATAAATATTTTTTCATATAGAGTTACTTTTTAACTACTTTGTCGATAACAACGTGTTTGTTAAAAAATTATTTATTGGAAATCTAGTAGCTTGGTATTTTTAGAGAAGAGTAAGAAGATCAAATGATAGCGGCCACTCGGCCGGGCTCCCTGCTGTGTAGGACCCGGCCAGCGGTCGGGCGTTTTTGACCTGCTCTCCAAAAAGGTCAATCAAGAAATATCGAAATAATTGACTACTTCAATGAATCATTTATTCTTAATTCAATATAAAACGTTAGCTTCTATATAAAAAAATAAACATTTCCGTTTTCGAATCGTAAAAATCGGGCTACTTTAGACCATACTAAGCGTATCAGCTATGGGTCTTGCCAAGTCCGTACTGGAGCAAATTTAAGTCTAGCGCGCTCGAGTTGGCCTGCGTCCGCATAGTGACCTGCCCATACTATAGTTCTGCAGCTAACGACAGTACAGTGGGTGCCGACTAGCAATTAGTCGAACCTTTACCTATCTGAGGTAAATTACGCACTTGCTCTATGCTTACTTTTTTTTCCGTATACGGTCGACTTGTTGACGAAATCGACAAAAATTATATTTCTAAAAGATAATTGAAACAATAATTTTATCCGAGAATAATAAGCAATTGTCAGGAAATGTTACTATAGAAATAAACAATTTCCGATGCAATTTCATGTAACTAGTTTTATTTTTTTTCATCGCATATATTTTGTAATATTGTTATGACAAAATTATGACTAGCATTCAAATCAAATTCCGATTATTAAACGATAAAATTTTAGAAATTAAAAAAACCTTAATGTCATTTAATGAGCATTCAAACTCGTTTGTAGGACTACCATACAAATAAATTCAAGATAAATAATAAGCAAAAGTAATTAAAGCTCAAAATATACAATAAAGTGGTTTTAAATTAAAATGTTTAACCCTCTGACCTCCGGCATAACGCCTTTAGACGTCATACGGTGATGCGCACATATCTATATCACTACTGTTGGATGGAAATTTCCGATGAGGTATCACATTTCTAGAAAAAAAATTTCGGCGGTCTGAAGATTAAGTAGTTTATAGTCGTTAATCTACTATACTTGTAGGTAGATTTAGTAATGACTCATACAGCTTCGTTTTTTTTTTTCTTCGAATTATATGCTTCTATCTATAGCTGAAATCACCTATAACAGCCTTATATCTCTGCGATTGAATTATTGATTTTTTTATTTTTCCAGGTATTGCAACTACAATTTGTTTAACTATACTCAGTGCATGACATCACGGAGAAATTATATATGAAAATGTCAGACAGAAAACATTATAAAAAGGGCAGAACAGCTGACAGGACATTAGAATGTCCTGAAAATAATAGTGTACTATTTTTATTTGTCCACTACGTAGCAGTAATAGACTCACATGATCATACGATACCAGAAGTCAGCGAATGTGTACGAATTCTAGAAAACAAAATCACTGATAACCTAACTCCATTTCAAAATTTCGTGATCAGTAAATTAATTTATTTGATTCCAATTGTGCTGGAATGTAACAATGATATAAATTTCAAAGATGCTTGCGGGAGAACAATCCTCCACAATTTCATTATTTACAGTTGTGACAGCCGTATTTCTTCGAATGAAGATCATCATGTATGCGAAGAAAAAATCGTCGAGGCATTGATGAAAAAAGGAGCTTCGGTTGACGTTGTTGATGCGATAGGGAACACTCCAGTCCATTACGCAGCGATTAATCGAAGAATTGATTTAGTTATTCTGATGCTCGATAATTTCACCAACGTCAATGCTTTCAACGCTGTTGGATTGCCAGTTTTGCACACGCTTCTCGAGATTTACAGAGAAGTTCCCGAGGATGTGATCGTTGACGCCGTACAAATTTTGATATCCAAGGGCGCCGAGTTCAGAGTGCTCAGAACCTTATTCCGTGCGACGCCCTTGAATCTGGCTATCACTCACGGCATGATAAAAATCTTAGAGGCTTTCGGAATCAACGACAGGAATTACCAAAACTTGCTGTTCCGACTCTGCGAACGTTCGTTCGCGTGGGTGAATGTACCATGGGAAATACAGGAGCTCGGTAACATAGTGAATCTCCGAGAAGAGGTGACGAAGGAGGACCCTAACACTTGGTGGACGCCACTGCATTACGTCTCAGAGTCTGGCCAAATAGAAGCAGTTCAATTGTTTCTGGACGCGGGTGCAAATATCAACGCTTTTAACAGCGATCATATGACGCCGCTACATTTGGCAGTGTTAGGGGGACACGTGCAGTTAACCGAGTATCTAATAGATCGCGGTGCCGATTGGCATGCAAGAGCAAGTCATTATCATTTCAGCCTCCTTCATTTGGCTATCTTGAGTGGTAGTCCATGCATGATCGCGCATTGTCTGAAAATGGGATTCCCCGCAATTATCGAAACCCCACACGGGGTGCAGCCGTTGCACGTGGCAGCGCTGTTAGGCGACCCTCGGATGATCCAGATTTTGCTCCAGTGTCGCGCCGACGTTCACTGTCGGATATATCCGGTGCGGTATACAGCGCTACATTTGATTCTGCTCCAGAACCAATTCCGTTTTTTCAAAGCATTGAGCAACTGTCCCTGCGATGCATTTGATGCTGTTTTTCACAGGCGCTTCAGAACGGCAGATCTGCAGCGCTGCATGGTAGTGCTGCTGCAAGCCGGAGCTAACGTGAACGCCAGGGATGCGAATCGGAAAACGCTCTTGCACCACGCCGTCAGGATTGACGAAAACAAAAACTTGGCGCGGACGGCCCAGCGACTTTTAATAGAGTATGGCGCTTGGCTCGACGCGCATTGCAGTATAGGGGAGATACCTATCGACTTGTATTTTATAAAGGCGCGTATGTACCCGGTGACGAGGTTTCTTGATTCTCACTGCGATAAAACAGATGTTTGTATTTATGATGTCATGGATGCTTTGTACAAAATACGCGACCATCCTTTCTTAAGGTATTATCAGCTCATGGTAGCGATGGGTTTTACATTTTCCAAGAGGCACCAAATAATGATTAATATGTCGATGAATCAACCAAACAGAGATCTATTGAAAGAACAGATTGAAATAACGAAACTAAAGTCGGTTATGCTCAATAAGAAAATTACATTATACGCATTTTTACACATGAATTCAAGGAATCGCAGTAGATACGCGAATCTGGTACTTAAGATGAATTTAAAAAAAGAGTTTCCGATTTATAAAAGTATAATAGAGAATCGCTGTCGTCAATCCATCAATAGCAGGATGATTTTAAAAGATACAAAACCTCTCTTTGATCAAATCATTCAGTATCCGTTGCCGGACAACTGCTTTGAATTAATTTTCAGCTTCCTGAATTGGGACGACGTGGCTTTCTACATTTCAAACGTATAAAGTTTTCAATTATTTTGTTTGAAACTTACAAGGCAATCCATATGCATATGAATTTTTCTATCCCTAAATAAAAATTTGTGGAAATCAGATTACGATCGTGTACAACAAATAATGTAAATGTTATTAAATATATTATATAGATACGTATAACAAAATAAATTATTATTGTACAAATTTTCCTGACTGAATAATTGATATAATAAATTTGATTTAAATACTATATTGTTTACTGCTTCTTCTATAGATATATCTAGAAAATTAGGTGATTATATCGTATGTTAAAGCCTAATTTAGTCAACGAAAATATGCAGTGTCAATGCAACATATTTTAATTAGAAAAAATACTTCTGCGCTCGATTCAGAATTATACCTGACAGATCTCAGTTTACAATTATAATTTTAATTTTAAATAAATTATATGGGTAATTAAAAAAAAATATTTTCGAAAATTCAATAAAAAGTTGCCGAAATTGACTTAAAATTATAACCGACATGAAATAGTTTGTTCTCAATCGTGTGCAGAATGAAAAATCTCAAAATATCTATATAGAAATTCGACAAGCAGTTGACTTTACATAATGCAACTTAGTAAGTCTATCTTGAATCGCTAGCTTGGAGACATACATTTTTTTCATGCGTAAACTCTACTTTCGAAGCTCCAAATTTTTGGCTGATTGATTAAACTCTTCATAATTCACAGATACCGTTTGCTTTTCTAGAATCTTTAAATTTTTACTTTGATGTATTTCCAATCAAAGCTCGCTTTAAACAGCCGGTTGATTATTTTACATTTCCAACTATTTGTTGTTTCCAAACTCTCGTCAATAAAAGTCAAAGCCAACGACGTCATAAAGAAAGAAAGGATAAAAGGTGAGGATGGTTAAATATAGATGCAGAGCGATAAACCCGAAAGGTAAACACAGGAAGAGAGGTCGCCGAAAGAGAGGAGAGCAGTGCAAAAAAAAAACAGAAGAGCAGAGAGAGGGAGACGTTGCGAAGAAGAAGGACAGGTATATGCATCATCATGTGAGCGAGAGAAAAGTAGAAAAAAATGAGAGGAAACGACCGAGTGCAGTTCGGCCGGCGCCTTCGCACGCGATGAACCGGCCGTGCGAGCAGCCATACATTTTAAAAATAGAGAATTTACGTCATCGGTACGTATTTTTGTAGAAACGCCTTATCTGCGTATCCGTGAAAAAGCGATCGATTAGTATACACCTCGATCAAACGAGTTTTAAATACTTCCGCGTGTCGCCGACGTCTTCAAGAGGTAAATTCAACTTTCGAACACCATTTTCTAGGTATGTGTGACACGCAAAAAATTAAGTCACTGACGGCTTATCAGTACGCGCTGGATTGGTCGTAAAGCAGCACTCATCACGCTGTGAGTCTTGTGTTTAATTTACGCCACGATCGTTTCAAATGTCAAGTGTGTTCAATAACTTATTCAACAAATCGTAGTAATTCAACTCAACTGATTATTGTTACGTATTGCGTGATAAATGAACTATTCTTGGTGAAATATTCTTTCGTGTAAGGTGTGTGTATTATCAGTCGTTATCAAGCGATATGAACGTCATCGGTCTTATCGATAAAATATCATTTAAAATTTACAAATTTTAAAAGTTCCCATATATCTTTTCAAGCGATAGAATATCGCCACAGTTTTTATATAAAATAATTTCAATCTACGTCTCAAATAATTGCAAAAGTATTGATTTGTAAGAACTCATCTGTCATTTGAGTAATACACATTTTTATAATTCGAAATAACAATGATGTTTTAGTGAGGGAGACATCTGTGCGATTGGCAATGGAATTCCATAGATACATCGATGTCGATTCGATATCTGAGCAACGAAAATGGAACAAAGACAACTCGTTGCTCTATTTGTTTATCGACTACTTACTAGAAAGTCACAATTACTCTTCCACTGACGTGGACAGATGCATCGATTGGCTACAATCGCAAAGCAGCGCGGGAACTGAATTTCAAATGACAGTGAAAAACAAACTGGAGCCCGTACTGAAAATGTTACTGGAAGCCGGGAACAACGTGAACTTCTCAAATCGCCTCGAAGAAACGGTTCTCCGTGTTTTTCTGTCGAAGTACGCGCAATACAGCACAAACGCGTGCAAAGATCGAGAAATGATCGAGGCTTTATTGAGAAAGGGAGCGTCGGTCGACGTCGTAGACAGCATCGGCTACACTCCGCTTCAGTACGCGACGACGATTCGCAGGCCAGATTTGCTTCGGCTAATGTTGGACCACTCCGATGATTTGAATGCTCGCAACTCGCTCGGCCACACGGTGCTGCACCTACTTGTCTACAGTTACGAGCAGCAGCCCAGCGAGCTCCACCTCGAAGTCATGCGCGAGCTGTTATCCAAGGGCGCGGACGTCAGGGCTACGAACAAAAAGGGACTGACGCCAGTGCACCTGGCAATACAGAACGGTCTTATCCAGGTGTTGCTGACTTTCGCGGCAAGCGGGATTCAAGTTGCGGATTACATAGGTGACGATTCCAATCTGCTGCTGCACCTTTGTAAACATATCGTTCACTGGACACGCAGCGTCGATGAGTTGGAGGCGTTTGACCGCCTCGTCGACCTTGGCAAAGACGTCCACAGCCGATCGAGAGTATTCTACCTCACGCCGTTGCATTTCGTCTCGCAAGTAGATCGAGCCGAGGTCGTCGAACTGCTGTTGACAGCCGGTGCGGATATCAACGCGATAAGCGTGGACGGTGTAACGCCGTTGCACTTAGCTGCTCTGCGGGGTAGTTCAACCGTAGTGGAATACCTGATGCAATGTGGCGCTGACGTTCACGCCCGAGACGAAATGAGTGGCTTTGGACTGATGCACATGGCGGTGTTGAGTGGTGATAAAGGCAAGTTGAATTTGCTGATAGAGAATAGATTTGATGTTAATGTTAAAAGTAAGCACGGACTTACACCGCTCCATTTGGCAGTGATAATGAACGATCACAAGATGTTGAAATGTCTGATCGAGCAGTATATTAATTTTCGAGGTTCGATGAGGCAGATGGGAATGTTGCGATTGAATTCGATTGACATGGATTGCACGGATTCCAAGATTCTCATCGGCGCTGATGAGAATGTAGGAGAGCTAAGTCTGGTTAGTCAGTATATAAAATCTATGAATGTATCAGCGACGCATCTGGAAACATTGAAAATGCTGTTGATGGAAGCTGGAGCTAACGTCAACGCCAAAGATTCCTCGCTGAAAAATCTATTGCATTACGCTGCACTTCAAAAAGACAGTAAGCTTGATCTTCTTTTGAGCTTTGGTGCTCACATGGATGTGAAGGACATTGATGGCAAGTCACCTTTACAGAACGTTCTCGACTCTGGCAATCTGAGAGGACTGAATGAATTATTGAGATTCGGTGCGAATTTGGATCAAATTTCAGTGCATAATTTTAACGAATGGACTGGGGATATTAAAAATCATCTATACGATTACCTGACCCAACTCGAAGTCGTTGACTTATCGATTTCAGATGTTTATAAGCAACGCCTTTTAAGTCATCTTCGACGTACGAGGATGGATCGCTATCAAGAGAAATGCGAGAAAGAAGTAACCAGGTTGAAAAGTTATTATTTAACAGGCAGTAAGATAAGCTTGCACGATTTCCTTCATATGAGTTCGAGGCGTCGATTGACTTTTGCTCAAACTGTGCTGTCTCTTAATTTAGAAGTAGAATTTCCAATTTATAGAAATATTATCGAGGCTTACTGTCGTGAAACCATGCATAGAAACATGTTAATGAAACAAGCAGGATCGGTTTTGTGTCAACTTACCGGTGTTAATTTTCCTGACATTTGTACTGATCATATTTGTTGTTATTTGGATAACAGACATTTAATAATTGTGATTGATAGTTTGGATGTGGTCGTTAATACTATATAACTTTAATATATTATTTTATATGATGAACGGGATTGAGGATTTCAAAATAATAAATTAATAATGTTTAAATGTTTGGTTAAACTCCAGCAGTATTTTATCATCTTTATATATACATTATTACACTGCATTTGAACTTTATAACACGTGGAACATATTATGTAACAGTTTTACGAAAAAAAAAAAAAAAAAAAAAAAACGATTGTAGAGAGTTAACAAGTGCTCCAAAAATCTTGTAAAAAATTTGCTACACTTATTACACGAACAACGTTACGAACACAAGTAAAAGCTCTTAGTATTCTTCCATTGCATTCGCGAACAACGTTACGAACACAAGTAAAAGCTCATTATTCTTCCATTGCATAATAAGATACGTAAACGTACCGTCGAAGTTTACGCATTTCATTAATAATTTATAAAAATGCGTCTTTTTTTAATCACATCCTATTTACACTCATAATATGACACATTTTTCAAACTTAATAGGTTGCTTACAGTAATGACAAATTTTTAATCATTAACGAAATACACTGCTTTTTAAAACTGATGGACTACGTAATAATACGTAGATATTATTTCATATAGGGGTATTTGAACAATGGATTGCACATTACAAAATAGTAATATACCTTTGTCTTATGAAGTAAACTATTGTAATAAAAAATAATCTAAGATTTAATATAAACCATAGATTTTTGTAAAATAATGGAAGTGATTGAGTCAATTTCAGTCTAAATAATTGTATATAATATAACCCACTTTCACAGCGTCATACTTACCATCTTAGTACATTTAGTTCATATTAAAATTGCTTTCTAATTGCACTTTTTCCAGTGAAATTAAGGAAATTTATTGCCACAAGCCAGCATAGTTTCCAAACAATGTCTGTACGAGTGGACCTCCGGCACAGAATAGCCGAGTTCCCGCCGAATCGTAGCAGTGAGTATAAATGGCAGGAGTATACTTGACATTTTGAACACCATCGATGTAGCCTTCATCAGGAAACTATTAAAACATTATCGAAATACATTATCACTAAATGTAATAAATTGAAGTGCGTTAAGTGAAGGAAAAGTTACAAAGAATTATGTTACAATAAACAGTTAAAATTTACCTCTATCAAAATTAATAAAAAACTTTAAAGAATTGTTAATACTTACCACAAAACCTCTTGAGGTTCTCAGCATGACTGTTCTATTAGAATTAATCGATGACTCCAAGTATTTTCCAGCCCTCAAATCATAAAACATCACCGTTCCAACGCCTGTGCCAATTGTCAGAACTGAGCCTAGGAAACTTACTGATTTTACACCAGCACCGCTGTACCTGCAGGTATTATTAAATTTTATGTTACTGATATAATATTTGAAACTTAAACTTGAGAATTAACTTACTTGGAAGGAATTTTTTTCACAGCCTGTAATGTTCTTGCGTCGAGAAGTAACGTGTGAGACTGACATCCAATCGCGTAGACTCCATCGTTTTGAATAGCTAAACAAGGATTATCGTGACGCGTAGGTAACTTTCGCGATAGCTTATGTTGAAAAGTCTCAGCAGACCAAATGTGAATGTAAGAGTTCGTCGAATAAACGGCAATCTCTCTATAACATTTATTGTATACCATTGCTCTTATTATTTCAGCTGCTTTACACCTTTTCACAGTGACTGGTTGAATCCATCTAAAGAAAAAAGAAATTTGATTATTATGAAAAAATATTTGATTGATTCTAAGAAATAAATTTACCTATAATTTAGTGTGTTTTCATTTTCGGAAGTTTTGAATAGATCTTTGTCGATTTTCCACAAAGCCATGTTTGAGTCTTTTGAACCTGTAACTATATATTCATCGTCTACCCAGCACATGTCGTAAATCCAGTTTGTATGGCCTCGTTCTCCAACGCAAATTGGATCTAACGTTGGTAATCTATAAATTGCTATCTCTCTATTATTTTGACCTACAGTCGCAAGCAAACTTCTGTAAATAAAATAAAACTAAAACATTCAATACACACTTTTTGGGTGAATATTTTACTATACCTTGAAGGATTGATCTGTATAGAATATATACCAAGTGGCTGCTCTTGATGTCTTAGATATTGTCTTCCACTGAGGCTTGGAATCCGGTGTGGTGTTCTCCTGGCTACATCATAGACAATTAATTTGTTACATTTTGTACCAAATACAATTTGGCGACTATTCAGCCATTGGGAGCAAAATATTTTATTTAAGTTATCTGTCTTAACAGGGAACTCCTTCAAGAGATCGTGACTCAATATATGGCGAGAGCCGTATTGTCGATCGAATTTTTTGAATTCCTTTGCACCAAACTCTCTCGATCGGATGTAATCGGCGAAATTGAAAGAAGTTTTTAGAAATAACGCTTCACCTCTGACGAAATCTTCATCATCGTCACTTGACTCATGATGAATAAAATCGTCTGGTTTATCATATTTTCTGTTTCTTTCTTGGATCGTCTCTTGCCTGTAAAATTAATAGAAAATATTTAATAATAAGTAACGCACTATTTGTATCAACTTATTTTACCTTCTGCCTCTTCTCAATATGAGACGAACGTGATTGGAACATGGTGGTTGCCTACCATAAATTGTTATCCGCTGAGTCTCAGCCATTTTGTCTACTTTGCGATTAAATATTAGCAATGTGTTGCTAATAGTTTAATGTCATTTGTAGAAAAATATTTTGCCAAATGACAACTGTTTCAACATGTGTAATGTGCGAGCTGAAAAGAATTTTACGTTGTTTATCTTGTTCGTGTACTTATTAAAATTTTTTCCCTGATCAACTGATTTTATGAAATAAGACTGAAATAAATTAACTATAGTTACGGTACGAAAAAATTAATGAAACTACGTTACGAAAAATCTTTTTATAAAATTCCTATAGAAAATTCATGAAATAATTTTATTCATTGTATAAATATAATGTATAAACCTTGATATTTGCTTTCTTTCTATAATACGTTTTTTAATAACTTTTATCAATTGTTAGTCTTTCAGTTTTACCCCCAGATTAATTATCAATCGTTATCAATATAATTTAGATTAATACTATAGTATCTTAAGCTTTTCGCCCTACTGAATTGTATAAATGATTGGTAATTATAATTTTCTATTCTTTATAAATAAAATGTTTTTCCCTTTCAATAATATTATCCGCAGAATGACTGTCACAAAAATATCTTTCTACGTTTGTAATAATTCATTGCTCTATCAAATATAGTATATAGCAAAAATCATCGCGCACGTGCATAAAATTCAAAAAAATGGATCAATCTTTCTGGGTATATTTATAAAAGATTCATAAATTACGTATATTTTAATTTATTTGTTGAACAGTAATGTGTATACTGTATGAAGTAATCGATATATATTGTGTCAATCAAACTTATATAGAATTAAAATATAATACAGATTTGTTAATAATTTTTCTACAAAATATCGTATTAATTATTATGAAGTAAAATATTCTGACACGCAGGTGTAATAATGGGAGCTAGACAAAGAATAAAATAACGAAAAACCAAATTTTTTATTTGTCACATCTTGGAACTCGCTCTGCGACATTACCAAGCGATGCTGTAATTCATCCCGCTCCACGCACACACTATAGTTAATGCAGCGGCGCAGGTAGTCCGTTCGTTGTCTGTATGTATACTCACTTTCTACACAAATTCAAGCTGATAAACTCTTATTTCACACGGATCCTTGAAAGTTAAAACTGTCCATTGAAATACATTGAGTAAATGACGGCAGATAATTGAAAAATTGAATAAAGAGCTAAAGAACACAACTCACTGACGAACAATTTCTTTAACGTTATAGAAGCGTTAGGGCAGAGTTCGCTCTGCGTATGATGCACGAACAGCTGGCCGCCGCTGTTCAAAACTAAGCATACACCGCACGAGTGCGAGAGAGAAGAAGCAAGGCACGAAGCGTACATCTTGCCGCGCATGCGCACATTTTAGTTGGACCAAATATAATGAATAAATGAACGATTCATTTCATTTTTCTCTGTAAAAAAATTGGTTAGCATTTACAGTTATTTGACTTATAATCCAATTTGTAATGTATTGATCAAAAAGCTATTTAACATAAAATTCTCCTAGATTAAAATCAGTTGATATTTGAAATACCGTGTGTGGTAGAGTGAAAAAGAAAATGAGAATATTCTTTAAATTAACTATTCATACATATCGAATAATTATATTTACTTTTTTAACATATTTCATCTAAACTATAATAAATATTGATAAAAGTAAGTTTTATTCCACGAAAATAACTAAATAAATAATACATAAGGCTATTGATATAAGTCTCTGACGAATGAAAAAAAATACGATACCTGCAGTCGTAAAACTTGTCAAACATCGTTATAATCGGAAGACATTGTTGCAAACTTTAATAAAAAAAAACGAAGTAGTAATTATTTTGCATAGAATATTCATAATCATTTGGAATAATCGAGTACAGGTTGGAATCTATCGTATGTTGATTGGTATCGTAATACACACAGAATATAACAAAAAAAATAACAATATGAATTTTATGAAATAAGCTAATCATGCCTACAGGTGGTGAACAAGTAAATACATTTTTATTAACTTAAAATTTTATTAGTTATTAGCTTAAAAACATGAAAGGAGAAATTTGAAATTAAAAACTTTTCATTTCTAATGTGGAACAAAATACATGTTAAGAAAAATTTAACTTATCCCTGAAATCACCGTTAACTCGTTTCACTGTGTATTAAAAAAACCAGTATAAACGGAAAAAGGACAAAAAAAAATTTGTCGAAAGTAATAGAAAAAAAATCAGACTATATTACAATGACGTAAGAATTATAACGAGGCTGCGACTTTCTGTCGACGACAATGAAGGCGAGCTGCCGTTGGATACCTTTTTTTTAAACATTAATTAGTAATAGACAACATACAATCCAGTACAACCAAGGGAGCAAACAAAATTTGCAGCAATAATAAGAGAAAAAATAGGTTATTGTTATTAAAATGAGAGCTTTGAAGCGTAAGATATGGATTGTCAAAAAAATTAGATGTAATTAAAAAAATTAGATGTAATTAAAAAAAATTGCTGAATGAAATGTTCGCAAGCAACGGGTCATTGCTGATAATTTGAAATAAAAATCAATGAATAATAACGATATACTTTTCATTTATTGATTATCAAATCCAACTGTAAAACATGTATTTTATTCATAGCTAAAACACTCGGTCCAGAACTGATCCATCGTATGATAAAGGTGCTTGGACACGTGTCTTAAGGAATGGTCCTCGTCAGGATAAGAAAGTTGATCGTAAAGAATATCAATTTCGGCAAGAGCTCTATGCAGTGCCATCGATTGCTGGAAATGCACGTTATCATCGCCAGTTCCATGTACCAGCATGTATTTTTTACCCCGGAAATTTTCCAAGTGGCTCATCACGCTGCTCGAGTTGTATCCGACAAGGTTATCGTCTACTGTTGGTAGACCCATGTAACGCTCTGTATAGATAGAATCTGTTAGGAAAAATAATCTGGATCAGTGTTTTTCAACGCCAATGTATCTAATTTGACTTGTAAATGTTGATGCAAGAGATATAGTTTGTTAAAATCTCTATAGGAACTTTTTGGACAACTTGCCGTAATAAATCCAGTTAGTGACAGGTGCAACTGATATCCCACATTTAAACACATTATGCTCGTCCCTCGTAAGAGCTCTGGCAGTTGCATATCCTCCGTAACTCCAACCCCAGATGCCAGTTCGGTTACTGTCAATCCACGAAAACTTTTCTTGCAATTTCCTGCGACAGGGAATCGAGGTGTCATTTTACCAAACCTTATTTATTGCACGACAGTAAGCATCTAAACTGACTTCGTAACAGTAATTTGATCATCAACTTCGGGACTACCCAAGTTACGATAAACCGCATACAACATAGCAGTACCCCGCGAAGCACTACCTCGGCCTTCTATAGACGTTTGAATAACTTGTTTATTGCTCGTCATGTAGTTGCCGAATCCAACAGAAAATTGATCGGTGATCATTTGACTGTTTGGCCCACCGTAACTGTAAATATCGCACATTTTCGTGACTTTCTTTTCGATTTGGAAAAAACTAACGCACAGAAAATTTCATCGCTTACACGGTCACCAGCATAGGATACTTCTTGTTTTCATTGAAATCCTCAGGTAGCGTCATTCTTACCTTCGAATTTAATCCATGCGACTCAACATATAAATTTATCACTCGAGACTTGGTCCGCTCAGCGAAGCGTCGTCTGATTTCATCGTTCCTCAACCAGCTAAACATTTTGTGCTTGGCTTCGTATACTTCGATTGTAGCTGGGTCTGGACCGGCACATGTCAGTACGTAACGCAAATGATTTGGTGAAAAACTCACCGAGCTTACAAATTGACATTCGTTTCCTGCAATTCACTCATGCAAGCATTAAACTTTGGACAGAAAACATCGAGTGACAGGCTTTCGCTGATTAAACTACAATTCCGAACCTTCAGGAGATTGATATCCACAAGAATCACATTTGGGTGGAATCAAAGAGTCCCTGTGACCGTAAAGATCAACCTCGTACGTTCGTCGCTGCCCAGGCTCACCCGGTGGACTGGCAGTAAACGAAATGCGCTTGTTACTTGTTATGGCGTTAATGTTATGTACCCAGTAGCCACCGGGACTCAGATCGGTTTCATCTTCTAGAACGCCGTTGACTAATGTGTAACGTGTTACGTGGGCGAACAAACCAAGCGACGCGTTTTCTAAAACAATTTATTCAAATGTTGTAACGATTTCCAATTTGATCAAGAATTGAAGTGCTAACCGATAGGTTGTGGTTTGATGAGAATTACGTATCCATCGTGCAAAATTGGAATTTGTTGTTGATTGAGTAGCCAACCGCCTGGTGAATGTTGTTTCAATAGATACTGTGATTCACCTTTCAAAGAGTAAGTGACGATTTGCGAAACATTCTGTACTCGGTTTGTCCAGGTTGCCACTACCGTTTCGGAATCGAGCCATCCGGCTATTTGAATTATATGCTCTCTAAAGAAATACCAGTTGATCTTAGTACATAGGCGATTCATGGGTGAACTGATGAACTTACCTTCCGACAACGTCAATTGGAGCTTTTAAATAAATGAGGGGATTCTTGGGATTCATTAAATCAACAAGACTTAGTGTAACTTTAGGATTCGATGCTCCTGCCTGCATACAAATCATCAGGTTTATATTAACTCCGATACAAAATTCATTCACCTTACCTTTGGATATCTGAATTTATATTCCGACGGATATTGATCTTCGAGAGTACCGGGTCGACCATACTTCAAAATCACCGCCTCGGGAACTTGAGTATCATTGAAAGTTACGAATACAAGGTAATCGCCATTTGGCGAGAACCACATTGCTTTATCGCTACTGTAAACTTCCTCTGTTGTTGTATCACATGTTTTGAATTAATGCCTTGTTTTTATATACATGTTTTAGTGTAATAATATCATACCTTCATAGACCCAGTCGGGAACTCCATTGTAAATGGTCTTTGGTGTGCCACTCGTGGTTATTCTACTCGTTGACGAGGTACTTTTATCATCGGTACCATTTGTAAATGATATCCGATAGTAATAAATATCATTTTTCAGTACGTAGACTAGAGAATTTCCTTTCGGTGCCCAGAAAGCCGTGAAAAGAAGTTGACCCTTGGCCAATGGAACCGTTGAACTGAAAGTTAAATGCAATTAAGTTATTGTGCAGTAGTTTCATTACTTTCAAATTGGTACTCACTTGATTCTTACGTCAAAAACACTATATACACTCAAAGAGGAGTGGCGATAAATCTGTAAAAATGAAACAAGCAGCGATCAATTTTTAGAGAATATTTGAAGTATCGAGAGTGTCTTACCTTTTCTGTGACATTGCGTAAAAGGACAAAGTTACCGTCGGGAGAAGGGTAAGATATAAGCTTGGCGATATTCTGCAAGATAAAAAAACTTAAATTGAATTATTTTCTATTTTTTTCTTTCTTTTAATTGATCGAGATCGTATAAATTGCAGCTGATAAATTAATTGGTATTTTACCTAAGCTTACTACATAAAAGTTACTCACAAAAACACTATTCGTGGCAATAACTTCTTTTGTCCGAGTGATCACGTTGAACTTAAGTAATTGATCTTCATTTCTGTAAAAAATTTCGGTGTCCGAAATCCACGTGCCATTGAATTTTTTACTAACAAAGGCTTCGGAAGTTATGTCTTCAAGTGAAAATGCTTGCCTCGCGCCTATAGTATCATTTTTCATGGGCAAGGTATATGTTGAGAGTATTGTCAGAGTAAATAACACTACTATTGCCTATAAAACGTGAGGGGTTTATATATTCTCATTCATAAACTTATCCGATTAACGTTTCACTGTGTAGATAGGAACGCAGGCAGAAAATTGCAAATCGTATATCAAGTATTTTAATATAGGTAAATCGTTTAGCTAATTATGTGATTTTTTCGTATATTATGAAAGCGAGTTTCAGCACCAGTGTTAGTAATCAGAAAGACTTATGAAAATCATGCAAGAAACGTGTATTATTTTATTTATTTATATCTTATTGTTGAAGTTTTGTATTTAATACGCGAAAAAAAAAATCTTTCTCAAACTTATAAAAAGTGTATTATAAAATATCTTTAATATAAATAACAGAAAATAAAGCTTTGAGCTTACTTGGAAGAGGATCATTTTTGGGAGTTCTTGCTCGTCTTGCTGCAATTGTTTAAGCTACCGATCGGAATTATACAAATCAGTGGATATAAACGATGTCTTGATTTCCCCCGCCACATTATTTTAGAATACAGGTCAATTGATATCGATGAGATTATGCATATTCATCGTCACTCTTTCACGTAGAGCTTAGTATACTATCTTTGCTATTCGAGTTTCATTCTTGATATTACTACTAGCTAAATCGTAGGATTTTTCCACGGATGAATATTTTTGTTGAATATAAATATAGGAATTTGATATAAAATAACTTTGCTAATAATAGAATATATTTACAAATCAGTCACACAAACATTAACGTATAAGCGAGATTTATAAAATTATGACGGCGCTGTTGCACTGTTCACAAGAACTTTACATAACGAATAAGAAATATTCGTATCAAGTAAGAGTTGCTGGTACATCCAAGCACCGACTTTTAAAGAATCTTGGTAGGTAGGATCTGTTACAAATGATACGCTTCGTGCATTATCGCCTATAATACCATCCATGGCATTCGCAATGAATCGATTGTAAGGGAAAACTTTGGTAAACACTGAGTGCGTTTTTCAATTTATATTTATTTTAGTTATTTTTACATTATGCATATTTACAACTTGAAACATAGTATATATTATACTATTTTGCTACGGTTAGTAAATTTTGTTAACGTATATTTAGTATTATATTTAGTTTTTCCCATACAATTGTATAAAACAATCGAATAGGCACATAAGCTTTCGAACGTTAAGCTAAGTAATATACGTAATGCTGTATATATATTCGACAATGTTTACTAGTCGTAGTAAAACTATATTAGTTTCATTAGTCATAGTAAAATATCATTTATATTAGGGTTTAAGTTGTAAATATAACAGACCAGATGTTGCCAATAAACTAACTATCGAAACGTCGATTAATTGAATTTTAATAAACTAACGTTTACTAGATATAACTGTTGCTTGTATGTATATATATATATATATATATATATATCATTTATATTTTAAATATTCACATTTTAAAATTATTATTAATAAAGAGGCTAGGAAGTCTAAATTAAAAAATCATGTAATACTAGTGATGCAAAGAAAAATCTTGAATACTGACCATAATGTGTAGATGACAGAATCAACGAAATAACTGTTAAAACTAAAAAAATTGAAGATGACATTGCGTCTTGGTACATAATAATTTACCAAATTAACAATTCCGAGTGTATACTAAAAACGAAATAAAAATAGTTTGGCAGGTTTTATATTACTTCAGCACGATAATTAAGTCAATTCTTTATCTGAAAATTACGAAATCTTTATCGCAACTGGACTAATATTAAAAGTAAACATTTTAATTGTTAGTTTTTCATTCATTTAAAGCTGCTGTGAATACTAATTATTCAAAAATATACTAATTTTTATAAGGATAAGATTTTCAACGTTTTTTCATCCTCAATAGCACTATATTTTGTTTTATTCATACCAGCGTTATTTAGCGCGACTCGCACGCTCCTTTTTGCTTTTCTGTTATTTATTACATTATTTAAATCATACAATAATACATTAACTTAATAGTAGTAATTTTGCCCGGCTCCAGTGCTATATTAGTGTAATACATTTCAATACCGCATGTTCTTTCGTTGCCTCCTTGAAAATACCCGTGAACATTCTTGAAATTAAATATTTTGATAATTAGTTTCCATTTTTCACGTACCTCTTACTTTACAATGTAAAATAATAAAATGTCATTTCCTGATATTTTCTTTGTATTCACTTTTCCTTTCTTCCAATCTATTTTAAGATGACACTATTAATTTTACAAATGGTAATCAAATTATCGATTCGTACTCGGCGTAATTTGAAAAGATAACATCTTATTTTCCTAAAACGATTTATTAATGGCATATTTGCATTTTTTTAGATTAATATCCATATTAATTATTCATGAATTGATTTTACTGCTGAAATGTAAATTTCACACTTCCAATTACATAATACAGCTATTTGACAGTATACAAGATTTCAAAATTTTGCACGTTATTCGCATCAACCAATCATAGCACTGGATATTGGCCACTCATCATATTTTTAAGATAGGAGGAAAAATATTGGCGGACACTTATTCGTGTTCATTTAATTGAAATAATAACGATATATAGGATTTGTCAAATCGTTTTTTTTAACGATCACGTGTTCGTGATTTTTTCCAGATCTCTTTCAAATACCACAAAATTTTCTTTACGTAGACTAGTGAAAACTAGTCAGATCAATTTTTCGCGCGTCGCATATTTGTATTTCGGTTTTTCCTAGTTACAATTCTGAATCTACAACTGTAAGCATTGTTCGATCACTCATGTAATCTACAAAGTCTATATGTTTTTAATTTTTCAAAGTTATACTTGAAAGTTATACTTGATACTTTCAATGTAGTATGATGATTATTCAAAATTCACTTCTTCTTAATCCACAATCGAGAATGAAAAATGGTCTATCGATTCTCGCAACGAAATTCTTTATTTAATTTCAACAATGAAGTCTTTCGACCATAAATATTTAGTTGACCCTCTAAGATAAAATTATTGCCCCTGCTATAAAGTGAATCTTTATACATTAGGAAATAAATTCATCATAGCCCCGACGTTATTTAGACGGTTTCTGTAGCTAGAAATAAGCCATAGCTCGCCGCGTCCATTTGAAACAGGTGCCATATACCTCGTGGCCGTTTGATGACCACGGGAAAGGTCCCTTTCGAAACAAAGCCCGAAGAAGGACCTTATTAAAATGAACGCCGAGCTGGACCTCCTCTTTCTAAGAGCTGCTTATTTACAAAAATTTACAAGCCCTCAGCCGTCTTTCGAGGCTTAAATTATAATCCAGCCGCCCGAGAAATTATATTTTTAAGGCAAACCCGAGTTCCCGTACAGTTATTGTCATCGAGAAAGCCCGAGGAGTAATGCTATTTTACAGCTATCCGAACCGACGACACTCGAACCTTCCCCCCTAGGGTTCGTGTCACTTTCTCGCTCCCTCGGCTCGTCTCGCTTCCTCTCCTTTCGGATCGGGCCCTAATTCGCTTTCGAACACTTTGCAGTACCTCCCCCACCAATGGCCGACGGACTGTCGAAGTGTACCTTCGACTGCTTCTAGCATCTAGTACACAGCTGCATGCCACGCCGGACGGTCGCTTCTCTGCCAAATACTTCGTCGACGCTTGAGCGTTCGCCGCATTGGCTTGCACGGTACTCGCGTTTGTTTGTTTTTTTCGCCTCTTATCTGATGGAATAGCTCGCTGGATCTCTGCATTGCCAGGCGCATCACGCACGACGAGTGTCGCGTAAGGTAGCTTCAAAGTAAGTGACGCTGCTGTGTTATCTTCTCTTTCACGGTAAGTGTATACACATCTATTTGTTTTGCTGTACATTGCTGATACTGTCGGAACGTTGACGACACGTGCGTGTGTGTGTACACCTTTCGCATTCCGCTGAGCTGATATGTATTTGCGATTCAAACGAAGTTTGAACGAATCCCGTTATCGAAATGAATTTTGCGTTGTCAAGACGAATTTTTTAAATTAAACAGTATGATGAATTCTTATAAAATATTGGCTCGCTGTTTCTTCCATTGTATGATACGGTTTACTACTTGTAAAGGCTTGTTTCATTTTATTTATTCTCTGACAAGATTTTTCCGCAGTGCACGCGAAAAATCAAGCATGAAAAATCCACGATGTTCGCCTATTTATGTATGATAGTGCAATTTTATAATGACACCTGTTGCTCAAATCAAAACTATCGTTTCATGCGGCTCAAATTTTTTTGTTTTTATTCTTGTACTTCGTTCGTTATATTTCTCTCTCAAATAGATATTAAAAAATTACTTTTAAAAGAGGTAATATAACAAGAAAACCTTTAAATTGCAGACAGAAAAAGTAAAAAACATCCAAAATGAATATAGGATTGGAAGAAAACGATAGTTTCGATCTCAGTGGAGATTTCAACGATGCTCGTAAGTTTACATATTCACTTAAATAGTTTCGATTATGAAAGAATACAAAATTATTGTAGTGTCGCTAATAGCAGCAGCAGAGAGAGAATATACAGACGGATCCAACGACAATAATTACAACAATCCGACTATTCAGCAAGAAATGTGTATTACATCCGAATGTTTTATCCAAGAAGGAGATCAAAATATACTGGACATTGAGCAATTGATGTCTGATCAACCGCAGATAATCAATTATCAACAACAGTTTCAAAATCAAAATAGTCAATCAAACCAACAGCAGCATGAACAACAACAGCAGCAAACTTTTGCTTATCCTCAACATTTTCAAAATCTAGCACCTCAATCATACCAAGAAGCGCCTCAAATTCACGACCAAGCAGTTCTGGCTGGCCAGTTCGTACCTCATGCTCCCCAACTTGAGCATCAAACTCCCCAACTCGTGCCACAACCTCTTCATCTTGCGCCTCAAGCTACCCAATACGCGCCTCAAGCTACCCAACTCGTGCCACAAACTCCTCATCTTGCGCCTCAAGCTACCCAATACGCGCCTCAAGCTACCCAACTCGTGCCACAAACTGCTCATCTTGCACCTCAGCCTACCCAATACGCGCCTCAAGCTACCCAACTCGTGCCACAAACCCCTCATCTTGCGCCTCAACATACCCAATTCGCGCCTCAAGCTGCCCAATTCGTGCCTCAAGCTACCCAATTCGCGCCTCAAGTTCCTCATCACACGCCTCAAGTTCCTCATCACACGCCTCACGTTTCCCAGCTCGTGCCTCAAGTAGCGGAGGTTACGTCTCAAGATCTCAACCAAGCACCTCAAATCCACAACCAGACTGCTCAAGCTGGCCGGGTTGTACCCCAAGCTTCGCTTCAAACCATGCAGGTGCGTCAGGGTGCGTCCCAACTCGAAAAACAGGCAGCTGAGACGGAGAAAACGATGGATTGCCTGCAGCAACGGTACCTGGCTCAGCGAGCTAAGAAGAAAACGGTGAAAATGACCCCGGAACAGCAACGCCTTCTAACTGCCTACCAAAATATGTACCAACGCCCGACGAAGACGCAGAACCAGCAGCAGCCACAACCCCAAGGAAACGTCGAGGCCCTGGCCCCTTCGACGTCGGCTGTCGGCGTGTCGCAGGACGCTAACTCGATGCCGCCGCCGCAACCTCAAGACAGTCCGGACACTACCGATCAGCAAATGCAGTCGGCCGAGCGAACCTCCAAGAAGCAGTCGAAGCCGTACATCGAGATTGTGGAGCAGCCGGCCCCCAGGGCATCGCGCTTTCGATACAACTGCGAGGTTCGCTCAATGGGGAGCATTCCCGGCGTTCACAGCACGCCCACCTCCAAGACCTATCCGACTATTCGCGTAAGATCGCTTTCTTTGTTTGTTTTCGCTTTTTCGTCCCCGTTCCCCGGCGCAGCGTTTAAGGTACGCGGACAAACTCAAAGCGGAGCGCTTGCTTTTACAGATCGTTGACTACAAGGGCACAGCCGTCATCGTCGTGTCTTGCGTGACCAAAGACAAGCCCTATCGCGCCCATCCGCACAATCTCGTCGGCAGAATGCTATGCAAGAACGGCGTGTGCAGGGCCATCATGTCGAACGGCCAGTCGAGCTTGGCCTTCGACAGGCTTGGGATACAATGTATCAAGAAGAAGGACGTGTACGATTCCCTCGTTATACGGGAGAAACTCAAAGTCGATCCTTTCAACAGTAAGTTCCGCCTCTTGTCTCATTTCCAGTTGATTGCTCGACAATCGGAATTATATCGATGTACTTTGCAGATGGTTTCCAGGGAAAAGAAAATCCTGGCATTTTCGATCAGAATTGCGTGAGACTCGCTTTCCAGGCTTACCTCGAGGGACCGGCGAAAGGACAATTTAAAATAGCTCTGCCACCGGTGGTTAGCGATCCGATTTACGATAAAAGTAAGTTGATATAGCCCCGTCCGTCTTTCGCCACATTCGCATTTTATTGTAAATTTCAGAAAATAGTCCAGAACTGTTGATATACAGACTCAGTCACTGTTGCGCCCCAGCGACCGGCGGACAAGATATGATAATACTTTGTGACAAAGTCACGAAGGAGGATATCCAAGTGAGATTTTACGAAGAGCGCGATGACGATCTTGTGTGGGAGGCATACGGTGATATGTGTAGATCGGGTGCAGTTCACAAACACGTAAGTGAATATTCTTCCCGTCAGCTTGCCTGAATTTTCAGTTGATCGCATGTTTTTTTATAGTTCGCCATAGTTTTCCAATCTCCGATATACAAGATAAAAGAATTCAATGAACCGAAGCGCGTCTATATCGAGCTGATTCGTCCGTCTGATGGGCTGTGTAGTAATTCCGTACCGTTCGAGTTCATTCCTGTCAATGGTAAGTTTTAAAATTAATAAATTCAAATTTATAGTATTTAATGATATCATTATAAAATTAAATAAATATAAATACTCACAACAACATACTTAAAATGATATATTGTCTTTGAACTTTAGAAATATTAATAAAATTATAATGACTTTTCATAGATCCAATAGGATTGAAGAGAAAGCGATCGCGACTTGACGACAGAATTCTGAAACATCTGGAACAGCTGCAACAAAGCGGTCGTAAGTATAATACAACTTTTTGTAGGTACTTCTAAATACACCTAAAAAATTATCAAAATAGCTGAGTATTTTACAATTAATTGTGAGCAATCAGGTGTTTTGAATTTTGATAGTTTGTAATTTAGATTGCTTTAAAAAACCGTTAAGTAAAAAAATTCACACGAACATGTAATAAATTACCACATATGTTCCAAGATTATACAATATATCCAATTTTTGTTTCTATGTAGGCGTCAATCAGTGGAATATACCGGCCGAGCCTACTATCGACGTGGTAGAAGCCCATTAACTGACTCAACAAGTTACTATATAATCTTAAAATAATACTCAATAAGACAAGTAAGAAAATTATTCTTTATCAAATTTTGTACGTCTTCGCAGCTTTTTATTGTTTAATCGATGTTCTTTCTTAGATTTAGCAATTTATTATTTTGAGCTGTGATATGATGAGAAGTTCATTCTGTCAATTAAACGACGCTTTATAATTGAAGCTGAAAAGACAGTAAGTAGAACAAGAGGGTCATGAAGATTTTTTTATTACCTTTACTTATTGTTTTATTATAATATATACTTATTTTATATGAACATCTGCAAACATCCATTGCAGTTAACGATCTTATTGTTTATCCATATATATATAATTCATAAATGTGATATTTTATATAGCAAGAAATGAATCAGTTGTTATCAATCTCAATATGCTTCATTTTATCCATATAATTAATCATTTTGCAAATCGAAGGATTTTTTTGTTTGTTTCCTGCGTTGAGCAGAATTCTGATCTTATATGTAACATATTAATAATAACCGGAAAAATTTGCAAATTAAAACCACAGATGGTACGTTGAAGCGAATAAAACAATTTTAACAAAGAAAATAAAAATATTGTGTTTATCGAAGATGTGTCTGGTATCACGGTTCATTTACCGATTTCTTCCATTGTCATTAAAACGCTGCCAACTGCTTTGGTGGAATACTTCTATAGAAATAAGTATATGCTAAATTATGTTTTTATCGTCAAAAATCGATGATTTTATTTTTTATTTAGCGTAAGCTTGTAACAAGGTGCTTTGTACCAAAAAAATATTACTATATATATTATATTTATTGTATAATTTAACTGCTGTCTTTTTTTTGCCACCCAATACCTAGCAACTAAATACTACAGCTGTATAATATTTGAAACTTATAAAAGGTATGATCTAAATTTACTGTTTCCAATAACAGCTTCATTCTGCTACAGCATAAAATACTGAAAATTATGACCCTCGCGAGAATCCCACTTCCCGTTCTGCACTTTTAACCAAATTTTTACGGTCGAAAGAAATACCTATAATTTACAATATTTCAAACTGTTCATTTTTTTAAATTGGAAAAAAAACTATTGTTTCGATCAATTTTTTAGGATAAATTTTTGAAATCTTATAAATCATATTCTATTATAATAAATACAAACAATGTATATTAAATATAAAATTTTATTCTAGTACATCGATAAACTTAGCAGTTAAATTTAATCGAAGGCAAATTCAGCATTTATCTAAAACAAAACAGTCTATTCGTACATCATCAATTGTCAGCTCTCACAACCTTAATAAATAAACCGAAGCTTAGGATCGTATCCCAGTTTATCCAGATTCGGCGTGCAAGCATAATCAATCATCGGCGGCGGTCCGCACACAAGGACAATTGTATCCGGTGACGGAGGATACATATATTCGAAAATCATCTCGGCATTAATGTAACCGGTACTGTATTTCCATTTGTCGCTGCTTCTGTCAACGGTGTACCAAAGTTTGAAACGATCTGGATGATTTTTGGCTACCTCTTCCAATTCTTCTCTTAATAAAATATCGTGCTCCGACTGATTAGCGAACAGCAAAGATACTTTAGTTTTATCGGTTGGTACTTTTACTATTGAGCGAATCAGTTGTAGCATTGGTGCTATTCCCGAACCTCCGGCGATCATCACAACCTTTTAGCATTGCAAATAATTAGTATTTCGACGAAAACCGCTTCGAACAAAAAAAAAACAAATAAAAAATTGCACTTACTTTGTTAAAATGATATTCTTCGTAGGGATCAGTTCTCTTTGGCTTAATTAAGAATCGACCATGATTTTCATACTTAAGTCTACCGGCAGGTCCACGAAAGTCTATCGTATCTCCGATTTTCATATTTTCCAAATACTGCGACATTTTGCCCCCTGCTGGAAAATTTGGGTGGACATTTTTGAAATAAACCTGAAAGTGCCAACAAAACATATAAAATAATGCCGTTCAATAGCTGATGAAGTTTTTCTCTACCTTTACAACAAGATCTACAATTCCGCAATCGTCGTCACTAGAAACTGGAGTGTATTTCCTCACAACGTGATTTCCATCGATGTCCGCGTGTAAGTGCACATGTTGGCCATTCGGCAAACCAGCTACGTGATCTTGACTTGGCAATGCGAATCGGAACAGTCTTGTGTCATGATTTATGATTTGTTTTTCTATGAGTGGCAGTGGTATTCTTTCTTTGGGATCGACGAATACTTTTTTCTTGGCATCTTTATACGGACGCAAAAACTTGTAAACTAACCCTATTACTACGATTGCTGTAATTGATGCCAACACTGGCAAAATCTGAAAAAGTGAATTAAGACTCTAAATATCATTTTTTTTCTTGCGTTAATATAGAGTAACTTACTTCAATGATTTTTCAAAAAATCAGAAATTATCGTTTGAAAGTATCGTCTATTAAGACAACTAAAGAATAACAAATATTATTCAATTATTAGTCGACTGCATGCATACATTATAATTTATTTACATCTTTCCAAAATTGACTACGAATTCCATTTTCTTTTAAGTAATTTTCATTAATTTTCATTGCTTTACAATTATATTGGATAATACAACATAATATATCATAATAATCAATCAATAAAAATAACTATAACATAATAATCTTACATTAAATATAGACGTTAAACAGAAGTATCCAAAATACGAAATTGAATGTAATTTTGATATAAAGTTTATGCAATATTTTCTAATGATTTAGTTAGTTTCGATTTTTTCAATCACCTTATGAGTTGCACAATCAGTATCGTCATTTTCAGTGCGACGACTTTTTAACTGCAATAATGACTCATGTAATTAATTTGCAATTACTCATTCAAGGAAAACCGTGTAAGTTGCTCAGTTAAATGGGTTTACAACAATCCAAACGCACACTTCTCGTCGTTTTGAATGACAACGAAGTTGTAAGATACTCATTGACCGAATCAACGTAACGAGGTTCGAAACGGGCTTTTGAAAGTACACATACGAGGAAACCTTGAAACCAAGGCTATTACGAGAACTCGACATATTAACAGAATAAAAAGATTAATATAAAATCTCCGAACGCACGAAGATTGTTCTATTCTTTTTCTACCTACAGACATTGGCAGAATAAAAATAGGATTGATATGAAATCACCAAATGCGCGAGTTTGTTCTATCCTTTTTTCATCCACAGCACAAAATTTGTAATAAAAAAAACAATTTACCACTTGGATGTTCGTCGACATCGATATATACTAGAATGCACGTGGGTATGACTTGTAACACACTTCTGCCACAGCCGCACTGAATGAATGACTGAACAGCGACAGATGGCGAGTTGCGACCGTTACCTCGATTTGAAAAGGGGAAAAAATAAAGATCACGTGTTTCCCGCATCCACGTGGAGAATGCGGCTTTTCTCAGGCATCTCTTTTTAAGCAGTCTTCGGAAAATAGTGACAAAGACATTAAAGATACAAAAACCCAGTGGATTTTGTTTTGTTACATGATTGTATCACTACATACTATACGAAAAACGAATTAAATTTTTACTTTCTTAAGTTAACATTGCTAATGTTCTGTAGAAATCATCGTAATTCGACCGTCGTCGGAGCGATAACAACAACGTCGATTATCAGCAAATTGTTAATATAGCGAGATAAGAAATTCTGACAATATTATTAACCATTCTGTCTTGCGTTAATTGTACATAGAATGTATCTTTTGGAATTTTAAAAGCAGGTGTATACATATTATATGTATATTCTTTATGTACTATATAGTTTTTATTTCCTATTTGTTTTCTTTCGTTAAAAATACTTACTAATTATTTGCCTTGAAATTTTGGGGCAATGATTAATTTAATTCGGATTCACCAGCAACAACTAAGCTTCAGGTAAATTACGAGTTGGTAGGTATAGTAGAATTTGTCATGACTTACACAATAGATTAATTAAAGCGATTACTTGCTATCGTATATTAAAAAGCGTGAATTCCATTTCATTGTTATTTATATTTATATCTAAAAGCAATATTAAAAAATAAGAGATAGAACTTAAAGGAACTATTTGTGCAAAATTGTAACAGATATACTTCGTTTCTATAAACTACTATATATTTTATTCTTAGTTCACCTACCAAAACATAATATTGCGCAATATAAATACAAAGTAATACAAAAGTGGAGCGAAAAGTATTAACTAATGAGCGCTAATACGCAATTAAAACCCATGATAGATTATTATAAACCGCTATACAATTTTGAATTTTTTAAAATTTGAAAACATTTATAGACATTTAAGGATAGTTTTCAACAAACTAATTTACAAATGAGAAACAGTTGAATCAACCAGGAAGGTGATTGTTTTTAATGAAACGTTACAAAACCTCATAAATTTATGACAATAGCTGCCATGAGCTTTATTTCGTTCATAATTGACTTGAGTAAGATAATAGTTGAATTTTTTGTATCAAAGTTCGTATCGGTACGGTTATTGATGACTTGACTATAGTATTATTTATCTTGATTTCTGAGGGTAAAAGACTGGTTGTAATCGCTTAATTATACAGAAACGTACATAAAACATTATTTATTTATTTAACTATCGTAATTTTGTTACCCAGTGAACTTGCAAAGGTATATAATAGTTTAGTATAGAATTATATATCTCTGCAAGTTTGCTAGATAACGAAATAGTTTAGTACACAGTATACTAAACTCTTTTACTGGAGAATATTAAGATTGAATACCATGCACATCAATTGCCTTCTAGCAATGGAAAAGTAGATATAAATCACATTTTCTGGTCATACCCAAGATATGACATATATCGTCCACACCGTTACTGTTCATTCATAAAACACAAACATTATTCTTGTTACTGCATTGAACGATTCCTGCATATGTCCAAATCCTTGGTTGGTTGAAATCATTTACCGCTTTCTTAAACATTGCAATATTAACTTCAAACTTTTATTTGTACTTTCCTTTGTTCGTTATTGATTCATTTATTCATCACCAAAATAAAAATTTTATAATAATTAATTATATTCTGTAAAAATGTTTGGCTGATGTGTTGCAAATATCAACTACTTAATTGGTTTTTTTTAGTACAATGAAGACTTTCAGAAACTTATCTGTGCAAAAACCTTCGAGAAAGAGTACCCTATCTACGTTGGTTTGGTGGAGCTCGTTGCAGTCTATAAAAAAGCTGTCGTTAAAATCGACATGACGTTGTTAGCTAGAGATGTTTTTGGGAACGTTCAGGGTTGGGCGATTCTGTCAAAAAGCTTCCAATAGTTGATTTCAGACCTCACAATTTTCGCTGCCGCTTGACGAAAATTTATCATTTTCGCTCCCGCTTTACGAAAATTGTGAAGTCTGAAGTCAACTGTTGGAAGCTTTTTGACAGAATCGCCCAACCCTAGGAATGTTCTTGCTGCGAATGTAATTTTTTATTACCTCGACAATGACGATTTGTGCAATTTGGAAAATTCATAATTTGTGATATTAAAAATCACGAAGCGTGAAAGGCTTTTTGTAGCAATCAATGAGAGTATTACGGTTAAGAGAGCCAGAAGCATAAGTGTGTCATTGTATCTCGAGAGCAAAAAAAAAATTTGTTTACTGTTTTGGACCTTCTGGACATGATTAAACTTTGTTTTAAATTCAAATTTAAGCTCAAAGAAGTATCACCAATGTAACCATACTCTAAACCCTTGCGCCGTTCTCAATCTTGCCAAAATAAATTCCCTAACCGAGATGTCCAAACTCCAAAGTCGAAGTAGATCTTCGATGTGTCTCGTATCACTTCGTATGTGTGTATTTGATTACAGCATACTGTTGTTCGTTGCACAATACGTTATTTAATTATAATAACTCACGATAGGACGTAAAAGACCAGCATAAAATGTTCTCGCGACATTTAATAAACGTGAGCAGTCAAGTTTCAACGAAATCAAACATCACACTGCGAGTAAGCGCACTCTTAAACCGGCACTTTCACCTTGAGGTTATGTTTTCTTATGTTCATTCGATTTGCTTTCACAGAAAATACCTTGCCACAGATCTTTTCATGCGGCATGCAAGTACTTGAAGAGAAACTCCGTTTTATACATAAGTCAGGCCCACAAAAGTCGACCTCGTGTCAACAGTGCGACTTTCGTTAGATATATCAATGTTGCTAGTACAGATGACAAAAGTGCAACTAAAAGCAGTACAAGTGAGTAAAGTGCATGTATGATAAATTGCTATAAGCATAGTAGTGATACATTGGTTTGATTTTATTAGATAATGATGGTGAATTGCTGGCTGAGAGTACACCTATTGCAACTGGTGTGTATTTTGCATGTTAATTATTACTACATTAAAATCATTATGCTCCAATGTGAATTTCTTACAGACAGCGGTATGCAAGCAGATGTAATCACACAAATTCCAGGTATGTCTGTAACTTGCAATTGTTTTGAAGATTAATATTAACTCAAATTATTTATTTACAGAACCACCAGCACAATTTGTACAAGAAATAACAGAGGCCTTAATTAGTAATCCAACCCTTCAAGATCTTGGGCTTGGTAGTAATTACCCTCCAGGTTTAATCCAGCAATTACTTAATTACTTGCATACAACTTTTGACATACCATGGTGGGGAGCTATAGCAATGAGTGAGTAATCTTCAAGTTGTTTTAGTCATTTGACAAGTGTTGAGAGAAAACTGTTTATTTTTCAGCTACTGTATGTATTAGGACACTTATGCTTCCAATTGTGATCAAGATTCAAAGGTATGCAGCAAGAATGCAAAATGTACAACCCCAAATACAGTATATGCAAGAGCAAATGACAGAGGCACGTAAAATGCAGGATCATTTGGAAGGCAAGTAACAAGTTAATTTGAATTTGATAAAATTTATAATTTTTTTAAGAATAAAATGAATATTAGAAATTTTTTAATATTTAGTTGCAAGGCTAACTGCAGATATGTACCAGTATATGAAAGATAAGAATGTGAATCCTCTCACAAATATGTGGTTGCCCCTAATACAGGTGAGCAAATGGTTTGTACAACCAAAAAGTAGTTGTATATCACAGATATTAGATTGATTAATTTATTGTTTAGGCTCCAGTTTTTTTATCATTTTTCTGGGCCCTGAGAGGAATGGTCCAACTTCCTCTTGAAAGTATGAAAGATGGAGGTATGCTGTGGTTCACAGATTTGACAGTACCAGATCCTTACTATTTATTACCTGTGATCACCAGCACAACCTTATTCGTTACAATTGAAATGGGAGTAGATACCGTACAAGCCAGTTCAATGGCTGGTAATATGAAATATATAATGAGACTTTTACCTATTATTATGTTTCCATTCATTGTGAAGTTTGAAGGAGTAAGTATCTGCAACAAAATTCTTGGTTTATGTAATTATTATTTTTTTATAATACAAAATATTTTCCAAGGCGATATTGATTTACTGGGTGTCTACTAATATATACTCATTATGTCAAGTGAGTATTCTTAGAATACCAAAAGTGAGAAAGTTTTGCCAAATTCCTGAGAAGGTAGTGCACGACAAGAAAATATTCAATAAACCAAAAAAGAATTTCATTGAAGGATTTACAGATTGTAATACTTTTGATTACATTAACTTAATTCAATCAAAAATGCATTGTTTCAATGACAATTAAATTAAAATTTATACGTTTTAGCATGGACAAATATGAAAGTAGCAAGGGATTTGCAAAATCGAGAAATTTATGACGAAATCGTTTTTAAAAGAGCTGGCAGAGGACCTATCCCAAAGACATATAAATATGACCCGACAAAAGTGATTCCGAGTCAATCCGCGAACGCTATTCTTTCGAAAAAGACAGATTAGTATACCACTAATAATTAATAAATTGCTACAGTAATGTTATAAGTGACAAGAATTTTGTTAGATATTAATTTTGGACTGTTGTGTAAAATATAGAGTTATGTTACATAAAAGTTTTTTCATCCATAGCGAAAATGATACATTTCTTTTTATTAAACAAGATATTTATGTATTATCACTCTAAAAATAGATATGAAGGGTTCGAAATTGAAAGTTCTATAAAACAACTGTTATTATATTAAAATATTTAAAAACAAGTAGTTTTTACATATTTTTGCCTTCGTGAGAATTCAAAATTTCACTACTCATAATTAAATAATTTAAAAATTTTCACCTATATAATTCAGGTAACTGAAATAAATTTACCTACTTAAATTACAAATCTTATTTACATTTCAGTTTTTTTTAAATTAAGTGTTTTAAGTCGAATTCTGACAACAAGTAATATTTTCCTTCTCACTTTGGCAACAAGATAAAACATTTATATTATTTTCTTTTTCATTCTGACAACAAGATGAATCATTTACAGTAGTACTCTTATCCTCATTCTGACAACATTTAGATGAAACATTGACACTATCTTTATTCTCATTTTGACAGCAAGTGCTTTGAACATTTTCAGTTAAAGGTTTTTCCTTTTCCTTTACTGTGCTTCTACAACAGGATGATTCATTTGTACTGCTGGCATTTCCACAGCAAGTAGATTCATTTTCATCTATATCATCTTCCTCATTTAGATTATTTTGGATTAAATTTGTATCTAAACACTGCTCTATAACAGTCAGTAAGAATTGATTCTCTAATGCTGCAGCAACTCTTTCCTTATCAGCCAGTTGTTTGTTAACTGCATTTTCAGCAATATGAGTTCCGGGAGTAATCATGACACTTACTTTGAACTTTGGTGGGATCTTTCGTAATAACTGTGTTCTTATTGATAAACCAATAAGTGTTGCCATACTACAGTGTGGAATTGTTGGAGTGAATTTAACATTGATTTCATTGTTTTTATTGTCAACCTATTAAATACATATTTACAAACTTACTCAATCATATTAGTTGGCTAAAATATATTTTTAATTTGTCAAGAGTTCTGTCTTTTATGTTATCAATTAAAAATATTTAAACGAAGCAAATCTTTTGATTACGTATGATTAGTCACGAAATTTTATCTCATATAAGAAGAGACATACCTCAATCAAGCTTTGTTCAACAACATTTAACTGTTCGAGTGTTAATGGATGTTCAGGATCATTGATATGTCGTAGTAATTCTAAACACAAAATACATATAACTTTGAAAAAATTGTTTGTTTCAAATAACATAAACAAACTGTATTTACCAAAAATTCCACGAGCATCATACTCGCCAGGTTTCAGCGTTAAATTTTGCTCATCGTGTCCTAATTTGTCCTCGAGCTTTGGATATATCTTAGGATTTGGATTTTCTAATACTTTGTTCATTTTGAATTTTTGATTAAACAGTTATTCGATAAAAATAAATCAACGATTTTCAACGACAATGTGTTTCGCTACGAGAGCACATTACTTGCTTTGTTTTTTATCAAGGTTATGAAATGGTAGTTACTCTGCTTTACCTGCATGAGGTAAATCTGCGTGTCTTTACTTTACATATAGATGGCGGTGAGACGCTGACAGAGACGCCGATATAAATCCAATATCATAAATTGCGGGTCTTCTTTTAAATCGCATGCGTAGTGTGACGTCAACATTTTTAATTTTATGATTTGACTCCCGTAGATTGGCCAATATGATTGATTAACTAATACTGAATGTGATGTTATATAAGTAAAAGTGAAAACAAAGTAAAATGTACAAGTCACAATTACTTATGAGGTACATTGCTTAATTGTCAAATTTCTAAACACAAGAAACGTCTATTTAATCGAGTGAAATTGATTTATTTTCCAGAAGCACTTCCATAATATGTTATCAGCAGTTAAAAGTTTAAATAAAATTCAGACAATCCGTATGATTGATCCATAAAAGTGATTCGTCCTTGAACCAAAGGAAAAAAGCAATTTTCATCTATAAATTTCCGGGAACTGCGCGAAAGTCTCGTTGCGCATGTATAGCGTATATAGTACATACATATGTGTACGTGTGTATTTCTCTCTTTCTCGCTCTTATGTTGGATTTCGATGGTGGACATGCGCATATTCATGTCAATAGCGTGAGGCAAAAATATTTTGGCTTTCGGGGGCCCAAACATCTTTGTTTTAAGCATGGTAAGTCGCATTAATCGTCTATTAATATTTTATAAATCTGCATCGATCATTTCACGAATTTTCCATTATATATGTAATAGCAACTCGAGTACTTTGTCGAATCAACCGCGAGTTCTTTGTGCACTGAATAACCTCTCAACATTCGACAATTGCAAAAAAACAAACGTTATTTTACGATTGTCATCTCTCGCTTCTATTTATACTAATGGTCGACTTGATTTTTTCCATAACTATTTATTATTCAATTTGCATTTGTTAAATAATTGTTAGCGTATTAACGAAATTAGAGTTGTTGTTGCAGGCAAATTCGAAACTATTTGCAAAGTATTAATTTTTTCGCTTCCTATTTACAGCATAAATTAAAATTTTCCCAGCGGGATAAAGTAAGAAAGTTCATAATGTTTACTCAAACTGGAGAACAGACTGCCATTTATTGCTTGGCACAAAATGATTGGAAGTTGGATTTGGCAAGTGACAACTACTTTCAGAATCCAGAAGCTTATTATAAGGAGCCTAAAAGTTCTGTTGACAAAAAAAAGCTTGAGATTCTCTATAGCAGATATCAAGGTAATTAATCAATTTATTTGTCAATTGGGCACTATATTAATAAATGTCATGAATTTTGCAATGTTCCCACAAGGATATAAGTCATAGATTTAGTCAATTTATTGTTTACAAGCTTACAACTTATAAATAATGCATTAATGCATACAAAGTAACCAAGTGGTTCATGTCTTTCTTTAGAATCTAATTTGGAGAACACTATAGATAATCCTATGCATTGGCTTTCTCATGTCATCAGTTAAAAAAACAATATGTTTTAGATTCATCAGATTCAAACAAAATCTTAGCAAGTGGCATAATGAAATTTTTGGATGATTTGGGCCTCACGCCTGAAAGTAAATTAGTATTAATCATAGCTTGGAAATTTAGGGCAGAAGCGCAATGTGTGTTTACTAGAGATGAATTTATGAATGGTATGACAGAGTTAGGGTAAGTTTTATTTGTAATCTGAAATTTTAAAAGTTTTTATAAATTATAAATTATATTCTTTTCTTACTTTATAGGGCTGATAGCGTAGATAAACTTAAGGGGAGGCTAGGTAGCTTAGAATTTGAATTACGGGATCCTTTAAAGTTTAAAGATTTTTACCAATTCACATTCAATTATGCCAAAAATCCTGGACAGAAAGGAGTTGAGCTTGAAATGGCTATTGCATATTGGAATATTGTATTGAAAGACAGATTTCAATTTTTACCACTGTGGTGCCAGTTCTTGCAGGTATGCATCATTAAATTGATTATGAGTTTAAATATGATTCTAAAACAATTTGGTACTTTTAGGAACACCATAAGAGATCGATCCCTAAAGACACGTGGAACCTGCTACTGGACTTTGCATTGATGATCAATTCAACAATGTCAAACTACGATGAGGAGGGAGCGTGGCCAGTGCTGATTGACGACTTCGTTGAATGGGCTCAGCCATTGATCGGCCAACCTTCTTAACGCCACTCGCTATTGATTCACCGGCCAGCTACGAAATATTTTTCATACCATAGTGTCTAAAAAGAAAACAATATCAAGAGGAGGAAAAAATTGCCTGTTTCTCACGATCAACATTCTTTTTTCTCTTTGGCAATTTCTGCACTTACTACGATGTTATGTGTGCATGTGCGAAAATTTAAAGATTACGAGGTAGCATAATTTTTTCTTTTTTTTTCGCGATGTGTACCACTATTTTATGCAATTAATCATCAAATTACAACAGCCAGGATACAGAGCAAATTCGGTTGATGTGTTCATTGTTAGAAAAAAGTTATGAAAAGATTATAAATTTATATTTTTTTAAAGAAATGTTCTGTAGTACAGATTGAAAGACGGCTTTTGAAAATTCTATTTGTTTTTTAAAGAAAATTAATCATTCTGAATTTTGAGAAACAGTTACCAAATAAATAATTATAATTGTCTTAACTGATTTATTTATAATCTCAACATGAGAGTGGAATACAGCAAACATATACACTGGCTGTGATGATAAAAAAAACAAAAAAAAAACAAAAATGTTTGAAAAAAACAACTTGACATTTTTCATTTTTTCAGCTTTGCATTTTTTAAGTTTAATTTATAGAAGAATACTTTTCATCTATTTATACCTGTGTAAATTGCTTAAAGTAAATTTGGCTATATGTAAGAATTTCACGTTAATGAAAAAACGTTTTAATTGGAATTTGTTATATAAAATAGTGCAGAAAACACAAATATATATATAAATAATTAAGAGCAATGTAGATTTACTGCAAACAGATCTTCAAAAATCGTCAAGTATTTATATACAACTATAATGCAAGAATAATGAAACTTTTTTTGCAAAAATTTTACTTCACATAATTTTGCTAGTGGTTTCAAAAGAAAAATGTTTCTGTCTCTTAATACCGTACATAATTTAAGGAAAAACTACAAAACTACTTTAAAGATTAAGTTTAGGTGAAATAGCCCAATCAAGAAATCTAACAGGTTTTTGGTTATTTCAGGCAGAATATATATTAAATGAAATTTGTATAAGTAAAAGAAGCTTTGAATTGAGTCATCTTTGGAAACGATTAATTTGGAGAAAAAAAAATGTATTTCAACATCGTTTTAATATAAGTGGTTTTAAGAACCGTTAGAAAGCTTGTAAATAATGTAAATAAACGTGTCGTTACATTTATCTGAAATAAACAGTTCAGTATAACTGGTCTAATAAAGTAATAAATTTCAGTGATACACAAATGTCGTTTTCATTTCGTTCTAAATCTACTTTATTTCATTTATTAATATTTTCGATGATTTTACAATATTTTAACATTTTTCAAATAAGTTTGGCGTTTTTTGTTTTAATAATTAATACTTTTGCTTGTTGCACTACACCTACATTCGCGACAGCCATTCGATTTTTTAGGCTGTTGCTGTTGGTAATATAAACAAGATAACTCATACTGGTCAGCAACCACTTGGTAGCAATTGTGTATAACATCCCTTATATACCATTTACACAATTCTTCTAAATGCTCAATTAGCGACTGTAATTAAATTTTATTTGTTGTAAATATTTTTACGAGTTATTGATATTTTTCAAACCTACTTGTGCCACTACTAATCCCCTATTAGGATATCTTTCACTACTGTGGCCATGAGAGTCAAACAGAGTTACCTGTCAATAGTTCAATTTCATTACTACCTTAAAAGCCTTTATTTGTTGTTGCGAAATTATTGATACCACTTTAATTTGTTGTTGGAAAGTGAAAAGTATTGTTCTACCACAGGTGATCAACAACATAAATAGATTTTGTGACTTAGGACACCTGTACCAGTCATAAAGAAATACTTTAATATTTCTGAATAAACTACTGTCTAAATGTTCATGGAAAACTTGAAATTTCTGTAATGTTGAATTAGTGTTATAGTATAAATTTGTAATGATAATAAAAATAACTTACCCATTCTTTCAATGGACTCAATTTTTTGCCTCCAAACTGAAGAGCTTCTTCTGCATTTAAATACGGATCTGAGATCAATTTATTTTTTATAATGTAAGAATGTATACTGTTGCCTTCTATTATTGCTTCAGCTATTATCGCGTTAAACGGTGAAATACTATCAATACTTATAATTTGCAAGTCTAATTGACTGATGCGCTGGGCTACTAGTAGACAAATTAAAGTGCATGCTTCACTAACTAATGAAATAAAAATAATTTAAACCTTTATTATGATGCGAGGTTGCATGTAAAAAAATTGAGAACTGACTTTCTTGACCAGGTGGATAACGACTTTGTGTGAATTCTGCTTGGTACCAATATACATTGACTTTACCGAAAATTTCTTTTATGTAAGCAGGAAAACCTTTGTCAAACAGTGGTAGGTGTGACATAATTTGAAGAAAAAAAATTTAATTTTAAAAATACGAAAATTGTTAACGTGAATAAGCATGAGTTTATGTAAACTTGTCAACTTTGAATTTTGAACATCTTAAGATGTGATTGAATCACATTTACTGAAAATGTTGTGAGCGAAGCATATTTTTGTATTTTTTTTTACTTAAATAATTTAACCTTCCATTTTTAATCAAACATGATGTTGACTGTCAACTAAAAAAAATCATATCGTTGTATTGAAATTTTCCGCCAACTACTCTAGTCAAGTAATCGAATGATAATTCCATTTTATATTGATTATAACAATAATATATCATAGCTATAAATTATAATTTAATTTTTACTTTACATTTCTTCTATAAAATTATTAGGCTAATCTAACATTAGAATTCAGACATAACCATTTTTCACTCCACCAGTACGAGGCTAGCAGAAGCAATAAATTCCTGGTAAGATGGCAGGGTTTAAAGTAGCTTCAAAAATTAAAGAATTGAGATTTTTGATGTGCCAAACATCAAAAACAAGTGAAGGAGCAAGGTAAACAAGTATTTACAATTGTATTTTATATTTGCATAAGTGTCTTTGTTGTCTAATTTTCGTACAAATTAGTTTGTAGGTTATAGCACAACTTTCAAAATACATTCTATTTTCAGGAATTTTATTAATGATCATTACATCAGTTTAAAAAAAGCAAATCCTAAACTTCCCATCCTGGTAAGAGAATGTTCAAACATTGATCCAAAGCTTTATGTTCGAGCCTGTGAGTAGAAATTTGCAAAACATTGTCAGTTGTGATTAATGACTTTTAATATGATTTGTTATAATTTTACAGTGTACGGCAAAGAATCATGCATTCCCTTAGCAAACATGAATGTAAATGATATTATAGAAAATCTACGTAAAGCTGCCACATGATAGTTTATTAATTAATGATAAAGTATGTACTATTATTTATTTAGTTTTCAAATTAAATAAAATAGCTTGTTTACAATTAATTGGGATCAATTAATATAACTTGTTTCATTTAAAACAAAAGCAACATTTTTTTTAAATTGTTTATTTTATAGTTCAATCAATAGAGAAAAAAAGTGATCATTTTAAACAAAAATTGAGAAATGCAAAAATCTGATGAAAATGTGTCAGGTATAATTTAAGCATATAACCTATGTAAAATACAATTCGAGATTTTTCATAAGTTTTTTTATAAGAGGTCAAAATTTGCAAGAACAAGTTTTTCAAGTCTGCAAGCTAAGGTATACATTTTAAATGAAAATGTTTCAGATATAAGTTCTAAAGAAATGAAAAAGGATATAATTAGAGCCGTCGGGCGATTTTCTTTCGTTAGTTATTGCAAAAAGTACCAATAACCTTCGAAAATGGCTACTTTTAATATATGGAATATGTATTGCAAATAAGTTACGTTTTTTATAATTTTTAATACTTTTAAAAAAAAGTTTTTATGAATCGAAACATGATACCTCGTACGATTCAATGTTAATTAGCTGCTGAAATATTATAATTATTTAACTATAAGAGGTGACTAAAGTACGTAGCTGTATTTTTAGTTGTCGAAGTTATTGAGTTGTTGAAACATTAATGTTTATATTTTATTACTGGCAAATGAAAACATTAAATTTCATTCCCTTATTTTAAGCTTGAAAAAAATTAATGTTTTTTTACGTTATACATAAATATGTTTGCGATTTCCCTATATATTGTAGAAATTAGTAACTTAACAATTAATGCATTATTGTCGTATAATGCAATATTATTTATTATATAAAGAAATATCGTTTAATTTTTCTGAACGCATCAGTTTGAACGCGCGATTTCAATTTTTTCGAGCGCCAGAAAGTGGGCGGGTTAAGTCACCCCATCATTGCACCTGTCCCTTGACTTTATTTGAAACCTATATTTATAAGTAAAAAAGAGTTAAAATTTAGGAAATATTGCGAAAATTTAAAAAAAAAAGCTTAATTCTTGAAATATCAAATGCCGCTGCATTGATCATTATCGTAATTTTTGCAAAAACTGTGCGAAATAAAAATTTTTGTTTTTTAAATTTCTGTCGTAACCCTACCCCAACTATCAAGTGAACTATCTTGCAACTCAATCCCTTCAACCAGAAAAAAATTACAGCTACGTATTTTAACCACTTCTTAGTTAACTAATTAGAACATTTCAGCAACTAATTAACATATTCAACCGCACGAGGGATTATTTTGTTTAAAATCATGAGCTTCCTCTTAACAACATTAAAAATAGAAAAAAAGTAATTTTTATAATAAATATTCCGTATGTTACAATTGGCCATTTTCGAGGGTCATTGGTAATTTTTGCAATAACTAAAGAACAGAAATAATCATACGACGGCTCCAATTGTACTTTTATCATGTTTCTCTACAACATATCTGAAACGTATTCATCCAAAATGTATGTATATTGTAGCTTGCAAATTTGAAAAACCTATTTTTACAAACTTCAATCTCTTATAAAAAAAATAATACGAAATCTCGAATTTCATTTTATGTCGTCTAGTTACATTATTCCTAACATATTTTCATCATATTTTTTAATCCCTTAATTTTTGCATAAAATTTCTTTTATTGATTGGATTATTAAAAAATATGTTAATATTGTGCACATAATTTAAGAATACAGCAATAATAAACAGAATATATTTGATTTTATTTTCATGTAACCTGTACAATTCATTTTCTTATCATACTTCATAGAAATACAGATCTACAAAAATAATGTTTGACTGCATTTAAGAGATAGCTCTTATTTACAACGCAGTGTTTGTGTTAGCAATTAATACATTTTTCTTATAACTTGAGTTTCTCTAATAATTCATTTATATTTTCTAGTCAAACTTTGGTAAACCAAATAATTCAGGCTTGAATTCCATTAAACTTTTCAGTACTAATGTTGCTTTCTCAGTGTATTTTTCTGGTAATGCTTCATCAGGTACCATAACAGCTTGACAGCCAGCATCAATTGCAGCTTGAACACCATTTGGTGCATCTTCAAAGACAAGACACTGAAATATATTTTTATTTTTAATTTATTTGCTTTAATTTTGATAGTATGCTAAAATCTTAATTTTAATTAACTCACTTTGGATGGGTCAGGTACATCAGAAAACCGTTTTGCAGCAACTATAAATATATCAGGGCTAGGTTTCCCATGCTTGACATCTGGATCAGATCCCCCAAGTACTTTGTGTTCAAATAGATCAAAAACTTCCTTCAAATGTCCAGTCTTCAGTGCAAAACTTTCAGCACTGGAACTTGTCGCCAGTGCTATAGGAACATTATGTTTTTTCAAATGTCGCAAGAGTCTTTCAGCACCTATCAACATAAATTTAAAAATATACATTACTTATTACAAATTGTTAATTCAATTTTTTCAGTTTTAGCATTAAGAAGCTACAGTATGCAATTAAAAATGATGACTGGTGCCAAAATATGCCAGCTTGGAATGTCGATTTGAGATCTCTTGATAAAATATTCTGAAAATTTGATAAGAGAAACTACCTAATGCAGTATTTTGCTGAAACACTTTTCTGTAAAGTTGAGAATAGATGTTTGCTACTTTTGTTTGCAAAACTGTGAAAATGTATCATGTTTTATACATGTATTTTATTTATTAATAATTTTACTCTGAAAAGAAGAGGCAACATTCAATTTAAATTGACTGCAAGTGGTTTCAATGATTGCATTTTGTTGCTTTTCTGCACAGGTTTATAATTTGTCCCAGTGACATAAAGAAGCAATTGAAATTTTAATTCCAGAGTTCACCAATGAAATTATCATAATTGACAATGCCATTAAAACCTTAAGCACAATCACACTTGTCAATAAAAGCACGTTTAATTTAAAAATTATAAAATAAAACAGAATTAATTATTCCTACTTCGATTAATGAATGTTTAATGGAAAGTGAGCATTTGAAATTTTTTGAAATAAAAAACTGAGTAACTATAAATAAAGAAACTTGCGAAACAAAAATAACAAAACAGCAGTTTTTTGGAGCAAATATTACGTCCTTAACCTGGCATCATATTAACGTTATGGAAAAATTCTCTCTGCAAGCGATGGTAAAAGTCCTGAAACTCATCTATGCTCAATGGCAACTTGTAATAATTTATAATGAGTTCTGCACCAACACGTTCTGGCCTTCCCAGCACTTCAAAGGCCAGGTCTCCCCCATAACTGTGTCCATATTTCTCACAAATAGATCTGTATATTTTCTTGTAAACCGATTCGGAATCTGTACAGTACAAAAAGCAAAAAAAGCAAATTAAAAGTCATGAATATTCAAATTACCTGGTAAAAGTTTAGTATGTGGAAACAGTTCATTGTAGCCTTGCTGCAGAGCTTCAGATAACTCCTGTGGTTGCATTGGCAGCTTGAAAGTTTCAATCATGTAACTTATCAGCTGGTGTTGGTGGAAACCCATGGTTTTACTCTTATGTTCCCATGTGAAGACTTTCTCATAGGGACTAAGAATACGATTAAAATTCTCTGTATAAAGCTGTTCAGTATCTGCGAAATGAGGGTAAGAGTATGTGGCTTAGGGGTTGCATAAAGTTAGTTTACAAATGTGACATTAGTTGACTGTGGATGCTGGTTGGTGTTTTTACATAAACAATGAATAATTCACAACATTTTATCATTTTATAAATACTTAGTATTTTTATTATTACAAAAATTGCATCAAAATCTCATTTCAAAAGGTCTATCCAAAAGCTTTTTACTGTTACTAACAATCCAAGATATTGCATCAGACTGAAAAAAATACCTAAAGCTTACTTCTCCCAAATTTAAAAACCAATATTAATAGTAATATGCTAATTCAAAGATTTACCAATTTTCAAAATGCTTAATAAACCATCCTTAACGCTCCCTTACGACATCGCATTAACTTCAAACCAGTTTTTCCGCCGTAGATTCAAAATCACGATCCGCAAATAAATTTTGATGAAACAATTGCATATTAACAGTAATCTTTCGAAGATATATCGTAACATACCCCCTTTAGTGGCAGACAATATAATAGCGCAACAGTTATCTCATATTTGTATCTATATGCACGTGTACCGCATTACAATTGCAAGTAAGCTCTTTGCGCCGAGCTAGCAATTTAAGGTAGCTCTCCACCAGGACGAGTCGTAAGCTCTATTTGCGGCGCTCACTTCTTTACAACACGTGTAAATCGTTAAATCAATATCATGCGAAATAATTAAACTTGCGCGCGTGAGTGAGGCTCGTGCTGTACGTCACGGAAATTCACCAACAAGCTTACATCATGTAGAATCGCGTAAGGGAGTCAGATAAAAACATTTAATTATATGAATTACCTATTAGTAGACCATCCATGTCGAAAATGCAATGAGTGACATTTTTGAATTGTTGGTCAGTCATGGTTATATCTTGGAGATGCAGTTTTTCCAAGATCTCACAGGAACGTAATCGTGAAGCGCGCCAATACACTAACTGCTGTCTCCTACTGCGCCGGGTGGTACGGAAGAGAAACGAAGGTCGTCAAAGCTTATTTGCAGTACGGGTATCCGGAGGGGATGGAGTGGGAGGTCAACTATGCGAGCACGTGGTGAACATGCGTCGATTTATTTATCTTGGCTCGCACTGCGCATGCGAAGGACTATGCAGCTAAATAAAAACTGTTAAAAACATTTGTGTAAGCGTTTCAATTGTCATTATCGCGCAATTTGGACTTAATTATTAGAATAATAATTAAACCCAAATTGCGTATTAGTACATAACGATACAAGCGCAGGAAAGTAGATTCTTGTCTTTCGTGGTATTTACGCCCGAGAGAAGCGAGGGTGTAAAGACAACAAAACGAGACTCTTTCCCGAACATATATTGTACCGTATTTTTTAATACGTCGTGGGAAAAGTATGATTTTCAACGCACGCTCTCTGCTAAGTGTTCGGGAAAGACGCACTTTGCACACGGAGTGTCGAAAAACTTATAAAGTGACCCACAGAGAGCTAGAGTCGTTGCACTTTATGCAGGTAAGAAAAAGAAAGCACAAAAATACACCACGTGGTATCTTCGAGAGTTCTCTTCGGAGACTGCTCTTCAACTATTAAAAGAGAGGGAAAAGCGGTAGCGGGGGCGGGTGCCTAAAAACTCCTGGCGCGGCACTCGGCAGTATACTAAAAATGCTACTTCCGTACTTCGCGTCGGCGCGTAGTGCATCATAGGCTGTGAGGTAGAGTTGCTTCGCACAGGGCTCGCACGATTAGACGGACGTTTTCACAAATTTATCACCTTATTAATTTTTTATCTCTTAATAATTATTAATGATGCTCAGTCTAATTTTGTCGAATTTTGTAGTTATGTTAATATCAACAACTAATTTACTGCTAAAGTTAGACGTTTTATACTGAATTCATTTGTTGACTAGAAACTGTAATTAAACATGAAATTCTATTGCAAGCCATCCACGTTTAGTATTAACTCCATATTACCAAACACTAGAAAAACAGTGATAGTATATATAAGTATATTATTTTTTTCGTCAATAAAACCTATCATTCAAACTCCAAAGCGCCACTCGTAGACGTCACATCTTTAGAGGCGCATGCGTTATGCAGCACACACACGCACATAGAACATCACGCAGTTGGCCTCACTTTTATTTGAATGTATGAGTAATGGCAGCTCGACTATACGATGTGCGCTCAGGGCGATGTATCAGCATCATAAGATTTTTGACATAAGGCCATGAAGTAAACAAATGCGCTGCAAAGTGGTTGTACATCCATCGACTGCCAACTAAATAATTTGCCTTTGGGTTCCTTTCTACCGTAGCTATCCTGAGAAAATCACGATGGTAAGTCGCATACAAATACTTCATGCTGCAGTCTTAATATTATGTTTGTTGACGAGGCTGTTGTCGCTATCTGTCAAGCTCTGCAATTGATAACGCGTTGTTGCGCCGAAAGAGAGAAAGAGAGAGAGCACGCGATTAGAAGCTTTATATTTTTAGACACGACTGTGTGTGCGTTGATATAATTTTCAATAAGTTACTACTCATACAGATCGCCCGATGCTATTAAATTATGAAAAGATACTTTAAGAAAAACAAGGCAGGTTGCAAGATTGCATTGCTGCATGACTTTTAATTGCTGACCGTTTGGATTTTTTCTTTATTTTCTTGTAATCTAGGATGACGATGACCAGTATCAGACTGGCTATGATGTTGGATCTTTTCCCAAAGATTTTGGCTATACACCCTTTGATGGAGATGGAGAGGGTTCTGCTGGTCCACTCACTGGCGATCAGAAACCTAGAATACTCCTGATGGGTCTGAGGCGGTATGTTTGAATGTTTATAGATGAGTGTAGGAGATATTGATTTTTGTGCATGCATTATTTAGGAGTGGTAAGTCATCTATACAGAAGGTGGTATTTCACAAAATGTCACCTAATGAAACACTCTTCTTGGAGAGTACCAATAAAATTATCAAAGATGACATCTGTAACTCAAGTTTCGTGCAATTTCAAATTTGGGATTTCCCAGGGCAGATTGATTTTTTTGATCCTACATTTGATAGCGATATGATCTTTGGAGGCTGTGGAGCACTTGTTTTTGTCATAGATGCTCAAGACGATTATATGGAAGCTTTGAACAAATTACACTTGACAGTTACAAAGGCCTACAAGGTCAATCAAGCTATCAAGTTTGAGGTGTTCATACATAAAGTTGATGGACTGTCGGATGATTACAAGATGGAAACTCAGAGGGATATACATACTAGAGCAAATGATGATTTGATTGATTCTGGATGTGATCAAATACACTTGAGTTTTCATCTGACATCAATTTATGATCATAGTATATTTGAGGCATTTAGCAAAGTTGTACAAAAACTCATACCACAGTTACCAACTTTGGAAAATTTACTCAACATCCTTATCTCGGTAAATACAGAATTACAAGGATGTAAATGAAAAATGTAATAGTTCAAATATTGAGAAAATTTTCAATTTTCCAGAATTCAGCTATAGAAAAAGCTTTTCTGTTCGACGTAGTCTCGAAAATTTATATTGCGACCGACAGCTCACCCGTGGATATGCAGAGTTATGAACTTTGTTGCGATATGATTGATGTCGTAATCGATGTATCTTGTATATACGGGTAAGTGTTGTAAATGAAAAATAAAAAATCTGCACGATAAATAAGTGAACTCGTTTAGTTCTCTGTCGCAAATTGACGATAAATTACCACGTACGTGCAATAAGGATCGTGATAATAGTTTGTTTTTGTTTTGATGATTTTAGATTGAGGGAAGATGTGGAAGCAGCGGCGTTTGACAGTCAAAGCTCCAGTTTGATTAAGCTGAACAATGGAACTATTTTGTATTTGAGAGAAGTGAACAAATTTCTTGCTCTTGTTTGCATTTTGAGGGAAGATAATTTTGATAGGCAAGGTAGGATCTCGACAAGCTAGATAAAGTTGTTTCTATTTCTTTTTTTGGAAACGTATTTTAACTCGTAGTTTTTGTTTCAAACACTGTTTAACTATATATTAAATTGACCTTTTTTGGCAGGTGTCATCGACTATAACTTCCTCTGTTTCCGTAATGCAATTCAACAAGTTTTCGAGCTACGCAATAAAACATTGGCAGCTGCAAATGTAAATGTAACCAACCATTCAACGTCGCCAACAACGAGCAACAGTGCAATCCCTGAGCCAGGACCAAGTACTAGTAGTGGAGCATCTCAATCGCAACCACAGCCTAATGGTACGGCTGTGCTTGCACAAAGCTAACCCGCGAGACTTGCCGTTCGTGTCAAGCTCGACTTGTTCGGCAGAGAGACTTTTTAAAGATTTCGTTGTTCGTGTTGAACATATTAATTCAGAATCGTGTCGTTTGTTCAGGATGAACGCTATTGTTTTTTTTTTGCGCTGTTGTAATCATACTTCGTAATTGAATTACTAATGAAATTTTTGAATAATGATAATTTTTAAGTAGATAAGGTTATTGATTTCTTGTGGTACGATTCTGATGGTAAACTGTATTAACTAATTTGTCAAATTATTCGCATTTGTTTACAAAAATATCAATAAGCATCAAATCAAAAATTTATTCGTACACACCGGTAAGAAATTATTTTTTTTTATTTTGTAAGGCTTTGTCACTGCGTTAGATTCTTTATCTATCCTCGCAGATGCAAGTAGGATGAAAGAACAATAACGTTATATATTATTAGCTTGAGCGATTTAAATATTTGCGAAAGATTAACTGTATATATACAAGTAATATATTCTATGTGTGCGCGTTATGAGAAAGACTTTGTTTTCGTTATTTTTTACTTCAGAAATTGTCGTCGCTGTCGTACTCTTCAACATCAGCGAAGCGTGTACAGTCATAGCCGTTTGTGTCTTGACTGAAATGTTAATTGCAAAAAATGTATTCTTCAAACATCGGAAGTATTAAGTTCATTAAGTCTATCCGACAATGTTTGGGATTAAAAATCATGTATCCGATAAAAATTTTTACGTGTCACAGAACCAAAATTAGTAAAAAAGTTACAGATAAACGTTCTTAAATAATATATTACTAATTTAAGTATTTCATAACAATATATTGTCATCTTGTATATTTTTCTAAAAGTATAAATAAATGGAAAAGTCTTTATGTATAGTATATGAGTATTAAATTTTTTCTAAATGAATGAATTAAGTAAAACTTGTAAATGAGATAAATTGTAATAATTACCCAGTTGTCATTCTTAACGAGAGAGACAAGACTTCTTTCGACACTCTTTCAGTGATTCCTGAAGGTGGAAAACTTTGGTGAGCTATCTCGTTGAAAATGTTTCGTCCCAGATTTGTGATATGATCTTGTACCGAACGAAATCGACTTTTAATTCCAGGAACTATTGTTAGTAGAAGTTTACCTGGAAACGATAGGAATAAAGGAAGAAAGGAATATAAATATTAAGTAATCTTTGGTAGGCTAAACTGTGATTAAATTTACGTTTTCTATTTACTATATAAAAATATAATTATTTAAATATTTGATACAGTAAATTGTTACAAATGTTTTGATTTTAAGCTGGAAAATAAATTTACAATATTTTTCATAAAATATTATAATATAAATATAATTATATTAAATATTTGTAATTTTTTTTAAAAGCGAATTGAAATAAAATAATGATAGATTGGTTAAAGGACGATGGAAATCTTAATAAATTACTGTGTTTTAGTGCTTTGGAATTAAAAAAAGTAAAAACATACATAAGAAGAAACTTTATTGTACCTACATACAAAATGTGTGAAATAATATATGCAAAACTGGATGAATAAAGAATGTGTACAACAAATGATTCTTGAACTGCTGATGAAACTTTCAAAGCAATTAATTATATTTATACAAAAAAAAATTCAAATAAATGAATCTCTCTTGCAGGAGTGTTAGATGATTAGCTAGGACAAAAACTCTTTTCGTCGATGAGCCGTGGGCACAAAATATGCTATATTTCTACTCTAATACTAGATTATATGAGTCGAGGATTTATAATGTGTATTGCATATTTGTGCCGCTATGCTAAGTCGACGGCATACTGCAATTAAAGGCAGAACTCAAACCAGTCACTGCAAACAGGGTAAGAAAACAAAAAATATATATTATTTATTAATATATGATTTAAATTGAAATATGATCACGTGATGTTATCTTTCGTACAATAAATTGCAAAAATTAATATGATGAATTTGTGACTTGCATTTCGTTTTTAAAATTCATTGCACTTTTGATAAAAAAAATAAGCACGTAATTTCAATATAAGTCAATGAAAATCATTACGATTAAAATGGTGATTTTCTTTCAGCTCTATCTACGACTTATTTTTTTAATCAATTTTATGTGCTGTTTTGTATTTTAAACATAATCGATCGAAACACTTAAGAAGTAAAATTTATTTATCTTGGTGTTAAAAGGTGATCTTTTTTCATTTATGTTTACGGTACCTTGACATATCGATCTGAAACGATATGATTATAGCGTTTCTCTACTTTTAAAAATCATGTTTCTTTTAGCCATGGAAGTACACTCACACAAAAAAAATTTTTCGCAGAAAAATAACCCTATGCTAATCTTTGATCATAACAATTGGCGATTCAACGATCACGATGTACTGTAGAAACTCGGCAGCGATCTCGGACTTACGGTAATCAGCATCCTTGTGCTGCACTGCATTGTGAAGTCCAAGTGCAAGGCTCGTATGATGCTTCACGTAATCGTTCTCTAATTGATCCAAAACTTTACCGATAAAGGATAATGATTTGGGCGACCAGTTACTTCGGATATCATCGCACATCTCCAGTAGCTTTTTTCGTATAATTATAATCAATTAGAATATTGTCATGAAATAAAAAATTTTTTTATTATATATTTTTATTTATTTATTTCATTTTTTTTGTATATTATCAAATTATTTTTACTTACCTTGTGTATTATTTGAGCTAGATCCTTAAACTTTTCAGTTTGTAAGCAATGTTCTTGAACGTTGTCTAAATATTCGTTGTGCACTAAAAATTGGAAATAATAATTATCAAAAAAGAAGTGAAATATAAAAATCAATATGTCCTACCAGTAATAATCGTCTCTAAATCATTAGCCAATGATAGAGATTTATCTAGCACTGATCCTAAACTCAATAATACTTGACCAGAAAGATAAGCGTGAATAGAACCAATCGCATGTAGAAGCCAAAATCGCAAGCTTTCAAGCCTTCGAATGTGAAAGTGTTGTATGATATCACGCTTAGCGGCCGTGTCTGTTCCTTCTAGATCTAAAATATGCAATTCAAATTTTTATTATTTTATAATATTTAAAGTTAAGAAAAAATCTACCGGTAAACTGCAGATTATTTAGTGTCCAAAGTGCCCATTTTAGTTTCAATTCAAACCTAAAAACTCGATTATACTTGTCGAGTGCTTCATCATTGAGTAGCATATTGCTAGGCCAACCAGCGGCGTAATCAAGCTTAACACCGTCAATAGCTTCGAGAATTTTAGTCGTACGTGTATTTGAAACTGTTACCGACCATCGTGAACTCGAGTCAGGCCATTCTTGTGTAAGAACTTCTTCCAGGAGACAACTTACGTAATAAGCATTGTTCCACATGCTTCTTGACTCGATCTGAAATTAAAATTTATTAAATCATTTTTTACGCGTTATTGAATGGAGAAATTACCTCTGTAAAAATGAGTTTGCAGAAATTATTCATAACATGATTTGTTTCCATCATGTAAACTGAACGCATGAGCTTCAATTGAACTTCCAATTTATATTCACGAACGAGAATTTCTTTCACCAACTTACTAGCACCTGTGAATTTCATTTCTAAGACCCTCGAGATTCCGTATTCAAAGATTCTTCTCCATGGCAATACGATTTTCAATTTAGATAGAAAATCAAACAATTTGCAATTTTCTATATCTGGCTGACTAGAACTGAAGTTTATTGCATCGATGCTGTCTGTACTTTGATCTTCGAAAATAAAACTTTCTAAAGCTTTTGTAAGAAATGGATTGTTTGATGCTGATACTTGTTGGATTACACTCTGCGCTATTTCCGAATCGTAAGTCGTTCGAACAGGTACTTCAATAATTGTTAGTGGTGCCGCGTCAGTTGTGTCAGTGAATGTTAGGTAATCATATTTTGAGCTTTTATTGAGAATTTCTTTAAAATACTCCTCGCTCAATTTGTTTCTTGCAACTGAAGTGGTAAAACATGTTATTTTCTACAATAATTTTTTAGATATAGTGGTCGTGCAAAATTACCTTTCTCTTTGTCCATCATATTCCAGAAATCGGACATGCGATCCAACGTCACAAGAAGTTCGATACTACGACCGAATTGATACACTTTGTGTACCAAAACATTCATTATTGGATCTTTAAGGCATAACGGATCAAGTTCTCGAAACGTAAAACCTTCTAAAGGTCTACTATCTTCTCTAGAGCAACTTTCAATGGTTCTGAAAACAAAATTTTTAATTAATTTAATAATAACCTATTTTGTTTTGAAAAAGTAAAACTTACTCGTTACACTTGACAATGACGAACTCATCTCTCCAATCTTCTAATCTACCTTCACTTAGCCAAATGTCAACAATATTTAAGTATACAGATAGACTACTAAGATACAACATGGCACATAGATTTATTGTTTCAATGCTATTAGAGTCTTGCATTTTGAAGTACAGTTTTGACAAGAGTTTAGAAGCACACTGCCAACTATTTAATTTTTCCCAGTCTTCAGTGACGTTTTTATGAATTTTATAAATTAATTTTAATCGATTAAGATACTTTTCTAAACTTCTTGATATAACAAGAAATGTTTTTTGGTCGTCTACAATCAAAAATTATAGAAAAAAAAAAATATATATATATATATATATATAAGTAGCTGTAAAATAAGTAAAAAGACTTACTTTGGGTCATTAATTCTACTTCCACTTCAACAAATCCTTTTTTAATATCTAATAGTTCTTGCTGTAGAGCTATGGCATATGCTTCATAAGTAAGTGGTGGTTTATAACTATCATTTTGCTTGAATAGTTTTTCAAGGAACAAATCTATTTCTCTGATCATTGTAAAATATTCACAAAATGGAATTAACATATTTTTAAATGCTACCTGTACAATGAAGCAATCATTGAAGAAGCTTGATAGATAGTAGAATTTAAATGTAGTAAATACTCACTGAACTCAAACTTGGTATTGACACATCACGTATAGAGAAATCTTTATCATTTTCCTCTTGAAATATAGCCATTGATGTTGGAATGTGAAACATCCACAGTAATTCTCGACATGCTTGATACTCACTTAATGTACCAATGATTTTATTGCTTCTCATGATGTTCTTTCTCCAAATTTCATAAAAATGAGCAGTTTCAAACTCACTCGCAACTTTATATTGGTGCCAATCGAGTTCATTCCACCAAGTATTCTGTACATTTTTCTTCAACCAGTTTTTGGATACAATGTCTTGTGGCAAACTATTTGAAGTTTTGCTATCTGTAACTTTGATTGTATCTGCTATTGTGGGCAACTCATCTTTTCTTGATGTGGATGCTTTTTGATTGCTCTGTATCGAGAGATCTATTTGGCCATCATTCTCATCAGTGGACCAATCCTGAAATTAATATACAATAAAATTTAAAGGTGGAAAATGTTTATGAATGAAAGAGCTTTAAATGAACTTACACTGTCACTGTCACTTTCATAGTTGCAAAAAAATTCTGCTTGACCTTCCTTTAAATACTGTGCCCAGTCAATCTCCTCAGACATGTCATCCTCAGCAGTGATAGATACATTTTGACTTCGATCTCGACTTAGATATGAAGTACTAACCTCAGACTTATTTGTTTCATTGGATAGATTTAATAGCAATGAAAGCAGAGACCATTGTAAGTCATATTGAGGATGTCTTTCAAAATCAAAACTCGTCAAAAAAGTTCGCACCAGTTCTTGAAACTCCTTCGCAACGTCGTATTTCCCGTGGATGAGAAACTTCTGAGTGATCTCTTCGATTTCTTTCTTGACTGCATGGCTGTTTACTGACAAGTAACGGTGATGCTTGATTTGAGACAAGGCAAAACGTTCGCAAATTTGAAATCCTTCTTCTCCTTCCTGTAATATACGAATTTATAGCTTGAAATATGTATAAAATGGATTGCTTTTTCGGTATAGGTTAATAAACTGAATCAATTTTTATATAACTCGACCTCGAAACCACTGATTGCGGCAATTAATAATTTCAGATCATTGTGGATATCTATCAGTATCTTTGTACCCATTTTTTATTCTTTTTACATTTTATATAAAGCACTGTATTTACAATAAGTAAACAAAACTCTATATATATATACATTTTCCATTTTTAAAGAACATCAAAACCTAAGGTGTTTTCGTCAATATGAGCTTCAGTTTACTGGACATAATGATCTGGCAACAGCGCACCATTTTATGAACGTATTGACGTTAGGCCCCAGTCCCATTGGTACACCCAACGTGAATTGAATCGCGACCCCCCCCAGTTAGGTTGGTAGAGTGCTACTTTCAGTCCGTAACGGTGGTTTTCAGATCGGCCATAGTATAACGCTCGTTCTTGAATTATATAATTAAAACCTAAAATCAAATAATCATGCATCTAAATTCATTGTTTGCAAACAATTAATTTTAAACCTAAAAACAAATTAGTAACGTTTTAACTTTTTATCGTATCTTAAAACGAATTTTCATTTTTGAATATTCCCGCGGTTTTTTCGTTCCGATGCAACGACGGAATTCTCATACCAACCTAACTGGGGGGGTCGCGATTCAATTCACGTTGGGTGTACCTATGGGACCGGGGCTTTACACACAGGAAACTGCAAAACAAGTTTTTATAGGTAATGCATACGATGTCATCCACCAAAAATATTCTTTGATCTAAAATTGTGCTAAAAAATTTAATTTGTAAATTAATAGTAAATCGTGTTTTCAGGGTTGTATAATTCTACATTAGCTAATGTGGGACTATATACGATTCACCTCTGCACAAGTTCATTTACTAGCAGTCATCAACTTGATGATAAATCAACTCTGCAAACACAATTTGCTATTAATTTACAATAATTAAATTTTTTAGCACAATTTTGAATCAAAGAATTTTTCTGGTGGATCAATTACGGTGTGTAAACTAAGTTAAAAATCGAAACTGAATACTTGCATTACTGACAGACATTGGCATGCACATAACATGTCAGTATGTTCAAAAAATGGTGTGCTGTTGCCAGATCGTTACTAGCCAGTGTAGTGAAACGCATATTTTCGAAAACACCCTTAACCTAACTTGAGTTTGCGTATATATATGTAGTAGGTGTCATTTTCTATACATATTAAATAAGCAGACGACGTACTTAGAGTTTTTCAACCTGAAAATGAACAATACACAGTGATTAGAGTGAATAGGTATTATATTACAACAGTTAGAGTGACTGATTGATTGGTGATCGATGAGCGAAGAATGATTATATTCTTAAAATACCTGAAGTTTATTAAGATTGTGATAATAAATATACACCGATATTTATACTGGACATGTAAAATTATTTTTATAGAAAATTTTCAACATATATTTTGTTATGAAATGAGAAATTTCATTTTTGTTTATTGAACCTACATATTTTGAAATTGAATAAAAAATCTAAAGAAAGTAATCTTAGAACCAAATAACAACTCACAAATGGATTATACTACCAAGATTTTTTTATCGATCCCGATTAGATTAATTACGTCATTTCTTACTTCCGAAAAACTCTTGTTATGCACAATTAGATTTATTAATTTATTATTTAGTATGTTTATATGCGGTACATTTAGAAATCCAACAAAAATCGTACATTCTTTTACATCTTTCATGCTTATCTGGAAGAAGCAATTTTTTTCAATTTAATTGATTTTTTTATGTAAATAATTAATTTCAACTTTACAAGAGCAACATTTGATTTCCACGATACGATACATTTTTTACATATTACTGTGCATAACAGTAAAACCTCGCTAAATTTTGCTAAACTTTTGAGAATCAACATATCAACCGAACCTAACATTACTAATGAAAACTGTACTTTATCTTAGCAACGTAAAAGATTTTTAAGAGTTGTGTATTTGAGTAATTATTTTTATAAATTAATTTTCATAGTGGTTGCTGTAAACTATTAAGGAAAACCGAGATCTGGGCAAAGCAGCAACAACTCACTATCAGAAATTCTCGGCTGTCATGAAGGTGCAGTCCTAGTGCATTTTTATTTCTTTCATTTAAATCTTTGGTCGCAATCTATACTCTTTACCGCATGAGAGTGTGACTCGTGGTCATCCGAATCTCTCAACGATGAATCTCTATGTTTTCGTTAAAAAATCAATTTTTTTTAAAGTTAAATTTCAAATTAGTATTTTTTCTACTTTTTATATAAATGGCGACACTGTTGAGTACATATTCGTAGATTGATATGTCAGAATCTCGTATTTACTAACTCTAAAAAATAAATACAAGCTTAATGCCAATAATGTAGATCGAGGAAATTAAAGCATTTTCCACGTCAACTTTATTTTTTAACTTCAATGTTGAAAAAATTATACAAGTTGAAAAAATTGTTCCAAACTTTTTGGAATGTGCCATCACACCTGTCAATTTTTTATTGCTATGATAAAATTCTATTGTACAAAGCTTTACAAGTTTTTTCGTCGTTATAAAAACTTATATATTTTTCTATAATTTATAAAATATATATTGATATATAAAGACAATACTACATGAGTTTAAAATTTTATTATTTGATGACTGACAATCCTTTTTAAATCGAAACATCCGAAGTTGATTAGTATTGTTTTAAATATTTTTATTATATTAAAAATGTAGTCTATATACGACATGTAAACTGCAGTAAGTGAAAAGAATTATTTACAATATGATGAAAATGAAAAAGGGCAATTGCAGATTTTACGAATTTATTTTCTAGTTAATATCATAAACTATATTACCCACGTTTAAGAAAACTGTTAAGCTTTGAATATTAGTGAGTGACATCTTAAAAACAAATATCGATATAATATATATTTCGATGTTTCCGTATGAATATTTGAAGAGTAACAATGTTATTTTTACTCATTACTTGATTCTCAATATTTGAACTAAACTAAATAATTTTCTAATTTAATTTAATATAATGATTTATAAACGTGCTGGCTAACTTATATTACTGAATAAAATAAACGCTTCCAAGTAAAAGATTCGCAAACTATAGTTTTTATGTTTAAATTGATCACGTATGTTAGCATTAGAACGACGAATCTTAAATTTATAATAAGCATTTTAAGTAAAATTGAAGGATAACTTTCTGTAATGACATTCTTCCGCGTTGCAAAATAATGTGCTACGCAGAAGAAAATGTATAGATGCGGCAAGTCAATATAAATAGCGCGAATAAATCGAAATCGTACAGTTTTGTGTCGTGACGCTCAAACGGCTGTTTTAATATTCGCTGGTAGCACGCTGCGACGATGAAAATGACATTTGTTTCATCGAACCCGTTTTATTTTAAAGGCAACAATTAACTTTGTTGTTATTTAATATAACTCAGATTTGGCTTTTCTTAGCTGATTGCCGCTGGGCATGGCATCTTTCGAACATTGGCCCTCGGACACGATCGTTAAATTAATTTATACTTTCTTGCACCAGCTTGAAGATATAGTAGCAAAGATGATGAAGATAACAATGTAGGAATGCAAAATTGTCCCTAAAACAGCAATCGCAGATAAGAAAAAACAGCGCAGACTAATAAAAATTATGATCTTGGGAAATCCAACATAAAAAAACAAGGACAAGAAAAAAAGTGACAATAACATAATAAAAGTAGCCATATGAATCGTAAACAGTTGTAATTGACCATGGAAATATTTCAAACAAAGATGGGAGATATATTACGACGAGCCCGATGAACGTATGTAATAATTTGTTAAGAAATTTATTTGGATATTGTAAATTCCATCAAGTTAAATATTTTTATTTATTTCGTTTGTATAAAAAAATTTAATTGAATAGAACTTTTTATAAAAATAGTAATATAATTTTAAAAGGTTGAAAATTCCATAGTTATAATTCATTTTTATCATAAAAAAAATATTAATTTTTTATACTTTTATAAGTGTAATTTCAACAATTGAATAAGTTACTAAGTTGCGGAAGCATTTAATGAATTCTGTGACTTATTGGCATTTCATAATACTGTAATTTAGACGCGGTAATTATTTTTGCTCACTCATTGTTTGATTTTAATGACATAATAACTCTTCAGAAAACTCTTTAAGACTTCAGCATCATTATTCATGGGAAATTATGGACGAAGAATTGACGCTTGAACGTATGAAATAATATGCCAAATGGAAAAGTCTAACCAACTAGATTTTGAGAGAAGATAAGATTTTATCTAAAAGCGTCATTAATCTTTAAAAATTTCCTTAATTTTGTAGTGCTGTGGAGTATATAAACGTATGAACAAAGCACTTCCTTACTTCATTTGACAAATCTAACAATTCATTCGAATAGTCGTCTACAATGATTGCGAAAATTACTTTAGTGTTATTGATCAATTTTGTGATTGCCTACGTAAGTATAGTATACATTTTAATAATTGTATAACATTGATTATTGAAACAACGTTATTTTTTTATGTATTATAGAAATGAACGAAAGATGAAATGAGTTTTTGACTTTGAAAAACCACATGATTATGAAAATGAAAGTTTGAAATGTTACCGACTTGTAGCGTTTTCTCTTGAAGTTTCATAATTTCATTTTTTCAAGTTCATAAAAATTAAAGATATATGCTTTTAATTTTGTAGTCGGCGCCCGCTGGTGTTGATTTGGAAAATGTAAGCAAATTATCCAATCAGGTAAACTTGTCAATTTATGAATCGCAATATTCATCAAAATGAAAATAATCCTAATAAATCTCAATTTTAAAACCTCATGATATCAGGTGTTGCAAAAAGGCCAAGAAAACTTCGAACGAGGAAAAAAGACCGTAAAAGATGTCGTGAAACAAGGCCAGAAAGGATTTGAACAAGAAAAAGAGACGGTAGCAGATGCTGTGAAACAAGGCCAAAAAGAACTCGAACAAGGAAGAAAGACCGTAGAAAATACCGTGAAACAAGGTCAAAAAGGACTCGAACAAGGAAAAAAGACGGTAGAAGATGCTAGGAAACACGGCCAAACAGAGCTTGATCAAGCAAACAAAATGGGAAGTGATACTTTGCAACAAGGCCAGAAATACGCGGAAGGTGCTGTTAAACAAGGACAACAAATGTTTGGCGACATCGGCCAAGTATTCAGCGATGGTATCAAGGTAAGTATCGAACAAGGCCAAAAAATAATGATACAAGGAATCAAGACGGGTGAAGATGCTTTCCAGCAAGGTCAGAAAGCTTTTGGCGACGCAGCTGGAAACGTTGGCCACGGCGTCAACGGAAGCATGCGGGAAGGCCAAAAGATGATTGGGAATGGAATAAAATCAGGCCAAGATGCTTTTCAGCAGGGACAGAAAGTGTTCAGTAACGCTAGCAAGCAGAGCTTGGACTTATTCAGCAGTGGAATCAGTGCTTTTACTAATATTTTTGGAGTAAGTTTTGATCAACTGCAGTTCGTCCAAAAGAAAACAATCGCTTAATCCAAACGTTAAATAATTTATCAATGTATGCCCCTCCGCAATGTAATTCTCTTTTATTTGTTTACAGGATGTCTCCAAAAATTCGCAGTAAACTAAAGAAATAAAGTAACTAATGAACGACGTAATTCGTCTAATTTTTGTGTAAAATTAACATATATGTTATTGCCCAGAAGATGGAACAATAATTACAGAGTATTTTTTAGTAAAGATATTCGTACAACATTTTATATCTACTAATACTGTAAAATTCAGATAAAATCTGTTCACACAGCAATCTCGTTCTTACATATAAGAATAACCATATGAATGGTTTTATCATACGAACCTAATTAACAAAGTGCAACATGTGTTAAGAAATAAGAAATATAAAAGTCAATATTTTTTTATTCGTAAACATAACTTTTATTAGGAAATTCATTAAAAAAATTAAAAAAACTATATTTTACACATTAGTACACTTACATATAAATATAATACTCACAGCCATAGACCTAGTTTAGAGTGATTACGAGTTCTTATTTTAGTCTATTGCCGAATTCAAGCCTTAATCTTACGTGACGTAGATAAATTTGAATGTTGAATACATAAACATAAGATTACAGTTTGATGTAAGAATTGAATATAAGCATTAATAATATTTTTTTGAAATTGAGATCAATTCAATTTATCAAAATTCCAACACTATAATGGTAACGGAGCTCGTTAAAATAATTTTAACTAATGATTTTCCATTAAAATGTGAATATTGGCTCATTAGACATTAAAATAAGTTTTATATAAAGCATAAGCTTGCCGTAGAACCGGGATATTGCATATCTTAAGGCACCAGAACCTTGTAAATATCGTAACTGTTAAAGCATCTAATACCATATTTGAAAGTATAATTTTTTAAATGCGACTCGAAATATAAAAATTATGAATTAAAAATCAAATTAATTAGTTAAAAGTTGATTCCATTCGTATAAGCATCCATATAATTTCCCATGCTAATATTTAGTTTTAAGAAACGAATCTTGGGTGTATGTATTATATTTCAGTTTATCATTCCAACTTGCAAAGTGATTAGATATTCTTCAACAAAACTGCATATAATTGCGAAGAATTATTTAATATCGCTTGACCTAAAAAAAATCAGAATTGTTTTGACCTTGTTGCATACCGAAAATGATATTAGTTTTACTAGGATTTATTTTAACATGAAAACAAAATTCAAACATATGACTTCTTTCAATAACTGTCGAATGATTTCACGAATGAGCAAATAATGATTGGAAAAGGAAGGAAAAGTAGAGAAAAATAGAAAAAAATGTTTAGAATCGCACGGACAATGCTTCCATTTCATGTATCTCCAATATAATCTGTATGAAAAAACTTACAAGCTATCAATTTGGAGAACGTTGTTAAAAATGTGAACGATTATTTTTTGTACTTTGTCGAATAAGCAATCGAAAATAATATTCAGAATATTTTAATATTCGATCAGTAGACGTAATATTTTTTAATATAATTAAAGGACTTTCAGTACTTTATTATACTGTACATTACGTTTGACAAACATTATTAATCCATATATGCCGTTCGAGCATAAATAAACAAATAATATCCGTGTTTATAACTTATCTGACATGTGCCGCACTCGTTTATTTGATTTATAGTAATAGGATGACTGTTTCAACTAAGAATCATGAATATTTTATAAAGTAAACGAGAACAACGAGATCAATCAACTCAAAAATCATCATGACCAAAAAAAAAGCATGGAAACATTGTTGTATAAAAAAATCAATAATCATAATATCATGGACGTCATAAAATTAATGTTGACCATGGCGCTATGAACATCATGGATATCCTAAAAAATAACGATATTTACTAAGGTTGTATATTAGAAAGCAATGTCGGTTCCGGTCAAAGTAAGTCATTATGAACAACAGCTAATTCTAAACATGTGCATAAAGAAACGAGGAAACGAACAAAATAATGTTCAATACCACAGTTGTGGATGTGGGATCCATAATAGACAGAATCCCAGTTCACTGCTATTATCTTAGTCATAAAATGAATAGACGGAAAAGGTTATTACAAAAATTGTATATCGAATAATCAATGCCCGAAATATATTTAGATTTTTAAAAATTGCCAATACTGCGTTTATTTAACTTTTGCCTTGCAATATCTTTCTCTTATCTTACATGGTCCGATGAAAGAGACGAATAAAGATGAATGCAAAAAAGAGCATTAAAATACAAAAAAGTTGTACTAATCGTATGCTTGATTTCAAGCCATGCTCACAGGTACACACCCGCATGAACGATATTTGTAAATTGCGCGTAATAAATTTTCATATGGCAATGATCACACACGAGGGAAAAATATTGCATTAGGAGAGAAAAAATTACTTCGAAAATAAAATGAAAAATAACTTGTATTTGTATCTGATTCGTATAACTTTCGAGCATTGCCTCAGAAACCGATAATCAATTAGATGAATTTGTGTCTTCGATCAATTTGATCGAAATAAAAAATTATTTGAAAACTATGTTATAACAGCTGCTATAAAACATGATACTGATTGGTGCGTCATTACGACTTTAAGACTGATGCTTTCACCGAGAAATCAACCATGTGAAGCGCGTAACGTAATTGAGGTATTAATATTTCTTATTACATCGTGGCATTCTGACTTCGTCAAATATTTGCAGTATTGCGCTTCTCACCGCAGAGAATTTATTTGAAATCAATTACATCATTTAGCTAATAATAAGCTCATCGAATAGGATAGGCCTCGGTTGTTTAGCCATTTGTTTCCATTCAAATTAATTGGCGGCACGTTGCCGATGATAAGCCGTTACGTCCACGTCGCGAACGGGATGACTAAAAGAAAAACTAACAAGCTAATCAAATCGTAAACGTTTTTACAATGCCGTCATAAATTCTTGCGTGCTGAAAAATAAGCGCAACCTTCTTGTAAGGTTTAGCGCGAAATCACAATGATAAAAAAACAGAAGCTTCGCTCATTAAACGCCAACCGCGGGACAACGACGACAATGGCGGAATGGCAATTGGCGTGTACAAGTTGATACGTCATGCGCGCGTGTAAGTCCACAGCTCTCGTTATCATAGTCAAGGATTTGCAAAGAATTTTAGAGATCAAACAGTAGATTATGAGTTGACTGATATTTCACTTTCGCGAAATTTGTATAAAAGCATAGCACCGCCGTGTCACGGATTCAGTGCTCGAATCGCACGGATTTCGGTATTTTTGGAAACTGACCAAAGATGTTCTCCAAAGTTGCTGTCTGTCTGTTTGCCTACTGTGCCGTTGCTCTGGTACGTGAACGTTTTTCACTGCACGGACCGTCTCTTCAATGTCGCTGCACTTCTCAATCATGCAAAATGTATTTCTCAACCATCCGAATTAAGAGGCTCTTTTAGATATTAAAAGGATGTATTTAAGCAAATTTTTCCGAGGAATGCAGCAACATTTAATGCAGTTCTAGCGCGGTGCTAATAATACGACAGCGGTCGATTTGCCTTTCATGGGTCAAATGTTGTGACTTACGTTTACGTTGTCTTCAGGCCAGGCCCCAAGATGCCAGTGCGAACCAGCAGACGCCAAATCAGGTACAGAGTGCATACATATGTTATTTCGAGAAATCAAAGATAAACAAACTCGAAATTTTCATTTTCAATGTATTTTACGGTTCAATCCATATTTACAGCTTTTGGACTCCAACCAGCCACGTCATCCAAATCAGATTCGAGAATTAGATTCGAACCGATTCCAAGGATTCAACCCGAATCTGTTTCAAGATTTGAACCCAAATCAGCTACAAAATGTAAATAATCAAAACTGCGTGCGGTAAATTGAAGTTCTTGCAAAATATTTAGTTTGTCATTATTTTCAGCGATTCGCTAGACTGAACGATGGTCAAGGCAGTGCTAACCCTAAGTACCAGTCTCCTATTTTAGAGATTCCTAATCACGTAAATTTCAATTGGTTGCAGTAAAATAGAATAAGTGATGCAATTGAAAATGATAGCCGCGATTGTTTCGGATGGATTCGGGTTGGAATGTTGAATAATTCATTCGAACTTTCAACGCAACCCGACGCACTTTGCATGCTGGAGTAGCTTGAAAAGAAAGCGCTGTAAATTTATTCGATCCATCCTCGGCTTTCATTTCTTTAAAAGTCTCTCGTGTCGACGACACCAACTCGACGAAGCTTTATGTTGAATGCAGGTGATCGATTGGAGCCAGCACTTCGTCGACAACTCGGTAAACAGACTCGGCGCAGCCCTCGGTCAATCTTACGACGACACCGAGCGCGTGGTCAATAACGTCGCCGACACTGTCAACGAAGTCGGCAAGCGCGGACTCCAAGACGGCGTTACCCTGTTAAAAACCGGGTTCGGCCTATTGTCCACCATCCCGAAAATTGGTTTAAGTCTTTTGTCTCGCAACAACAACAACAACAATAGCAACAACAACGGCTTTCGATATTGAGCGGAATGGACAAAGAGACTGTAACTAATATCAAAACGCGATGTACGACGGAATCAATAAAAAACAATAACAACACAATTGGTGGTGGATTTTTTCCTTGTGAGTCAGAATTCCACGTGCCTGGCGCTATTTTAGAAGCTGTTAGAGAGATATATCACGAATGTGGGATGATTTTTTATTTACCGTTCTTAATGCTAATCGACCGTTGATCGAACGCACATACACTCCCGGTCACCTACTTTTACACCCCCCCCCCTCTCGGATAAAATTATTAAAACTTTGAAACTGTCCATTTTTGGTACAAATTAACGTACAGAGTCGGGCGGACGTACATTTGAAAGCTCTTGAAAAGTGCTTTCAAATGGTGTAACTCATGAATGTAATAAAATACATTTTCTATATTTTTCAATCGATAATTGAAGACTGAAAATTCTAAAAATTCTTGTTCATCTTTGATCTCCCGCCAAATTTCGAAAAAAAATAACATAAAAATTTGGAGCACGGCAATTTGTGGCTTTTTCCAAACCCTATCTAAATCACTTGTTAAAAAATTATTTTCAACGTATATGATGGCGGTGTCAGCTGTTTTCCCAAAATTTTACACTTTACTTCAACTTTTCATATCTCCGTACATTATACTGATAGAAAAAAACTTATATAAAAAAAAATGTTTCGTTATTTACGTAGAATAACGTAAAATTTTGTTTTTGCTCAACTCTGTACGTTAATTTGAACCAAAAATGGACAATTGCAAAGTTTTAATAATTTTGTCCATGAAGGGGGGGGGGGGGGTAAAAATAGGTGACCGGGAGTGTATAAATGAAATTTGGTTTTTAGTTTAGACAAAATTTAGTCAGTTCACGTGTAGCAGCAGTGGTGTATAGACGCGTAGCGATATCGCTCCGCGCGAGTGTTGTCGTTTCGGCCCTATTAAGCACTAAAATGGCATCGATATCTCCTAGTCGAACCGTTAAAGATAATTATCAACTTTCAGCCGGGCAAAAGAGACCAAGGCATATTTATGGAAACGTCACGCTCACGGATCGCACGCGCACTACTGGAGTACTAGCACAACCTGAAAATGTTCTTCACGCAACGAGAATCTCAATAAACCGCACGGTCGACAAGGAGCTTGTCAACAGCCTCGCTGAAAAGTACAAAACTACAAGTCAGCGGAGGATATCCGTTGAAAACGAGGCCGCGAAAGCGTGGGTGGCTGGCTGACGGTAACCACGAGGCAACCCGAAAATTCCCGACCTATTCAAAATAAACTGCGAAGACGTGAATAATTCCGTTCACTCTCTATATCGGGTGCCGCTTGCCCGGGTATCTGCGTGACGACCGTGTGCATTCGTGCCAAGGTCGTGCAATCGCATTACCCGCGAGGTCGCGTCGGCAGCGACTCGCCGAGGTTAGCGTCCGCCATTTAGGAGACGCTGCATCGTTGGTTCTTCCAGCTGCTGCCAACCAGCTGAAGAACCAGGCCACGACATAAGTAGCCCAAGCATAATTGTGTCAACCAATGCAATCTGCTATACAGATTAAGGGGTGTGCGCTATTGATATTGTTCTTTATCGCGAAACGAGAATATTGATTCCAAATCGTTGGGCAGTGATCTTGCCGATAAGATATATTTTCTCGGCTTCTCACGGAGAGAAAATCATAAAAGCATATCGGCGATCTCGAACAATAATTCATCCTGATCATTCTACGATATGAACTATCTGCCGAAGATGCAGTGAAGATATAATGATTCAAGTCTCAGTGAACCAGCTTCTTCATTTAGAATGATATTTTAATCTCGACACAGTAGATCCAAACCGATTCTTGACAGATCGGAAGAAACAGCGAGCAAAGCGAAGACAAAAATAGCTGGTGCTATAAACACAAGTACTCGGGTGCGAGTTTCACATCAGCGAAGATAAGTTGTAGCAAAATCATGACGGGTGACATAATGACCAGCATCGCAACGAAAATCAGCAACACAATAACGATTATGTGTGGTATTACGAATCAAACTATGACCAATTTTTAGCCGATGCTTAAGGCGATCCTGTTGGTGGGGGTGGGGGGTGTTTACTATATCGATTTTATTTCTGGCGACTTGTAGTAATACTTCAATGTACCAGCTGGGATACTTGAACAATTCAAAATGATATTTTCCGTTTTCCTTCAATTTACTTGAAGTAACGCATTTGATTATCTTTTTTCTTCTTGAATAAAAATCCGATTGAAATAATTCCATGAGTTTTTATTACAGTTTTTCCTACAAAAAATTATAGTACTAATATCACTTTGTGTCCTACGGAAGATAAAATCGAATGTCAGTCAACTTGGTTTGAGTTTTAGCAACTAACTTTTTCATGGATGAATGATTAGTAGAGTACCAACGTAGCACTCATGATAAGTCGAAATATTGTTGATATTTTTTTAATCTATACGAATTATTTGCTGGCCTGATTCATATATATCATAGTATGCATGTATGACAATAAAATATATCACCGGAAATTAAAAAAATTTAGGATTTTCAATTAATGTTGTTTTGATGGATAGAATGCGCTAAGTTCCAAAAAATGCCAAAGTAAGGCAAAATTACCAAACATATTATACAGTTTAGCTTATATCGTTTCCACGTTTTAGTATTATTGACACAAATGCGTCTCGCTTTATTGGTGCAGACAAAAAAATTTAGTGTAGCCTGCGTACTTGACGTCTTGCGCTCATTTCAGTCGAACACTTTTTTGAAGAATTGCGTCAATATCATGACATCGAAATCAAATTTTTTTTGCTTCCTTCTTAACTTGTTCGTAAGTATTTCAAATAATCTTGATTTATTTTAATTCTTGTCAATAGTTTTTCTTTCGGCGGATGAAATTGTCATTATTTAAAGATCCTTATTAATTTATCCATTATTGTCGTCACCGCATATTACTAATAATGAAAGCACTATCAGAGAAAATTGTTATCGTAATTAATTTACATAAAACAGCCTATAATTCAAGGTGTAGTATTTTTTTATCACACGAGTGCTAAGTTTATTACACGATGGAAATTTATACGATATTACAACTTAAAAAAGCAGAATGATCACGTATAAATCGCGAAATAATGCATTGTGCAACATAGTGAGAGAAAAGTGAGCCATTAATTCTCTCACGGGTAAGTTACCATCCGAGGGGATGCCGCAGGTAGGAAACTCGTGAGAGGTACATGGCCCAGTTTTTTTGAGTTGCACATACGATCTTTTCAAACATCAAGAGACCCGTTGGAAAAGTTTATGACTTTTCTCACGAAAATTCGGCCGCAAGTGCTGGCATTCCTGTTAAGGCTAGAAAGTATTTCGCGCCGAATACTTTCTATCCATGACTGGGAAGGTGGTACTTTGGGGCCGAATTTCAGCGAGCAAAGTCATCACTATTTGCAGCGGGGATGCGGAAAAATATTTTAAATGACGTTCAATTCACAGAGTCTCGTTGCTGGCCAGTTCCTCAGATTCAGTAATAGAAATAACGTAAGTGAAGAATAATATTATGAGCGAAATATCATCGAGAAGCTCTTTTTTTTTTATTTTAGTTCGTTGATTGATTTTTTCCTGCTGTTTACATCCTTATATAGATTATTCAACCTAAAGCATTTGCAACTGTAGCGCCAAAAGAAGTAAGATAATTTTAGTTGACAAATCTTAATTTCTGGAATTCATCGAAATAATTCCGTTTCAACATGACGCCTCATAAAAATTATACTTATTATTAATTTTTTCAGTATGACGAAAGTGACACCATAATCAACAACGATCCATCAAAGGTTAGATACATCAATTAATTTAAAAATAATTTCATAACTAATGACAGTGTAATTTTATTTCACAGGTCTCGGATCCAAAAGATATCGAAAGTATTTTTGTATGTTACCAAATTCTTTGTAAATTAAAAAGACCATTTAAAAAACTATTTTTAATAAACATCTGATTTTTTGTCATCCACTTGTGGCGCCTAGGTAGAAATACCAGAATTGCCGCCGAAAGCGGTAAGAGCTAAAGCGTAAAATTTATTTACATTTATTTTATAATAAAATTTAAATTAAACCGAAATATTTCAGATGCCGTATGATGGTATTTTTCAGAGAGTAGGTATTTGTTCCACATATGCAATAATTTAAACGTATGAATTTGAAAACTTGTAAATGATGATTAATTTTTTTTCTACTCATTGTGTAGTTATTAAATTTCAATAGAGAACCTATTACTCGAAGATGTAATAAAAATAATGGTGAAATGGTAAGATTCAATCAAAATTTGTATAAACTCAGAGCTTAGAAAAAAAAAGAGAACAAAAAATTTAATTTTTTATATTCTTCATGATCAGCCATTTAAAAATGATTGGAACTGGAAGAAGGAAACGGTAAGAACAAAATCGCAAAAAAGTTTAAATTAAAAAAAAACTACAAATAGCAAAACTTATGTTTCACTTTTCAGATGAAACAGCTAGAAAATGTGGTTAGTTTAGCAATTTAAATCATTGGAATAATTTTTCTTTATACGCATTCTCTAAAACAAAGTTTTTCAAAACTATAGCCAAAGGACTTAGATGGATCATTGGACATCATTGTCAGAAATTGGCAGGATACGATCAACGTCAATAAAGAAACAGTCGAAAACGTCGTCGACTCGGTAATAAGTGTAAACAGTACGTACTTAAACACAAATAATGACGCCAACGACAAGTTGATAGATGCAAAGCAACAGATTGTAGAAAGACTCCAACTCAACGGTAACTATTTGGAAAAGACTAAAGAAATCGTCGACGTAATTTTTGACAAGAAGCAAAAAACTTTGAATCAATCCTATACAAAAGAACGCCAAATATTAACGGTATCCAAAAAGAATGAACAACACCTTCGATTCGGATAACTTTATCATCGATGAGAACAATCAAACTGTCAATTTATGATGTAAAGGAATTTTCTTTTAATGTTTTTCTTTTATATGTATGAAAATTTATGCAATGAATTATTTAGAAAATGGTGAATAAAATAAAATTTCAATTACATGTGGTTTAGCGTATTTTATATGATTATAAATTTGTCTGATAATAAAAATAATTGACATCTCCATTGTCGTTTTATTATAACTTAAAGGAAACACCGGTCTACAGTTTCACGTATTCATTCAGAAAAATTAATGACCGCAATCTCGAGATGTACGCATTAATCGTCATTTTGACGAGGTAAGGTAATTAAAAATACAACATTTTTATTGTAGCTAACGTTCAAAGAAAAATATGAATTTGAAAACTCACAAAAGAGTCGTATAAATAATAAGTGAAAGGGTATAATATGAGCAAAATAAGCATACGAGCTTTAAATTGGTTGTAGTTGATTAGGCATTTGTATATATTTTACGTAACGTAACTATAATATAGTTTTATCGTTTGCTATAAGTCCAATGTGATTCCCACAATTTATATCTTCATTTTCAAGTCATTGTACGATTTACTAAATTAGGCAGTTTATTTGCGAGTAAAATAAATCATTTCTAAGTCAGTTATTCAGTGATCGGACGCAGTGTTGAATGGATATATGTATACTTTTTTTATTAATTAAATTGACTCGTCCATACGACATTAACTGGTGTTAATGGATTTTCATTAATTGGACTATTTAATGTATGAGTAGCGGTAAACGACTAATGATCCCTTCGATCTTGTCAGTGGCCTAGGATATTTTCTCGCGAAAATGCCTTCAAAATCGACTGTTTTCCTCCTACGTCTAGACTGAAATTTATTTCGACGTTTCGTTTACGCGACAAATGACGACACTGCGTAATTTTTAAACGCTTGTTTTATATTCACGTACTATTCTGATGAGCATATATCAGAGAAGACTTGAAAAACGCTATGGCTTTTAGTTTCTTGCTTCTTGTCAAAAATATCACGTAGTGTTTCACTAGCGTGACACAGAAATAAAGTTTACGAACGACTTAACGTATACAAACAACTATATTGCCAGCGATGTGTTATTAAATTTTCTAAGACAGAATTAATCGCCAGATAAGATTTTTTTATAGTTTTCCAAAGTAGACAACGCGTTTATCGAATTTGCTTGACATACGAGCGGCAGCTTGTTTTCGTAGGAGAAGCTGTGGAGAAATCTTATACGATAAAAAAGCTCTCAAAGCTCAAGCTGTTTAATTTAAATTTTGAGAATGTAAAATGGTTAAAAAAAATAACAGCGTCATTTTACGGTCATTTACCTTCATACATGAATATAGCAAATTTTTGATGTATCTCGAATCTAAATTAAAAATCTGTCGAGCTTTAAAAGTAACATCATTCCTGCATTATTCCATTATTGCGTGTGATTGCTGGCACTTATAATAAGTGTTTGTACATACTTGTTACGTCAAATTAAAAGAGCTTTTTTTCACAAACAGGATTTCGCTGCCTATCAAGTGATCCAAATGGACGACTAACGAATCTACATAAGTAAACTCTATTTTATATGACTTTATTTTTCGGATGTGTACGCGTTGATGTTCCTCTCCTGTATGCAGAAAGATTATGACAGAGAAAATGCCATTATTACAGATGTGATAAGATATCATTGCTTTTGTCTTGCCACTAATCAAATGGCAAGAACACTGATTTCGACAGTTGCAAAAATTCAGCCTCGTATTGAAATGTGTACACGAATGATTTTTTAGTCCTTTGACAAGTCCGAATTTCACTCTGAAGATGGTGATATTGAAATTTTAGGATTGGAGGTAGGAACAAATTTAATTTAGTTTAATTCGTTTTTCGAAAAAATTGTAACTTTATAAATAAATTTATTTCAATGAAATGATCACAAAAGAAATATTTAATTTTTTTAGTACAATAATAGACATCTATTGTTTTGTTATTTTCAAATGTCGGAATCCAGACAACTCAAGCAACAAGATGAGCGACTACGTTGGAACAGAGGTAATTACTGACTTTTTTATTAGGTGCAATGAAAGTATTTATGTATGTTCGTGCAAATTTTCATATATTTTTAAGTTTCAGGTTGACGAAGGAAAAAATGACGACAAAGAACACGTAGACCCGTGGAAGGCAAGAAATTTACTAGTACCCACCCATTAGATGCCTTTCAGTAAAATGTTTACTCTAGATTCTATTTTTTTTTTCATTTCCCGTTATTCTACGGTCCCGATAAAAGGAAATAGTAATAGTCATCGAACATTTATTTCTTTTATTTTGCTAGAATGCTTATGAGCTAGTCACAATAAAATATTACTTTACAGTTTCCAACTCCCGACTCGAGGTAATTCATATCTTTTCTAATAACAGAATTTACTGTGTTCGAAAATTAAATTTTAGGAAAAAACTTCACATTTTTTTCTATTGCAGCGACTGTATTATTTACATACAGAAGTCACACTACTACTCGTAAGCTGCAACTGAAAACTAACACTGAGAAAAATAAACGCGTAAGAATCAATAATTTTATGTGACAATCCGGTAGGGAAAATTTTTAGCATATTACTTTTTAATTTTCATTTCCCACACTTTGGCGGTTGATCTTCGATTGGGAAAAATACGCGGTAACTCGTAATTTTTATTTGCATGAAAATTTCATTAAATCAAAAAATTAATTAAATATCTATTTTATTCTGGGCGTGGAAGCCACCGGTTAGTATAAAAGAATTTTATTGTTTCTCATTGCGTATAACATTCGTTTTAACAGTGGTGACAAGATAACAGTGGTGTACCCGACGGTATATTCAATGGTTGGGAAGAATGACATCTCGCAAACAAGGAAGCAACCAATGAAGTGATTAATTCTGTAAAAGCTGGTGTAGGAGTCTTTAGAGCTGGTAAAGATATCTTCCAGACAGGTTTTGTTATTGTAGGACGTAGCGACATTGTTGTAGGTAATAATCACACAAGGATTTTGAGAGAAATAAGATTTATTAAAATAAGAGAGCATATCAACAGTGCGGCACACAGTCGTGTAAAACTTGCTCGGCAAGACATACTTATAGTTTGAATGCGCAGCGTCCAGCTCCATCTACGAGCTATTCGTTAAACATGTTAACTCCAACAGTTATTAGGGAAACTTATTAAGTCCTTTAAATCACAGGAGCAATATTCTGGCAATATCGCTGTCGGGAAGTCTTCTCGGCAAAAGGCGGAGTTTCGAAGTTGACGATGAAGATACTGAAGAAATCGACATTAGCAAGATGTACGTTAATTTGTATTTTTTTATACGAGAAAATAGAAAGATTAAGGGTCAGCTCGTATTAAACATTGGCAATAATAAGTTTTATTTATTCTGGTATAAAAGTCGTTCTAATAAAGTTTATCATCATGAACATTTTTATCTTGAAGTACTCGGCAAATTCTGTCATTTTCTTCTTTTCAACTCCCAAAATCTCAATTAAGTGCCCTAGAAAATCTCCTTAACCATGATATCTTAGTTATAGAAAATTAGTGACGTTAGATACGCCTCGCGCGCTCTTATCTTTTTTTTCATTTCCTGTCATATTATTTAATATATTTAACATTTGATTTTCAATTTTTTGAAAAAACACAAATCGCAACGGAAAAATATGTATTAATTCTGAAGTATACGTTTGAAGTATACCCTTGTGTTCTTACGTTTTTGAATTTTTACTACTAAAATTTCAATTCGAAATCACATATATTCAGTTATTTGCCCCCACATAAAAACACATCACGTATACCATGTCAGCCAATTAAATCAGAAATAAAATGCTTCAACATGACATCCATTACTATAAGGGGAAAAGTGGTTTACCAAGCTTTTCTGATCGTTAGAGTGAACGAAAATCATTTTTGAAGATTTCATTTTCTGCCTTATTTGTATTAGTACTCAAAATTCAATGAATCATTTTTCAAAATACTCAATTTCACAATATTTATAAGAACCTTTTCAAATTTACTCAAAAGAAATTGGTAAAAGTTCTCGTGAAAATGGTAAAATTGACTTTTTCAAAAAATCTTTCACTGAATCTAGAGTACTAATTTAAAGGAAGAAAATAAGACTTGTAAGAATAATTTTTCGTTCACTCTAACGTTCAGAAAAGCGTGGTAAATCAAATTAAAAAAAGTTGTTGCGTTTAAAGGGATTTTCCAGGGCCCTTACAAGATTAAAGTATCTACCAAGTGTTTCATTATGATGATAACTTTAATAGAATGTTCTGTATACCATAATCAAGAAAACTTTTTGATTGTTTAACATCAACTGTGCCCCTTAAAGAATTATAATTTTGAAAAAAATAAAAATGAAAATGACAAAAAATTTAGTTTTTATTAATTTTTCTTCTTTTATGAAACTGCAACGTTCTGACAAATGCAAATATCCATCACACTGCAATAACGTTTGCGTCGATCTTTGAAAAACATCGCAGGTATAGAAGCAGTCGAGTGATGGCAAGACAATGCTTACGCTTCAATTGAGCAAACTTGTTATTGCTTAATAATTGTTAAACTAGGCCGCAGACTTTTCTTCGACAATAGATTATTGCTGGTCTACAAACATTTTGACGCGCGAAGGCAGCTAAGTTTTCGTATAAATACGACGGGATGCGGCTAGTTATGCATTTGTTCTTCGAACGAGAAATTATAATATTAAATTATACGTATTAACGACATGTGTTTAAAGACAATTTTCGTTCTATCTGCCTGTTTGGCTTTGGCTCTCGTAAGTCGTTAATATTTTTCTCCAAATCGAGAACCTCCATACCGTAATTTATATCTATATAAAATTGTTTGTAGGGTGCAGTTATCGAACTGAGAGCTAAACGGCAAATAAATTCCTCATCTAAAAAGTCCGAATTACCAAGTTTTTCTGACAGCTTTGGTAGTGGATCAGAGGTGAAATATATATTACTTTTTTTCACAATTCCCTTTTAACTTGTGTGTGAGTGCAAAAAGTAATATTGAAATTGTATTGTATTAACAGTCGAATTTTGACAGCACAAACTTAACCAGCTCGGGTGCGAGTAGCATTGGCGGAGGATTTCAGGTAATAATAAGTTATTCCGAAAAATTTTTGTTGAACGACTTTTCTATGCTTGCTCAAATAAAAATGCTTATCTTAGAACGCTGGAAAGAGACTGCAGAATGCTTTCAATGAGACTTATCAAGACGAGAGAAATTCCGTATCCGACAGTTACAACAGCGTCAAAGACCGTTTTCACCAAGACATCGAAACAGCCGGAAATTTGACAAAAACTGCCTTTGATCTTGGTACGATTTTACCGAAATTCGGCAAAAATGTCATAATAAGCGATTCAAATTAAAGCTATTTCTTTAGTCCTTTCTTTATCGTATATTAATTTTCACAATGACCGTTGAGTTTGAAAAATAAATAACTTATTTGCATAAAAATTTTTTGTTTTTATTATTTGAAATATACGTATATACTTAACAAAAGTTTAATTGGAGAAAAGTACGAATTTGTTTTAAAGTAGTAAATTTCCATTTATTTATTTCAAATAAATAATATCTAATATGTTAATGTCACTTACAAAATTCTACGAAAGTATAATTGACAACTAATCGACAAAATTGGAACCAACATGTAAATAAAAAAATTTAATTTGTAACATTACGACAAAACTTATATTTGATGATAATGACAAAAGAAAGATTCTTATCATCACACTTGATTAACATCTGTAGTAACACAATAATCACTTGTATGTACTATCGAGTATGTCGAGCATCTGGAAGACGCGCTAAAAAGGCGGCAAAAAATAATGAAAGATGAATGAAGAATCGTATATGTACAGTATTGCAGATTTTCATTGTCACAGAAAAAAAATCAACATAGTAAAAACAAAAAAAAATTGATATGTGATTAGGTGACAAAGAGTAGAAAAATAGAGTTCGGAATGTCGCTGCGCACTGGAAGTGAAGCTAAGTACGGTTAGCGCACGATCATCAGTCTTTAAAGTTCATCCTTCTCATCGAGATCGATGTCGCTCAAATCAATGTCTTCTTCCTGTGGTGGTTCAGCGTCTTTACCGTCCCAGGGCTCATGTGAGTAAATCTTTGGTAATTCAGTGCCTTTAAGGGGTGCTGTGCTACCACGACCGTAACTTAAATCACGAAGAAATTCGTTGATACCGTTTTGCGAGAATGCACCCTTGAGAAGGGAGTATTTCATTTTTTTTATGTTCACTGCTGCAAGAGCTGGATAACCAAAGCCGCCGATTTCTAGGGCTTCTTCAATGTTTGGTTGTGCGCCTGCCTCAGCCCAAACCCACCTGAAAGAAAAATCGAAATTATTTCAATTTGTATGGCTTACACAAAATGATACTATAAATAAAAATTCTTCACTGATGAAAGCTTTGAAATATATTCAAGATAATACATACCCCCACATCTTCTTTTTGAACTTCTCACCAAGAGTCTTCAAAATAGACAGATAATTGTTTCTGCACTCAGATTGGCAGTCGAGAATGTGTGGCAGGACAGAAACAATGCACAGAGGTTTATCCTCACAAGCCTTTTTAAGGCTCTTCTCATCGACAATTTGAACAATTTCAGGTGCTGGTACACTCTCAGTCAATTTTTCAAGAGCCCAGGTAACAATGTCATTGCTGGTACGGCCACCATCATAATCTGATACAGAGTCTGAATCTTTTTTGCCTGGTGCAAAGAATTTGATAGAAGGATAGCCTCGAATTTCATATTGGCTAGCCTATAGTATACAAAAAAGTCTATTAATTTTTTTTATTTCATGAACGAATGAGATTTTATTTGAAAAAAATTATAATGTACCTTAATAGTGTGAACAGTAGCATCAAGAGCACCAAGTTTGACCTTGCCTTTGAGTTCAGTAGCAGCACTGGCCCAGTGAGGAGCAAGATTTTTACAATGACCGCACCATGGAGCAAAGAACTCAACAAGCCACATGTCCTCAGAGTTCATGACTAGTTTGTCAAAGTTCTCATCTGTGAGTTCAATTACATCCTTGCTATCTTTGGATCCAGATGAGGATTTAGAGTCACTGCTCTTCCTGCCACCGCCCAAGTTGTTACGAGCTTTCTGAGAAGCAGCATTGAGAGCAGCGTCAACCAAACCTGATGCAGTTCTAGCTCCATTGTAGTCCTCAGGTTTGTTCTTATCTGCTCCAAAAATCTTAATGGTTGGGAAACCATTGACGCCATATTGGCTTCCAAGAGATTTGTGGTTGTCAGCATTGACTGCACCAACTTTAACAATACCCTGCAATTGAATTTGATATTAAATTATGCAAGAATAAACAAAATTTAATAGGAATTATATCAATGAAGTAAAATTGTTATAGTGAATGAAAATAGCAATGTTATAATTTAATAGATGCTTTGAAGAGTTAGAAATTAAGATATTGGTGCATGAATCATCAGTATTGCATCTAAAAACTGCTTTTTTTAAATTATGTTACATAAACTATAAATAATTATAAATGATAGAAAGTTTCTAAACTAAGCAAAAGTGACATATAAAAGAGTGTGAATGGATTCTTGTTGATTTAAAAAAGCCAATTCAAATAATAATGCTTTAATCATTCTAGCAATTTCCATCAGTCGAATGGCTATACCTTGAGAGCAGTAGCAGCTTTTTCATACTCAGGCTTGAGTGATTGACAGTGTCCACACCACGGTGCATAGAACTCGACAATCCAAATACTATCGCTATCAATCACCTTCTTGTCAAAATTATTTGGTGTCAGATCGACGACATCTGAATTGGATGAGTACATGCATTGTACACCGGCTAAACCGAGTAACAGTAATGTAAATCCTAGAAAAAGCATAACCTCAGATTCCAATTCCACTAAGTAGGAAAAAATTTCCGTTGAAAATTAGTTAAAACAAAGTTACAAAGTCTAAAAATGTGTAAAATTAACAAAAAAATAAAAAAAAGTGTAGGAGAAAGTTGTATTTCCCGAGAAATTAAACAAAGCCGGTGCGAAAAATAAATGCAAAAGAACTCACGGATTGGTATGTCCTGCATCGTGGCAGATCGTTGCCGAGTAGTTGTTTCGTCGTCGCCTGGCGTCTTTTTGAAAGAAAAATAATTTTGAAAGGAATAGACCTTTTTTGGAAGGAGATGATGAACACACACTTGCCTCCTCCGCTTTGAAGCCGCGTATGCATATACACACAACAGCACTTTTCGTGGAGTGTTACGATTGGTCCACGATAATCAATGCGCTTTCTCACTCTAAAATCATCAGCTGTCCTTTTCTAGTGCTTCCGAGAGGTGGGTTGGGTACTGTAGGTTTCTGTATAATTGATGATGTGAGTGGTTTCTTCCTGTTTACGAGTGTACGGTGATGATTTTTTAGGGTGCCTTTTTTCTATTGAACTTTATGACTCTTATTTCGACAAGTATTATACACTTTTTTGTCAGTATAAATAATTTTGTTAACATTTTATAAATTACAAGCAAAATAAGCAATGATGAAAATTATTTTTTTATATAGTTTAATGGGTTCACGAAATTAAAAACGAAAACGCAAAGTTTTTGTATGAACGTGATTTATGTTTTTATTTATTTTTCGCTTTGAAATCTCTAGTACAATAATCAGCTTTATTCCACGTAGCGCAATAATTTATCGAAGCTTGGTTCTTTTTTCAAGGAAAAAATTGTTATACAAACAACGTTAGGTATACGTACCTTTATTTTTAACTTCTTAAATACTCAGACGCAGAAAACATGTTTAATAAGCGTTTTAGGAATAAAGTAAGGCGATAATGACAATCATTGTAACATACACGCTATTGATATATATTTTTGTAATTTTCTTTCTTTTCAGAATTATTCTCGATATATAAATGCACTGATCCTACTGTACCCTTTTTTTAAGACAAAAACCATCACACAATAATTATGCAAAAATAGACGTCTCGTTCTTCGACTTCGTCGTGAATTTTATTGATACGAGAAGAAGAGATCATCACACTGTCCCTTTTCCATTTCCATTTCCATTACCTTCAAGGCCTCACACTGAACATTGGTGTGTACGTTTAACAGTCACTCAAGTTCGATTATGATCAAATTTACTTCAGTCGTCCTTGCGGCCTATCATGTGTCTACCTTCAATGAAGCTTTGTAGATTTTTTTAGAAAAGATCAAAGTACAAATACAGTGCTAAAAAGACGCATTATTTGAACCTTAATGAATTTGAAAAACGAGTAGACCGCTTATGATTATTGCTCACAATGCAATATTATTTTTTATCTTCTCATGTAATTTGTTCAACGTTATAATACTGAAAAATTTTATCGACTCTGTGAGCATCCTACTGTCTACGTCTTTTGAAAAAAAAATGCAAAAAGATCGCTTATTCTTCTACGTAAAAAAAACAATGAAATGCAAAAAAAGGTTATTAGGTTTATTAAATCTGCTGCGGCACATTGTGTGTATGTTTAATTGATTCGTTAGATTTTCTTGATACTCAATAATTTAATAGATACGAGTAGTGTATGTAAGTAAAACACTTTGAGAGATATAGTGAATTCATCACAGAAGCGTTATATTGTTTGTAGTAGTTATATATACTTATTTTTTTATTAAGATTTTTTCTTCCGTAATACTTTGTTGAATCAGTGTACTACATGTTTTTTTTCTGAACGCATATAAGCTATAATCTTACAACGATTGAGTACAAAATCTTTTTTTAAGTTTCATTTTTTTGTCTTTATTAAATTTAATAATATACTTCAAGCCTAGTTTAAAGCACTATCATACGTATGTTAAATATATATCATATAACGCAACTTAGCACGCGAAGTTCTTACGCGTCTCGATTTTTTGCTGTTGTTATTAAATAAACGCACAATTTTTATATTGATGAATGTAAAAGCCACTTGATTATATTAGATACAAATGAAAAAAATTGATTTATCTTATTGAATCTATGAAGCGTAAGAAATTTTGCAACTGTATCGAACCGCATTAGTATATAAGCAAGTCGACTTTCCGTAAATATATATAAATAATGAAAACAGCAGAGCGCACAAAGTTAAGCGCAATTTTTCACAACAGCTCTTAAAAAAAACTTTAAATTTCGATAAAAATGTAATACTAAAAAATGAAAAACACCACGATAATTTACCAAGTAAAAACTTTAAAATAAATAAAACACAAAAAACGATATCCTTCATATTTAAAAGAAGCACTACATTTAGTCGTTTTTTTATTTATTTTTTTGTTTTTTGTAAAGCACTCGAAGGATTCTCGTTTCTTCTAAAGAAAACAGGCAGTGTTTGTGTTTTACTTAAGTATCCTAAATGCTCCTTAAGCGTTAATAATAATAAAATTATAGATGTAAGAGAGAGAGAGAGAGAGAGAGAGAGAGAGAGAGAGAAAAGAGAGAGAGAGGCAAGAGAAAGATAGAGAGAGAGAGAAGAGAAAGATAGATAGATAGATAGATAGATAGAGAGAGAGAGAGAGAGAGAGAGAGAGAGAGAGAGAGAGAGAGAGAGAGAGAGAGAGAGAGAGAGAGATTACGTCTTTTTTCAATGCGAGCTTTTTTAGCCGGAGCTTGCAGTCTCATTGGTATCCTGGCCGTCTTTGGTCTGCACTACTTTGGCTTTGTTCTGTCTTACCATTTCTACGCGTTTCTCCTATAAATGATAAATCATGCATTAAAAACAATTATTACTTAATTCAAGAATTTTATATTCTGTCAAATTCACATGATTCTTAAGCTTCTCCAACTGTTCACGCATGTTCGACTCCTTTCTCTCATGCGCTTGGTCGAGTTTGCTTTGAATTTGATTCTCTAGCTGGTGAACTCGGTCGGTTATACTCTGACGTACGCGAGCAACTCGTTCCTCCTGAAAACAAAAAGAAATTTATTTTTGACATTTCGCGATCGAATTGACGCCTGACTTGTCGAAAAAGAAAAATGAAACCTACATGTTCCTTAAGACGTTCGACCATCTTCTTGATGTTCTCATCACGCTGCGCAGCAGCAGTTTTCAGCTTCTCATCAAAAGCAGCACGAACTTCCTCAGTTTGCTGCTCAAGCGACAGTCTAGTCTTCTCAACACCTTCCAACTACAAAGAACAGAAAATATTCCATTGCCTATCAGTGCTGAGCCTGATTAATCAGCTATAAAAAAGAGCCACCTACGTGTTCCTTCAACTTGCTCTTCAGATCAGTAATGTGGGCTTCTCGTCTCTCCTCGCTGTTGTTCAGCTTAGTATCGAGGCTCTCCCGTGTAGCGTTAACGAAGCTGGCATTGAGCTCGTCCTTCTTACGCGCGACTTCTTCGATCCTGCTGAGTCGAGCACTGAGCGCAGCGATCTTGTTGGCTTCCAACGACAGCCGACGCTCTTCGGCCGCGCGAAGCTTATCCTCGATGTTCACCTGGGGTTGCGTCGGCGACGTTGGAATCGGGGAAGGCGCGCGCTTGGTCGGCGCCGTCGGCTCGGCCAGAATCACCTCGTAACGGAGGCCACCTTTCGTCATCTCTTGGCAACGAATCTCGGTCGCTGCGGACATATTCGGCAAACTAAATTTGTATCGCCCTCGGCGAAAGATCGACGATCGCGGCCACGGGAAGAGCCATCGAAACTATTATTCGCGGGCGATGCTTTGCGTCACAACAGCTACGTGCGCTGGGGCTTTGGCATATAACAGGCCGGCATTAATCACGCTCGCTCGCTCGCGCGCTCCTCGACTGGTTTCAACTTCGCGAATCTCGCATCAAGCTTGTTCGGTCGTTTATCATGCGCGAGGGCACGAACGAAGGATTCCCATCGAGAAGCAATTACGATCAAGTTAATCGTTGCGTCAAAAAGTTCGTGGTGAAAGGCAGTTCTTAAATTCATTTCGTTCCTAAAAAATGAGGGGAAACAGAAAAATTACTTACGAAAAATAATTCATTCAATGCAAACCAATCAATGACACGCCTGAAGACACTTTCTCAATTAACTCTCTCTCTCTCTCTCTCTCGCGCGCGCAAAGAGTAGCCTTGGCGAGTTAAAGCGGGCGCGAAGGAGAGAAAAATTCATTCCTCGAGAGGTTCAGGGTAGCAAGGGAGGTTCGAGTCCATACGCGCGCGCGCTCGTGTGTGTGTGTGTGTTTGTGAACGCCGGTAAAAAGCGTACGCAGGAGGGACGTCTAGGTGTATGACTCAGCGCCGCTCGCGAAAGAGGATCGATCTTCGTGCGCCTCGGAGAGGCGCCACCGCGTCTCTCGCTCATTCCGAGCCTTTTGCCACTATTGTTTTTTCTCGACTCTCCTCGTGAACCAGACGCGAAATTAGCGAGCCGTTCGTGTTCGCAACCTCGACGACGCAACGACGGCTCACTGTCTCCGTTGTGTGTCGACCCGAGCCACGCTGCCGCGGTCTTTCGAGCCAATCTCCAAATCTCGTTAACGACATCGTCGACCTTCGTCGCGCGTCGGCTTCAGCCTCGTTTCTCGCAAGCGTGCCACCTCCTCTCGTCCGTGTTCGCGCGCGCGCGTACGCGAAGCCAAACAAGGAACGGCCAACCGTTATGCCGCTAATTCGCGTTCCTTCCGCTATTCCCCCGCTCTCCTCTCCGCCCTTCCCGTCGATATAAACAATTCATAAAGTTGCACATGCGCCTTTGTCCGCGATATATCATCTTTCGCTCGCGTACGCGTTGCGCCCACTCGAGTGCATTGAACCTGCAGCGGCCAAGGTTCCTGTTAGTTTTCTTGCAAGGGCGAGATGAGAAACTGGATCTCATTGACACACATCGGGCAAACGTGTCTTATTACGGGCATCGAGAAATTGGGGATTGAAAAATTGACGTGAAAGTCCACGTCGCGGGCTAACGGTAAAGTATACATGAATCTGGCAAAAGGAGTGGTTTTGCTTAAAGTTCGTGTGCCGACGGCACTTTAGATATCCCGAGTAGGATAAAATTCAACCCTCGTGAGCCTGTTATATTACGGCACGAGTCCTTATTAGGAGACGCACGGTTGTCGGCGTATCGATGAGCTTCGTGGGCCCGAGACAGAGGCAAAGTTTTCTTCTTCTTTTTCGGTTTGGCTTGCTCGACGATGCGAAAATGGCGCGCAAGTAATGGGATTCAATGAGCGCGGCAATAAGAGGAGACTGACGCGCGCCGATTAAATTTTGACGACGGGAGAGTCTCAATGGATTCGAATAGAAATGCTCGGCAATAACCGTGGTGAGCGTTGCTGTACACGCAGGCGATTTCGTGAAGCAAAGTTTCAAGCTCGGCGGAGTGGAATGCACGCGAAACATTTTGCGAGCTCTACGCAAGTGCAAACAAATAAAAATTTTCGGGAGAAAGCGATGAAAGAACTGCGTCTAGCGTCAACGACGAATTGGCTGATCTGAAACTCGCAACCAAAGATCGTCGTTCGCGTAAGACATAAATAGAAAAACAAAAAACAAAAAACAAAGCGGAACATTTAAACCTTCGTTTATTTACATTTACTCACTGATAAACTTGACCTTCTTAGGCTGCTTGGTTCGTGGTTTGGCCTTGCCGGAGCTCGGTTTCTTGATGGCAGGTACACTTGTACCTCGTCGTTGAGTGGCTGTGTGTTTTATTCACCCACCCCAAATTAGCGATTCTCTCTCGCTCTATCGTATAAGAGGAAGGGTAAGGGACGACGACCACGTGCATGCGAAAGAGAAAAAGAAACGCCACACCCTCGTGCGCTGGCCTTCTTTTGATAGCGTAAGCGATCGCTCTTTTCGGTGTGTATTCTCGCTGAATTGACTTTTTTTTTGCGCGTGGAATTTTTGCGGGGGAACGAGTTTATGTATTCGATATTTTTTTTTCGGAAGGTCAGAAATGACGGTAAATTAATTTTTATCGAGGCTACGAGATACCTATTGAATGGATTTTGATTTCGTTTGTGTAAATTTCTTGAAATCGTTGTAGTTCGAAAAATAAGTTTTTTTTTCTTTAAATAAGAAATTCATTTCTCAAACTGCGCAAGTAGAATTCAGAACGATTTTCTGACGGTGCAACGGCATTCGAGAATTGGTTTTTATACAGTGTGAAAAGGACAAATGATATTTAAGGTTCAAGCCATAATCGCAGTATCGTTACTTTGTCGTTTGATGGAAAATCGCATTGTCATTGTCATTTTCACAAAGTGACCAATATGCGCTTCTATTTTTACTGTTCAAACATTTCTCGCAATAGTAGGATAGCTCTTTAGAAATTAAGCTTCGATGGATTTTAAAGATAACGACTGCGCGGAGCCATAAAATCGCGATAAATTCGCCGATCGATTCATGCGGAAAAACAGAGCCCCGCAGCTGCACGCCGAAGACGAAACACAGCCCAACTGTCCGTTTCCGCGTAGTAAAAGGTGTTGCGCTCTCGTTTGGCAACTGCTGCTGCATTGATTTTCCTCGCTTCCCGAAAAGCTTGACCCGCAATGTTCCGCCTGCCAAATGACTTTCCACGACACAGTGCTCGCTCGACGGACTTTGCCAGCACGTTGCGAAGAACACTGGCTTCCGGCGCGGATTTAGTCGACGGTTTTGTTTTTGTTTCCTTCGAGTATGACAATAATGACGTCCTGGAAGGATTCTCGACGACACCTCGTGTGCGGTGAGGAATTTATCACGTCGAAAGAGGCGGGGGGGGGGGGGGTCGGCGACGAGGCGAGGGGAAATTGATCGAGCTGCAGTACAAACGCATATATAGATATAGGTTCGCACGGGAGAGAAGCTCGTTGCAGTCCGATATCGCGTGCAGCGAACTTTCTTGGGGGGGGGGGGGGGGGGGGGGGCACGCCGACAACTCCACGTGTCCACGACGCCTCCTTCGAAGCTCGAAATTGTGCTCGCGACGATTTCACTGGTCGCCCTGCAGCCGCCACGAAGCAACACCCCACCTTTCTTCGAGGCAGAGCAACAATAAAATAGCGTTGCGATCGAGTCTGCATCGGAGCCGACGAGCCAATTTCCCTTTCGCCTTGAGGAGAAGATAAAGCAATGTGCGGCGGCTTCCGGTAGTAATCGACCGACCAAGAGCGTTTGATCTCTCTTTTTTTCTTTTGTTGCACGTTGAACAATACCCCCCCCCCCCCCGGTGGAAGAGTTCGTCGAACTTGATGGCTGCGCGCGCGCTTACCAGAAGAGATCCCACACTCACTGGATGCTGCTGACGACGATGACGTGCTCGAGGCTCGGGCGGGCAGCGATCGATGCAAATTGGCCGGAGCAATTTGTGTTTACTCGCGGCTGCGATTAGCGTTAATCCTCCCCCCTCCCCAACTCCCTTCCGACGAGAGGCAAAAAGTCAAGGCAAACACGGCTGATTTTCAATCTCGGAGAGGATCTCGCGAACCAACGATAATATTGACAATCGTAGATTGTCCTCGAACGAACTATTGTAGCCGAATATGTATACGCGTCTGTGTGTGTGTACGCGTGACTGTCAGCGAAGGATCAACCAAACGTTTCGAAATATATGATTTAAACAACCAACCGTCACGCGAAATCGAAAATGAGCGTCTAATTGCGCTCGTCGATCGATAATAATTTTTCCTGTTTTTTTTTTCTTCTTTTTTTTTTGGTTTTTCTTGTTTACAGCTTTATCTCCAAGGCTTTCTTTTTTCGCACGCACGTGGTAGGCAAGTCGTCGAAATGGTCGAAATGAAATGGGAAAACTTACCGATAATACTCAGTGGAGCTTTGCAACTGTGGCAGAAACACTGCAGCACCGAGTCGCGTACCATTGTGATCAGCATCGTTAATGGTTTTGTTTTACGAGTGCTCGTGAGACCTGTTTCTTTCGATAAAAAGGGAAGGGAGGGAGCTTGAGTTTTTTACTCGACGATGTGGGCAAGAATAATTTGTCTCTGACTGTTTTATTTTTTCGTTATTAGGCTAAAAAAACCACGAGTCGATTCGATGAATTTGTGGTCAGCAGTAACGTCACTCGTAATAGCTTTCGATACATACGCATAGCGTAATAATATAGTCTTCGTAACTTGCCCGAAAAGGAAAATCCTTCTTCTTTTTTTTTTGTTTTAACGAAAGTAACGGAGCTCTTGCTATATGATTAATCCGACGATGCGTTACAGCGATCGCGAGTAAAGAAGTGAGGGATGATGTTACAACGACGACTAAATAATTTTTAATCTTTTGCAAAGCACAAAACGTAATTCGCGCTACGTGCACGGCGTTCGTAAGGTAAGAATATCCGTCCGTCTTCGGAACGTTAATCGAGGAACTTTTTTCATTCGCGTAATTGTTCGATAGGTATATCTTGCTTGTCTTGTTCAATGAAAAATAACACGTTTCTTTTTCATTTTTGTTTCGAGTGTAACAAGCGATCGGCAAAATATTCCACCCGGCAACAGCTCACTGCGCCCTCCCCTCCCCCTTCGAGATAAGAAAACTGTACACACATTTATCGAAATCGAACCGTCTCTCGATTACTCGCTCAACTGCTAGACAAGACACGTCCAAATGGAGACAATTGAAAAATTGTTCGTTCTAGTTTTTTCTCGCGAAACAATAAAAAAAAGAAAAAAAATTAAATAATAAAAAAAAATATAAAAAAAAGATGAAAGAAGCAATGTTTGCAACAAACCTATATATCCGCAGAGAAAAAGTAAGGCGAGCGCAGGTAAACGCCGGGGCGGTGGCTGGTAGGCAACTGAGGGTTGGAGTGGCGGCGGCGGTGTCGAAGCGCCGCGGCGCCCGGCGTCGACGACGTCGCTATAGCCGCTCGATATGCCGGCCCTCTCTCCTCACTGTGCTCCATATACACGCCCGCGAGCGAGCGCGTGTGCGTCTCGCGGCTTTGCAGCTCTGCACGCGCGCGGCCTTTTCGCTCCCTATACGACGGATGCTGCTCGTCGACTGTTCGACGCGCGACGCCGAGTCCGACCGGGACGGGGCTGATCGCCGGCCGGGTAGACGCGAAGGCCGTTGGGTCCCGGTCGCGAAAGTCAGCGCGAGAACCGAGAGAAATAGAAGGGACGTTTTCCTTCGAGAGACAGGCTGCGGGATTTCATTTGGGATGAGAGCGTTGTTGCGACACGTGCTAACTGTTGCAAAGTACTTCTCGTGAGTGCTCTTCGCAGTTCTTGTTCTTCAGAAGGGAATGCAGTTCGGTTTGCTTTGACGCAGTCGCAGTTGCGGGCTTTTTAAGGCTAAAAATAGGAGAAACGAAGCTGGGAAGTGAGAAATAATCGCGTTGCAACAATCGCGACACAACGAATTGCATTCGCGGGCGCGAAGAGTGAAAAGCTCGGGATAAAAATCGCAGGTGTGGATGGTTACGAGAGGACGAGAGAAGTCGATTTTAATTAGTTATATACTATATATATACCTAATAAAAATACCTGGCGTATGCTGAACTCGCCGCTTTCGAGTCAGATCATGATTTTCTTTTGCTTGATAGCAGGTCGAAAATGAACAAAAAATTATGAACAAATTTCAGTAGGAAATATTTGAGATATCGTTTGATAATACAATATTAAGGCAAATGTGAGTAGCGCGATTGGAACGAAAGAGAAAGGCTGAGAAAAATACCAATAATAAATAAGAAGAACACCGGGTGGTAATCTAATGGTTGTGCCAGAGATAGACTGCGAGAGTGAGGCGCGAGAGTTTGCAAGGGAATTTCAATTGATCACTCTTTTTCAGCGCGGTTAGACACTTTTTTTTCAAAGATGTTGGCGTACTAGCAGATATGAAAATTTCACCGATAGCAAAAACGAAAAAAATAGAATATAAGAATGCCTGAAATGTTTTAAGTCGCTTGTATGAAAATTAATTGCAATCAACGTGACTAATTACCAAAGCTTTTCTAAAAACGAGCTAAGAAGTAAAATGCTGCTATTAATTAAATACGAATTCCATAGTCCCAGTGCATCTCGTCTCTGGAATGCGATCGGAAAACAAGCGACTTTTTCAAACTTTCATTCCAACGAGAAAAAAAAAAGAAGTCGTACCCGTTGAGAAATTGAGAGTAGTCAACAGCATCAATCAGACAGTTGCTTAGATATGGGAAAAATCGACGTACTAGCTCGGGGAAAAAAAGTTTCACAAAGTTCAATCGATGACAGAGTGATTAGTCGTTGACAAGTCGAAAATGGCTGTTATTCAAGTCTAATTACGCTCATCGACGGATTTGGTATTCGAAATGCTACGGATGAAAACAAAAACAAACTAGTCAGTTGTACATTTCCGATTGTAAAGTAGAGTGATTGAATTGACTTTCTCGTGATTTATATCGATTTTTATCACCGATATGTCATTAATGGATAAACGTTAGTGTGGGATAAATTTTCTACTCGATTTTTCGCAACGACAAAACTATATTTTAAAAAAGATAAATTGAAAAGGTTAAGAATTTTGACAGTAGTGTCGCAATGGAATCTAAAAACCCTTCGTGTGCAATTCAAAAGCAAATCTCGAAAGAAATAAAACGAAGCACAAACAAATGGATAGCCATACATTTCCGCTCTCCACCCAACAACGCATACCACGGCTCAGTTAACATTCAGACTCTCCCCTACGCGAATGCAGAACGCGCGACAAAAAAAAGAAGAAAAGAGAGTTCAAGTACACACATTCACACAGAGCCAGTATATGTAACGGGAAAGCAGACGAGTTTTCACCTTCTGCCTCCGCGCATAAGAGAAGAAGGAGAAAACCCTGTGGCAATAGGTAGGCGTCTCTCGACGACATTTTAGAAAGTGCCACCGTGGCGCGCAAAAAGGGCATGCATCCGATTTAATCATCGCTGCGCTGCACGAAAAATCGTGCGCGTTGTACAGTCTCGTTTTGGCAGTGTCACGAAGTCGCCGCTTTTGTTCTGTCCTCGCGCGCATGATTAGAAAGATAGATTTATTTTTGTGTGCGCGTTCGGGAAAAACTGTCACGAATCGAAGGGCTCTATTGTTAAAACGATCGGGGATTGTGATAATGAGCGTTGGATGATTTGAATTGATAAGTAGAATGTGGAATGAACCTTCAAGTAGTTTAGTATATCAAAGTGCATAAGTTACATTGACTTCGTTTCCCTTGCGAAATAACTAAAATGATGTGCGAGCTCTTACCTCCTTGACCTGCAGCAAGTCAAGTTATAACTTAACAATGCCAGTGCATAGCCCCTCGACTCGTAAAAAGTAAATTGTTACACGGTTCGCGTTCTCTAAACAATGTAGAACGAGAAGTTGTAATCTTGATCGCAAACAAAAAAATAGATCACATCTTAATAATACCCTACTCCAGCGAAGAATGAACGGAGGATCGATATATATTCAATAGGACTAATTATGTTAATGGCTCTTCCGTGATTTCTTGATACAAAAACAATGGTGAATGATTCGCAATAAGACAAATAATCCAAGCGCATCGAATTAAAAAGGTCGTAGCGATGTGCTTTATGCGTTTAGCCGCGAAAAATTGAGACGGATATAATCAATGCGCGACAATTTAACGAAGCTATGACTCGTGAAATTACTTACCCTCGTTCTCGACCAGCCTTTCCGTTGCTGTTGCCATGTTTAGTTTTATCTCTGTAAAATACAATTGAAAGAATAATCGTTGATTTAATTGTAGTTTTTAGATTCTCTACCTACTAAAATTGAATCCTATTTAAAAAACATACAGGATTTTCTGGAAAATGAGTCCTTATTTAAAGTTCATAGACTAAACCAGTTGAGATTAGATTTTAATTAAATAGATGTAAGTATTTGAATTGAAATTTTTTAGGAATTTTAAAAATATACAAGAAATAGAAAAGTCAATGACATTCAGATTTAAGACATTCAGGGTTAAGAAATCAAATAAAATTAAATACACGATTAAAAAAGAAGTTTTTTTGTGTATGTGAAAGGTGAATGAACGGGCGTTAGAAGTGTCACAAAAAAGCGTTGTATGTTGTAAACAACGACATCGTTGCTTTAACATTCAAGAAATCACTGAACAAACAAAAATTTATTGCATCTCAATTAATGCAGAGAAATACCTCGCGCGTCAGGCATCTTCAACAGCGTGTAAACAAAGCTCCGATAGAAAAGCAGCAACCACAACGGCAACGATGTCTCATCAATAAATACGAAAGAAAAGTATATACAGATTAGACAGAAAAGCCAGCAGTGAGAAATCACGAAAATTCAAATTGCCACTTTTGCCAGTCGATCATCGACAAAAAATAATTCTTTTTAACCTTTTAAGCGCGCTGCCGCTTTTGACACCACTATATCACTAAAATAAAACAGGACGAAGTATATAACGAACGAACCAAAACAAAGCAAGCGCGTACCTGCGCAGCAGTTCAAAGAACGCGAAAGAGGAAAATCAAGACAATATCACAGCGTTCAGTTGATATCGCGGCGATGGAAAAACGCAGAAGCAACAACGTGTTTTTGTATAACGCGACTGCTCATGGGTCCTCTTTGTCTAGTGCGCGCGCGTCCTTTAACCGTCGTTTGACCGTGAATTTCACTGCAAATTATTTGCAAACATAAGCGGATGAAGGATAGAAGTGGATGTAATCACGCCATGTACTCACCACGTGTTTCAAACTTGGATAAATTGCAGAAGAAAAAAGTGCACTGCACACAAAAGACAGAGAAGGTATAAACACAACTGCGACGATGCTTACGTCCGTCTGCCGCTGCGAGCCACTCGCTTTTATATTCTCCCTGTCCCGAAGCAAGTCGTTGATACACAAAGGGGAGCTCGCGGCAACTGGTTGCGTCGAGTATGTTTGTGTTTGTGTATCTGTGTGTGTAACTGCGGCGCCGTGACTCTCGCAATAATGAAAGCGCACCGTGTGTGACGGTCTCATGTGTGTACTGCAAATGCAAGAGGAATGTCGAGGTGTGACGTAAAATGACGAAAAACGTGACAAAGAGAAGAGGAGAGTGCGGCGGGAAAACAGTATGTTTAAACTTTGTGAATTCATTTGCATATTTTGTTTGTGATATACTTTTATATTTTTTTTTATTATGCGATTGTTAAATTGTCTGAAGGTTGAGAAAATATTTATTCTTATCATTCGCGACATGTAAAATATTTATTAACCACTGATTCAAAATTGTATTCTTCAAACTGTGTTACTCTTGAATTCGTTTTTTCTTACGGTTAGTGACAAAAAAACTAGTAAAATTTCAACGCAGTCTAATCTAATAAAAATCCTCTCGATCAAATACATTATTGATATACTCTCTTAATAAATATTGAATCATGTTCATGTATCACTTTTGAAATAAAATGAGACGACCAATAAGAGTTTCGAATAATTATCATTGGTCCGTTTGAATTTTGAGAGCGTTGAGCACAGTCGTGATGCTTTATATTTTTATTTTCGTCGCTGTGACTTTGCATGTGAGTACATGGTGTGCATACCGAAATGACAAGATGTTGCATGTGTGGTGACTCTGAAAAACGGTTCCCTTTTTTCCTTTCATGTGTTCCACGTGTGTTCGTGTGAACGTGGATAGTAGCAACGGTTAGAGCCTTTAAAATATCTAGTAAGCGTTATTTACCTGCGCTTTTCTTTTTCCTAATTTTTCTTTTTCTTTTGATTTTGAAGAAATACATTTTTGTTAACGTAGTAAAAAATGTATCAAAATAATATTTTTACGTACATTAATTTACTCTTCACTCTTATAAAAAAATAAAAAATTTCATTGTACGATATAATTTAAAAAAACCAACTGCGCATTAGTTGTTTTCATTTTCTTTTCTTGTAAAAATTGTAAAAATCTCTAGATTTCCATTAAGCGTCTGCTAGTATGTGCAATTTTATTATGAAATTTAATAATTATACATAAATGTAACTTTATCTTTTCAAAGCATTTAAAAACATTTTTTGAAAATCCAAAGTATATTATAATAAAAAAGTAAGTGGCCTCTTTATCTTATTAAGATTGGATTATCCTTTGAATTTTATCAACAACAAAGACTTTATAATATCGCAACGGCAATACGATAAAGTTATCGCAAAAATCACTTATTCGTCATACTTGATAAAAAAAGAGCTTTATAATATTTCTCACATCAAACAATTGTTCATTTACTTGCAACGGTCAATGTGTAAAATTATATTGCATAAAAACGTAATTTTTAACAAAATTCAATTTTTATTTTTTTCCTAAACAAAAACAATTGTTCGCTTCCAATTCCTCGTGTGTCATTCTCTTTTGATCTTTTGATCCAAATAATATTGCTCCTTCTCTCTCTCTCTCTCTCTCTCTCTCTCTCTCTCTCTCTCTCTCTCTCTCTCTCTCTCTCTCTCTTTCTCTCACACACACACACTGGTGCGAATAAAAGCGTGATTCAACAGAGATCTATACGATGGTCGTTACGTGCGTAGGCGCACACGTGAAACCAGGAACAGACGGATATGGTGATGCCGAGGTGCAACGGCTTTCGGAAAAAAGAGAGAGACAAGTGGGACTTCTCTGTCGAGTTCGAAATTGTCTTGCGCGTGTCTGTCTCTTTGTTGGAGTATGGCACAGGAAGATGCAAAGTTTCAAGCGTTTTATTGAAGTGATTGTTGGTTCATTTCGAGGAAACATTGATTCACAAAGATTCTCTTTGGATGTTAATATATTTGGAAAACAAATATTTAATGTCGAGGTTGAATATAATAAGAAAATGACGTAGAGATTTTAACAATATTAAAAGAAAATTGATGACAAAATTGACTCAGTACACGATGATGCTTTTCAAATTTAGAGAAACATTGATGTTTATTGCACTTATAGAAATAAAACAATTCACAATAATGTTTCAATCTTAAAAATATAGTTTGATTATCTGTAAGTATTGTTAAACATTTAAGTACTTGTTTTACTGTAAAAAGAAGTAAAAGTAACATAAAAATATTAAAATCTACGAAATAACAAAGTTCTAATACACTCATACACAAAAGTAATTATGGTTTTTTCCCCAAAATTGTATGAAACTAGCGGTAACTGAAATAGTACATTTCGATACTTGTGCGAAAATGTAATTTTAGCCTCGTGTGAACGTTTGCGCTCAAGCAAAACGGGAGTGAAAATGCTACACAAGGGTGAAATCACTTTCTCGCGTGTATATCTAACTTTATTTTTCGATACGACGTCTGTGGGACGAGATTATAAACATGTTCGATTACTTGAGCGTGCGTAAAAGTCGAGTTCCCGCGTACGGTTAAAAATATTTTTAGGAATGTTATTTTTCCTACAGTGATTGCTAATATGCAAGTGAAAATTATCCATAACATAAACTTGCAAAATTTAACAACCATATATATCACTAGAAAAAAATATGAAATTGACGTTAAATATAGAATCGTCTGATAATAGAAAGCTAACATCTTCATCACTTTCCTAATCGACATACTCTAAAAGGTTTGTTCTAGCTAAAGCTTCATCGTTTCAAGCTGTCTTTACCACATAGCTGGTGGTAAAAGAATTGTCGTGACGATATAGCAGTTTCAAGTATTAGATAAATATAATGTACTGTGTAGTATGCTCAAATGCGATAGAAATGTATTTCTTGTATGAAATATTTAATTTACTAAATTGTTTATAATTTTTGTGTTATTCATACAGTGGCATATTTGACCGACAATTGTTTCAATTTTCACATTTATTAGTTATATAACAAATTGGATTATTGAGAATTTATTTATCTATCTTATTTATTCTAAAAATGTTAACATATATTTACGTAATAGTTAAATACTTTGATGAATGAAGGAAGTTTGAAAAATAAATAGGTAAAAATAAAAACTGAAGTTAAAAAAAAAAGATTTATTCTAAATAAAAGGTACAAATTTGGTAAGCTTATTACAATGATTTAAATAATACAATTAACAGCACAACAGATTCTTAGAAAAATAATGCAATGTGTCAGTTTAATATTACTATTCTTGTCCTATTGTCTAATACTAATAAGATTTTTTTTTTATTTCACGTCGCTCTATTTATGCTCCATCAGTGCTAATCAGCGATGGAGGCTTGCAATGTGTTTGAGAACAAAGCACATGAAACTTTTTTCAGTGGTGCTTGTATCAATAAGCAGGGACTGGGAATCGAACCCGGGCCTACCGGCTGCGAGTCCGTCGCCCTACCGAGTAATGAGATTATAATGTGGCTTATCTCGTTATATATCAAAACATGTTTTTAAATAGCACTACATAATTAATATGATATGCTAAAGTTTTAAAAAAAACTTGCAGTAGAAATAGTAAAAAAACAACTCTATACTTGAACGAAAAGTACAGTACGTTGTCATTATATTCTATAACATTTCAACATATTTTATAGTTTTTATTGCAAGATTATAAAAATTTCAGAGTACAAGTTAAAATTCTTAGTTTATTTAAATTACCGAAATATAAAAATTTCTTTCCTGTTTCTTCACGATTGTTTGGCATTTTATTTCTTATCACTATTCTTCTCGATAATCAACGTAACTTTAAAGTCAGAATTGACATTTAGCTCACCTATGATGTTAAAGTAAGATTTGTCTTCAAAATATTGTTGAAGAACTTGTATGCTAAGAAATTCATTTATTCTACTGATTCAAAAATAATTAAATATATCAGATATTACTAAAATAAATCATAATGAATCTACTGTTAAGTACCTCTATTATGCTAATTGAAAAGTAGTTAGTATACCAACATAATAACACTTGTCAAATAGCACAACTCACACAAATTAAAACTTTTTTTTGTATTCTGTATTCCATTCGCTCATACGGAAAAGATCAGTTATTTATATAAAAATTTGATTCCTCATGATGTAGTTTTCTAGCCATTCCTGAAATTTAAAATCGACTTTTTTCGATTAGAAAGAAAAATGTTACATCGAAAGTTGTAGAATTCATAGTTTCTGTAGATCAAAGTTTGTCGAAAAATTTAAAAATTCCTTCTTTTTTCAACATTACATTATTTTAAGTACCCCAATAATAGATGTCTAAATCTTGCAATCAAAAAACATCAACAATAGCTTCGTAATCTACTCTGTTTAATGTAGTAATCATTTCGAAATGCAATTAACTTTACTTAGCCATTATTTTGCGATCATTTAGAAGTATGCTCTAGACATTTAACGAGAATGAAGTAAAAAATTATTTTTTTGTAAAGAATATAGCAATGAATATTTCCTTATTTCCAAATGGGAAGACAATGATAAACTCTTTAAAAAACCGTCACATTCGGCAAAATAATGACAAAAGTTAGTTTTTTAAATTCAAAAGTAACTGCCGAACTTAGCTTTCAGTAAATTATTTTCTTCTTTCAGTCTTTTATTTTCCTCTTTTAACTTTGTTACTTTCAGACTATCTTTAAAATTTATCATGTCCAGTAGTTCACCTGCTGATAGTCGCAAATTTGAATGGTCCTGAGTAGCTTTTTTTAGTATACTCATCTGAAATGTTGCAAATATATAGTCAGATTATGTATTTAACTTGATTATTTAAATTTAATAAATACAATTCATGATTATACCTACCCAAAACGGATAACGTTCTATAACTTCAGATGGTACTTGACCTTTTTTCAACTCTTGAATTTTTAAATGTCGTTCCATTTCTGTTTGCATTGGATAAACGACCTCAAAAAGCACAATTCCACAGCTATATATATCGCTCTACAAATATAATAATGATATTATACAATTCCCGTGCAAGAATAAGAAAATATTTGAAAAGTTGTTTGTGATATAATATCAATACCTTCGGATCACATTTTTTTTTAAGTTGTTCCGGAGCCACATACAACCTCGTCCCGATTTCTTGACTGTGCTCAATTTTTTGACACTCGCAAGCTAACCCAAAATCACCTAATTGAACAGAAATTTTTCCTGACTCCACAGAAATGAAGATGTTTTGAGGCTGCAATATATATTCAATTCATGAATTGTTGCAATTGAAAAATATAATATAGAAAAGATTGATTCATTTTACTTTAATATCATGATGAATTACTCCGCGATTGTGGATGTACTTTAGACCGCTAAGTATTTGAATCATTATTTCTTCAATTTCTGATGATGTGGAAAATTCTTCTCGCCCATCCATCCATTCGCGAAGATTTTGATGACATAAGCTCATCTGAATGTATAAAACTACTCGAGACTCATTCTAAAATAAAAAAATCCATTGAGACTTCTAAAATATTTGAAAATAAGTTTGCTTTAAAAGTGCAGGAACACATACCTCTTGTGAATTTTGGGAAGCTTCATCAACTTGCATCGCCTTATCGGGAAGACCGTTTTTCGTACTAAGTATATTAAGAAATCCAATGTCTTTTCGAATGGTGTTATAATAATCAGTGCCAGTCTGACTACCCGATTGAGACGACTGAGAAAGTTCAAATAAATCAGTATCATTGCAAGGTTCAATCCATGCTTGTTTGTAAGCAACGACATTGGGATGATTCAATTGAGCCAAAATTTTAACTTCCTCCAGACATTTAACGATTTCTTCGGAACGCTGTTGTTCAATATATACTTTTTTTATAGCATAATCTAGACCATCGAGATAATGTTTAGCTTTCACAACGCAACCAAAGCCTCCTCTTCCAATCCACGACAATTCTTGAAATTGACACCGATAAAGAGTCATGTAATTCTCCAAGTATCTAAAAAAAATGTTTAATTTGATAATGAGGTTGAAATAAAAATAATTTTCGAATTATCATTACGTACCTTGCAGTGGTAGTGTCATTGTCTTTAATGGTTAAAATTCCTCGGATACTGAAGAAATTATCCAAAGCGCGTGAGATACGTTGCTGAGTCATAATAAAGTCTAAAGACCCCATATCATCACAAGTATCAATCAAATTATTCATGCGAATTATATCGCAAAACACTAAAATATAAAAATTTTTAAATTTAATTGTAGTTTCTATTACTTTTGCAATCTAATATTATTTTATACTAAGTTTCAAACTTACATTCGAAAATATAATTTCCACGACCAACGTCTTTTTTGAAAACAGCAGGAAGTATCTTTTGAAGTTTATTCTTGAAAGCTTCATATACTTTTTTATTTTTTTCGTTGCGTGATTTGGAAAGAGACTTTTTTTTCTTAAATTTTTTTAAGCGGTCAACCGGTGATGCTAAAAACATTTCCGGCGACATTGAACGTTTTTCAGACGATCCTATTTCCATATTCTTGACTTTCAATTCTCTCAAAAAGCTTCCGCCTCTTCAGTAAAGGAAATACAAAATTTGTAATTACCTAGAAATGAAGCTTGTTGGTGGAAAATTCAGAAAATCTGAAAAGTAAAAAGAAAAATTAGCATTATTTGTCGTCGGCAATACTGTTTGATATAAATTATGAAATATAGGTAAAAAATTTGAATCATGTAGGATTCTAGTTTATCAACTGTAGATAACTCAATAGAACTCAAATTTTCTACGTCGGTCATATCGGACATTTACATTGCGGTATATTAATTATTTTGTTTTTTTTGAGCTATTAAGAGTAAAAAAATAATCATCGTATTATAGTATTATTTCTACTAAAATTTTTGATATAAAAACGTTTTATATCTAATTTAAGTAATGGTAGTTGTAATAATTATAAATGAGCACTATGTATATAAAGCTTAATTACTTTAGAAAAATAGTGTTTTTGGTTGTTTTTGTAAAATGCATAAATACATTTATTATGAATAAAAAGATAAAATTAAAATTATCGTAGGACCACTTTAGTTACCAATCAAAGATCTTTTTATTGCTAACCGAAGCTCGTTTGTTTTAATTCTCTAGATGTATTGCTTCATCGTCAAATTGTAATTAATAACTAAGCAATTTCACATTTTTGCCATTTTCTCGGTCAAACGGAATGAAAAAAAAATTAAAAATAACTCAAATGATAGACATTTCGATTCTACATAAGCTACAATCACTTTTATACATAAACGTGCCCCTGATAGAAAAGATACACTGTCAAAGTTAAAACCTTCCGACGTTGTAGCTCGTAAACAAATTAATTGCAACAGCCCGCACTAAATTTGTATTAAACATTTTTCATCAATGCACTGTATGGATAAGTAAGAATGGAATTGTTTACACACTTTTAAAAACAATGTTAATTAAATTTTTTTTTAATTTCGCAAATATTGCAACATGTGGTTATTCAAAAAAAATTTTATTTTGAAAAATATTAATTAAAAATATTAATTTTATTTCAAAAACTATTTTTCCCTTTATTTACATAGTATTTCGCCACCACAGAAAAAGAATTACGCTATTTACTTAAAATATAGATAAATTTTTTTTGTACTAAAATGATTAGACTATTGCCGTTAAGCTGTTGCAGTATCTTAGCCATGAAAGATGAAAACTATAAATTTCTTAACTCCGAGCTCTCCCTCCTCTTTCACCTCTTATAACTATACTTATACCTTGTCTTGTTAATCTCAGCATCTATCTCGAACATTCTATAATTGACCGAGAACGCGAAGCCTATAGCGAACAGGTCATGACTTGTTCCGTCATAACGTTTTATACGGTCACATAGTCTTCGTGCATGCGATGTACTATAATTGTAACAAATCAATTTTTTTATTTAAACCTGCAAAAAACCTACGGATTTATACCGTGTGATTTTGAGGAAACTGAACGTAGATCCACTCGTTTTATTATTTCTTTTGGCATGGAATGGCAGGTAGGCGATGGGGATCGAGTGAGATTAATCTCTTGTTAGCTTTACCTGTTTAATCTTGTTAAATTAATAGTCAACATGGGCAAGAAACTTTTAAAAAATGGCGATATATTTCAGTCCAACAGTTTTTATCCTACTATGATCAATATTTAGTCGAGCCGGTTGAGTTAACAGTATACTTGAGGTATCTCTTTATTTTATGAGAAACATTGATATAACTAAATTTAATAAAGTATATAGTTACATAAATATATAATTAGTCATTTTTTAACTTATTTTATGTAAGCTGGATATGAAAGCAAGGAATGTGGTAGCGCAGGAAATAGCGGCGTAAGTTCTAAAATGTCATGGATGTATATACGAGTTCGATAAAACCTCGCATCATTTTGATCCACGGGACAAAAAATAATAGGATGAAGATAACGTCTTTATAGATATTTTTACGGATATTTACAGTGATCAATAGTATGTGCGGTGATGTTATATCCAAGTGGTTTTCTGTATTCAAAATCAGTCTTGATAAGATCCTTGAGAAAACGTCCACACTCTCCAACGGTTGGCCATGTAATGGAGGGCAACTGTTGGTCTCCTACATGGTTCCACCGATTCCGCCGTGGTCCCCACTACCCTGTTATCAAATGGCTATTTTTTGAAAACCGGTTATACTTCCATTCCACCCCACCACATGAGCGCCCTCTTTCAACAAGGTTCTTATCAGCAGTTGTAATAGCAGAGATTATACTATAAACAGTATAAACTATAATTTCTAATTCTATGTATTCTGAATATTCTCTGCTCATGCCATGATTTTCTGGCAATAATAACCTATACAAACATAACCCGTCGCGCAAGAAAGAGAGCAAGAAAGTAGAGAGGGTACGGAAAGATATAATTGTCACCGTTGCGAGAGAAAAGAAACGCTATAGAGATCGGGCGCAAATAAATCGAGTTAAGAAATAAATGGTGCGAGATGATCTTCTATCGAGACTCCTCAAAATTCTGATCAGGTAAGCAAGTGCTCATTGTGTCAGCTTTGCACTCTCACGCAAGAATGATGATTTGTCACCGCATGTTCTGTTTTTTAGTACTGATTTCATACTATTATTTTTGTAAGTTTTGCGAGGTTTTATTTCTTTATCTGTTCGTTGTTTTATTCAATTTTCAGGTACTGACATCGTGCTTTAGCTATGCTCTGAATTATGAAGTAGTACTGTATTTACAAATTGCTACCAAGAGAAAAATGAAATATCGTTGTTTAACTGTTTATGACATTAATAAATTACATTAATGATACATTATTAACATAGTCCATGTCACGCTTAATCAACTTGTCAGTTTTCATTTATAAAATATTTGTTGCCCAGACTTTTCAATTAGATTTTCAAATAAATGATAGCTCAGCAGTTTTCTGCATTATATTTGTATTAGACATAGTTATGAATTTAATATTGTATATTTTTTTTTACAGAGGTATTGAACAAGTCAAAATTAGTAACATACAACATTAACTTTCAAAATGGCCAGTGACACCAGTGACCAGTTACAAAAGAGGAAACCAAAGCGTTCCAAAAATTATGATGAGGATGACTATCCTGAAGGTTATAGACTCCGTTCTGGAACTGACAGTTTTCCAAATATCAATGAGAGACCAGTTGAAGACATCTCCATTGAATTTTTTTATGAACCTCATACAATCACACTCCTCATTATTTCAATATGTGCTGTCATCTACTTTGCATTTGTCAGGTAAGCAATATAACAGATTATAGCTGCCAAGATCTACAGCATCATTGACTGCTATATTTATAGTAAATATAGTTATTTAGAACAGTCATTCATAATGATAGTTGGAGGTCATTAGACCTTTGTTACATTAAAATAAATACTGTATTATATAATACAAAATTAGTTATCAGTAATTGATAAGTATTATTGTTTTTTTTCAGAGACTGCTCCAATGTAGAAGAGAATTTATGGTCAGGATTATTAAGTATTATTTTCTTCTTCCTCATTATATCAATATTAACTTTTCCAAATGGACCATTCACACGTCCTCATCCTGTTGTATGGAGGATAGTATTTGGTAGCAGTGTTTTATATGAAACATTTCTATTGTTCATGTTGTTTCAAAACTACAAGACAGTAAGAAATATATTTGTATGGATAGATCCAAGTTTAGCTAACTTTCGCATAGACATGGATAAAGAGTATGCAGTCAATTGTTCAGACATAACTGTAGAAAAAATTTGGAATCAAATGGATGTCTATGCGGTGGCTCACTTCCTTGGTTGGGCCTTTAAAGCAGTCCTTATACGTCATTTGGGAATTTTATGGGCTATAAGTGTAATGTGGGAAGTGACTGAAATTATGTTTGCTCATCTGCTACCAAACTTTAAAGAATGTTGGTGGGATGCTATTGTTCTGGATGTACTTGTATGCAATGGTTTAGGTATCTGGGTAGGACTGAAGATTTGTCAGATGTTAGAAATGAGAGAATACAAATGGGTCAGCATTAAGGATATTGAAAGTACTAAAGGCAAATTGAAAAGGGCTGTACTTCAATTTACACCAGAAAGTTGGACATCAGTTAGGTGGCTCGATCCTCATTGTACACATATGAGATTGATTGCACTTGTACAGCTTGTAATATTCTGGCAAGTTTCAGAGCTGAACACATTCTTTCTCAAACACGTCTATGAGTTTCCACCATCTCATCCATTTGTTGTATGTAGATTAGTATTAGTAGGAGTTATCGTTGCTCCATCGGTCAGGTAATTTACATTTTTCTCATTTTTCATACTGTGATAATTAAAAGAATTCTTTTTTATTCTAGGCAATATTACATGTACGTGACTGATCCCACTTGTCGTAGAGTAGGAACGCAATGTTGGGTTTATGGCGCTATAATGGTAACAGAGGCCTTACTTTGCATCAGGCATGGAGCTGAATTGTTTGAGAGAACTCAAGCTCTTAACATTTTGATCTGGCTGCTTTGTCAAACTCTAGTCTCAGTGCTGTGTGTTTATGGCTGTGTTTTGTGGCATCGATACTTCGCGGTACGTTGTACAATATTTATTAAAAATTTTCTTTTGGCAGAATAATGGTTTTTGATTGTTTGCTTGATTAGATATATTCTTTTAATTATTTTGTCTTTCAATTCATAAGCTTCGAAGTTAAGGATTATTGACTTTATTTTAGATCTTAGTAAATTGAGTAAAAAGAAATTGCTATTTTACTATACTCATAATTCCTTTCATCCTAAAATTAGAATGTCATTAATATCATTAACATTCTATGTTTTAATAATGCCATGTTTTCTATTTGATCATCCGTATTTGTAGAAGAACAAAAAGAGTTACTGCAATCAGGAAGAAAAGAGTTGCGCAGAAGCTACTCCTGCTGGTAATATTCTATTACATGAATACATCCACATTCTAACAATAACATTTGAGCACCTTATTCTAATAAGCAGCACGAATTTTTAATATCTAGTAGAGCTTATAAAACTATTTACAAAAAGTCTATACTTTGATACTCTATCTTAAATTGATTTTATTACATTTAGGGGCATTGGAGGATGATGCTGAAGTCATGGAGTCCAAAGAGGATAAAAAAAACATTTAAGCACCTGGATTGTACGAATGATACCACCGGCTGATAGCCGAATCTTCTAGTCGTGCTAAAAGTAATCATTAGCGCGGGAATGCCATGAAAAAAGTTTGTTTTTTGCGAAAAATTCTTGCGAAGAATGCATGATATATAAGAATGTATGAGAGTTAACACAGAGTAAAGTGATTTTTATTTTTATTTAATTCTAGTTTTGTTCTTAACGACAGTTGATTTAATGAATTAATGAATGACTGAGTAGTTCAAAAGTGGGAAAAGGATTAAGATCTAATTTAATTTTATATAACGAAATTAGTGAATCCATCCAGCTTGGCTGCATTGAAAGTTGATAGATATTTAGTTTTATTTTCTTGTTTTATTTTGAATTTGGTACATTTTTTACTTTATAAAATAATTACTAACAGAAAATTTGTTATTAGAATGATGTCCCTATTTTGTATATAACTAAAATATTTTTATTTCAAAATTGAATTCATCATGATTGAAGATCTTGTGATTTAAAAATATTACTTTCGAGTAGATTTTCGAGATTTTTAAGTTTCTTTTTATGTAATTGTTAAAGCAGTTGAAATCACAATGACAATTTTCTTGGCTGTCAAATTATTTTGTTACGTTAATTAATAAATGTAACAAACTTGTTACATTAACTAAGGAAATGTTTTAAGGAATAAACATCAAAATATTGCCATTAGTAAATTCACTTGCATTGTAAAAATTATATTTCTAGTAAAATGTTGTAAAATAAAATCAGTCAAATATAAATTTCAAAGATCTCATGAATATTTTAACTAATTATAAAAATATATCATTTAAATATCCTATTATATACGTATATACAGATATACGTCACTAGATCTAACTAAATTTATCCTATTATATCGTCTAAAACGTAAAATTATAAAATAATAAATTAGAGTAATACTGTGAACTTACATGAAATATGGTTTTCTATGAAAATTTAGAGGTGCCTTCGCGTAGAGCATCGATATAAATGAAAAATCGTAAACTTTTATATACACGACATATGTATTTCATTGGATTAATTTAATGGAATCTAATAGGGTTCATATCAACTACCAAAGTTTGGTGTTTTAAAATGGAGGTATAAATATAAACTTAAGGAGACTTCTTTTGTCGTAAGTGCGTTATTTGAATATTTATCATGGAAATGGCTTCTACTTTGTAATTTAAATTCTACGAAAATATCGAGTTAGGTAATCCTGTAGTGTGCCTGAAATAAAAAAATTTGTTTCAAAATCAAGGTTACACCAGTCAGAGTAGTATGATTTAAAAAACAAAAAAGTAAAAAGAATAAATGTAATAATGTTTATTTGACGAGGATCCCACATGTGCCAATAGCATTTGTATTTGTAAATTGAAAAACTGTGTAAGATCGCAGCACATGTCCGACAATCATTTAAGCTATGTATGAAGATCTTTGTAAAGTCATAGCTTGATATTTTTTTATTTTCTCGCCCAACGGTGTTCATGGTATGTTCTAGTGTCGATAATCATAGACAAATAATTTCAATTATCAACACAGCTACATCGACTGAATTAGAAGTGAAATAGTCCAAGCATTTTTATTATTTTTTCCATGCTATCAAGCTGAAAATTTCTATTTTGTAAAAATTCATATTTTCGGAATCTCTTACAGTAGTATCTCTTATAGCAGCTTCGTAGTGTGTAATTGCCAAAGGAATCGTCCCTTCAGAATTAGCAATGTAAGACGTATGGTACTTTATTTCTTAATTAATTGTTAAATAAAAATAAACTTTTGTAATACACGCTCATTGCAAATTCCAATCAAAGATGCATGCACCGAAACTACATATATCCTTCGCATGTTCCTTTATAATTGCATTCTGAGAGAATGAAAAAAAGAGACCTAGATAATAATTTTTTACATACGATTGTAATCTTGTTTTGTTTGTTATGTTTCTGATTGTAATCGTGATTTACTCTCAATTCGACAAGTTATATTATAAAATCAATGAATAAATAAATGAGTTGAGAGAAATGATTACGTTTTTTATTATTTAATTGTATTTTCCTTTTTCAAAATTTCTTTTTTATTAATAATTACACAATGGTATTGGTGTATAAGTTACTTATGCTGATATAGTTTATAATACAGTTATCACAGATACGTAAACTACAAAATACCATACGCTACAGCTTAAAACAAATGCAATCTGCGCTCCTGCTTTTATTTTGGAGAGGTTTCACTTTTCAAGAGGCTCCAGTGTTAAAGAGCACTCGTTATTTAGGTCGAGGTCGAGATCAATTTTCATGTCGAAGTCGTCTTCTCGCTTTGAAAGACCTGGTACATTCTGGAATATAACATTTACATATCATTGCTTTAGTTTTTGACACAACATTATTTAATCATTGGAATTGCACTTTAAAAACGGGAATTAATTCAATTTTAAATTGACTACCACATGTAAATGTAATCTACAATTGAAATTACGAATGAATAAGATCTGTTCATTTTAAACGCTGTGAGGTACACTAGGTACGTATACGCTTGATACGTATATATCTTGATTCTTTGTAGTCATGAGAGGCATGCAACCAACTTCTCTCGCCACTTTTGGAAATTTGTGGGAGGGGAATTTTTACATGCATCATGACTGAAATCTCAATCATTTTAATTATGCAATTGCTAATTAATTATGAAAATTATTTTATTTAAAACAGTAAAGTAAACGATAGAAATACCTTTCTTTGTGCCTCTTCAGCTTTGGCTTTATCTTTCTCCCTATCTAAAGTATTGAGCGCAGTCATAGTGGGACTTTTAGAAATAGTTTGTCGCTTGGGTGTCGGCCGTCTTGGCTTAAACGATCCCGAAGCTTTCTTTGGCAGTTGTGAACTCGTATGCTTTTTCACTTCATGTGTCTGGTCACAATTATGATTTAGTAACTGGTCCTTGGATTTAAATGACTGAAATTTTTATTAAAATTGAATGAATTATTCATTAAATTTAAACGCTTATCGCTAACTTAAGTTTATTGGAAACTTATAGTTGATCTTTTTATTACCAAAGAGCACGTTTATCATTTTGTCACGTAAAAAATTAATAAATTAAAAATATTGAATAACCCAACTTACATGTAAGCAAACATCGCACTTGAATCCATGATGCTTGATCTCGTGATGTTTGAGCGCCTGAGCTTGATGAAAATGACGATTGCAATGACGACAACTAAATCGTTTAATATTGCTATGAGTGAGCAGATGACGTTTAAGCTTGTCCGGTCTAGAGAATTCACTCATACAACCTAGGTGTCCACGGAATGGGCACTTAAGCCGCTTGGTAAGATCATGAATGAGCATGTGGCGACCAAGGCGATCTTTCCTTTTGAATTTAGCTGAACAGTGCTGTGAATAAAAGTAAAGCGTTAGAGAACTACGAATGTTTGTTACTATGAATATAACAAACATCAACTACTCACCGGACAAGAAAACGGTGTTTCTTCGCTGTGAATAAGCTTGTGATTAGCCAAGTATTGTTCAGTTTTGAAAGCTTTGCCGCAATCCTCGCAAGCAAAGCGTGCCGATGATGCGTGAGTTTTGAGATGTCGACGTAGGAACCTCTCAATTAGGAAACTTTTGCCGCAGTGAGGACATGCGTAATCGTGAGTAGTCGTCTCGGTGTGATGCTGTAAAGCTTCGAGGTTTGAGAATGATGATTTGCATACCGAACAACAGTAGTATCTGAAAATGCAGCAAATGTAATTGTAGGACTAAAAAACATATTAAGGCAATGATGTAAATAAAACATACTTTTCAGAGGTTTTCTGTTTCTGGACGGAATGCGTGTACTGGTGAAGTCCCAAATCGGACAATGTATTAAAAGTTTCGCCACAAACATGGCACCGATACTCTGATCTCTTGTGACTTCTAGTATGCTCGAGAAAATCTTCAAGCTCAGGAAACATTGATCCACAACCATACTGTACGCACTTATAAACTTTAAGAGTTAGATGAGACACGATAAGATGACCTTTAAGAGCTTTGTAAGAATCAAAGATTTCTTTGCAGAATTGACAGTGATAAGAGCGCTCAATACTTCCGTCGATTGGTGCCTCGGGAGGTAACGAATGTATAGCTGTACCTGGCCAAACTTTATGCGAAGACATGTGCTTCTTCACATTGGATTTTTGGGCGAAAGGACGGCCACAGACAACACATTGATAAGGCTTCTCACCTGTGTGCGAGCGCTCGTGCTGTTGCCAGTAGAACTTTTTGGCGAATTGCTTGTGACAGTAGCTGCACTTGTACTATTAATGAAAATTTGTTATTTTTAAAGTTTTATTATACTTGTAAATGTATATGACTTACCTTCAAGTTTTGTATTTGACCAGATTGATCATCTTGCTGTGGGCTCTCAGCTGGAGGATTTTCTTTAGGAGCATCGCTTGTAATTGGTGTATTGTTATCATCCAAATTCTTTTCTATGTTGTTCTTTAGAGCTTGTATCTCTTCATTTATTGGATCATCTATGGGCTCAGTGATTGATGAGTTGGTAAAAGAATCTAAACCCTCATTATTTAGAATTATAGGTACACCAAAACTTGAATCCGACGTCAAGTAGCTGGCACCTTCTTGATCCATGCTGTAAATAATTTCTTTCTTATAAATACTGTAATTTTAATAAAAACTTAGTAATTATAAGTAAAACTGCTATTGACCTAAATAGAATATCATTGTCCTCCAAAATAATTGGTTCTCCAAGGGTATGAGTTTGACTGAAATCATCCTCAGGATTGTAGGAAGTACCATCTTGGCAATTATCATCAGTTTGAACTATGTGGTTATCATTGTTGACTAAATATTGACTTAAATCTACAGTTTGCTCTTGAACCTTTGTGTGCTCCCTTTTGTGCAGGACGAAAAGGTGTAGTGAAGTAAATTGAGTTTTACATTTGCCGCATTGAAATATATCATCTTCATCTTGATCTATTGCTAGAATAGATTCATTTTTATTCAAGGTTTTCTATTGAAATGTGTGTTAATAATGAATATTGTAAACCAGTACCTGATTGTTCTACTTCACTTATTAGAGTCTGTGATTCTAGTAATGATTGTACTGTTGAACCATCTAGGGATACACCTGATAACAAATTATTAAAGAGAATGAAAAAAATGTAAATAATTTTTCACTGTTTCATGAATTATGTAAGCAACAATAGTGATTTTGTTTCGATGCTATTTTGTAACAATTATTTTTAAGTATGAAGTCTATTATTTTACATTCAAGTAATAATTATGAAAAAAACTGTTTAAAGTTGTTAATTGACTTTCATTTCATATCTTCAATTTATAACCTTTAAAATCAGTAATAACATTCCAGCAAAACATTCGGCTGTTATTATTTATATACAGCAATTGAAATAAACTTAAAAATAACTAAACCTTAACGACAAGCATAGACTAAACAAGTGTAATTCTGCTTGTTATCAAACACCAAAAACATTACAAGTACCCGATAGAGCATCGAAGATTGACTGCGCCATAATTTTATTTATTTCTTAAATGTTACTCATTGTCGAAGATAATCAAACCAGTGTAACTGGTGATTTTTCATAGTTAAAAAAGTGACGAAAGTTGTTGAAAACATTTCCGAAAAAAAGAAATGAAAGAACAATCACGATGACACAACTCTGCCAAAACACCAACAAACAAAGGCTGTCAAGTCAACACTGTCACAGCCAAACTTACCTGTGTGTGTGTGTCTGTGTGGGGTGTGTGGTGCGTGCGTGTGGTATGTGTGAGCGCGCGCGCGCGCGCGCGTAGGTGCGACGTCGCTAGTGCGACGTTGCCACGTTCTCTTCAGCGGCAGATTTAAAAACAATAACATTCTGGTGACTAATAATTATGTAAATTATTAACTATAAATAATGGACAAGATTTTTTAAATGACATTGAAAAATTATTTAACACTATGACTGCATTATTTTTTAATACGAGATGATTAAGAAGACATTGATTTTGATCAGAAATTAAAATTAAAAGATTGTTTAAATAATTAGATGAATTATTATATAACACTTAGTATTAATTACATAGCAAAGTGAATCAACCTTCAATAATTTTTATTCTAGCAGATATGTTATACATACACTTTTAACTTTATAGTCAAACTAATATGATCCTAACCTAGAAAGTAGTGCATGTAATGTGTTGTATTAGTTTTGTTGATTTTGATTATATAGTATTATTCAATACTATAGTATTATTCAATACTAAAGATTTTTTATATAATTATAACATAACGTTGTAATGGAAAAATGTGTTCATTTAACAGATATCTCAAGTTATATTTTCTTTGTAGAAAAATTTTATATTTAATTCATCATTAGTTTATCTCAATATAATATAAACAAAAAAATGTTTCTCAGGGAACATATTTTTATTTTTGTATTCTAAATATGTTTTTTAAATTAATAAAATCTAATAAATGTACCTCGTTTTGTAAATTATCATCACAAACATTATCTGAAAATATTCACACTTGTCAAATATCTGCTGCAAATAATGTACCATTTTATAATGATTATTACCATAGCAATTTTGCAACGAAATTGGGACGAAGATTAAGAAAAGTTTCAGTAATAATCAATCAAAAACACATTAATTCTGTGATAGCAGTTTTAAAGGTACCTTTTTGTCTTCACAATATTCATAAATTACTTTTTTCAGAATTAAAAAATAATAATTATTTTGCTGTAGAAACACAATATCGACACCAGGCATCTTCATAACAGATCTAGGATTTTTCACCATACACCATGGGCAATTGAACAAAAAATTATGCTTTTAGAAGAATTGGGAACTGCTAATATTACAACTAAAACTTTAATGCTGTGAATAAGAAAATCCTGAATATTTTCTCAATGTGTATTTTCAACGATTCTATTTGAATGACTAATGAAACACTATTTATTTTAGCTTTCGCAGAAGACTATTATTACCTGTTAACATTTTCAAGATGTATATACCACTACCTCAAGATAAACCTCTGGCTGATAATTTATTTGCATATATCAATAATTGTAATACAGATCCTGAAGAAATAGGTATACATGAGAATCAGACAACAAAATTGTATCTCCATCTATGTTTAGTTCATTATATTAAAGATAAACTTGAGCTTAATCCATTACAAGTAAATATATTGAAAAATAGAAAGAATAATGCATTCTTAGTTCAAAGTTTTAGATTATTTTCTAGAAATTTAGAATTTCTACGAGATGATGTTAAATTATCTAAAAAAAAAGTATGACGCTATTAGTTTTTTAATTATGTCAATTGTTTGTAAAATTATAAACTTTAAATTGGTTTCCAGATAATAAGACATTATTTTACACTATTGTCACGGCATCCTGATCAGTTACAGATTATTTATAATTTAGTTACAGAGATTGCCAATGAACGTGCCCAATTAATTGCAATACAGTATCCACCTATGTTTGAACATAATCTTGATGATTTTAAAATTATTGTATCATTTTTGAAAAAACATGTAAATCATCCTGAAAAAATAGCCACTTGTCATATGATTAGAATTTTTCAAATAACATCTGACGAATTAAAGAGGAGATTTGATTACTTTTCAAAAAATTATTACACTCAAAATTTAGTGAACCATCCAAAATTTATTAATTTGATTTCACTTTATCATTCTGTACTCCCAAGATTAAGATATCTGGAAGAACAAAATTTACAATATGCAACAATACAATCACTTACAACGTATAAAGCAAATTACCATGAAGAGTTGAGTATAAAATTATATACTGACTTAAAATTACATTGAATTGCTTATATTAATGGCTTTTCTAATTTGCAGTTTAGTAACTTTTAAAAGCTTGAATGTGAATGATATAAAAAGTTTTTTTCATGTAAACTTTGGCAATGATGCTTGTGAAGCATTACAAATATTCAAGAAGCACGTTTATTATAAATTTGTTACTTTGTATTCAATGAGAAAATCTTTAGATTATCTAAAGGGAATATTTCCTGGTGATATGATAAAAGAATATAGTTATGCCATTTTGTATAATGAGTAAGTATTTAAAAAAATTTTAAAATTATTAATATATTAAAATTTGTTTAATTGTTATATTAGATTAGAAAAACGAATTTTTCTTTCAGAATGGATCTTCGAGCTGCTTATAAAGAGGTAATGAAAAATCCAGATTATTGCAAACTTCCACCTAATCAATTGTTAACATTGTGTTTGTACAAAATAGAATTGAATAGTCATTTTACGGGTGATCCTGTATTGGCACCTGGGAAATATTCCGAATTGTTGAAAGATAATGTCTACCAGGTTGAACAAATAAGCAAAGTTAAAGAATAGTGAATTTTGTATATAGACTTATTTTTTATAAAAATGATTTGTTACAAACTGAAAGTATTATTCCATTCAATATTTTCACTATTTGCAGCCAATGGACAAGTGCAATATTACTTGTTTCAAAAAATCACGCACTCGTTTTGACATATCGGTGTCTCAGTCTGGTTATGAGACTCACCGTCAACAATAAAAGCTAAAACTAAATTAAATCGGTTTTAAGGACCCTATATTCTTCTATAGATATATAAACCAATGTAAATTAATAGGTCGTCTTTGCTCCAAGGTTTAACCATGAGTGTCTCACTTCGAGCAGTGCTCGCAATCAGAAAAATAAAATATAAGTCGATAGTTTTTACCGATCGAAGGACTCAAAATCTATTTTAGATTATTTGGTCTATTTAGTTTTCTTTTAAATAAATGTTTGAAAAAACCAATAGACCGGTCGATCCAAAATTAATTCATAGTATTTTGGTCTATAAAAACTATCGACATATTTTTTCGGGTTGCAAGTACTATACGCGGTGAAATCATGGAGTAAAACCGACCCATTAATTTACATTGGTTTACATATCTATGGATGCATAAGGGGGGGGGGGGCTCTTAAAAGTCAAAATATCAAAATCAACTTAACCCAAATATATGTTAAATATCATTCAATAACGAGTGTTCTTTTTAAAGTATTTTTATTGATATGAACTCAGAATGGAAAATGTAACTGTACAAAAAATGTATAAGGTCTTATATTCTATATCAGAATAATTAATAGAATACTAAAGAGTTATACGTTTTGTATGTAATAGATAACTTTTATAAAAATAATTTGTTACAAATCAAGGTTGTTATTTATTCAAACAAATAATAAATATCGTTTTTAGACTTTTATTAAAATTTTCACACACTTAAAATGAATAGGCAACAGAAAATAAGCTTAGATGACGTATATAATGATAATCTTATATAGCACTATAACAGTAGGGCAATTTGTGAATCAAATTATATTCAAATAAAACAGCAAAAGAAAAAGGCACTGTATATGAGTTAGTATAGTATTTTATACTCGGGCTCACTACGAGGACGCACTAAGGCACTTATCACTAAATATGTTTCTTACAACATCTACCTAAACACTATAAATTGTTAGATGCGCAAAAAAGTACAGATGGGTTGCAGTTATGCACTTGATATTTATTGACATAGCGTGTCATTAAAAAAAGAACTTTGGTTTTATAGAAAATTAAATCCATAAATACAACTTTGAAAAAATCACACTATGGTTGAGAAAAGTTAAATTATACATCTCTGTTATCCTAACGAAAAAAAAAAATTAATCTTCTGTTATCTCAGAGTAACGGATATTTTTAACATGTAAATATACACTTTTATTCCTAATAGTGTATTCTAAAGCAATTAGCTTCATTCTCTGCTTCGTCTTACTTCTTTACCATCGTGATAACTTACGTAAAACACTTAACATTTTGTAAATGCGTACAAAAAATCCTTCGCTGACCGAGGGTTGGCATTCAAATTCCTACGCGGTAGGTAAACAAATTTTTTCATTCAAACTACATTCTTCTCTTGATATAAAAAAGCTCTGTCGAATCTTTTTTCTCAACAGTATGGCATATAACACGTCGGCTCAACTGTAAAATCTTGATATTCCGAACCCGAGGGTTCGTGTCAGTTCAGAAAAGGCGGCAGCTGTACATAGTTCTGCTGGCTTCCTGGTTCGCTCTTCACCAGTGTTTGCTCTTTCATGGCTTGTCTCGCGCTCGTCGGCGAATGCATTCCATATTCATTTTTGTGGTCTTGTTGTTGGCTCTGCTGCTGCTGTTGTTGCGAATATTCACTCGTCTCATGTTGACCGTACTTGTCCGAAGGACTTAAAGCGCCAACATAATCCAATTTTCCTTGCTAAAAAAATATTTGAAAATTTGATATAGAAATCATCACGGTAAAAGTATTTTTCTTAGTCTTGTTTTTTTACTGATCCTCGGTAAAAATATGTATACCGTTTCTATAGAACTTACCGTATGGTGTTCATCATCAGCCGAAAGATGCGTGGGTGGCGAATGAGTCGGAACCATAGTCTGATAGTCGGATCGTGCAAGAGCCGGTGGCGGACTGTTACTTGCATTCATGTAGTCTTGGTGCACGCGCATTGTATTCCCCGTCGGTGCAGCGAACAACGAAGCGTCGTGTTGTGGAAGCATCGTCGCGTACGAATAAGCAGTGGCAGCTGCTGAACCATTGTTTCCTGGACCACCAAAGGACGTTGAATACGGCGAATTCGAAGGACTTAGAAGGTTCAAATGTGGTGCCAAATCGTATGCTGGTGAATATGTCCAAGCGTCTGGTGGTGCTGCGCTTGTAGTCGATGTCGCGAATGGGTTTAATGTGCTGTTGAGTGTATTGAATGAACCTGAAAGTTTTTAATTTTTAATTATAAACTTTCACTATATTGTTATAATTAGGATTCTTGTTTGACCGGTGAAATATCAAAATAGTTCTAGAAAATTGTTGGAGGTTAAACATTTTTTGCAATGTATCTGTGTATGTTGCATTCAACAGTAAAATTCAACATAGGAAAATAATTCTTTACGTTATAAAATCAATATTTTTATGGTACTATTGCTTATCCCCTAGTTTAATGGATTAATCGATTTTAAAATTTTGATTGTTCTTTTGTGAAATTCATTATCACGCAAATTACATGAAAAGGAGGTCAAAATTAAAAATATTATCTCTTCATGTTTTGAAATTCTTAATGCAACAGTATTGTTCGTGAATGCTACGTAACAGATATTTTTAACATGTAAATATACACTTTTATTCCTAATAGTGTATTGCAAAGCAATTAGCTTCATTCTCGGCTTCGTCTTACTACTTCACCATCGTGATAACTTACGTAAAACACTAAACAATTTGTTTACCTACAATTTGGTAGGTAAACAAAATAATTCTGATAACAAACAATTTCGCGCGGTCAAAAAAAACATGAGTTAAAAAGATTTCGAAGACACGAAAAAATATTTTACTATCAAACTGAAATCAATAAATTTTTTTCATGCTGAAAGATATGAAAAACAAATTTCACTGGTGACCTATTACTAATATATATAAAAGTCGGTCTTCCGTAAAAAGCTACGACCAAATAGAATAAGAGAGAGAAAGAGAGAAGTCTTACCCGTGAGTCCAGGACTCGCCGATCCGGCGGCCATGTAACCAGCAGTCTTGCGCGGTGGCTCGCGCTTGCGCCACTTGGCACGGCGATTTTGAAACCAAACTTGAACCCGAGATTCCGATAGTGCAAGTTTCAATGCTAGCTCTTCGCGAGCGAATACGTCAGGGTAGGGTGCGCGCTCGAACGCGCGCTCGAGCTCTTCAAGCTGATAGGCCGTGAACGTCGTTCTGCAAAAGGGTAAATACAAGTATGTTTATCAAATCGGCGACACCAATTGTTTGGTAGCACGCAGCAGGACGCGTCGCGCAAGGGGATGATACGATGATAAGATGAGCAAAGGTTAGCCGCAACGACGACGCACAAAATGACGTACGAATAGGCGCAACGAAAGTTAAGAAAAAAAGAAACAACGAACCGATGATTTCGGTGCACTTTTTTGATCGATCGCATACACACACATTCACTCCCTTTACAGGTAGATGCGGCAACGACTTCGTTATTTGACTATTGCGGTTGACTATCAGTGGCAGATAGCCCGGTCAACGTAGTTAACTACGAAGTTACGTAACATTGTTATATTTGAACCGCTGGAATACGGTGTTTGTCGGTTATAGTTAAGATACATTAGTAAATGCGGGAATACGACTAGCTGGTTATTACGGGAATGCGAAATACATTGATTCGCCTCTTCTTCTTCGCATTTCTGCCGAATTTCACTGAAATTTCGCTGTATGCGTACGACCGCTCCCGACCGCGATTACGGTGGTACTGTCTTGTTTCCTCCCAAAAACGATCACGTCGTGTAAATTACAACGCACGTACATAGCAACATTGGTACGACGGAACAACAGTTTCAGTTTCGCCGGAGCCACGATGCTTCACGCCGACAAAAAACCGAGAAGACAAAGCGGCTAAACTGCTCAATTAAGCGATAAGCGTCTGCGCGACATATTGCTGCGTATATATAGGACAGCCCGACCGCCCCGAAAATTCCATTGCGTCCCACTGTAACCCACCCCGGTCTCTCCCTTGAACGTCAGCGCCGCGGCAATGAAAAACCTCGGGAGAATGTGCCCCCATCCGGCCACTCAATTTAAACGGCGATCGTGCGATAAAAGCGCGCCCACGCCACGGAGCCAGATGCCACGTGCCGCAGAAAATCGAAAAAAAGAGGGAAGCCAGGGAATTAATCGGACATATGCGACGATTGCATGCGGGGCTTGACCGACGGCATTTGAAGGTGCGCGCGAGGAGAGGTGGGTGGGTGTCGGCGCGAAACCTAATCCAAACGCGCGGCTCACTTTTGGCGGACGTGGGTCGATATTCTACGTCGATGGCTTTGCCGCGCTTACCTCGTTTTCTTTTTCTTGATACCGTTGTTCTCGGTCTTCTTCTTCGAATCCTTCTTCGCTGGCTGCGCCTCGTTGATCACTGTAACGTTATTATCGATCATTCATTTTCTTTTGGAAATTAGATTCATTTTTTCTTTTACTTTTTCCTGTCACCAAGATATCATTCTATTGCTTCCTAACGGAGCCGGACAAGTCGCAATTGAGCTAATACCAGATTCTTACTGCATTGAAGTACCCCTTTTCAAAGATATCTTATGCGGAAAATTTAAAATTCCATATCTCCTTCCTTAAAAAAATGATGGATACGATTTCGTCACCAACATCCAGCGCCGTGATTGGCCGAGCTTTCAAAAACCGCGAAAGTTCAAATTGTTTTTATTTTAGTGTATGAATGATCAAATTGTTATTTTTAAATAGAAAACAAAAAATATATTATTTAGATGGATAATGTATGAAGTAAACATGAAAGAATGACATGAATTCGATGTAATTTATTTATTATCTTAAAAAAATGATGAGTTGCCGACATCCAGCGTTGTAATTGGTTGATGCTTAAAAAGAGCACGAAATTGTATTTTCCTATACGTTGAAATATTATTATTATATATTTTTAAAAAGATTCAAATAATGTAATAAATAACAGAAAAACAGAGAAGAAAGAGCGTTAATTAACACTAGTGCATCCCTAAAACGCATGATGCATAATGTAATAAGCCAGTTTTCATCGAATCGGGCAACTCGACGAAAGTTTAAATCGACCATATCTTCAATAGATGTGACAATCGCACTAATCAAGCGATAACTGTTGAACTTTCAGATGCTGTTAACTTTGAGTTTTTAATGAATCAAAGCATTGTAAACGTAGCCTTTTAGTGTACATCAAATAAATTACACTAAAGAGACATAGTACCTCTGCTATATAAGTACCCTGTTCTTTTTTAATGAGCTTGTCTCTATAGTGTAATTTATTGGACACGCGAATAAAGTTTATGTTTACAATGCTTCAATTCATTTAAAATTCAAAGTTGGCAGCATCTGGAAATTCCAGTTATCGCTTGTCACGTTTGATTATCGCATCTAATTGAGAGACAACCTTATAATAACAAAGTAACGATGGCATAATAGTATTTTCACTACACGCAGCCGTATTCGGGTTTTTACGTACAGAGCACACTCGATCCATAAATGGCTCCTATACGCGCGAGCAGCTCCTGCTAGTGTAATAGCGCTATTATACTAGGAGGTGGCAGCAGAGGGGATTCATTACGCTAGAGGACGACTCACCCTCCAGTGCAACTTTCACTCACCGCATAGGACGTAAGTTAGCTAAACGAATAGTAATTTTCATTTAACGCGACAAAGGCATGGTTTTGACAGCACATGTTTGTGCCAGCCGGTTCAATAGTATCGACAGTGTTCTTAATAAAAGACTTGAAAAACAAAAATGTTGTTTATTATACTTAATATATTATAAACCGTGTGTTATAATATATTGAGTTGCGTCGTATATGACTCATTTACCGACCGATTGTTCTCGGTATGTAAAAACACTTGTGCGGTCTTGCTATAAATTAACAAATTTTTTAAGCACCAGCGGAACAAGCGACTTCACACCGAAGAAGAGAATATTTGCATCGCGGGATATAAAAGCTCGCTGCCATTCAAATTCGTGCAATATTTTGTTTATCTAGAAAAGCTAATAACTGTGCAACGTCAATACTATCATTCTTCTCGTTTTTTATGACATGAGAACTTTTAATTGAATGTTAGGAACTCGAAAGAGGCTCAGATTTACACTGCCGTTTACAATTCATCTAAGTACTTACAGAACGATTCTGACACTTTGAAAAAGACCTGAATTGTGACAAATGACAGCTCGAAAATGAGCCATTGCGCAGGAGCGTCACAAGAATGTCAATATTGTCAATGGAGTAACAAATCAATGTTAATGAGTTTTGTGCTGGACCCCAGCCACTGTGCCCAGACCAGTTCTAGAGATTTTTCAAGGGCGCGTATTTTCAAAAGAACAGAAAAACGAATAATAAAATATCAAGTAAACTATACAAGCCTAAAATGAGTCATCAATCATACGTATGTAAAATTAAGAGAAAATGAATATTCAATTTTTCAATAATAAGCAATCTTTAAGAGCTGCAAGAGATAGAGGACGTGCAGGAAGAGAATAGTAATAGATTGCAATAACCGGGAAAATTAATGTATTTTCTTCAGGGCACATGGATAATTAATAATAAATAACTTATAGAATTATAAATCGAATCTAGTATTTATAGTAAACTTCATTATTTTTTATATTATTAAAAATTTCATAATAAAGGCTTTCAAATAGTTTATTTATGTGTTGGAATGGAAAGATTACAATATTATTATATCACAACCACCTCTACCTCCTCTTCCTGCACATTTACCCTTTGCAGCTCCTAAAGATTGTTTGTTATTGAAAAATTGAATATTTATTTTCTCTTAATTTTACACATATGTGCTGAACGACGTATTTTAGACTTGTATAGTTTAGTTGATAGTTTATTATTCTTTTTTCTGTTATTTTAAAATAATCGCCCCTTAAAAATTCCTAGAACTTGTCTGGGCACAGTGGCTACGCAATGGCTCATTTTCAAGCTGTCATTGGTCACAACTCAAGCCTTTTTCAAAGTGTCAGAATCGTTCTGTAAACGTCCATAGCAAGAACACACGCACATTATATATGTACATATGCTTCTCGAATCTCGATCAGTTTATAAATGGTTAGTTTACATTTTACGAATAAAGTCGATGTAATACAATACAAAAATCTCGTATCATATATTATAATATAATGAAAATTTGATATTTTGTAAACAAATTATCTTTCGATACAATCTTCTTAAATAAACTATAGCTAAATTTACCGAAACCATTTGATTATAATCGTTAAATCGAGAAAAATACATAATCGCGGATAAGTAAGTCAAATCAGACAATAATTCTGTGGCTTTCCAGCAGAACCGAATAACTCGAGTTTTCATGATTTCAAGATATTTAAGTTTGAATCGAATACGTAAGATCGGCAAACTAATTTAAATATTTGAATTTCGGCTGCAATGGTCTATACGTTTGAAGCTTTTTGAAATGGCCTTTGATACTTTTTATTTAAGACTTTGTACCGGTTGATATTTCGGATTTGAAAGATCAATTATTGTAAAATATCAGAGAGAATTAAAAAGACTATGTCAAAAAGCAATTGTATTGAGAAAAAAACGATTTCAATTTGTAGATGAGTATGGATATGTTTACGTCAAATTTGCATATAATTTGTATTATGTAAGTATTATGTATATGTCGGTTATCATTAATTTTTATCTTGCAAAATACTACTACAATCGTAAAATGGAAAATGGAATTGCTTAGTTGGTTGTTGATTGAAAACGAAAAAATAAACTTTTATTGCAATTTTCATTGTTTTATTTATTGCACTTTATTCAACTCAATTTATTGAATTATAAATTTCGATATCATAATTAATGAGATTTGTTCCCAGAGAAATATTATGCTATAATTACTTTGTTCTTATAAAATTTAAACTTTCGCGGTGTTGTCCAGTTCTGCCGGAAACGTTTTTTCTTTCTTTTTTTTTTGCATCGTGCATTTAATGGCTCCATTTCTGAATTTGGAATTTTTCACACAAGATATCTTTAAAAAGGGGCATTTTTTAACGCGTTAGCTCGATTTCAATAAAAATCGGACTTCTCTGGTTATACCACCGACAAGCCATCTTTCAAATATCAGTCGTGCAAACTTTTGCCGACCGTGGATGTGCTTGCTGCGTAACGTAAAATTGAATTATAACCAGCCGAGTCGTTGTTGAACACAGTTGATAATCAATTTTCTACACTTCGGGATATTATTGGCGACGAGTAGCACTTAATAAATTGATTTATTTTCAATATTGAAGCAAACGAAATTTGAAGATAGAGCGAGTAACGTTCGTATCTGCTGCAAATGGAATGAATCGCGTCGAAGAATTTTTTGGTCCATCACCTGTGTTCGCTAAAAATTAGGAACAAGCGATTGAAGAAAAAACCAAAAGTCTCGCGAATATGTCGAGCGATTTTAATAGATGCACAAGCCATGCACCTCGGTGACAAAGTCATTCGAACACTTGAGCTCGAATGAAAATGGCGATTCTCGCGAGGCTAACAGAAATCAATACGAACCGGGAGCCAGCTGATTGATTGGGTCGTCTTTCCTCTTCATCGAGTTGCCGAGTTGCAGAGCCTGCTGCTGCTGCTGCTGCTGCTGTAGAGCGCCGGAAGTGGCGGACGTCTGGCCGGCGGCGCTCGTCGCCGACACGTCTTGCGCCTGTGGCATCGGCGCGTACATGCCAGCCAATTCTAATTCTTTTAGTTCCTTTTGCTGCTGTTGCTGCTGCTGCTGCTGATGTTGCTGCTGCTGGTGATGCTGCTGCTGCAAGTGGTGATGGTGCGGCGGCGAGCCTCCCGACGAGTCTGAGGGTGAACATACGCTTGACGTGTGAACCTTCTCCGTAGCATTGCGACGTTGCATGTTCACGGATGCGAGATGCACAAGGGGCATCTCGTATTCTCAAGTTAAGAATGAGTATATTTACTCGAAATCGGTAACGAGCTACTTGAACCTCATTCGCGATGTTATTATTTGAAAAGTAATTTTTGTGCGATTCTGTTACGACCTCGTGGCGAACAGCTTTGCAATCTGGTTTCAGTTGATTATCATTGAATTGTTAGCCAACGATCCAAGTTAGCGATATCATTGGTGCAAATTTACAAGTAGCCGCTTTTTCAAAACTATTGCATTTTGAAAGAGCTTTGATTCTCGTTGGATTTTGAAAAATAATTTATTGTATTCATCGCGCATATTTTCAAATGAAACTCAAGTTGGGTCTTGACGAAAAGGCTGAAATCTAATGGAATACGTGTTTTGGTAACTACTGAAGCACACGTCAAAGCATTTTGCAAGTGTAAATTGAGAAAGCCTTCGAAGCAGCCACTTGTACGGATAAAATCTGAACACCTATCACTAATGGACTGGGGATGCTCGATTGTCGAAGCTGACGCTCACATCGAAGGACACTCGTTCGCTTGACAAAGGCACCAAAGCGGATTGGAAAGGAGTTGGGCTACGACTAGCCGAACTCTGCGCGAAACTCGATTGCGACCAACGATCGACTCGACGCACGAATGGCTAAAACTGGCGCGGCCGCGGCTGGATACTCAAAACGTGGAAAAAGACTCACCAAGCTTGTGGAGATGTCCGCTGCCAGGCGGCACGAGCTCGGCACCATGGTGATTGCCGTTGAGGCCGAGCATGACATGTATGCTGTGCACCCCGCTGGCGGCGCCTCGCACCCCGAAATCCGAGAAAATCGGATCGTCGAACGGGCCCCCGTCCATTTGCTGTCCGTAGATCACCTCAATCTTGGCAGCGATTTCCTCCTCCCCTCGGCTAATAACCGAACTGTGTCGCACTCACTTCGCACGGGCCGACCTCGCGCCACTGTCCGATTGCCGCCGCCCGAGAAATTGATTAATCCAATAGCCGGGACACGAGCCGACGACGATCGCTTATTGATTAATCGAGCGTAATCGTTCGCTCGGCACTGCGACGGCGAGTCGCGATCGCGCGGACGGCCGAAAAGCCAAGGTGTGGGCACGAAAAAAAGCAGCACGTGGATCGGCCAGGGGGCCCAATTGCCGGCAATTGGCGTCGAAAAAGGGATGGGAGAGGGGCGAATTAGCGCCGATTAAGGCTCGTGGCGGACGCTATTGTAGAGATCCGCGCCCAGAGAGAGTTGCGCCGCGACTGGTATGGTAGTCGATTAATGAGCACACGGTCCCCGCGCATGCCTCCCCCGGATCGCCGGCCACACTTATATCATTGCCCCAGTGCACGCCCCCGTCGCTCCGGCCGGCCGGCCAATGAACGACCGCGCGGCTCCGGCCGCAGGGGCGCGAGGGAGGGGGCATTCGACGCGTCTCGTTGCTCGGGTGGGACGACACGACTCTGGCTGCGCACCGACGCGCCGAGAGCGGATGCTGAGCTCATTGCGATGCGCCGTTGTTCGCCAAGTTCTGCGGGACAGCCATTCCGGTCCGGCGATTTATGGACAGGCGCTCGTGGTGCGTTTGCCAATTCTGATCTGTGCGTACCCACTGCATCGACCACGTGCAGATGATGGTCGTGGCTCGATCCGCTAGCTAACTTGATCTCCGTCGTTGCTTTCTTCGAACGGTCGAGAAGCCATCCCCTCTTTGGCCGTCTGGTGCGCGTTTCTATGCGCATTTTCCCAACGAGGGCTAATGAACTTTCGAATGTTCAGGAACGCAAGATGACTTCCGACGAACGTGAAGATATTTCTTCGGTCGAACTTTCAGTAGCAACTTTCCCGTACATCTTTCCACGGGAACGTCAAATTGCTATGTTATTTTTTCCAAACGAAATGAAATGATAATTCTTTGCGAACCGTCTATTCGTGCGTTTTACGGTCAGTTGGCGCGATATCTTCGTAATAATCTTAGGTGGGCATAAAAATGAGCATAACCGTCGATGCCGTAATTACTGTCACTTGCTCGTCGTAGCTCGAAGAAGGCGAGCTGTGCAAACTTACACTCTGACGTCACACACGCGCACACGTCGACTCGTTGCTTTTCGGGGTCCACCCACGTTGCGTTTCTCCTCGACACTGCCGTGCCGCGGGGATGCATTTAGCACTGGATTCGCCCGCAGAGAGTCCGGGGGCGCGAAACGCTTGACCTCGGGAGGTGCCGTCCCTCGGCGCCATTTCGCGCGCGCACTCCGCAGCACCGAGCCCCGCGGTCCGCGGCGCGCTCGCGACGCGGAATGGCGCCCGGCCGACGGCCACGGGCGCGCCCCGGGTTTTTCGCCGGGAAAGAGGCGCGCGAGCCGATGTATCCGAGCGGACCGGCGGCATGGCACTGATGGCGCGTTAAGAGCTCGTCGAGCTGGTTGAGCGGCTCAATGAAACGCAGCAATCGCCAGGAATTGCCTCGAATTGGCCCAATCAAACTACCCCCATTCTATGCGTGTGTACAGCCGCGTATTAACGGCTAATTTGGTGCGTCGCTGCGGTGAGCGCGAGTCGTGCGCGCGCGAGCGGCTGTGGGCCGCGCGGCGGCGCACCGGCCGAAAGACAAGGAGGCCTAATTGCGCGGTGGGCCGTCGCCGCGCGATTCCTCGGCGGACTCGCCACAGGTGCGGGCCCGCGCGCTCGCGCGCTCGCTCGCTCGGTCGCTGCATCGGCGCCGTCCCGGCCGAGGCGAGGCGCGCGATTGCACGCGCACCGCGAGCAACGCGCGCTCAATTTGGGCTTGTTGTTGCGCGCCGCTCGTTGACCGCCGAGCATCGCGCTGCACGCGCTGCGCCTTCGCTCGCAGTTCGGTTTGGGGTGAGGCTCGACGAGGAGGCTTCGACGCCCAATGGCTGGCTGGCTTCGCTGCGACTCGCCCGATACCGAGTGCTCCGACAGTTGTCGTCTGTGCGTTTCGTGCCCTTGCGGGGGGCTCGTGTCAGCCTTCAAGATTGGGACTCCCGTGTCTCGATCGGACGTTGCGGGTGCATTGTAGATGCCGTTACGTGGGAACCGCGTGTCAATGATCTCTACAGTGTTCTTATTCTCGATTGTAACTGACTTTTTTTTCAATAAATACACACGTCAACTCATTGCATTTATTTACGATGTAATTTTTCATTGTCGTCCACTACGTATCAAGAAAAATTATTCTGATAGATCAATTTTCACTTGCGATACATTCCGTTGAGAATATAACAATTATTGAGCGGTGCATTCTGAATCGGCGTACAATGTGAGTATCTCAGTTCGATGTTATATTCGCGGATCACTATAATTTTTTGATGACTGAATAAGTTCGGTTAATGTGGTTACTTAATTTTCTGAAAAAATATCACTTGATTTGATATCAGATGGAGGATTATTCTCGTTTAATTCTGCGACGAATGTTCCGAGCGATTCTGCTGGATCCCATGTTCCTCATTAACTTGCCGCTTATCGAAAGTAAAAGTTGTTGATCTTTAACGAGTTTTAATAACGAAACTGCGTCTTTCTCACAAATACAACAGTTCAACGTCCTCGCGATCAAAGCGCGCGGGAAATCGAGGCAGGACAATGCGTCAGCTGCGCGGTCATATCTCTCTCTCTCTCTCTCTCTCTCTCTCTCCCACGATCGACTTCGTAACTCGCGAGAGAGAGAGACCCTCATATGTGGGCGCACTCATCTCGGCTGCTGTCGGTCGCTGCTGCTGCTGCCCCGTATCGCCAACCCGACGCGGCGACCAGCATGTGAAAGTGTGCTGCGACACGTGCACACACGCGCGCGCACAAGTCGCTCTCTCGATAGCAGTGAGTGTTTTAGGACAGCGTTGATCGGGGTAGCTTAGCTTCACGAAGGAGTTGTGCTCTCTTTTTTCTTTTTCGTTGCTGTTGCTGATCTGGTCGCAGCAATTTACGCTTGACGAGTGTGGATCGTCCTCCGATGGTAACACTCGGACTCTCAACGTAAAATTTTCTAAATGACGCATTGAAATTGTAATTCTCGTCTCTGAATATTTGTTTAAATCATTTAAAGTTACCAAAAATACAGATGATTAATCGCCATTCCATAGGTAATACTTAACAAATAAACAAACAATCGGCCTAAAGTCTTAATGAAACAAGAACACAGACTGAATCTATACCTGTAACTAGCACCGACATCATCTTTATCTGTTACGTGGATTAATCCGATTCATGAAATTTCATCAAAATAATTAAAAACCTAATTCGTGAGAAAGATGTGTTGTATTATGGAAATAATTTTGAAAAATATTGCTTTTATGTCATGGCGTCAACACCAGAAGTTATTGTAAAATAACAAGACGAAATGGTTTTTGATAGTCACTTTATTTCTATTTTAGATAACAGTACGAAACCAAAAGAAAAGACATCTTTCTGGTACATCGAGCGAGAGAGAATTCTTGAGGGACGTCAGTCCTTCGAGAAAACAACGATGCTCTTCTGGGTGAGGCAGGTCAAAATGAGCGCCGCAATCTCGCACTCCTCCTTGCCGAACGCGATAACTAGAAGGGAACAAGTTTGCACGCAGAGAGTGTGACGATAAGCTCGAGAACGTAAAAGGATGCTCACACTTGTTTTTGCACTCGGAGGCGATCTCCGACTCGACGAAATCTCGGTTGATCGTGCCGTCGGCCAGCATCTAAACGACAACAGTGGCGGTCAGCGCGGACACGAGCCGGGCGCTCGTGGTCTCGGGGCGTATACTTACGATTCCGCATCTTCTCAACACGCAGCCGGCGAAGCATTCTGTGTCCGGAGTCCCGGTGAAGGTCTTGTTCTTCTTCAGCTCGGCGAGCGTCACTGGCATTCACGAATGCAAGCATATTTTTAAACGTCTTCGATGAGTTCACCTTACTTTGCTACTCGTATTTACGGTTATATACACAATATCGGCGATCCTTACTTCGGTCAATTTTGTGCTTCTGGGCGCAATCCTCGACATCCGAATTGGACGCCCTTATCCCGTCGATCTTGGAATGTTGGCCGTCGTGCTAAGCAAAAGATCGCTTTCAAATACGACGTCGAATGACCCGGACTCGCTCGGGGCGCCCGTGACGTCGCGAAAGCGGCACACGAGGACAGTGCTTCGGTGACGCGTAGCGAAGCTCGCGAGCGCGTCGGCGGCGGCGGCAACGAAGCGCGTCCGTCGACCGCGAGCGTTATAGGCATATCCTACGCGCGTCCCGTTGCGACGCGTACATACTCACGCAATAGGCAACGGCTACGAGCAACGAGACAGCTGCCAGTGAGGCTTTCACGCCGAGCGCGAGCTGCATGACGGAGGAGCAAACTCAGCGGCTGGCTGGCACTATTTGAAACTGCTTCTAAAATAGCTCAGTGCCACCCTTTATACTGAATGGTGTCGTTTAGTGCGCGGCAATCCGCAAAGTGTGATTCGCGTCATGGACGGCTCCAGGTGCTATTTGCCGACTACCATTTTCTAATTGATCCCCGCGGCAGGGTTACATCGCTTATATCGACGATCGCGTCTGCCACCCGCTATATACGTTCGCCTCGAATGCCATGCTTTTGCAAGCTGACCTCGCGGTCGTATTGAGGACGGCCGAGGCCAAAGGGATCGGATTCGTAGCCACCGCGGGAACGCTCGTGACCTGCAGAAGAGAGGCGAGCGCGCGACGTCTATTATCTGACAATGTCGCCGAACGGTGTCCAGCGAGTTTGCCAATCGGATGTACTCGACACTCCCGCGGGCGTCTTGCCGAGGGTCTCGCGCGCGTTCAAGAATTTTCCGAGCTACTCTGTACTTGCGCGCGCGCGCGTGTCGTCGAGCTTGCACCGCTTATCTCCTTCCATTCATCGACCGAATCCTCGTAACGCAGCGTAAGGTACATCCGAGAGTCGTTCTCTCTTCGCTGCTTGCAAATGCATCCGACGTCGGTTATTTCGCTATTGCAGAAAAGCACATTCTTTTCGGGAATCACTGCGAAGATCACGCCCCAAACAATAGTACTTCTCCAACTACAATCAGCGATACTTTTGCATACGAAGTATGAACGCCTTTTTTATATCGCCAAAATTAAAGGAGCTTCGTCTGAGGCAGCATTGCCATCGCATCACATACTCGTATATGCTTATGGCTGTACTTAAACGATGCCAAGTGGTCGATCAAACACGCTGGAAAATACTTTAGAGAACATCGGCATTACTCGTTGTGTATGCCACCAAAATGCTCGGATTCCTCTGATTATTATCAATCAATTACTGATCTTAATAGTAAAAATACGCATTGCTAATTCCCAATCTTGTTCCCTTTATAATTGTATCTTTGAATCAAAACAAGACTGCATGTATCAGGATTGTACATATATAATATATTTATTTCTGAATAATTGCATTTGCTTCGTTTTGACGACGGGCGATGACAATTTAGGTGGAAAAATGATAATAAGAGAACATTCACAACGTAATTATTATCACTTTCTACACAGTTTACGCACATAATTTAAATAAATTTGTGTTTCCTGATCATAGCAATGTCATTATTTAATTGCAAAATGTCCACTGTAAAATGGAACTAATACATAAGTATTACAAGATAAATTTTATTTATTACATTAATTCCAATGTATAATTTATAAAAATTATATTTAACCGTTATAGATTTATAAACAATAGCAACGATTTATCATTATACATTAAGCTAATAAGCAACTCAGCTTGGAATGTTTCCTTACTGCAATTCTCCGCTAATACGATTGTCCGACCAAATGTTTCCACACTTCGTCGTGTTATGAAAACTCTCCACTGGAACAAGTGTGGCTATATTTTGAAAAATTGATTTGAGAGGCGAGTAAACCACCAACTCAGAAAGGTCATGTGTCCCCTATTGCGTTGACGTTCTCAGCGACCAGCATGTGAACCCATTACATCTCTGCGTATACGCGAGGATCATCGGACACGTGCACACACGTCAATGGAGAATATGACACTCATAAATCGTAGATATGATGTTTTGGAGGGGGCGAACAATCAGTACGAGCTCGTACTCTTCTTAAGACGCAGATACAGGAATTGTCTTGGAAAATAAACTGCAAAGTAATTTTTTCACCATTTTTATATGCTTAATGGTTATATTTGATGTTGATCCATTTTCAAATGCATCACGAGTTTGTTATTGTATTGTATAAATGTCAAATGTAATATGCAATACTCATTAACTTGTCTATGATATCTTCGGCCCGGTTAAATTGTTTATTTTGAATTCGTTCAAGCGAATTTGACGACAACAAAATATACTTTATTGTTGTTCACCATCAGTATCTAATAAAATAAAATAATTTCGGTTATTGACAACATTTGAAAATTTATTTATCTAATATTTATCCACAGTGTTGACAGGAACTGATCGCTCGAAAAGTAGCTTTCCTATCGGAAACAATTTATGCATAAATTTATAATAAATAAAAATCATCGGTTAGTAACATTTGCTAACAATTATTTATAATTTATCCCCGTTTATAAACGCCAGATTTTGGACGCGTATAATAATTATAAAAAGTAATTTTCTGTTAAAAAACTGTCATTATTAAATAATAACAGTTTTTTTCAGTTATTATGGTTATTTGCATTTTTATTCACCAAAACAAATTTATTTTGAGAAATAAAGATGCAAACAACTATAAATAACTACAAATAACAATTATCACCAATTACTTATTGAAATAAAAAATTATTAACTATTATTTGCAGTCCATTGCAATTATTAATTTGTCAATACAGGACACGAATTAAGTGTTTATAATAAAAAAAAATAATAATAACAAATATAAGCGTTTAAAATAATTTTTAATTATCATATATGATAACTAACTATTTATTACAGTTGTAAACAATTATTTATATTTTTTAAATTGATTTAAAAACTGTTCATATACTGCTATTGATAGCAAATTTTTTTACGATAAAAAGATGAATTTTCGAAATTATCTATAACTGTTAATAACTATTTTACGTGTCTAAAATCTGACGTTTATAAATTAATTTGAACTGTAAATAACTGCGTGCAACAGTTTTACGCAAAACGTAATTCCAACAGGGTACGTATAAAATTTATTTTGTCATAAATATTTCTTCGTAAAGGTGATCATGTACTTAATATTAGTAAGACAATTATGCGCTTGATTATTGGAAAAAGAAAATATATCTAAATTTTCGTATTGTTCTCTTTTGGAGATAATGTAAGGGAATACCACGGTCTGTCGTGGGCATACTCTCCTGTTTTTAACGTGAGCCCCTATATAACGGTATGTCGATCTAGGGAATAGGATTCAATGAGGCATTTTTGGAAATCAAATTCACCGCTGACGCGTTTCTTACTTTAGTATATTAATTTATGACGAATGAATATTCGTTTATTTAATTTCAAAATATTCATCATCAAATCTCTTTTCGCAACTGCACATTTCCGTTTATTTAACAATTATATTTTTTATCTGATCTCGTACGTCCATAAAAGAAAATGCAAGAGACATCAAACTACTTGAGATATGATTCCCGTGGGCCTGCACTGAGTCCACGTGTGCGCCTTCATCTCCTCCCCACTAGACGGCAACTAATAGCTCCTCCTTCCGTCGCCAGTGCACGACCAATGGCAATTCATGGCTAGCCGCCATCGAACTTGCACCGTTCCTCTCTTCCTCTTTTTTTTTTGTTCTCTCTCTTTATCTCTCTCTCACACTCTCTCGAGGGGATTTCAGGATACGACGCACATTGTCGAGGAGGTTAAAGATTTCGCTAGAGTTTTAATTGGCGTGTCGCTGAAAAAATATAATCATTGATATTTCTTTTTTATTTAGGTTTTTCAGGATAGAATTTTGAGCAAATAAAAAATTGTAAAAGGACAATAAACAGATGTGATATTATTTTCAAAAATTGTCAGCAAGTTGTATTCATTGGTATTTTAGGCATAAGGGTAACAATCGTGAATTAGAAGATTGTCAATTTGTCGTAGTTAGTTGTTTAAAGGATCGATCGTCAATGCAGGTGTAAGCGTGAGATCGATCAGCAACGAGCATTTTTATCGATTCAGCTTACTCGTAGCAATCGACGTTGATTTGTATAAAGAAAAAACGAGTCATTAAGTATTGTGCAACCAATTACAGAAAAAAAAGCAGCGTACGCGTCAGTAAGCCAGAGCCACGAAAGCGTACGTTATTCGCAATGAAAGCCACGCGCGCAAGTGCGAAAGATCAAAGTAACGGTATCAGAAAATTGAAGCCAATGAATCCATTACTATAACTACATTAATTGCTCAGAAAAAGTTTGATTCAAGCTTTTCAGTTGTTGCCCAATTAGTGTTTAAATCATTACAACTGGATTAAATTGCACGGCCGGTTTTACTCAATGGCAACGCGTTACACATAAAGAGATGAATTAACTTGTCGCCCCGATTGCCGCCACTATTTAAACAAATTTATCTCTAATTCCGTTCTGCGATATGATATGATGTGATGCGATTACAAAAGGCTAAATAAATTGAGCGCGGTGCGAGCGAGTATAGCGTTCGCGATCAAGGCACGGCCTCTCTTTCTCTCTCTCGCTCTCTGTGCGCCGATGATTTGCCGACGTGCGCGCAGAGCCGTTCGATCGTATACTCCGCGCTCACGATAGCCGTCCTTTAACGAAATCGCTCGTCGACAAGGGCGCTGCTTTACGTTGAAAAACGAAGCGGCCCGGTGATACGCGATTGACCCGTTTCAAGCCGCAAGAGTTATTCGCGCGACCAACGAGTGCCGGATGAGGAAACGAAAATTACGAGTGCCGTGAAATTACGCGAAAAGAACGAAAGAAAGAACGATGTCCTTGCGTAGAGAACGGCACGTAAAATTCAATCTTCGCCGCTCGTCGACGATCGATGGAAGAAGCACTGCCGCGGTAGATGGGGCTGACGGAGCATCCGTCGATCGGCCAGAATCATTCCACATCCTACACGACGAATCTCATCCTCAGAAGCGTCGCCTTGGCGCGCACGATATTCGCGCTCTCTTCCCACTGCGCGCGCGTACGCGTCGCGAGCCACGCACACACGTACGAAGAATTCTCGCTCGGCGCGCAGCAGCGCGGACACAGACGGACACGCGGTGGATAGAGAGAGAGAGAGAGAGAGAGAGAGAGAGAGAGCGGCTCGCCACCAATTGAGCGAGTTAAGCCTTCCCTCAATTGGGCTTGATAGGCTTCAATTGGGCGTAATTGCGCGAAGGCGGCCGAGGCGCGCTACGCGCTCGCGCGTTTTTATTTTACGCGCCGCGCCACCATCGGCAGCGCGCGCTCTCAGGGTTTTCCCTTCTGCGTATATAGCTGAAAAGGCGACGGCCAGGCACGCAGCCGGAGGCAGACTTTTATGCGCGTGCGTATATACGCGGCGTGCGAGCTCCAGCGCTGCGTCTTATTTGCCGCTCGCGATGTTTGATTGTCGGCGGTGTCACTCTTTTTTTTAGGAAATTTCTGAGATATCATTCTGGCTAATTCACGTATCGGTTTACTTCGGATCAACTCTATTTTGAATATTTAAGTCTTGATATACGTCGCCACGGCGTTGTTTGCTTTTTATTATGCTCTGGATAGATTTAAGTCGTGTAGAGATCTTGTCGTATGTGCTTCAGTTTCAAACTTATTATTTCGAAAGAATTATTGAAATTAATCGAGACGTTTGTGATTCATTTTTATTTTATTAACTCTCCGACAAAGAATTCGATGATCAGCTCAGAATTTCTATTTTAAGCTACTCGTAATATGCACAGTTATATTTAAGTACTGAATTTCAATAGGAAATTCAGATCGGAGCGGCGGAAACAATTTCAAGTCAGTACATCTTGCGAAATTCAAAATTAATTTATAAAATACAAATATTCTTCCAATCGCATTTTTATTTCGGAACATGTACAATTTCGATTTTTTTTTCAATTTTCAGTAATAAAAGGGACTTTCTTAACGTTTAAATTACTCAGATAAAAATACATTACTTCAGAAATATCGGCTTTTAGTGCTCATTTATAAAGGAAAAAATATCTTGGTATCATTCAGCAGAACATAATAAACAAAAGTAATTAATCGAGAGATTCGCGAAACTTCGTCGATTCGACAAATCAGCGCTGCCTGAAAAACTTATCCGAATAACACTGCGTGTTAACATCCAGTCTTGCATCTTCGCCATTGTTCCAACAAAGCCGAGCGAGACAGTAATCGGCGTCGTCATTCTGAAAAAATTGTGCCCAAGCCGAACTCTCCGCCTCGTTACAACGAATCGCGTCGATCTCCCTCGGGCCACTGACTGCCATTAGAGCATCGACTTTCGTCAGATAGTATCGATCGTCGACTCCTCGGCAAGTGAAATTGGTGCAGTAGACCGTCATGATGATAAAGCCACCGTCGGGAGTGTTGTGCATGGTGGCGCTGCGCAAATCCGCCGTCAGTCCGCTCTCAAACTCGACGATCGCGCGAAGGTCGCCCGTGTGGTCGTACTGCCAGCAGTAAAATTTGGAATGACCGTGATAGCACATGCCGATCGCATCGCTCGCCGCGTTGAAGGCCGCTATCCGATAATCGTCGTCGGACGACGGATCCTCGCCGAGCTCGTACACCTGTTTGCCTGGAAGAACGAGCTGCGATCAACGACGACGACGACGGCGACGACGACGGGACCGCGACCGGACGCGAGAAGCCGCTCACCGTTTCGCTTCACGAGATAAACGTGATAATCCCCGTAATCGCTGGCGAGCAGTAAGTGTCCCCTGTCGGGCGAGCGAGGCGCCACCGACACGACGTACTCGATTTCCTCGAACAGCGGCGTGAACCAAGCCACTGGACCGGCCACTCTGTTACCATCGGTGTCGTACGTGAGTCTGCAGTATCCGTCGATGGAAACGTCGCTGCAGACGGACAAGTTCTTGGCCACGAGCTCATAGGTGTCGACGTAAGCTACGAAGTCCAGGTGGACCGAGTAGTCGTCGATCGCCCCCTCGAAGTCCATCGCCGCCTCCGCGATCTTGCAATCGGACATCCGTATTATCGCCATTCTCAGCGACGATTCAAACTCGACCGTCGACCTTTCCAGCCAGACTAGGACGACTCTCTCGGGTCCGAGGGCCACCACGAGGAGCTTGCTGTCGATCACCAGCAGCGGGTCGTCGGTTTCCAGCGTCAAGTCGCAGTAAGTCGCGTCGCTCGAGCTGTCGAACGCGTTGATCTCGCGCACGACACTGCATTGCTTAGCCGCGCTGTCTTCCAGCCGATCGCATAACGCGTAAAACAACGTCGTGTTCTCGAAGGAGAAGCGCTGGAATGCGAAGTTGTTGCCACGGAAATTATGGGTTTTCGAGATCGTTGCCGATTGCCCGTAACTCAGACGAATTATTGCCGAGATAATCACGATTAATGTTTTCATTCTTTCTTTCCTTCCTTCGTTTTGAGAGCGAACGTTGGGCTCCGCTGCTTACCGGATGCAAACTAACACGAAGTAAGCTAAATTCGTGCATTCGTGGGTGTCTCGTGGCGACTTTTTCGACGATTCATTTCAGCCACGCGCTTGATAAAAATTAACGACGTCCACCTCCGACGGAGCGAAAAAAAAAATTGAGATTAAGCGGTCGCGACTACGTAATACGTATTTATGTTCATTACACTTAATTTGTTTGATGTGCGCGCATTAAAAGAAACCTTTGTGAGTAACAAATTTAGTTGCAACGATGATAAAGAGAGGAGGTAACTTGAAAATGTATTGAAATGAAAGAACAAAAAGCATTTAAATAAAAATTTAATTAAACATAACTTTGTTTCAGTTTAATAAGTTTGTCAGGTACAAAGCTTCGATCAACTAGATTTTAAAAAATAAATTTTATATATTTATATTTTGTTTATTATTTTTTAAAAAAATACTATGGAAAATCTGGAAATAGCTCGACGGCCGATTGATCTATTGCAGATTTTCCGGAAATTGTTCGAGTTTTGAGGACTTTAGCCATGGCCGTGGCCATGGGCTCGGAGAATACACGTTAAGTCGCGCTGAGGCGAATCAAAGTCCAGAGTGTTGAATAAGGGTCAACATAGTTTGAAGCAGTCTAGAAGCAAAAAACAAAAACAACAAGATAACGATCGTCTACTTGGAGAAATCGTCGTCGGAGTAGCATTGCGCGAGGACGTCCAATCGGCCAGTGACGTGGGAGCTGCTCGGACAGAGTACGGCCAGGCAGTAGTCTCCAGCTTGATTCTCGAAAAGTTGAGCGGCAGTTTTGGCGCACTTGCCCTTGTAGCCCTCGACTTCGATCGTACCGGCGACGCCGTCGTGCGCGTCAATTTTCGTCAGATAGTAAACGTTCTCGGCGCCCAAGCAATCGACGGACGGACAGACGGTGCTCATCAGCAGGAAACCGCCGCCGCGCAGATTGTACATGAGGGTGCTGAGCACGGTCACGTCGGCTTGCGGCTCAAAATCGAATTTCGTCTGGAGCAAATGTTTGCCTTGATATTGCGACTGCCAGCAGCTGAATATCCAGTTGTTGCTCGAGTTGCCAAGGCAGCACACGCCTATCGCTTTGTTGATGATCGAGTAGCTGGTCAACGCTTGGCCCTTGTAGAAGGCTGGGGATTCCCAGAGTTTTGTCATTTCCGAGCCTGTCGAAAAGGTCGAAAACGTTCGTTCGCATTAGAAAATCCACGGGGCCGAAATCGCGCGGACGGTGCACTCACTTGTCGGCCGGATCAGATAAACGTTTTGCCTGCTGCCATCGTTGCTGAACAACAAGTAGCCGTCGTCGAAAGTGTTCGGCTCGACGCCGGACACGAAGTAATCCCGTTCGGGGAGCGGTTCGAAACGCACGACGGGACCCGCGACTCGATTACCCTCGTCGTCGAAGCTGAACATGCAGTGGCCGCTCGGCGACACGCGGCCGCAAACGCGCAGATTCTTCGCGAAGACGTCGAAGGTACTTTCGAAGGTGATGACGTCCATGAAATTGGGATACCACTGAACGTTCACCTGGTCCTCGTCAAAGGCGAGCTCGGTATGGAAGACGCGGCAACCGGCCACGTGGACGATGCTCATTCGCAAGAGGGCCTTGCGCTCCAGATTCGCCGACTCGGACGCGTCGGTTTCCTCCAGCCAGACGACGATGGCCTTATCGCTGCCGAAAGCCACGACCATCAAGCCGTCCCCGATGACGGTGTCGCTCGCGCTGCTCGCCAGCTGGACGTCGCAGTAGCGCGTGCCCGTCTCGTCGTCGAAGCCGACCGACTCGCGCACGAGCGTGCACTGCTTCTGCGCCTGGCGCCTCGACTGGTCGCAGAGCGCGTAGTACAGCGTAGTGTTCTCGAACGACAGGTCTTGGAAGACGAGCGCCTTGTCGGGGAAGTGCGACGTTTTCACCTGCAGGGCGCCGATCGCCTGCAGCGACACGGCGACCGCGAGGACCAGCCTGGACGTCTCGAGCATGGCGCGTGTGCGATGTGGCTACGTGCTGCTCGGACGCGAAGCTCGCTCGCACTGACCGCCACCCCCTTGCTCGTCGGTGCCCCGCCGTCGCGTTTGATTGCTAAATTGTCGCTCGCCTCGCCGACGCGACCGGGCCCGCGCTGCTGATCGGCTCCGCCGACGTCGAGATTGCCTGCGCGCGCGCGACCGTCGGAGTCATTATTCCGGACCGCGGGGAGTCTCAAAATAGAACTGCGTTGAATAAGACCGACGGGCTGCCGTGAGCGTGTTTTACGTTTACAGGAAGCCGCGAGCTGCATTATTATCAATCTGACCCATATCGCGCGCATCGGCGTGTCTCGTGGTCTTCGCAGCGCGAACGCGAGATCGCTCAAAGTGAGCTCTCAACCTTTCTTCGAAGTGACGTCGCGTCGACTTGGTCGGCGATGCGTATTTTGCGTATTGGAAGCGAAAGTCACAATGAAAAACCACACCTTCTGCTTTCATTCTAACAAGTGCTCGACGTTTTATTGAAATTAAATAAAGAACCACATAGACATAGGGGTTCGTAAAATTGAATGCGCGTTGATTTGAGTGACACGAAAATTGAAAGTGAAATGGCAAATGCGAATCAGATCGTGTAGTGATCAGTTGTATAAACGAGAAGGCCAACTTTTCGACAAGTCATTTGCTCATTCACGGCTTAACAATTTGAGGCTTGAAATCCGGCTTGACAACGTCGTTGAGCTCCTTGGCGTACATCTCCAGCCTCGAAGTCATCTGTCAATCAAGCATTAATAGTGACGTTAATTGTATTTCAAATACGAGCCATTAAAATTTGCCATGAACTCACTCGGAAGCCCCAGAAGTCTTTAATTTGTCTGCAAAGATTCAAATCGATCTCGGCGATCAAAATACCATCTGTGTTACGGCTGAGTCCAGGAGTACGGGTACCGTCAGGTGCAGCAATATAGCTCGAACCGTAGAAATGTCCGAAATCGTTGTGAGCAGGCTTATGGTCGCCGGAGGTAAAAGCATCGGGGAATATCTCCGTGCCGACGCGGTTGATCGCACAAGTGTAGTAACTGTTTGCGATGGCGTGGCAGCGTGCTTCGATCGGCCACATTGGCTCCGAGAGCGTCTTCGTCGTCGCGGATGGATTGAATACGATCTGCGATAAAAGACGCATATTCAACGACGAAGAACGTTGACGATTAAAGGGAGCCTCGAACGCACCTCGGCGCCGTTTAACCCGTACATCAGCCAGTTGAGCGGATGGTGACGACCGTAACAGATGTTGATAGCAAGCTTTCCGTAAGGCGTGTCGAAAACCGGATGTCCGAGAGTACTCTCCATATAGTAGGTGGACTCGTTGAAATCATTCTTGCGAGGGATGTGATTCTTCCTGTCCTTGCCGATAACCCTACCGTCGGGGCCGATGACCACGGCGGCGTTCCAAAGCACGTCGCCGTTGATACTGTCGCGCTCGAGTATCGGCGCCACAACGACCATGCCGTACTTGCGCGCCAGTCCGGACATCAACTCGACCGACAGTCCCGTGACGGCGTCTTCGGCGAACTCGCACCACGGGTACTTCTCGCGGGTGCAGAAGGCGAACGGCATGTCTGCGCGTACAGGCGGAAAATCAGCGAGTCTCGGTGCCTCCGCGTATCGCCGGCGGCAAGGAAGGACTTAGCCAAGATCTAAATGGGGAAACTCACGCCATCCCTCTTGAAGGCAGACGATGTTGGCGCCACACTTGGCCGCGTGCTCGACGTAGCCGGCAACCTTCTTGTGGATAGCGTCGCGCTGATCGCGCAGCGGCGCAGTTGTCGGCAGAACGATCGAGTGCTGAACTATCGCCACGCGCACGATGCGCGGTGGTCGCAGCTGCTCCTCGATGGCGCCGCCCATTCTGTAGCCCTGTACGTCGACGCTCTGGCCCTTCTCCATTTTCAACAGATCCAGCTTCCTGCAACGGAACCGTGCGCGGTGCTGAGCGGCGAAATCGACAAGAGCAATTTTTGCTGCCGAGCGTGAGAAAACCGCTTTCTTTCTTACTCGCGGGCGAGTATCGCTCGGTTGCGGATAATTTCACAAGCTCAATCGATATAAGTAATCGCATGCTCCAATCAACTTACAAACGATCGTCAGCGACACTGATGCGATCGGTTCAACGCATGAATACAATTTTATGTTAATTAATTAAGAAATGAAAACCGCCCCTCCTGTGTAAACGACAGTTTTTATTATGGTATCTGATTGACTTTAAATTCCAATGAAAATTAACCAATATACCCGTGAATTATAAGTCAATTTAAATTTAAACATGAGATTTACGTGATAAAATTTTAATATCTTGTACGTGAAATATGAGCTATCGAATTTGCTTAATCTCATAGAATATGAAAAAAGATTGTAAGAAATGAGCAACAATAATATGCATAAAACATCATGTTTAATTTACATACGTTGGCTTACCTGAAAATTTTAAAGGCTCAAGCAGAATAAAATAATTTTGATTGGTGAACTTACTCGCATTCGCGTCCGAAGATGATCCTATTGACTTCCTTGAGGATGGGCTCTGGCAGATTATCCTCGAGCATTTGCTCGAGAGTGAGATTTTCCAAGCCTGTGGTCTTGCTGTCTCCAAAGATATCCATTTTGGGAGCGAAGTCGTCCAAGGGAAGTTGGAGCGTTCGAGAGATCGGTTCGGCAACTGTGACGATCTGCGCACTTACGCTCGATCAATTTATACACCCGTCGAGCATTGTGAAATCGTCTTTGTTTGACGCCAGATTCTTCCAGAGTGATAAAGCCGTCGCGAGACTGCTCTGACGTGCACTTTCATCATAAATAGCTCCTTTTCTCCTTTTGCATAGTTCTAGCAATCATGTTGTAGAATGCCATAGAAATGACTTTTATGCATCAGTCAAAGTAAAATAATAATAAAATAAATACATCCAACTCTGTTTGCATAATTGAAATAATTGAAATCAATTATAATCAATGCGTCACTGAAAATAAATATTCTGTCAAATCCTTTCATAAATTAATTATAGATAAGGTATGAACCGTCTTGTTATCTGCATAAGCTTAAAAAAGTGATCCGCGGAAAACTCGCGAGTACACGCGTCGATCTGGCCGATAGCCTGCTCGGCAAACTTATTATGACGAAAGATTTAGACACCATAGAAAATTATGATGACCATGTTTTCGGAATGAAAGATTACGCAAGCGACAGAATCATTATCAGCATTAGTTAAATGATTTTCTGACTATGCATTTGAAAATCTCGTTGTCTATAGAAGATAAAGTGCTTCTAAAGCGTTTCCTTATAACTTATTGTTCCACTTCGTCTCGGTTCTAAAATTAGTAAGATAAAAGCAATAATGTAGGGCAGTGACATGAGGATAAGTGTTTCGATTGATTGTTGTTTAGCAGGCATAAATTTCGATATCTAAATTAACATTCTTGACCATTTACATTGTCGTCAGTTTCATTACGGAATTCACACGGCGAAAACAATTTAAGCTTGATCGACGTTTCATAATTTTTCGCAGCAAGCACAGTTTGATTGATCAGAAGCGAGAATGACAACTTTGATTTAGAACATTTCAAGCTTCAAAGTAGAATCAGAAGTAGAGTTTTTAGTTGACCCTTTTATTGTATTATATTTTCGGTATTATCTAGTAAAACAAAGCAATCATCGCAATGATTATTATCATTAAACATCGAATGAATTTCAAGTGACAAAAGATATAATTATGAAAACGTACCTGAGTGTATAACCAACGATTTTGTTCACACAAATTAGTAGTTGTATCATCTGGTTATAGTCAGAGAAATTTAAACCAGACGGATCTTACAATTTTTATTTTTCCTTTCGGAAGTTATGTACAAAAGCGGTGCCATTCATTCATCTAATACTTCACACTTAGCAATAACCTTTAATTTTGTTAGTGAAAGGTTGATCGCTAGCTATTTGTCAAGCAAACATTTGCTATCACAAGTTTGTAATATTGCCATCAAATCGAAATCTCGTCAGTAAGCTTTACGGTTTCCGCGGGCGAATTTTTACTCAAAAGAGCTTAATTTTGAATTATTTTATCAGTAAAAGTATAGATACATTGTTTGCTTTTTACGCTGATCAAATGTATTGGTGGATCAAAAACCAAAAAGAAAACTACACTAAGTAAGTAAGTTCGATAGATATTTCCTTTTATATTTGATATTATTTTAAACAAAATATTGTCGTCATTTTACGCTTATTAACGATCTTATTAGTGATGACTTTCACTTCTAATGCTAATATGGGCTAAAAAATTTGATGTATTAGAAAAGAGCATAACAGATAGTAGGGCTATCGATAGACTTACATCGATCAGTTAAATTTATGTAGTTACTAAGGAACTACGATTTGTATACAATTTTTTAAATTTATTTGATAAATTTTAAATACCACAAATATTATATAATTCACAAATATATAAAATTATAGCGATGTTCACAAAAATGAAATTCTATCATATACGAAATAAGATATCGAGCTATTACACCGCGTAACATCAAATGTGATTAAAAAAAATTATTTAACTTCAGAGTGGCTTTATTTTCTTATTTTATATAATACAAAATAATTTATTCTATAAAAATATTTTGTATTGTACGCGAAACTTTGATGAAAATATCTATATCAATCATTGATTTTTTCAAAATATTTCGTTCGGAAGTGAAGCTTTTTTTCACCAGTAAAAAATATTATTGATGCCTTTGATGGTGACATTACGAAAAATAGTAAATACTTTACGACTTTAGATATGCTTATACAATATCAAAAAATGCCAGGCCAATGTATTCAAATCAAACGAACTTAATTGTAACACTTGGTCAAAGTATTCAAGACGTTTCCTAAACTATCTATTTCGATACAAGCAATAGCTATGCAATATTTTCCATTGTCTTGCTCAATGACACGCGTGTTGATAAGGTTCGGCGAACAATTGTGCGAATGGCTGCCTATCAGTTCCGGTCCTCCAATGACGTTGCCCTCAGCATTTACTTTGTACGAGGAATAAGCGTGATTATCTATGTGAGTGTACAACAGTATGAAGATAAACCCACCCTCACGCAAGTTGTGCATATAAAAAACGAATGGGTCATCTTCTATCCGTTTTTCTAGTAGGGCTGCCATTTTACGCTGTATATTGCCACTTTAATCTGACTGTACACAGTGACTTCACAAAAGTTTGTCAGTGAGTACTCCCCAGACATAGAATTCTATCATTTCGTTACTGGAAGTATAAGATTTGAAGTTGTTTTTCTAGCCTGCTGGAATTTTCTACAGGAGCTTAGTAATCGATTCATCGCTTGATGGCCCTTAAAAGTGCAAATATTGAGATGTGGATTAGTATTTCGTCCAATGAAATTTGTTGAATAGTACAATAATTGGTTGGCTTTGCTATACCTGTCGACCTTATAATAGAAACTTGGTAGCGTTGCCCATGCACTACATATCCTTTATTCGGCGAACCTGATGAGATTTTTAAAGCCTGTAATACTCATCATCCGAATGCCGCGTAACTGGTCCCCCAATCAAGTTTACTTTGCTGTTATAAGAGTACACGCAGTTACTGTCATCAACTAAGTTGCCGCAGGTCTCAGCTTGTTGAATATACACGTTATATGCATGGTCATACACGAGTATGCCAATGCAGTAAATGTGCCAAGCAACTGGATTAGACTGCCAAGGTCCAGTCATTGACAATCGTCTCGTCGATTCAGCATCAATGACGAGCTCCGTGTCGTTGATTTGGCAATTCATCATTTGTATGAGCGCCGTACCGAATGTCCAGTGCGATTTTTTAATTTGCTTCAATTCATTAGCTCAGTAGCTTTTTCAGCGGTGTTGCGAATGTTCTTATGTTGTATTATCGTGCATTCACGCTTTCAATCGTCGGCATTCTCATGTTTGCAAAGAGCGTAGACGAACCTAGGATCGTTACATTCTCTGTTTTGGTTACTCCAACCAGGCTTGCTTATTAATCTGCGTTTTTCCCAGCCAGTCTCTTCTTTGCCAGTCCTCAATTGGAATAATCCAAAGATTAGAACGAGGTTCAGTGTAACTTTTGATAACAAAGATATTCTTGTACACTTGAAATCTGATGGATGTAGCTTTACTGTACCTCAGATGTTGATTAAGAAGGTGACTTTTTTGCTGTAATAAATATACTTTGGTGACATTGGCTTGTATATTATGATGAACTTCGATTGAAAGAATATACTCGTAGCTAGAGATGTTTTTCACGCTGAAGAGATTAAAATCTGAACGCATATATTTTCATCTTTTTCTAAAAGTCAAAATCTGGAATATTGTTTTTATTAACTCAACAGCAACACGACTAAAGTATAGACTCTATTATTCTTATTTATTTCGACGACTGTTTGTAAAGAGAGAAACGAGGAGAAAGCTAAAGAATAGATAAGATAAAGCGGCTGCTTCTGTTTATGAAATGAAATAATGTAGATTGTTGATGGAGCAAAAAAGTACTATAGCAATAAGCTTCTGTACAACAGTTTTTTTCAAAAATAACTAAAAGCTCTTTCAAATGAAATCAGCGCCGAGAAAATCAATTTGACCAGTTGTGCAATACGCGCGTAACAAAAAAATTCACTTCGAATAAAAATAATAAAAAAAGAACATTTTCCATTTTGAAGACAGTAAAAAATGACTAGGTATATCGCTAGGTAAACTTCTTGAATCGGTTACTCTTGTTACCAACTAAATATTTGTGTTAAAATTCTCTCGATAAGTTTGTACCGACACCGACTCACTTCGCTGGCTCGCGAACGAACACGATACTAACGCCACTGAATCCCAAGCTGCACTGGTCGCGATGTATCCAGCACTGCATATACTGTATAATGCCTCTCGACCGTATTCAGGGTTGGGCGATTCTGTTAAAAAGCTTCCAGCAATTGACTTCAGACCTCACAATTTTCGCTCCCGCTTTACATGAGGTCTATTCAACTCAAACTTTCAAAGTTAGTACGTAAAATGTTGGCAGCACTGCAGAAAGAGACATATAGCATATAGAATCTATATGCTATATCCGTCTCTTTCCGCAGTGCTCGAAGTAATTAAAATCATTTTCCAGCAAATACTCTCAAGAACTATTCACAGAAAATATCTCTCAAGATAAAACAACTTCATAAGCTCAACAATCTACACATTTAATACATCTTTCAATACGCAATATAACAATCAAACACATTCAAGTCCGTAAAAATGCATCAAATAAATAACTTACTTCGCTGCCGTTGCTCCATCGTCGCTATTCCTCTCGACGCTGACTGGACTGATCCTTATAGGCATCATGGCAAAAACTCGAGTTTGCTCGGATTTCCAAAAAAAGTATAATGTGATAATCGATATATTTTGTCGAGGCCTATCGAGGCATTTTCACAGCTTTATTTTCAAAATTTATTATCTCACGAGTTTGTCATGATTTTCAAGTTGCGAGCTAAAATTATTGAATCGTGAGAACGTGAAAAATTATTTAGTTTGAAAATAAACGAACTAGTAGTATAGTGTTTGAATATCACGGAATTTACTACACGTGCCTGCAAAAGGAGACGCGCGATATTAGTATGACACAAGATAATGTAGGAAATAGAACTACGCGATGTTCGATTTTGAAATACTGTAGCTCGCGTGCTCTCAACAAAGTAGTTGCAGATTTCAATAAATCATCGTAAAATGATTCCTTTATCGCGCATTCAAAATTTTTTTAAATAAAATTGTCTGAATATAGCTGATTGTAAGTAATTAATTTACAATTAAGAAATATATTAATAGTTACTACGGTAAAATTAACGAATACAAGAAAATCATTATCCATAGCAAACTTTTATTTCAGTTATTACATAGACATAAAACAATTAACTATAAAAAATAACTATGAAAAATATTCTAATATTGATTATTCAATAATAATAGTGTAATACTTGCGACCGTCGATCGTCAAAAAATGAAGATCAGAAGATTGCTAAGCAGTTTTAGTTTACTGTTTATTGTTAAGCAAGTTAGTCGTTAATGAATCTTCGTGATAGTTAGTCGTGTAGTTTCGGTTAACAAAGTAGTCTTTTATGTTTATGCCGTTATCATTTCGATATTAGGGTACCGGAGCTGCGGATTAGTAAATATGCACAAAATTATCTCTGTTAGGGTGCTGTCATTTTATAGTCCATTAAAGTCAACATTCATTTTAACTCCGCAAAGAACAGATACAGCAAAGCAACAACGCAATACAATTTATTGTTTGTAACTGTACCAATAGATATAACGATATAATTTTATATTTGATTAATAATAATTCAACTGGAAATAAACGACAGCATTCATAATTAAAAAGTCTGAATATCTCACTTGAAATCAGAATTACAATAGCAATTAACCAGGATTTCCATTTGTTCTTCTTTCGATTTCCTGCCTATACACAATCTAACCGAGCAATATTGTCCTTGATCGTTTTCAAATATCTTTACGAAAACTTCGTTACTGTTGGCATGACATTTGCTCGTGATATTGATCTCCAACTGTCCGATTAGTTTTCCCTGGGCGTTGATTTTCATTAGGTAATAATGATCTTCATTCCCATTACAAATTCGATTTGGACATGTAACTACCAGTACAATAAATCCACCATTCGGCAAATTATGAATAAAAAGATTCCACACCTTTTGCTCGTTCGTCAATGCAATTTGTGACAACGATCTTCGGACTACGCTCTTGTTTGTTATACTGTCTTGAATTGTCGTTATTTCTTTAACTGTAATGTCCTGTACAGTGTCATCTTGAGCGGTAGTTTCTTGAAATGTCGCTATATTTTCTGGTGTTACCGGAATTTGAGTCGTTAGAGCTAGTGTTGTAAGATCTTGAACTGTAATGACGCCTACAGTATTGATCTCTGTTATATTTTCTAGCACAGTGTTTTCTTCCGTAATATTTTCTACAGTTACATTGCCAGTTGCTACTTGTACTACTGATGTATTAATCTCGGTCACATTATTTTGCGGAATGTCGGTTTCCGTAACATTTTTTTGTGTGACATTGTTTTGTATATTTACGCTGTCTTGCACTATGTTGCTCTCCGTTGTACTATCTTGTATTATTATGTTGCCTTGTGTTACATCCTCTATACTCTGATTATTATTGTTCCCATCATTGTTTTTTGTATCATTTAGCGCTATAGTGTTTTGTGTTGTAGTGTCTTCTACCGTAATTCCTATGACTGTGTCAGGTTCCATTATAGCCTCTTCTGTAGTTTTTTCTATTACAGTATCATTTGTTGTAACATCTGCTGTTGTAGTTCCTAATCCTACAGTAGCTTTCGTAGTGATTTCTCCTACTGTCGTTTCTTGTATAGTTGTAAGTGGTATTTTGGTAGCTTGCGTCATAATATCTTCTGTTATGATCTGAGTTGTGCTTTCTTCAATTTTTGTAGTTTGCGGTATATTACACTGTTTTATATTGGCTTTAAATTTGTGATCAAATTCAAATTCCATTTGTATTTTCACTTCTCCTTCTTGATCGGTTTGCCAACAACCAATGCTCGAATTAATGTTATAACACATGCCATCTACATGATTCGCAACCGAATAGGCTTCTCTCCAAAGGTTTGAATGTGGTATTGGCGTGTACCATAATTTCACATATTTCGGACCTATCAAAACGAATTGTTCTAATGAAAAGTCGATTGAAAAAAGCAGGAATCTTAAAATAATCAATTACTCACCACCTTTTCGATTCAGTTGAAAAGCGAGCAATGACGTATCGCGGTTAACAAAAAAGTAACCTTGTCCCGTGGCATCAGCCATTATGGGTGATACTAGATCAATTTTCTCATAAGCCATTTTCGGCCAAATTAGAGGGCCTTCAATTTTGTTTCCATCGGTATCAAAGCTCAATCCACAATATATTTTAGCATCAGATTTTGTGCAAAGATGACTCAAGCCTTTAATTATCACGTCAAACCCGTGTTCAGACACAACAACGTCAATGTAATCACGGTGAAGCTTACGGTTAACCCAGTCTGACGGAACTTCTACTAAATCTACCTCTTTTATTTTACATTCAGCGATGTGAACAGTGATTGCTTTTAATTTGAGTGATTTGGATGCAATATCTTGTGCGATGAGAATAGCTTTTTCCGTACCCAAACCAACTATCAACTGTATTTTGTTAACTTTAAGCACAAAATTACACTTTTTTGTCACTGAATAATTTGTAAAAGGATTATCCTCTTGGATAACGCTGCACTGTTTTGACGACTGCGTGTACAGTGCATAAAACAATGTTTTGTTATCGAATGAAATATCTGACGCAACTAGAGTTTTATTTGAAAACTGGTAATTTTTTGATAAATTGTCATTCCGTGCACTGGCGAGTTGCAAGAACACAACCACAATTATACAAAGAATCGAAAACATTCCTCAAAGTGAATATGAATAATGCTATAGGTGCTCTTGCACCTGTTTTTTTACCAGATGTTACTCCAACCACAGCCTGACTACGAACTGCCAACAAAGACATATCTCAAGTGGTTAGTAATCCTCATCGACGTTGGCAATAGGCAGGTGAATGAATGGATTCAGCAATGATGATATTTATAGTAAGACGTGCGACTTAATAAAGTAAGTAGTGAAAATTTAAGTGACAAGGTCGACTGCTACTTGCAAATATTATAATGGTCGGCGTATACCTTCATGTACTTGGATAATAATGTGTAGAATTTCCATGTAAATAGGTTACAGTTATTCATATATTTAAAATTATTTTTCATAATTTTGATAAAATGCGTGTACTTTTATCAGAAGATGTAAAATTGTACCTTTGTTTTACTTTTATTTAGTACTTCGTGATCAATGGAGAAACTTTATAGTTGTAAGAAATATGTGATTGTAATATTTTTGTTATCATTAAATTCTATTATTTATAGATATGTGAAATCAGAAAAATGTTAAATAAAAAAATGTTTTTTTTTTCTAACAACACTTTAATGACAATAATTATGATAATAATTTTCTGAAATTGCATTAGAAATAGAAGATATCTACGTTATAACAAGAGTTGTTCGACATAAAGATTTTTTCATAATTATAAAAGTAAATTATGTAATATTAATCATTTATTCTTATTAAAAAGATTAAATTCTATAGTAAAAATTGAGAAAATGCAAAAATAACGATATGCTTCAATATTGATTCAAAAAATCATAATCAGAATAACAATTAGCTGACAATTCTAATGTCGCACCCTCGTGTTTATTGACATGACATAGTCTAATCCAGCAGTACGATCGTCCTTCTAAAAATGTTATTGCCGAAATAATACCGTTTTCAGCATTGCATTCGTTATTTTTCAAATCAATTTCGACGCAATCCACTTTTTTTCCTTGCGCATCAATTTTTATTAAATAGTAATGATCGTTAACACCCGCGCAAATTCGATTAGGACATGTAATCATCAATACAAGAAATCCTCCATTGGGTAAATTATGAACAGACAGATTCCATATCTCGTGTTCCAGCTTAAAACTGAACTTTGTGCTCATTTGTAATTCTCCTTCTGCATTATTTTGCCAGCACTTAATAGCCGAGTTGAAACCGTAACAGGCACCGTTGAAATTGTTAGCAGTCGACAGACCTCCTCTTGGAGGTTCTGAGCTGATATTTTGCGGACCCCATAATTTTGTATAAGTTGGGCCTAGAACAAAGAAAGTTAATTTTCCTTTTAAATATCTTAAATGTTTCGTAAAAATTGTATCAATTTATAATCGTATTAAGTTTAATACTCACCACCTATCCGATTCGCCTGTATACCAATAAGCAATATATTTGTTTGTTTATAATTTTTATTAACATAAAAGTATCCCTTTCCTGATGCATCCGTTAAAATAGGTGAAATAACATCAATGTGATTATAATCTGCTCTAGGCCAGATGTAAGGACCTTCAATAAGCTTTCCCTCGCTCTCAAAGTTGAAACCACAATATTTGTCCTCTTCGGATTTGCTACAAATTCGACTCAATCCTTTGACAATTATTTCGAATCCGTCATCAAATACCACAAGGTCGATATTTTTGCGATACAGTTGAAGGCCGGTCCAATTCGATGGAATTTCGAATAATTCCTGATCGACCGTTTTACAGCTGAGCACGTTGACAGTAATGGTTTTCAATATCGCCGACTTTGACGTGGATTCCAGTGCGACAAGGATGGCTTTGTCTTGATCAAAAGTAACTATCAGTTGCACTTCATCAGCCTCTAGATTTACAACGCAGGTCTTCGGGTTAAAAAAGTTGTTAGTTGCATGTACGATAGTACATTGTTTAGGCGGTTGATCACATAGCGCATAATACAACTCGTCATTGCTGAAGGATAGTTCCGATAACACTAGTGTCTTGTTTGGAAAGTGTTCTGTATTCTTGTATTCTGCGTTGCCGATATGCAAAGAGATGAGAAGTATTGCGAAAGAAGCGAACATGCTTGTAGCTTGATATTGATAACTGGGAGCGATTAAACACATTGACGCAATGCTGGCTGACTTGTAACTGTCACGACAGCGTTGGCTCTGGATATTTATAGAAATCCCACTGAATTATCATTGAATTATAATTGTGAGTATTCTGTAAAATATAAAATGTAGTCTTAAAGTTGCAGGGAATTCCAAATTCTGTGATTTTTCCAAGTTCAAGCTTCCGTAAGGATTTAAGAGAGATTTGTATTGATTACAATAGTACCTATTAACTATTTTTTTTGTTTTGTTTAACGTCGCTCTATTTATGCTCCATCAGTGCTAATCAGCGACGGAGGCTTGCAATGTGTTTGAGAACAAAGCACCTGAAACTTTTTTCAGTGGTGCTTGTATCAATCAGCAGGGACGGGGAATCGAACCCGGGCCCTCCCCGGTACGAGTCCGTCGCCCTACATATTTACTTTTATAGTAATAACATGAAATCGTGCCTTTGCTAATTGAATAATTTTGACATGAGTCATCCTTTGATTTCAATATATAAATTATCACATTTGAATTTGTAACCATTAATTATCATTGAAAGTATAAATGTGTACACTAAGAGTTTCTATGATTTTGTCTTTCATTACTACGGTTTGGTAAAAATGTAACTTTACTGTTTTAATAGTGCCCAAACGTTCTTTTATCACTTTAGATTCAACATCGTTTCCTTACTAAAAGTGAAACAAGTAAATACATAAAAATTGCGGCTACAATAACACATAACGAATATTTTTAGATATAAAGGTTGTATTTTATCGAATGAAATTTTAACTTTTTTCATAATATATAGAAAATAATACAACTTGTAGTAATTTAAAATCTTTACATTGCTTCTTTTGTTATTGTTTTTGTTATAGTTATTGATATTATTACTTAAAGAACTATGTTCGTTTTGAACGCTATAGAGGTACTCGGCATCTGTATACATTAGTTTTGGTTCCGTATAGCCATAAGAAGCATGCAACTAGTCAACCCACTACTTTCAAAAGGAGAATTGGTACTTGCATTATGACTTGATAAATAGTTTAAGGAATAAGAACCACAAAGAGCCACAGTGACAAGCATCTAAAAATTTTATTTCTGAAAATTTTTACATGTCTGAGGCTCGAACTTGCGACTACTTTCACAGAGACTTGAGCTCTTTCTCATTGAACCACCGTGACTACTTTAATTTTTTTATCTGCAGAAATAGAATAATTATAAAGCAAGTAGTATGTATAAAATTGTTTTTGATTAACCTACTACATTAGTACGGGAAATGAGTGTTACATTGTATAACTTTTATCTAAATTTAACGCTAGTAATTATACGAATATGTATAAAGCGTCGTTATTTCGGAAGTAATTAATCAAGATGCGGTTGTTTTTCATTAAATTTGCTCCAGAATTTGATGACTAATTGCGCGGTAAAAGAAGTAACAACCTTTCTTCAGGAAAGTTTGATAAAACATCGTGTGCTCAAAGGTTTAGCTTTTTTATATTTTCAGAGACTTTGTTCTGATTTCCAAAATTGTTTTTATGTTTGTTGTCTAACTTTTCTGAAAAGAGGCTGTAGGCTGTAGTTATACCAGACCGGAGCGTTGAAATAAACTTTATTATTACACGCTCCGATTGGATGATTGAGTTCTTACACCTTTCACCTCATTATTGGTCGCAAGTAGCATTACAGCTAAAATGCAGATAATCATCTAGTACGGAATATTTTATTTTATGTACGATTACAAAAACATGTCGTTGTTCCACAATGAAAATTATAAAATATCGAGCAAATAATAAACTGTTTTCAGTTGGTATACCAGACAAGGTAAATCAATACATGGCAATTAGTTGTCATATGTTTTATATAGCAATTAGTTGTCATTGCGTCATTTAGCTTTTGTATTCATTTCAACATGTGTACATACAATTTTTCTAACCTGTAGAATAAACTGTTTTATCAAAAGAATTAAACAATTGACAATTTACTGTTTGAAGTGATCATCGGTATAACAATCGATCGTGGCTTCAAACTTCGCTTCATCTGTAGGTAAATTTTTACATAATCTCGCTGTACAATACAGACCCTCTTCATTTTCGAATACTTTAGCCATAATTTTGCCATTCTTAGCGTTACAATTACTCTTGATATTGATATCAATGTGTTTGGACAATTTTCCTTGAGCATCAAGTTTCATCAGGTAGTAATGATCTTCAGTACCAGAACAAACACGATCGGGACAAGTAATCATCAGCAAAAGCCATTCACGATTGGGTAAATTATGAACATAGAGATGTGCTATTTTGTGCTGATGTTTGAAATCGACTTCCGCATTCATTAACACACCACCTTGAGGATCATTTTGCCAACATCTAATGGTTGAATTCTCAGCGTAGCACATACCAATGACGGTGTTGGCGGTTGAATATCCTCCAGTCCAATGGTCTGCATAAAGCTTTTGAGGTCCCCATAGCTTCGTGTAAGTATCACCTGTAAAGATAAGTTTTGAAAAAACAATTATCCTTTTATCAGCATTAATTATTATTAAACTTACTAGCTTGACGATCAGCTTTTATTCCAATTAACGAATCTTCCTCATTAACGAAGAAGTATCCGTTTCCTTGTACGTCGGCCATGATTGGCGAACCAATGCTGATATCGGTATATTTTAGCTTTGGCCAAATAATTGGACCTTCCAATTTTTTCCCTTCAGCATCGAAGATAAAACCGCAGTATAATTTCTTGTCAGCTGTACTGCAAATCTGACTCAATCCTTTGATAACAATCTCAAAGCCATTTTCAAACACAACAACGTCGATATTTTTACGATACAACTGAATGCCTTTCCAATTTGATGGAATTTCAAATAACTCTTCTTCGGCAGTTTTACAATTGGCCAAATGCACGGTGATCGCCTTCAACATTATCGACTTACCTTTTAACTCTTGAGTGATAAGAATGGCTTTGTCTTTGCCTGCACTAACTATTAGTTGTACGTCGTCGACTTGAAGTGTGAGTTCACATTTTTTCGTAATCGGCGTCTTGACAAACGGATTGATTTCTTGTACAATGGTACATTGCTTTGACGATTGCGCGCACAAGGCGTAGACCAATGACTTATCGTTGAAAGACGGTTCGGCCAATACTAATTTTTTATTTGGAAATTGAAAAGATTTCGTCACAGTTTCATGCTTTGTAGCACTGGCGAGGTACAATGATAACAAGATTATCGCGAATTTCGCGAACATCTTGTTTAATGTACCTTATAAACTTGATGCTTCTTGAGTGCCGCCTGGCTTGCGACTAAAGGCACATGAGTTTGATTTTAGTGTCGCACTAACTATCCTGACGTCACCATTGAATTGACCTTGAAATGTGCACTGCTTTGATTAATGGATTAATACGCCTGCTGGCCATTCTCAATAAGGATGTTTGCTTTGTGCTAGCTTGTGAAAATTTAAATTAATAAGACAGGAGTATAGAAGCGATGAGTAGTTGCTTTTGTATAATTCATTTGTTTTTCTTATGATCATCAGTCTCATAGATCTTCTAAAAAAAACAAATGATTTTCAATTTCCAAAATATATAAACAAATGAGCTGCACAGCATTTATGGTGATTCGATTTGATGAACCATTTCACTTCGATTTTAGTTATTCTGAAAAATCCAACTTTTAAATAACTAAGCTCCGGATGATTTTCACTTTTTAATAAACTCGAGACTAGCATTGAAGTTAAATATTGTAAAACGTTATAATATACAATAAGAATTAAGTGAACTATCTAACAACTTTCTACAATTTAAATAAATGAACAATTCCATTAATTGTTGAAATACTGGTTCTCGCGAATAGAAACCAAATGTTATCGATTTTTACTCAATACGTAGACACTTAAAAGATTATAAAGTCTAACAAAATCGCGAAAAGTTATTGAAAATTTTTATATGATTTTTTAGCAAATTAATTCAAATTACTAATGCAAATTATTTCGTGTTGTTAAATATTGAAAAGAATCGTTTTAAACAACTCTAGATTTTTTCACAATTGTTCGGACATTCTATGGATAGATTAAAAAATTAAACCGACTGAATGAAATAGGCGCAATGTGTATCAGTGTTGGAGATTAAGCAGAGGGCAATTTGACGTGTTATCATGCGGTTTGCAAAATCATGGGCCAATACTTGCTATGTGATTCTAGGTTAACATGTGTGTACATGGCTTTCATCAGATATGTGCAATTTGCAAGCCTCAATTATTCTAGATAAGTGTAATTATTCATCGCTTAAAAATTACTTTTCGTAAAAAATCACAAGAATTTATTTATTAATTTTGTTATTATTTATATGAAAACGAGTTGGATGCATATTAAAGTTATGAAACTAAAAACGGAAATTTAATGCAAAAAACAATTTATTGAACAGTTTTCGTAATAAAAAACGTAAATTTTAACATCTAATTTTGCTACTGCGTGAAATCATTATTAGAAAAACAGTCGATCGAAGTTTCCAGACGACCCTCCTCGTGAGTGTGACTTTTGCATAGCCGGACTGCGCAATACTGCCCTTGATCATTCTCAAATACTTTAGCCAGGATATCACTGTTTTTCGCGTTACACTGACTTTTGACTTCTACATTTACATGGCCAGTGAATTTTCCTTGTGCATCGACTTTCAAGAGATAATAATGATCTTCAATGCCAGAACAAATTTGTTCTGGACATGTAATCAACAATATAATAAATCCACCGCTACGCAAATTATGAACGGAAAGTTTGGCTGTTTGATGTTGATGCTTGAAAGTAAATTCTGTAATTAATTTTCGTCCTTCTACACCCATTTGCCAACATCCGATGGTCGAATTCATCAAATCGTAGCACATCCCGTGCGCGTTGTTAGTGGTCGAGTAACCTTCTTTCCAAATATCTAAATGAACTTTTGGCATTTTGTACATCCTTTCATATTCAGGACCTGAAATAATTAAACATTTCCATAATCCTTCAAATAAAGCTGACAATCTTTTGAGTAGTTGTGAAATCTAAACTTACCGCCATGTCGATCAACCAACAGCGCTGATAAAGAATCTTCTCGTTTCACAAAGAAATACCATTCTCCCGAAACTGCTGGCAAAATAGGCGAAACTATATCCATTTCATCGTAATACATTTTTGGCCACACAGTCGGTCCACCAATTTTCTTTCCCTCGTAATCAAATGTAAAGCTACAGTAAATTTTTCTGTCAGGCTCGCTACAGATATTACTCAATCCTTTGATAATAACGTCGAAGCTCTTTTCGAACACAACAACGTCAATATATTTGTAGTACAGTTGAATGTTGCTCCAATCCGATGGAACCTCTACTATGTCCATTTCCACAGATTTACAACTGGACATATTAACAATAGTCGCTTGAACCATCGAAGATTTGGATACCGTGATGAAGATAGCTTTCTGTTTACGCGAACCAACCAACAATTGTACATTGTCAGATTTGAGGTTCACCTCGCACTTTGCTGTCACAGTCGATCTATTGAAAGGATTCGTTTCGTGGATGACGGTACACTGCTTTGGCGATTGTTCGCACGATGCGTAGAACAAAGTTGCATTATTGAATGATGCCTCCGATAATACTAATTCTTTATTTGGAAATTTATAGTTTTTCGTTAGATTTTCATGTTTGGCGCTGCTAAGATGCAATGCTATGAGAATTATGGCAGATGTTGCAAACATTCTGTATATGTCACTGGTGTTCCGATGCCCGCTGAAAATCAACTGACACCACTGGTTGCTGTCAGCTTTAAACGTGTACATTGGGCAACGTAATCATTGAATAATTCGTCTTATAAGTAGAGTAGTACAGCGGCCAGTGCATGTAAAAATAGGATAAGCATCGTTTGACGTACGTGGTTCGAATACGTAAATGGCGAAACAAGCAAAATGCGTCATTGTTTGTTATAATAGTTTTGGCAGAAGAAAACGTTAATTTCTGATAAAAAATCAAAATGATCGTGTGTAAAATAAATGTCTATGTGATGGAATTCCTAGTTAATTTTTGTAATTCCAATGGAATCTTCCAGAGGTACTTTGTAATAAGAAACATCGTGAAAGTCATCCACGTCAGTGATTCGAATATAAGGTAATTGATAAATGCCGGCGAATCATCCTTGGCATTCACAGTTGTAAATAGCAAGTGAGTAAGTGTCGGTTAATTTTAGAATCAGGTCAAAAATATTCTACCAAAAGATTTTATGTTACATCATTTGATGTCAGATTAAAGTATCAGTAATAGAATAGTATGTAAATAAAAGTATAATTAAATATAGCTTTTTATTTTACTATGATTGGAAAGGATTTTTTTTCACACTTGTACATTCCGCTTGTACAACCGAAAATATAATCTTTAAAAGAATAAGCTTATATATACAATTCCTTTGTCGGTGTAATTGAACATAAGTTTACTATGTGACTTTTTAAAAGTTATCACAGACGATGATTGCCAAACGCAATACACGTTTAAAGTTATGGTAAATCTTCTTATCTATTTGATTCAATCTCAAAATTTTGTCAAAATTTAAACATTTATCAATTATTCTTTACCCGATTATGATTATATGAGATGAAATTTACTCGAATGTGTATATAATACCTTTGGTGTGTATAATTGTACTTTCTTTAGTTTTTTATTTCTTTCAATTGTCCTCTGGAATGTTATACTGAAAAATTCGCACAGTAAATTATATAAGATCTTTTTCGAACTTAATCTAATTATAAAAATATTTACAATAAAAAACTTATTTTAATTATATTTTTCTGTAAAGAAGAAAACTTATAATTTCATGAATTAATAAACGTTATGTATATTTTCAAAAGAACTGAAAACTTTATGTAAATAACCTGAAAGAATAAATGCAATACAGTTTCTATGTTAATAAGATAAAATACCTCAATAAGAGAAAAGTCATTATTTTTAAATGATTTTTCGTGAATTTCCCGTACTGATAAAAATGTTGATTTACCTTATATCACACTGTAATAGTGTCATTAAGCGGGCTGTATGCGCTCATCGCTTATTTGTATTCATATTCAGTTTCAATTTTTACATAAAACAAAACTATCGCAGGCGAAGTTTAAAGAGTTCTAAAAACATGACATATTTACATAAGATAATTCTAGGATTTAAAATACTTAATATTTGTCAATATTAGTTATGTTGATATTCGTAGATTTAGTAATAATTTCAAATTTAATGACGTAACAGATTTTTAGATGTTCACTTATACTGGTAATATAAGATAATTGTAAGGGGTGAGAAGTAGCCAAAATAAGGATTTGTATTTTTGTATATTTTTGTTATGTTTTATTTCCTCAAAAGTTGTTACAACAAATTTAAATAGTAATACACGCAAACTTTGCAAAGACAGCGAGAGAGGAGCGGTGTCACCGTTCAGACGAGAGTTAGCTATAGAATGAAAACTCTAATCGGCGCATCCTGCGGATTTAACACCTGCACTAAGCCTTCTTGGGCTTTTCAAAAGCGCGCGCATTGTTGCCACGCCCTTTTCCTAATTGCCCTGCTACTGTTCGCGCCCCCATCCGCCAGCCTCCAACGTACAACGCCACCCCCACATCAATGGGTCAGGTCGAGGGCACAAGCCAGCTACGGCATTTTTTTTTAATATATATTTTTCTATGGTCCAAACGATTAACCCGCTCTCCCCTCAACCTTACATTGATTTAACGCGACACCTTTCTCTTAATCTAAGTATAATTATATCTCGCGAATACATCTCCCTTACCTTACACGCAAACACAGTTTTCTTAGCCTGATGCAACAATTTCCATCCGAGGTCGAAAACGAGCCCTAAATTACCTAGGCTATCTAAACTCTTCGCACGTGCGTTTTGTTTGGCTCGCCTGTTGCTCACATGGGCCTAATTCCCAGACGCTCTAGCGTGTTTCCCCGGTGCCAGCCTCCGCACGAATCCTACAATAGTAGATCAAGTTTGTTTCCCCTTTTTCTTTTTGTAAGTAAATCAAACTGTTAGCCGCGCCCAACAATTCAATTTTTTTTATTGCTACCATATTTATTGATAATTTCCAATTTTTTTAGGATATCTTAATATCGACAGATATCAGACGAGGCGTCTGAAAAAGTTAGATTATATTTTTTCCTTTACAGAGAGCATTCACGAATCAGCTGATAATTGAGATTAAAACAGTAAAGCGAAAAAATGAGAATGTTTTAAAAGTGCAGGTCACATTTATCTTCTGAGAAGCATTCACAAAACAACGTAGCTGAAATCGAGATAAAATATATTTTTAATCGTTGAATTCTATAAAAGGCATGCCATCATCTTCATCCTAACAGTTGCTGGATTTGAATTTGAAAGATAATCTTACGAAGTAACGGAGTAACGTATGTCTAAAATGAAGTTTCTTGTCGCTTTTTGTGCTGCAATTTGTATCGTTGGCGCTGTGAGTATTATTCTATAACATGTTTTAATTCAGTTCAACTTTATAATATTTTTTCACATGAGTTATTTCAATAAAAAAAAGACCTATGTATACTAAATTGCTAAGTATATAAAAGTTCGCCAAATATAGAATTCCTAGCAGTTAGCACGAAATTGCAATTTTTTTTCATTTTGTATTTTCGATTATCCAAAACTATAATAAATGCAATCTAATAAAGTCTCATCTTTTAGAATAAGGAGATGAATGGTTTTCCTATTAAAGTACCACAAGGCGTGATCGATGAATGTGCCAAAAAATATGAACTTACTGAAGGTAATAATACATTTGAAATCTACATGTAGATATCTATTCAAGTCATATTTAGTTTGGTACATTTGATTTATATTAAAGATGCTGTCAAAGAAATCCTAGCAAATAAAAGTTTTCCTAATGTAAGCGATCAACAATGCTTCAGCGCATGTTTGTTTGATAATAGTGGAATTGTAAGTAGTAGTTTTCATGTAGAGACTTAAAAAGAATTCAGGCTGATCTTTATTTTTGTTGTTATTAGGTGAAAAATGGAATTATCGATAAAGACTTTAAAGACTCAGCAGCTGGCAAAGAGTGTCTAAACCTCCAGGGTAAGAAAATGCATTACACGATCATTCCAAAATACCAAAAAATTTATCATTAAAAAAAATGTTGATTTTATTTTTGAAGGTAAAAAGGCTAGTTGTGAAGTGGGTGCTGAAGTGGTGACCTGCCTTCTCCAAAAAAATTTTATTTCTATATAAGCAAGTAAATTATTAACCGATGCCAAGGACGGTGACGAAATAAAATAGTTTACTCAAACTTGATGAATCTTTAAATGAAATTGATAATATTGTATAGTAATGCATATATTAATGTCTTTTGATTAACGTATGCATGATAAAACGTTAGTTAATATCTATGTAACGGCACGTAATATCCGTTGATAAATAAAAAATTATAAATAAGTAATGAATTTTTGAAAGGCACCTATAATAATTTTTGAACAATTTGATTAATTTTTCACAAAGAGAAACGAGCATCAGTGCAGCAGTTATTAGCACGCATATGTGTATAATTTTTTTCAAATCTATCCACGTTATAAGAAAGTGTCATAACGCAATATCGTGTTTTTCTTTTGAAATTCTTGCTTATGGGAACTCTGAAAAATCTGGCGACGAGGAACTTGGATATTTCGGTATTTTTGACCATTGGAATTAATTTTCATCAAAGTGTACATATAGTAAATCATTATTCTATTGGGCTTCGACATATTTGTAGCCAATACTAGGAAACCACCGCCTGGCAAATTGTATAAATCAGCAAGTATTATCCATTCGCATGTACAGTGAACGTTATATAAATGTTGCAATTTTCCATGTATTCCATTTTGCGTACAATTAAAAGCTTGAGCTTCTAACCAGATTTATATAAGACAGATCGCATAGAAGTTTGATGAATAAAGTTTTTCAATACTAAGTATCGCACACTGCCAATTATAATATCTTCGAACGTTACATTTTATCTTGCAGTCGTGCGGGTGCATTTAAGTATATCGTCAACGAGGATTTCTGGAGTTGACTGCTATGGAAGTATCGATAACTGCGGAAGTTCGGGTGGTTGCTATGTATACAAACGTCATAACAACAAGTATGTATGTACAGTTCAAATGGGAAAAGTAACCATGTACTGTAAATGAGATTGATAACTGTACTTTTTACTTTTTGTTTATAATAAATTGTTTTACTATTAACGAAGAGTGCATTTAAATTGTTTGAAATATTAAGTAATACAAAATGCTGACTATCAGTCATAATACTGCAACAGGTTATAATGACTACCCTATGTTATATTCTACAGCTGATTTATGTCAAGATGACTTTTTCAAAAAAAATATCAAAAGCACTTATGGAACCCGTCCGTCCGTAAGTTTATTTTTGAAAACTCCATACACTAAATATTATATTAAATGTATTATATTATAAGTTTATGTGATTTAAAGTCTACGGCAAAATATTCTCGGGCAAGCGTTGAAAGCCGAGGAACGTCACCCGGTGTAAGTATCATTCGACGATACAATCGAACAAGTTGTTTATCGACGATTACGTTCAGTTTCACAAGATCAGTACGGCAGGAAGACCAGCTACAGGGTCACTTTCACGGCCAATGACATCAGTCAGAGGTGCTGGTTACACCAGTGCCTCTCGACGTAGTGCCGACAGCAACGCTTCGTTCGAGTTTGAACAGGAAGAAACGTAAGTATCGAATCTAACTTAAAGAAAGTGATGTTTCCAAAACAAAGAAAAAAGAATAACTATCGACAGGCCAGAGCGGAAAATCAAAAAATACAAAAGAAAAATCATGGCTCTGCTAGAAGAATCTGCGATGGCAGCATACGTGAAAAATATAAAGATTGCCTTGAAAAGAGCCAAAGAAGCTGTGTCGCTGAAGCGCTCTCTTATTGTTTTTGAAGATAGTGCTGAGTTGAGCGACAATCACAATATGCGTTTAACTTTTGCAGTACGATTTCGTGTTATATATTCCTTGAATTTTCAAATAAAACATGCATAAACGTGTGCCAACAGGTCATTTATAATTTAGCGCAACAGTACGAAGCACAAAAATTGTATCGTGAAGCAATAATAGAATACAGGAAAATTATCGACAATAAAATTTTCGGTGAAACTGCTAGATTGAAAGTCAATATTGGTAATATCTACGTTAAAATGGGAAATTTGACGGAAGCGAAGAAAATGTACCAGATGGCTCTTGATCAAACGCCTTTGACTTACAAATATACTAGGTAGCATAAAAAATATTTCAACTGTAAGAATGCTTTATAAAACTGATGGCAACACAGCTAGAATATACTGCATTATTTCAGGAGAAAGATAGTGTACAATATTGGCATTCTTTTAGTGCAGACAGGAAAATTGGATGAAGCAGCACAGAAGTTCGAGTGGGTAATGAGAGAGAAGCCTGATCTTGAATCGGGAATGCAGCTTATTTTGTGTTATTTTGCCCTATCACGCGTAGACGGGATGAAAAGGGGTTTTCTTGAATTACTTGATGTTCCATTTCCTATCAACATTGACAGTGAATACAGTATCATGACGGTAAAATTTTAGTAATTAAATTTCAATTTTAACATGACATACATTTTTTAAATAATCTTTAGGACGATATCACAATAAATATTTTTAATGATACTATAAAAAATGATGAATTATCGAAATTCGAACGAGAGTTGAAAATCAAGGCTGAAAAAACTATCCTGAGCACTGCTAATCTGATAGCTCCTGTCATTGAAGAAACCCTCGCACAAGGATATGCATGGTTAGTTTTAAAATTAATTCACAAATATGCAGTTTTCTAAATATGCTAGTGTTTTCAAGGTGCGCGCAAGCTATAAAATCTTCTGCGTATACTTCGTTAGCAGTCAACTTAGAAATTAACAAAGCCATGATCCATCTCCACAATGGTCAAGTACAGACTGCGATAACAGCACTACAGAATTTTGAACATGAAGATATGAATAGCAATAGTTCTGCATCTATCGTACTATCATTTATAAACTTTCTGGTGAGTTTAGCATTGAAAAATTAATTTACTATGTTGGTTCACTTGTCGTGATTTCTTCATTATTTCAGCGTGAAGATTATATTGCAGCAGAAAAATATTCTGAAATTGCTAAAAGTGTGGATAAATCGAATCCTGCTGCTTATGTTAATTTAGCAGCTTGTGCCATAGCGAAAAATGAATTAATACGCGCGGAGAATCTTCTACTGAGTGCATTAAAACGCGATCCAAATCATGTTCAGGGCTTGTATAATTTAGGTACAGTTGAATATAATTCGACTGAAAAAAACGTTTTTTATTGATAATTTTCGGAATTTTAGGTCTTGTTTACAAGAAAAAAGACATGCTTGACGAAGCTTTTAAGTGCTTTTCCAAAGTGACTCGAATAACACAAAACGATCCTCTGACAATTTATCAATTGGGCCATATATGTCAACTTCATGGTGACGTTGAGCAAGCAGATAAAAGGTTTGTATTTTAATCGTTTCACAAGACTTGATGATTGAATTTCTTTCAATGAAAATAACCTATTTCAAAGGTACAATCAACTAATCGCTTTAAAACTAATTGATCCTGGTGTATTAAAGAAATTAGGAGAAATGTATGATAATATATCTGACAAGCAACAAGCTTATTATTATTATTCTGAGGTAATTCTTGAAGTGCAATATAAATCTATACGCAATTTCATTTGATCAATTTAAAAAATTTCGTAATTTTTTAGTCTTACAGAGCTTATCCAGCAAATTTCGAAGTTATATATTGGCTTCGCTCTCATTGTATGTCAACAAAGGTCAAATCATATAGTTTTAATGATATGCGCAATTACACTAGACAATAATTAAAATTTCTTTTACTTAACAGAATTTCAGCGGAGCACTAGAATACTCCTTGAAAGGGGTAGATCTGACTCTTGGTCAACCTGAATGGCGATTATTGTTTGCAGATTGTTTGAAGAAATCAGGAGAAATTAATGAAGCTTTGGCGGAATATCGTGACATAAATAAAATGTTTCCCAATAATATAAACTGCTTGAAATCTTTATGTGAGCTAGAGCGAAGTTTAGGCTCGAAAGATGCCAAAAAGTATTCTACTGAACTGAAAAGATTGTTGCAACTACACAGTAATGGAGCTGGAATGAAAATGAGCAAAACAAGTAAAATCGGTAATTATTGAAACAATTGGTTAATTACAATAAATTTGTTAAACACAGCACCTATCAATTCAATATTTTTATGTCATACGTAGGTTTAAGTAGGAGTAATAGTATAGTATCATCAGTATCGAGATTAAGTACAGCATCTGGAAAAAAAACAAGTCCGGTTTTTTGTAATGAAGAGAATTATTTCAGTTATGGCGTTTCTCGGCCAAATTCTTCTCATTTCACAATAGGACCAAAGTATTATGGTAAAGTTATATAATTAGATCGCTTTACATGTAAAAACTATAAATATTATTCATTACTTTATTTGAATGCATTTAGATAAAAATTATACTGATTCATTTGAAGCATTACTGACAAGGCCAATGATATCAATAGGAAGAAGAGATGATAATTTTGGAGATGATGAATTGGGAGATGATCTGTTACCTCAATAAGCCAGAACATTTTTTAAAATTATTTTTTAATCCTATCCATGAAAGTACAATAATATATAATTTCTACAACTATTTTGTATGATTTATATGTGATAATTTACTTAGAAAAGTTTTAATAATCTAACATAATGCCTTGACTTTTGCTTATTTTTCAAATTTTCAAAAAAATTCTTCGACCGTACAACTAGTAGCAGCAATTTATTCATTTATATTACGTTTCGGATGAAATGCCTTTTTTATTCAAATAAGTATTTTTCATTGTAATTAGATAACGAATAAACAATACATAACATAATATTAGACATAGAGAGCTGCGCTAGCTTGTCGATGATATGTCAGGCTTCCACAGGAGAAACCTGGGTTAGATTCCCTGGTGGTAGTATGACTTGTTTTTTAAAAGTTAATTTTCGAAAATCAACACCATGGTTCTTACAGTATTTAGAACTTACCGTAGAAGCAAAAGCATTACTACTTTGGAATGTGGTAGTACAAATATTTCTCGAGAACATTAACTCAAGAATACTATTACTAACTAGTCAGAGAAAAAATCTGATTGGTTAGATGATCGAGCTTAATTTTATCGTTTAGCTATATCTTTATATTATAAAATTCTAATTTTAAATCTGTCTATTTATAAGCAGTTTAAAAAACTATATGTATAAACTATTGAACAAGCTGTAAAAAAGAGGAAGAAGTTTTTAGAATATGTATCAATGTATTCTTAAACAATAGATCGGTTTGATATCATTATTTAAATAATCATTTATAAGTACAAAAATTGTGAAAAAAATTGAACAATCAAGTAAAATCAGTATCATTAAAACACTTGACGGTAACGTGAATTTCATTTATGCTATCAGTTCGACAAGTCCAAGCCAAGCAGTAGTGAGTCTCCTCATTTTCGAAAAAAGACGTCCGTGCTCTAGCTTTTGGATTATCGCATCTTAATCCAAGATTCAAACCACTGACTTTTCTACCATCAGCATTCCACTTCTCAGCGGCAAAATAAACGGAACAATGATCAGGCTCACAATTCGCATAGTCTTCGTCAATGAATATAAACCCGCCTTCTGGTAAGTTATGCATGTACCTCATCATTTTTGTTCTATTGAGACCTTTGATCGTCATTTCAAGTTTCAAATTTCCTTCATTACTGTATTGACTACAATTGATTTCCGTGTCGAATATAGAAGACAACTGAATTGTGTAACAAATGCCAAATAAGTTGTGAGCTGTCGTGGTGTAATATGGAGGTAGCATATTTTTCACTCGAGTTAGCGTTTTTGCTGATCCTGAAGTAATCATGATAAAGTATAAATAAAACGCTATTTTATATTTACGTAGTTTAAATATGTATTTCCTTTACTTAATGTAGAGCAATAACTTAATTTTTTAACCTTTTATTGAAACATATGAATTACTTAATTAGTCGGTTATCCTTTGTATTTTCCCTTACCGTCTGTTTTTACCAAGTTATAACTAGTCTCGGAATTTTTCCTCCTGATAAAGAAATATCTCTTCATGGATGAATTGCTTCTAAGCACTTTAAAATACCTTGGATGGCCAATATTATCAAAAAAAATTTTAGGACCACTTATTACTTTACCATCGGCATTGATTGTCATTTTACATAATTTCTTACCGCACAAATTATCATTTTCAAAAATCACAGAATAACTATCATCATAAATGAGAACGTGGTAATCTTTTAAAGATTGATTTTGACGTGCTATCAATTTAGTTTCTGCGATATTGCAATTGTTCAAATTAATAATACTATATTTGATGAATTTATTTTCTCCATTGTCCTCCCAACCAACCAAAACTTTATCTTTGCCAAAACCATCTAAAAAATTTCTGAAATGAACTGTGCCATTTTGTTGTTCAGACTTCAGTGTGAATTCGCAGGAGTAAGTGTCATTTTGATATGCAGATTTTTCACTCGATACCTCACACTTGAACTCACTTTTATTGTCATCACACGAAGTGTACAATAATCGTCCATCATGGAAATTGTATTGAACGATTGGACCTCTGACTTGCTCATATACTAATCTGTTATACACTTTCAATGCTTCGAATTTTGAACAAATTAAACTCATAAATAAGATTCTATAGATAATTTTTGACTTATACATGTTTAACGTCTTCTTTCAGAGTTCTATCGAAATTTTTTGCATACGTAGTATTTAATCGAATTTATATCTGCGTCCGAACTCCATTCGACTCACGACTTTCAATGTATGATGTAGAAATATTAGTGAGGCACGAGAGTTTCTGTTATTTTCAGAGAAACATAAACAAGATAATTATATCAGCAGCTATCACTGACTTAATATTAATGAGTGATGTGTTGTTTAGTATTGTAATAAACGGATCTATTATGTTTCTTGATATAGAAAAGCAGAAATAAAGACATTCTTGCGAAGGATAGATTTTAATTCAGATTTCGTAATTAGTAAGATAAATAATTATAATTAGTAATATAAATAATTATTTATATTACTAATTTATTATTATAAATTTTTTATTAAATTTATTATTACAACTAATTATTTGTAATAATAAATTTATTTTTTACACTTCCATGGTCAGCGATTTGATCATGTGTATCAGAGAAGACCGCACGCAACGCTAGTATGACTTTTGAAAAGGAATATCAATTTTAACGTTTTGATGATGACAATTTCAAAGAGAAAGTTTCACAGAAGCACATGTACAATTAATCCGATAGCGGTTTTCTTATCCTGTTTTCCGAATATGCGAAATCTGACAATGAAATAGATTATAACACAGCGACTGATTTCGTTGTAATTAAAGTGAATAGCGAGAGAAAAAAAGTTGGCAATGTACATTTGAATGAATTGGTTATTGCTAATAATAGGATAAAATTTATAGTAGATACTCATATTTGGAAAAGTGGAAATAAAGAATGCTGCGCTACTGTGATTGATCAAACCGTTGAACATGTGAATCTCGAAAGATCTACTAATCTTAGTGTTGACGTTAATTGTTTTACCAAAGACGATCTGTCTTGAATAACTTGCAAATTATAAAAAGTTCCTTCATTTGAAATTGATGTCTTTTTCTCTTCATATATTGTTGGACTCCTTAATACAACGATTCATGATGAAATAATTATTACCCTCTCCATTTTGCGTCCCCATTGTTTCGCCGCAGTAACTTGTCACCGGTGTGCTCCTCGTTATTTTTTCCTGTTTAGTCAAAGTTTTCAAGTATCAGATTAGTGTAAGTATTTCCGTATTTGCTGGTTTTATAAAACACTGCAATACTTAAATCCAAGACATTTCGTATTCATATAACTTCTTTGATACTGCTGTCTTTGCTAGAGAGTGTTGTTGCGATGAGATTATTAGTTTTATATCAAAGCTTAAGTAGTCGACACGGCCGTTATATTTTCTGTAAGTTGTACATGCAGTTATTACGCTGTAGGCTCTTGAAAATATTACGCCAGGTCGACCATCAAGACGTTTTAGTAACTTTTTGTGTCTTGCAACGATGTGGCAAAATTAAAATTTATTATTTAATTGCTGAGCTTGGTAAAAACAATATTTCGAAAGAATTACCATAATGAATTAAGTTGTACGCAATTATAAAATTATATTTTACAAATTTATCTGCTCATTCGACTCTAACATAGAAATGTCAATATATAACAATTGCAGAGTGGAATCTTAGTCGATCAAACTTCCCTCTACAAAAGCATATAATTAATTAAAAACATTACCGTCTGCGTTGAACGACATTCGGCACATCATATCACCGCAAGCCGTTCTATCTTTATAAAACACATCGAAGGAACGATAGTATAGTACGGCTGCAGTTTTACGATTCACCGACCTCTTGTCGAATTTTACCAAAACAAACTTGCAGTCGCTGATGTTCAGTATGCCGTAGGTGATGTAGTGCCCGCGTCGTCTTTTCTTGACAGAAGAACGACACTTTGTGAGAAACTCTCGCGCTCGTTTTTCACGTCACACGCGTAGCTGTGGTTAGAACTCCAACTCCACGCTCTTTCCATCACCGCTCTGCAATTTTTATTTGCCAATCCTGTAGTCGTGTAATTTGAATATATTACTCTTCCGTCTTTCAGCTTCGTATCGATGCTCCCCCACTCTTCAAGACATATGTGGTGCGTTTCATTGTAGCTTTCGTACGCGCTACTGAAGATTATTGCGACGAAAATGATGAATGATTTGTGCATTTTGCCGAATTGTTGATGTAACACCGACGGATGGCTTGTCAGTGCTCGTTCGCGATAGTTGATGCTTTGCTTGTGAAAACAAAACTCGCGCTGCTGTGCGCTTGATCTTGGAGAAACCGTTAAGGCGCGATTAAACGAGTATCTTGCATATATGTACCGTTATTGCAATTATTTTCGCTATTTTTCAGTAGATGATTAGAAGGCTCTATTATAATCATCATTATCATAATTATCATTTTATTATTATTATAGTTGTAATTGAAAAAAAGGTTTTCGGCAAAAGCATTTTCATTGTTGTCGTCATTTAAATGTCTGATTTCAGTACATTGTTCAATGAAAAATTTAGCTGGTGAAAGATTGTTATAAAAAAAGCAATAAAAACTGTACAAATACATTTCTATTCCAAAATATATCGTATTTTTATTAAAGATTGGTAGAAACTATACATGTTCAGTACAACAATCATGAACAAATTAAAAAAATTGCACCAACACATTTTTTAATCCATTTCAATAAAATATAGTAGGCTTAAAAAGGACGCTGAGAGAGATCAGTAACATTAAAACATTTGTAACTAAAATTCACTTTCTTATCACCCCAGAAAATAGAAGATTTCTTAGAATGACTGCTCACCGTACAATAGTTACCCTCTTCATCTTCGTACATGTCCATCTTTGCGCCGTAATAACCCTCGACAACCGTACTTCCAACGATTTTGCCTTTCGCGTCAAACTTACCGAGAGTAACATGATGACACATGTCTCTGAGTCCGTTTCTCTCTGAACAATCCCAGTACTCTTTCAGAAGTAGTAGAAAGCCTCCTTGTGATAAGTTTCGTATGTCTAAAATGTCGATGTAATCGTCGGCGCCACCCGCCAACATTCTGTTGAATTTCAGATGACCTTGATCGTTGAATTGCGAACAGTTAATGTAGCAGT